GTACATATTTTAATTTCCATTTGGGACTCAACGCTTCTTTTATACGTTATGCTGAAGTTGAGGTGTGGCGCCGTATGAGAAGGTGAACACATTCAGTTTTTTTTTAAATTCTAATTAACGGCAGAAATTCATTTTTTAATTGAAGTCTTCACTGGCGTTGCCGTCCTGACTGCTTAAGGTCCCTATTAAAACGTGAGCAGAGACGAAAATCCTCAAGGAGAAAACGAAATGGACAGTCCAAGTTTTAGAGGTTTTCACGCTTAGTGCGATGGCAAGCTTATGTACGGTAATAAAACCAGACACAGCTAACACTCGTATAGTAAGTAAAGTTTCGTGATCAAGAACAAAACAGAACAAAACAGGAATGATGAAAAATATGACCAAACTGGCATAACTGTTAAAATTCATACTAATCATGCCGATGTCAGAGCGCCTGCGATCACGCTGAGGTCCATCGCGGCTAGCTCATCATGGCGATCTTCGGTCATCGCAGTGAAGCAAGCCTCAGGAACTACATCGGCCGCCCTTCGAGTGAAAAAATAAGAGCTTGCTCTGATATCCTTTCCGATGCGTTGAGTGGAAGGCCTCATCAGTCACTGCAGCCGAGTGTCACGGCGCTATCATCCCGAGCGATCTTTATGTTCCGGTGAATTCGGCTGTCGTTCATTCACAAAACACTTAACTGAACTGTTTGTTTTCTACTTGTCGTGTGAAAAACTTGCGTGTTTTTATGAGCCATAATTCGGCCGAGTTTCACTAAAAATTTCACTTTCAGATTCTGTATTAGAGACTAAAAGACTTCAGGCAGAAGTGTTAATTCGACCTGCCGAACTATTCAAGTTTTTAAACTACTGCAGAATGTGAACTTTGATGGTTTTTTAACTTTGACGGTTTGACATTTCTGACAGCTTTAGTCTTGTACAGCCGATCAGATTGTTTGAACCATTCTAACAGGGATTTTGATTGGCCTATTGTAGCATGCTTTAAGAGAGTATAGAGCATGCTGAAGACACTGTTGTTCGCTTTGGAAACAAAGTTTGTTTTGAAAATTGAAAGTAATGCTTGGGAGTTTGCTTGAGGAATTTAACGGATTCTTTATTATAAACAAATAGAGAAGCCTTGACTGTGCTCTTTTCTGTTTTAAAGCACTTAGGAAGCGGCTAGAGCACTCAAGAAGTGGGGAGAAACACTCGACTACGTCTCGTGTTTCTCCTTACATTTCTTTCGTTTTCTAGCCGCTTCCTGCGTGCTTTACAACAGAATAGAGCACAGTCAAGGCTTCTCTATTTATTAAAGATATCATCTTTTATTAGTCTTAGTTAGGACAACAACTGGTGGACTGTTTTTCATTCCTCAGTTCAAGCTGTGCTCAAGTCAGCTAAATGTCGATAAACTAATGTAGTAATTATAACGCGCTTGCACCTGGGCTTTTCCTTTATATGCCCTTAGTTCAATCAGTTTTTAACTAAAAATTTATGAGAGAACCAACTCCCTTCTATGAATATCTTAGAATTATGCCTGATATATTCATAACTTACCACCAATTCCCTGCCTCCCTCCGGCACCCATGTTAAGCTTCTCTTCAAGAGAGTTCAATAAATTTTCACTTCCGTCTCCGAGCTGTTGGCTTTGTGAGAGTTCCCCTGATAGTGAGTTAAAATTATCTAAACCAGTTGAAGCTGTGTTTCCTGTATTTCCCAACATGTCCAAACCGTTATTTTGGTAGGAGCTGAGCGAGTTCATTGAGCTCATGTCTGATACCCCTCCTGTTTCCCCTAAGTTTGACAGAAGGGAGTTGACTCCACCGGCTTGTGGTGAAGACAAAGAGTTTAGGGTAGTGGATGACAGATCACTTAATGCTGTTTGACTTTGCCCATTGCTTGTTGCAGCGCCACCGTAGTTTGAGCCAAAGTTGTGTCTAGGGTCCAAGACTGCATTTGAACCCAAAACGTTTGCGCCACCCGTCCCGTAACCAGTAGCCAGCAATGTGCCGAGGCCGGCACCATAGTCGTTGGAATAACTTGCACTTAGACCTGTTCCATACGCAGCTGTCCCGAGTCTCGTATTAAGACCGGTGTCATAACTGTCCGTTGTTGTGCCTGTTAGGCCTACTCCTAAACCGTTTCCCAAACCCAACCCTCCCCAGTTTGCTACAATAAATTGTTTCTTCTTTTTGTGTTCTCCTCGACTCCTTGTCCATCGCGGACTTGCCAAAGTTGCTTTTTTGACCGTAGATCTGTCTCTGAGAGAGTCTTGTACACCTCTCGTGCTCGGTAGACTTTTCGTCGTCAACGAAGATCGTGTCAGTTTTTTTGATGAGTTTTTTTGTGCCCAATGAGAATTGTTAGGTGGTTCCCTTTCTCTTTGAATTTTTTTGTTCGTTCGGGAATCAGGTCTTCTTGAAAGACTTAGAAGATTAGCATTCCTTCTGTATGAGTTATATTGAGACCTTGAGAAATATTGATCACTCCAGTCGTTGTTCCTCGCATTAGTTCTTGGTGCATAAAAATAATATGGGTTTGTCTCCGATAGTTTTTTGTCCCTTAGAGTTTGGTGGTGTGTTCTACTTCTGAATGATCCTTTAGGAACTTGAAAAAGCGCTACAATAATTAAACATTTACTCGTAAGGTTTTTTCACAATTTTGAGGCTTAAAGATTTACAAAAATCATCTGGCCACTGAAACTGACTGCAAAAGTTGTTGGTTGTTTCCTCTTGCTTAGTGTTTTCAGGGCCATTTTGTTTATTTTTTCCTGTTCGCTTACAAAAAACAAACAAACAAACAAACAAAAATCAAACAGAAGTAAAAATAAGTATAACGAAAAAAATATTTTGGTTAATTCCCCAGAAGAAACCCTCTGTTATTACCTGATCTTGTTAAAGGCCATTCCACCAGTAAAATGGACAATAAGGCCAGTAAATTATTCATTACAGGCTTTGATTTCTTCTAGTCTTTTCACATGGCTTTTGTCCTGGAAAAATAACTAGGAATTTACCGTCTGTATAAATAATACAAACAAATGTTTTCGAGTTTACCCAGCTCATTCATATCTTAAAGTTATATATACTGCTAGCTATAAGCCTGCCACCTTCCGGGTGCTAACAACGGCTGCAGGTTTTCTCTATATTGTGTCAACAAGTACAAGTTTAACTGGTGATCATTTTCAGGATTTGTAACTACACTGAGTAAGTCGCATTCCAGTTTAGGATTGACAAACTGTTAAAAGAACTAGCAACTTGTAAGCAATTCTGTTGATATGGAGCATGTTTTAGTAAATGAGAAGTGAACTTAGTCGTGTAAAATACCGGAAATAAAACCCTAGACAATGCCAAAGAGAAAAACAACGATGGTCATTTGTAATTCTCCGACTAAACACTGTTCTAACCTCGTGGCGTTTTGGTCCTTGACATTTTCCGCACCGGCTTTACACCAAATCACACCTTGATCATACCTGTTTCCAACTGAGCGAATGGTTCAACACTATTTTCAAACGTGTTCTGTTACTTTGCGAACCGTTTCTCTTTTGCATTCTTCAAAATATGCACAAATAAGCGTTTAAAATAAAAACAGGCCAAATCCTGAAACAAACGTGCATCTAGAAGACCATATCACTAGGTTTGAGATTCGCTTCATTTTGGCAGTTATTTACAACGGAAACTCAGGGTTATATGTATCATCAATGAAGAAGAACCAGAAGTAATTTTTCCATCAGTTGTTCGGTTGTAAAATAGTATAAGAGTTAATTTACTTAAGATTGAGGTAAAAGAGATTTGGAGATAAACCGCTTTTAAAACCGTAAAGTAATACTCTGTTGATAATTATGACATTTTTCTTGTGCTGTATATTTCGTAATTAGTAATCACTAACTAGGTCTTTTAATCGAAATCATTTGTCAAAAAAAGTTACGATTGCAAATATTTCCGCGAACCATTCATACAAATTTAAAATTAACTTACCATTTGCAAGTAGTTACTAGACTAAACATTTCATTCGATATTCCTCCATTATCTTTCACGACTGGCCAGGCTGGCGATACGACAAATTATGGACCCTGACAGAGACTGCCAAATTTGGACACGAAAAATTATCTGATCCTTGATTTCATGAATTACCTCAGTGATAGAAGGACAGGAAAATAGCTAGGCGGTACTAAAATTGTGGATTACTTTGTTAAATGGAAAATTTGGGGCAAGCCTTGAGCGGTTCTTCCCCCGAGAGAAAGAAGAAGTGATAAAACTTTTCAAGAGACACCGGCTTGTACCAGTTATGACCGGTGGTTTTCCCCGCATGACTTGAGCTAGAGCCGCCTCGACGGCAGAAACACGAGACATTGCCTTGCTAATAATTAGGAAAAAATATTTCCATTTTCCTTACTTTTTTGTTTCTTTTTCCTTTCTTAACATCTTTTATTCTGGTTACAGCTTTTTGTCTGTAAACATCCGTTCCTTAAAAAATCAAACAGGACAATGTTTTTAAACAGGTCGTTAGCATGAGTATGGCCACCAGTGACAATATTGACTTTGCTTTGACCTTCTTTTGTAGGACGCACTTAACAAAGAAAAGTATCCCGGCTTACATTGGCTCTGAGAGTGATAAAGTGACCTACTTGTTTATCATACTCAGCTAAGAAGACAGTCACTTCGGGTTAGTCTTTGGCAAACTTCGCATGTCCGCCTTAATGTTCTTTTCGCCGAAACTTGTCTTGCACGTTTCAAAAGGTCGATGGAACATTAAATAGTCGTCTCGCTCAGAGATATTGTAGTTTTTCAGGGTAACCCCTTTCGTTCAATGTCTAATTCTGCTTACAAATATACTTTGCTACTGTTTGTGTTAAAAGAAATTCTGAGAATTTTAGTACATTTAAATGTAGGTTTGTTGCAAAAAAAGAGTCAATCTATTAATCTATTAATCTGTAGGGTTATGAGTCAGTATGTAGTGTTCTAGACAGACTACTAAGCGGAGGAATCGAGCAGGAAAAAAGACAAGTAAGCACAACTGAAGTGATTTTTGTGGACTTCAATCCATCATCAATATTCTTATTTCTTCAAAGTGTAGTCAACATCAGGCTTTTCAAGTAGCACAGTTTTTTAAATTTATTTTTCCTATTATTATTTGATCTTATAATGATTATACTGATTATGACCAAGAATCAGTCATTGTACCGTTTGGCTTTCCCACTCATAGTCTGTCATTACTATGTTCCTAATACGATGTAAGTAGCCTTGATATTTTAGCAAAGCCGAGCCTTCATCTATATAACTGGCATTAGAATTCATATATAGTATCCCTCCGTCACAACACGCGTTTAGCCTTTCCTGATCGCCTGATTTGGAAACAAAGGTTTCAGTCGCTACCTTTCTTCCGTTGGCCAACTATTGTACCCATTTCCCTCTCCGTCGTCCTCGTCGACATCCGGGAACTCATCACCTGCATGGCTTGCAGGGAATGGTATAGACTCATCTGCGTCCACCTCTCTTCCAATGTCTTCAATCTGTTGACTTTGTTGAGTTGTGTCTCGTTGTATTTCATCTCCTAAGTTGGCCACCTCTCTGCTTTGCTCACTGATCCGCGAGCTCAGTTCGTCACCAAAAGTTTCGGTTTGATGGGATAAATAGTTCACGCCACGTCCCCCCGGAAGCGCTAACGGAAGTGGCACATAAAAGGGATCTCCCATTTCGTACTCAGTTGGACGGGAATCAACTTTGATAAAACAAATTAAGTTTATTGGTCTTTACGTCCGATGGCACTTAAACTGACCTCTACCACAAGAGATTTGGCTGACTAATTAATTAATAACCTGTAGCTCGTCGCGAAGAAAATTCAGTTTTACCATCGTGGATCACAGATTTCGATATTCGGGAAATCCTCCCTTCAAAAACTTTGAAAACTCAGCTCGCTCATTCTCCGCAGCTCGTATACAGTTTCACGTATGATTTTTATGGCATGTTATCACGCCTTTTAAAAATTATGGTTTTTGCTGTGATTTAACAACCAAGGACATTGCACATTGCTCATAAAAGTTTAACCTCACGTTTGGGTTGAAAATTGCCGTCTTCAAATCAACTAAATATGACTGTTAGGTTGGCATATGTTACCTTTTGTTTTCACATGTCTGAGATCCACAAATAAAGAAACTTACCTGGATTCAAGCAAAGACAAAATGACGCCAGAAACAAAAACATTGTCGTCAATCATTGCAATGCTTTACATATAAGTTATCTATAACCTGGACGTCAGGAAAGATATTAACCAGTTATCCACCTGTCACACGCCCGACTGGTTTTTTAAGGTTCCTTTTTAGAAAAAAAATCATTTTTATTGGAAAGAATATTACTCCTAATGGTATCGCTAGATGTCTACATGCACACAATATCGATTTTGCTACAAAAATTTAGTCACCGAACGCTTTCCAAACCGATGTCCAAGATTAGAAAATAACAATTTTTGTACATCACGCCTGTTAAACGCGCCCTTCATTGACAAAGATCCGCAAAGAATCCTAAAATATTTGTGTTTCTACTGACTGTGACAAAGCTTTAAACAACAATATCGTTACAAGACGCTTGAGCATTAATCACGAAGTTAAGAAGTTCTTTTCCGTATCATTTTGCCTCTGTTACACAGGTTAGCGCTTTGTTTCACAGTCTACACTCGAGCATTTGATGATTAATAACGTTTGACTATACACAAAAGAAACGAGAATGACTGGTTCTTTTGCAGTCTCCAATTCTACAGTACCGCTAATGCGAATACTTTGTCCGCCTTTGTGCGGCCGGTGAATATTTCCTGTTCAAGAAAGATTTTTCATCAGCAAGGCCCTATTGCAACGCTTACATGGTTTTTCTTTGCGTGATTTAAGAGATTTCATGCTAGCTGCGGTCTTTGCTTGCTGTGAGTTCAGTTTATGACTTACTCTTTGCCCTGCAACATCTGTTTTTACTCTATTAGATCTGCTAGTAACGAGTTGCTTTTGCTTGACTACTTTGTCGAATTTCCCCGCGTATTTTCTTCTCGCATCATTTTCTTTCACTTGATGACTTCGGATTAATACCAAGTGCCCTGTGTCGCTGTCAAAATCATTGTTGTGGTACATGGTAGTCCGCTGGGTGGCCTTCTCATCTAGCAGCGGCTTAGAAAGCAAACTTGCGTCATCAAAATCTCTCTGTCCTGTCCTAAGCACTGAAGCAGCTTCACCTATTCCTTCTATAATGTTGGTTGATTCCCCTTCGTCCTTAAATTTCCCTTTATTTTTCTGAAGCAGCTCCTCGGCAAGCGCCGTACCAAGGCCTTCTGAGGGTCCTGCAGGCGTGTCTAAGGGTGGACTCGCAACACCACTCTGGGTGAGAAACTTCTGATTGCCATTAAAGAAAACCTTTTCCTCCTCCTCCTGAGGTATAACACCATTTTCCTTTAAAGATTCTAGTTTATTTAAGAGACCGAGTTTTTGGCCACCCAGAAAGTTAGAGTGGTGTCTTATGCTTCCCATGTCACCTCCGTCAAGTAATTCGTGTGATCTGCCAATAAAACGACTCTCTGAGTTAAGAAGATCATCTTGAGTATTTCTAGGTTCAGGAACAGCAACAGCTTTGCCATCTAAACTTTCGTAACCATTGGCGTTCTTTGCCTCTGTTTTTGGATTCCACCAGCTTTTGTCGGTAAATGGAGTATTCTCGTAATCATTTTGACGTTGATCTCCTCCGGCCATGTCACCATAAGAGCCATACGAATTCGTGCCCCATTCGTTGGTCATATGGTGCTGCCTTGTCGCACCTTCGTTCACTAAATCAGAAATTCCCTCATTATAGCCATCTCTTTCGCTGGTTTTTTGCCCCTTATAAGCCTTTACTCCCGGGAACAGGACAGGATCCTCGGGATAAATGGTGGATGGATAAGACGAGGAAGACATCGGCTTATAATACTTGTGCCACTGGGTACTGCTTTGGATAAACGAAACCTGGGCTGGTGACATGGTGTCCACTCTGAGGCCACCTATCTCTTTGGAAGGAGGCTTGTTGAAGAATTTATTGGCTTCATATCTCTCTGGACTGACCAAGTTCTGTAAGCTGTACTCTGCTCGATCAATTCTGTTGGTATCCTCACCAAGGAGTTCCTCCTTCTTAGCGACATGGACTCTCTTAGGCAAACTGTGTCCTTCTGTTTTGCTGCCGTCTGATAGGTACAAAAACATTTGTACAATCTAAGATACAAACCACCAAACTTTTCTTTATTTTGAACCGATTCGATTACTAGGGAGGTATCCAGAATGTTATGATACGTTGTCAGCATGCTTTAGTCATACTTAATGTTCTCAGTCATTTCGGTTGCTGAATAATTCGTAAAAATGAGCTTTTAAGTTTAGTCATGATTGGCTCATTCGTGAGAATTTTTTTTGTTTAACGTGGAACTCGAATAATCTTTCCTCATATAAATAATTGTCGTGTCACATAGAAACGTCGCCGGCTGAAATCGAAAATCACAGATTGTGTCATTTCCATCGGTAACAATGAAGCTGCCATAATTTGTTTCCAAAGTTTCTTACACAATACTACATCCACCTTATAGACAGAGGCAGACCAGAAAATATTTATTATGAGACCATTACGCCCCTTAAATTACAAACACGCCCACACTTCGTACATTTCTTAATTCTGATCAATTTGTTTTCGTTTTGTATCACCTTGTATTGGGAGCGACACTAAGGACGTGTTGACCCCTTCAATACTTTTTGCATATTTACTTTTCACAAAGGGGACTGATGACATGGAAATCCGACAGATTTTTTTTACTTAAAGGAAAAAAACATGTACAAATTCAATGTTTAACATATGGAAAACCGAAAGAGCCCGTACATCTTGAGGGTTTAAGGAATAACGTGATTACTGAAATGTTGTTAGACGTACTTAACATTATCAAACAGCAATATATTTCACAGTTTAGCCTACTTACCATGTCTGGAATAAATTGGGACAGTTAATCGTTGAAGTAGTAACACCAATAACAGGTAATGCATCGTATAGGAAAATATCGTTAACCGAGGGGTTGCATTTATTAAGTTAAGCAACCCGGTATTTTCAACGGGTGTCTTGAACATTTTTACCGTGAAACATTAATATTAAAACCTTTATGACGTCACATGATATATTTTGTTTCGACTGGGCAGGTTTGTTGTGGTTATTGATAGCTTTTTGTGTTTATGGCTTTACTTTTAAACCCTTTATTAGCTCTCTGAAGAATCATTGCCACTCATTAAAAAAAATGGTCGGGTATTTTTTTTACTAATGACATCAGTGCGTAAATTCGGGGAGGCTCTGTGGAAAGGAAGCAGGTGCCTCGTTTCGCTTCTTAACTCGTTTGGCTACAGGAATTATTTGCTTCCATGTAAAACAATTCCCCTCTTAGAAAACATTTTGACCAATAATATTTAATGGTATATGCCATGATGGGTTAAAATAAATATCTCTGCTAATCTTAACATTATTCTTACCATTAAGTACATAAAAACTATGGTATTTGTTGGATCCGCTTGTTCTATAAAATTATTTTGCATATTTTTCCTTCTGCGAAACGCTAATTTTAAACGTTAATTCAAGCTTTATTTACAACAGGGACCAACAAGAGCTACCATGTCGTTGCCGCTTTTACGGTCATTTTCTATGGAACGTGGTCACGTGATCATTTCGAATTACATCATTTACATCTATTGAGTGTTGGCCTTCTCCGTCCCATAGAAGAACTAAATGTTCGAAATGCTTTGAACTAACAATGGCAAGTAATAACCATGAGCAGTAATGGTGTCCAGAACCCGATGGACTGGCGGATTGTTTATTCTTTTGGCAGCCCTAACAGGTCTGTGTTGTGAATCTTGAATGCCATCGTCACGGAAAATTATTTAAGAGTTGCTTGTGCCTGTCGTTTCAGACACAACACGCAGACGGGCTCCAATTACTCAGTTTATAAATTTATTTTTTTGATAGGAGAAATTTTATTCTGCCATCTCGCTCAAATTAAGGGGAAAATAAGTATTTATACTAAAAGGCAGTATCATATGCGAATCGTTGCCTTAACCAGGTTGAATGGCAAAGGAAATTATTTCTATTAATAACTTCCATTGCATGATGGCATTTTGTTCATTTACCTCAAACTTAACAGCAACTTGACAATATTTACCTGATATGCTTGGAAGGAAATTACTCGCTTGCTTTCGGAACCAATTGACTCCTCATTTGTTCCTCAAGTCATAGCACTTAATACAAACAAAACTCTGAAGTGGGCGTGACGAGCGCTAAATTGTTGACATTTAGGGTCAGCGATCTCGCTTAACCACCAACATCAAGAAATAATAACAGCTATGGATAGAATTGGATGAAAAACTCGGCATTTGTTGAAAGAGTGCAGTGGTTGTTAATTATTACAATTGAGCAAATACGCGAGGCTTCAACGGGGGGATTAGAATGAAAACACGCTGGCCATCGAGGTGTCTGGCCATTTTTGTGAGCTTGATGTTTACTGAATTGGCTTGCAATGTTGTACTATGTGGCTAATTTTTATTTGGTCTGCTCACTCTAGCAACTGCCTTACAGGATGCACCACCACGTACAAGAACAGTCCATAGCCACAAAAACATTGCAGACAAAAAATCCCGCAAACGGCAGGAAATTATATTTCTCCGAGATGACCTAACACACAAGAGGAACCGGGAAGAAGATATTATGGCAAACATAGAAAAACATGGAAAAAGTTTGACCGCCGAGGGCAATGTCTTCAAAGGAAGTCCAACTACATATAATTATGACGATTCCTCAGTTTATCAAGGACCTGTACTGAAGGGGCAATCTGTTAAGAAATACAATGGACCACCTGAAATCCAAGAGAATCAGAAGAAAAGCGATGCTTACGAGGTTGTGTCCGAAAATGGTGATAGTAAAAACACTAACTCAGTCAGCGACGAAGGAGATCAGGAAGAAAAAGTGGTGAAAGTGGGACATCCCAATGTCAGAGCACATGGTAATGACAGACATTTATCGCATTTCAGAGGACATCACAGATCCGGACTTCACATTGTTTCTCTAGATGATAACGATGAAACTAATGATAAAGATTATGACGAAAAGATATTGCGAGATAAAGATTTGAGACTTTACGGTTCTATTGGATCGCCTTCTGTAGAGCATGAATCGCGCAGAATGCATCATTCGATTTATCATGATGATTTTCTTCCTCCAAATGTTGTGTCGTTCTCCCAAGATGATTTCTCTGGCCCCCTGTTTAGAGGTGCTGGTCACTCCATCGACGAATTTTTCCCAAATTTTAAAAGACGAGATTCTTTATTGTTTTCTCGACCTTCTCAATTACGGAAATCGGAGGAGATAATGCAGCAACAGTTTCTACCCGTGAACCCGAAATCGGTATCATTTGGTGAACGACCGAATATGGTTTTGCTGCCAATGTATAGTGGTTATACAGGTACAAGTCCCACGGTTGTTCCCTTCACCACTCAGGGAACATTTCCCTCTTCTATGTCTCAGCTAGGATCTGCTCCCATCGAATATTCGCCTTCAACGCCAACGGCAAATTTTCGTAACGTTTTGGAGCCGGCCTTTCAGGTTCCTCAAGTCCAAACGCCGTCTGTCAACCCGTCGTATATTCTACCATCGGAGCCGGAAGAACAGATTTTGTTTAACAATCAGCAGCCCGATGTACGATCGCTTTACTCTCTTCAGGCTCAGCCACAAATGCAAATTCCCCAGACCAGCTTTCCACATTTGGACCAACCTCAACAACCAATGATTCCAAGTGAAATGCAAGTGCCTTCTGCTATTGTTTCCCCAGTTGGTCAACGAGAGATCGGCCCAGCCCATCGGTGGGTAGACGAAGACGGACGCCAACGCAGTGAGGTCTTGGATCGTGACACGGAAGGACAGGACGAGAACAGGTCCCATGATGACAGAACCGAGGGTGATGAGGATGAGGAAGATGATGACAGACACCAATATAGCAGATACTACGACAAAGGTTACGACCCCAGTCCAGACGAAGGTGATGATGACGGGGCTCAAGAGAACCTTTCAGAGGAAGATTCCGAAGACGCAGATGAAGGTGACGAGGAGACGTCTAACTACACCACTGACAAAATTTATGGGTCAAAAGATACAGGGGACGAACGTGGTCCAGATCCTGAACCTACTGAAGAAAACAACTTCGACGACGACGACGACGACGACGAAGACGAAGACCCAGAACCTCCCCGAGGCTTATCGCCACAAGCAAGAATGCGACCAACCAATTATAATCCAATGGCTCGTTTTATGGCGTCAAGTCGCCCTTTTCCCAAATTTCCTCTCCCTCTTAATACGGAAACGTCAAATCCTATGGCTGCTCAAGCATTTTCAAGGTATCAGTTGATGTCTCCTTCCTCTGCCCTCAAAGAGAATATCTTACCTAAACCTGTGGAGAACCAAAAACCCTCTCCAAACGTTCCCAAAGCTAAGTCAGACCTAAAAATCTCTCAGATGAGCCCTGCTGAAGCTCAGTTTTATGAAAACAAGGTAGCAATGGAACCAAACTTTACACCAGCTATAGCTTCAAAAGACACCATTCCTGGAAAATCTCGTCACTTTCGAGTTGGGCTTGGTAAAGTGCTTATCCGACTGAACGGTGAACCATTGGAGGACTCCTCTCAATTGCGAAGTAAAATAGAAAACGGAGAGATCATACAAGGAAAAGGAAAACTCATCAAATCAAAAGGTCCAGTGCAAGTTAAACTTTCTCACACAAAGGATTCAAAGCACTTGAAGATAATAGACATCATAGCTCCAAAACAGTTTCAGGTGTATGATACCAAAAGTAAGATCAGAAGACCTGTTAATTCCAGATAATCTAACGGTGATCCAATTTCTTTGCCAAGGAAAATCCGATAAACGTCTCGAGATGTAATGAAAAATCTTATTTATCACCAAATAATATACAATGTATGTAGTATGAAATATGTACACATCGCAGCCCAGTAACAAAACCCAAAGCTGAATCTACTATTCACTATCCGTAAAGCAATGCGAGCCAGCGCAACCTTTGTGCAACCGATTTGAAACAGAGTATCAACAATTGAACGTGAATGTGAAAAAATGTAGTTTTTGACCAAGTCGTATTATTGCTTCACTTGTCAATGTTCATCCCTCTTCTGCAGTATGCTCTGTTTGGTTCAAGGTGCAATCTCTCACAATTAAAGTTTTTCCCCCTTTTCTTAATTACGTTAATTGTAAACGTTAAGTGTGGTGTAGGAGTATACCGTGCTCGATATTTTAATTTCACATCATGTTATGTTGTTATGCTTTAAGCAATTCGTGTTACGTTTGAAAGGGGTAGACAACCAGCGTAAAAGCAGTTGTATGTATGGTTAACTCTACGAATTTTTGTCATGAGAAACCAAGCTTTATTAGTTTCACAATAGCATACCTTTGCAAACAATTAGCAAGCGTTTTAATCCATCGATTATTTTTCAAAAGTTTCGCTTATGCGCGTGATTGGTTTCAAAGTATCACATGACTAACAATACCCCAGCTAAAACTGGGGTTTATGATCCAACTGCTTAAAGTAGAGTTGGATAACAAAGAGTACCAATAACGCGTGAATAGGGTACAAACATCTTGCGATATTGTACTTGTACTGTACATTAGTATTTTAATAAAACCTGTTTAACCGGTCGGTTGCGCGCTCACGCTTCTCTTCCTTCTTTGCTTCTCCTGCCTTATGAGAAATGAGCAGATGTGAAGCAGTTGGATAAAGAACTTTTTAGACCTTTGGTGTGTAGAATTGCTTGGTATTTTCACTCTTTGTTTGTATTTTGTTTGTATAATATTTGTATTATTATCATACATCATAATATGATGTATGAGCATATCATACTTTATATCACCGATTCCTCGAGCGTATTGGAGGGCATTTTATATTTTTTGGGCCCCTTTTTCAAAAGGATACTCTGTTCTTGCTTGTGACCAGTAATATGATAATTTTTGAAGCAGGAGGTAACATTCTTCATTAATGCAAACCTAAGGTACATCAGATTGCTTAACTACTCTGTGTTTTAGAAAATTAATTATCACGTTTCATTCACCTGCAACAATGGTTTTACCAATCTGTGGGCTGATTCGTTGTTATATTGTTGCTGATATTACGAAGGCTACCATGGACGTTTACTTTTTCAGTAAAAGAAATATTTCAATCAGAGGCTACGTTACTGACGGAAATACGTCACGTTTCGAGAGCACATGTAGCGTTATCGTTATCTAGCTTCCTCCCTTAGAACATGCGAGAAATAACGCTTTCTCCTGATGAATTCGGTCTTTAAACATGGTACCCGGCTGCCTCTAATGACTATGATGAGATAATTGACTTAGACATCTTTCTTCACGGAAGCAACATCGCACCAGACGTCTTCTCAATCACTCTGCGCTTTCTGAAACCGGAGTTCTTACTTATTAAGACATGGTACGGTCTACGGCGATTATTTGGTCATTTCCTTCAAAATTTCTCACTTTTTTATTTATATAAACTAAATGAGTCTTAAATAACCACCGCACCTGGGTTGGTTTTTTAAATTTTCCCCTTTTGTCTCCGCATAAGGTAAACTGACACCTGGATTAGGTCACATTTAGAGCGCAGTATTAGCATTATGAATAATTAACATCTAGCTGGTTTTTAACCAATTGCAGCTTCCTTCGCTGACAAGCAAAACTTTCCTTGGCCCTCATAATAGATGGCGTACTTCTTATGAAGGTTTCCCCTCCCAGATGGGCGGGTAAACAGTCGCGAAATAAGGCAAAAAATAGACATTTGACATACTTAAAATCAAAGAAGAGCAACTGCCTGTGGCTGCTGTATCAACAAAGTTAACTATGGCCAGATTTTTGGGTTTACTACTTGTATCAGTTGTTCTGTGGATGGAAATGTCAGGTAATGTTTTCGCTGTCGATTCGTATCTGTCGCGGATTATCTCTGTGAACGTTCTTTTAAACCTATTTACTTTAGTAAAAGGGCTTCCTCGTGAAGCGAGGACGTTTTAGAGGACAAAATTTAGATTAGCGCGAAAGGTTTCAGCTTTTGAAACGATTTTCTTCTTTCAGCTCTAATTTTATTTTTAAGATCCAGCGTAGAATAACAGAGGCAGTGAATCATCTGAATTTAGGGTTTCGTACTTGTCGCTTAAATTCACGAGAACGTCTTGCAACTTTGCCATTTAGTGGTTTTTCTGAACACAACCTGTCTGAGTAAATCCTGACTTGATAGCAGGGTGTTTATTGTAGCCATAGAACGGCGGGTGGAGTTCAGTGGTCTTTGATTGGCAAGCTGTGATTGTCACGCGCCTCTCGATGATGAATATACACTGTTTTTAATTATAAGTCTGCGGCATAACAAAGAAAGGATGCTAAAATCTTATTAAATATAATTTGGCATATCATTGTGCTTTTCAGGTTTGTAGTAATGCTGTTATTTAGCTTTGATTTGTAGCAAGGGGTGCCTACATATTATTTTGCTTCGTTTAAGATTAACGTTTAAAATCGATATTCTTTGATTTGAATGGTATGAATTTTATTGGTATTTCTTTAAAGCAAAAACTCTGGGTTGCACTTATATCAGAATTTCAGCAATTGGCCGCAAAGTTCCCACAAACGCAGTTCAGTTTGTAGAGGGAAAGCTTTCATGTTTGCACAGAAAAGAAAGAAAACATTTACGTGGTTTTCCCGGCACTTACAACCTATTTTGATACGCGCGGCTTTCGTGAGCCCATCAAGCAAATGAAAAAAGTTCATAAAAATCTTCAAATAAATCAACGTAATCTGTCGCTAAAACCTTCCCTTTGAACACAGATACAGTATACTGGTGTGTGGAGAGAGCGGAGTCTTTCAGTTTTTCAACCCTGACTCAGGCATCTGATATACCTTGTTTGAGATTTTACGATTTAACATAACGTTATTAAAACTTCTTTTCTTTTTAAAGCTGATGAAGTAGAAAATAAAGCGGACAACATGGCCAAAGCTATTGAACAACAAAACAAAAAAGTTGAAGAGGAAAGCGAAGCCATGGAGAAAGCGATTGATAACAAAGGAAAACTTGTTGATGCCAAGGAGGAGGAAGATAAATTTGAAAAAGCCAGTGAAAAGATGGCTGCTGTGGGAGATGCCGCCGAGAAGAAACTAGATCAGAAAGGTATAAAATGCAGGAAAGTGTAATCAATGAACTTACTTGTTTGTGTAGAGAAAGTACTGTACAGCTTGTACAACAGTCAGCTTTTTAGGTGGTGTGCGCCAGACCAGGTATTAGTTTTCCTTCTCTTTTAAATGATTGAACAAATTGGCCATCGAACCTGTTGTTATCGTAGAAGAAAACTGTTTATTATGATATATTTAAAAAGTCTTTGACTCTTCGTTACTACAGCTAATTTAGTTGAAAAAATTGCCGATGACACAAACACAGCAATTGAAAACCAAGGGAGGAAGGTAGAAGAGCTAGCTTCTGGAGCAGACCTCGCTGAAGATCGTGCAAGCAAACTGGTGGAGAAAATTGGTTAGTTGTTTGTTAATGTGTGAGAAGCGAGATGTGACCTTTATGATATAATATCCTTAAAGGCCGCGTGGTTTGGCTATTCTACCATTTTACTCAGTCTTCTGTCTTCCTCTATTTTACTTGGACACGACTTCCTTGACTTCTCAGTAAACGGAAAACGATTTGCAACATGACATTTAACTCACGTGAACATAGACGTAACAACGATTACAATGACAGGCATTTTACTGAAAACAACAATCAATCACACCAAACCATTTGTGACACTTGTAATTATTGAAACAAATCTCCTATTTCGAACAAAAAGAATTATCGGCTCATATTTTAATTTTATGATCCGTCAAATGCCTCATTTGAGGCATTTAGTCTAGGCATGATTATATCTGCATTGCTATTTCGGCCAGCTTACCTACTGCATTTTGAAATGTATTTCTTCTTTGAAATATGTTTTTTTGCGTGAAATTTCGAATATACCAATGAAACTGGCTTCGTATAGTAATACCTTCACCAGGTGGGATTTATGGTAATGAGCTTTGAACTACATTTACTCACGAGTGTCAAAATAATCTTCAACAACAAACACTACAAACCCTAAACCCCATCAACAGCTTTTTTCGGGCTTTCAACCGTGCTACTTACATATCTGTCTCTCTCACCATTTTCATTACCGGCCGTCGGTTGTTTCCTTCATTTTCGTTCATTTAGAGGTTTGTTGGCAGTTTTCTTTTTGCAGACAGCTGCATTCAAATAGCATTTGACGGAAAAATTAAATTACAACGAGTGGAATATATTGCCAGATAGTCGGGGAGTTTTTTTGTAATATCCTGGAGTCTAGCTGGTCTTTCCTAAACTTTATCTTTGGCACAGATACCGACTAGTTTTGAAGGAGTTCGGCACACTCTTGTCAATAAGCCCTTGATATTAATTGGTCAATTCCTTTTTCATTTTTTTTTTGAAAAAATAATCAAATTTGAATCAAGGCACATGCACGTGGCTAACCCGTTTGATTTTACAGTGCACTTCAAATTCATCGCTCACTTTTGATCCATGAATGTGCTTCTCAGAATACATTTTCGCTGCTCCGTTTTTGACGAGAATAAAATGTTGCACTTCGTTTTCCGTCGATGAAAAGAAAATCGTGTTAAGCATGTCAGTTGCATTATTAAGTTTATTTTCGTGTGGACTCACAAAGGCAACGACATCGAAAAGAAGATAAAGAGTCCTAAGGCGTCGGTGAAAGCTGAATCTCGGATGAGTATCTCCTATACCGTTCCGGTGTCTCCTGTGCCGTCTGCTGACCAGATGTCAGGGAGAAACGAATATGATGAACAGATTAGATCAAATAAGGATGCAGAAAGGACCTACCCGTGGCCAGCTCGTCAAGAATTACAAGGATACATCCCGGACTTCCATAATGACGTGGATCAGGAAACTACAAGTGACATGAGTCTGAAGCCGTTCAAAGAAAACAACGCGTTAGTCGACCATGATGCTTTGTCGAACGAGGGTTTCACGGAAACTCCCGGCTTACGTCGGCACATTTCAAAGACGTTTTACGTTCTTCGAAGCCGGCAGCCCCCTGCAGAAAACGCTCTCCTACCTCGTCACAAGCGACTTGGCAGGCATCGCCATCATTTCAAGGAAAATGGCCTGCAAATAGGAAAGATGGGATTGATTCAACCTACTTCTAAGAGTAGTGAAACGGGTCTGCTTGTGTTACCGAGCGGTGGACCCAATAAACTGTCTGAAGACATTAGGATACAATTAGAGGACGACCAGTTATTAAGGAAAGCAGCCAAACAAGCCTTTAACAATGATGAAGGTAATATTTATGTATCGTACCTTAATTCAACTATTCTTGAAAAAAATCGATGGTTAAAGGCAGGTGCAGCTAAAATCAACCGATAAAAATAAAAGAAAGCATCTGAATATTACGTTCATCTCCACCTGTTTCTCAATATTTACATGCACTTTGTCAAAGAAAGAATTTCATCTTTATAGGCAAACGGAAGTGCTCTCAAGTGTTCTTGGCTCTTCATTTTTTTTTCTCAGAAGTTTTCTCAGCCCAAAAAGCGTAGGAACATGAAATGAATGCCCGACAATAAGTTCGAATGACACCCACTCTGGTAATTTCTGGAAATAAGGCGTTTACTTTACTTTTAGACTTGGATGTAACTCAAGAACTAAGGAAGACCGCGGCGGAGAACAATATGGAGAGACAGTGGATGAGAATAAACTCTATAGGTAGTCCTGAAATGTTACTCAACTGGCCGCGCACTAGCAAGAAACTGGGCTCCATTGGTCAGCAGCAGGTCAGCCTTGTGAGTCCGGGTGAAGTTGATCTACTACAAACAGAATACCCAGAATACCCCAGGCCAAAAGCTACGGGATCTGAACTCCCCGGAATTGTAAGGAGCAGGATAAGTGGAAAAAAAAAACCGGAATACGGTGTCAAGAGCATATAGGGTTTGAAATTCTTGGAAAAAATTCGATATGGTGCTAAGGACTGAAACCAGAAAGGAGCTGAGCCGGCATTATGCAGGGTCAGGAGTTTTTCACGGAGGCATTCAGTTAGAATGTCTTTTGTGGACACCTTGGTAGCCAGTTATCGTATAAGACAAGTGTTAGGGAGTGCATACCTCTATCTACTTTACAGCTGGTGCCCGAGTAACGTACTGATTGAAACGCTGTAGGAGTTGTTAAAAATGTCTCTTTTGATATTCATTAAAACTGTAAGCTTTGAAGCGACAAAGTAAATTAATGTTATCGACACAGTGGAATCCTCAAGCAACATTAAAACATTCTGTCATTGCGGGAGTAAAGTCGCCTTTACCAACATTTTTCCTTAACTAGACGAACTGAAGACCGTTCAGTTACGATATAACACTACAACGGTCATAAAACATGGAACGTTAACCCTGTCCATATCGCACCCTCAGGTACCCAATCTTCTAACACTGAATCAATGTGAATTTATTTAACTATCAACTACAACGGACTATTACAACGAAATGACTCAACACGTTATGTCATTACAGTTAAACTCCTACAATCACAACTGTTCGTGTTAATCTTCGGACCTTGATCTGTCTTTCTCTTTAAACATCAAACAATTACCTTGCACCGTGGACAGCTCTTTTAGTAGTGAGGCTTCAGCTAGGTCGAGCGATATTTTTTTTTCAAACGCAAAAAAATTGTAACAGTGAAGAAAGGGAATTTTACTCATGTTGGCGGCTAATTAATATTTTTTGCTATACTGGAAGCTCTTAAACAATCAACAGTAAACAAATTGGCCCCTAAGCTCTTATGACAATATTTTTATAAGAATTAAGCACAGTCGTTAGCAACATTTATCTTAGTTCAATTTTTAAGATTACTTTGGTAAGTTCTCTTACACTTAACCATAAACGTCACTCAGACTCTTTGTCTGTATCATCTAAAGTGATTTCTGTTAACTGTGTCACCTTAAACCTTCTAATATCATTTTTTTCGTGCATGGAAATTTCAACTGCCTTCTGAACAGGGCCCACAAGGCAAGTGACAGAGTCTTTGAAAAGAACAAGTGAAAAGATCGAGCCGAGTAAAGTTGTCGTATTTCCTGATTCAGCAGTCCGGGGAACTGACACCAGAAACATGCAGATAAAAGAATTCCATCCTAAAAATGGCAAAGGTAAATGGTTGGCTGTTCACATTCCGGACCATATCAGCTATCCACGGAAAAATGTGAAAATTATTACCTCCAAAAAAGTCGCCAAGGAATTACAGCATGTTGTAGGACCGAACAAGGATACCCTGGCCAAAGAGATCCAGTCTATTTTAGGCGTTGATGAAGAAACTTTACAGAGAATGATCGCTGAAGGACAAGAGGATGACGAGGACAAGGTTGATGATGATGACGACGATAATGATGACGATGTTGAAGGTGACGATGACGATGATGATGACGACGACATGAATGACGAGGACAATCCAGTAAAAGAAGATTATAATGATGACAAAACATCTGAAATGTGTGATTCGAAAGCCTACCGCAACACAAAAATTTGTCAAATGTTCAAAAAAATTAAGAAAAAGGTCAAAGATGGCTCTGGAGAGGACAATGATAGCCCGAAAATTCACGTTGAACAGCCAGAAGGCTTTGAACTTAGATGGGAAGATATTCTTAACAACTTTAAACATTTTAGTTCAAAAAGAAAAGAACAAGTTTGCAAACTGTTTGGACTACATAACAGACGATGTCACCGAGTGAAAAAGCGAAAGCGTGATTTTAAACGAAAGCTAAAGAAATATCTTCTTCGAATGTTAAGAAAATTCTTAAAAAATAATAGAAGTGATTTCGAAGAATATTTGAGTAAAAAGCTAAAGGATGCGCTTTCTGGAAGGCTTCAGCCATCAGACGATGGTCTTTTGCACATCTATTCAAAGAATTCGGGGAAAATGAACATGGAAGATTTCTTAAAAGATCTGAATGATGGTACACCAACTCGCCCACGTGTGAATTATCAATCCTCGTCCCTATCTTCTCTCGGCCAAGATTCTCTCACTATGGACGACAATACAGTTAACGGTAATGTATTTCGAGTAACGCCACAAATGAATAAACTAGCCGGAGACGAGGGTCAAGACGCTCCTTCTGATGCTGTGTCGGCGCTAAATAATATAATACATCCTTTGCTCAATGATCAAGACAACAAAATAGATGAGAAACTTCAAACGAAGATATTACAAGAGGAGCTGGGTAAGCATTCCATTTCCATCCAGAGAAATTAAAAATTGAAATTGTAGGGAGGTGTGAATAACATTTAAGTGGAATCGAGGATAGTTTTTGGAATCAGTAAATGTCAAAAGCTTTTTTAGATTTTCTTCAATCTCGTATAATTTATCAGCGTGAGGTTTTCATTTTCTAAGAGGTGAAAGTAAGTTTTTACAAACGGTTCATTACCTCCAATACTTTATTCTCTTGAGTAACGCCCTTCACCCCAGTCTGTTCAGTCATAGTCTTCGCTTGTGGAAGTGAACTCGTAATCTGTAAAAATCTTGCCATGATTTGCTTGAAAATTTAAATGATTCAAATCTTATCTTTGGACCTGAGATGATATGAATGCCAACCTTAAGAAGATCAACAGTTATTTTTTTGTTGTATTATCAACCAAGCGTTAAGTTGTGTCAAAGTGCTGCAAAAGTTAGCTGCGAATCCAACGGATGATTCAACGGATATTTCAGGTCATGAGGTTTTGCTGAATTGTTTCTTTTATCAGGTAACGTCAATGCAGAACAAGAAGAACAAGAACGACAGAAAATCAAAGATGCCTCAATGAACGATCACTTGATGTACATGTATCAGTTACAGAATCTGGCCAATCACAGGGCTGGGGTGACGGCGCCGAACGGAGTGATCGGGGGCCAGCCAATCAGCGTGGTGAATCCGCACCAGGTTTCTTTGATGCAGTTGAACCTTCCCGACAAGAACCCGGATATACCTTTGCTAGGTTCCGATTCATCGAAACCTTCTCAGCCGGAAACAAAAACGAAGAAAAAGGCATTTCCTCTCAGAAAACCAGTTTTCGATTTTAGTAAACAAGTTTTTCCTTTTAGTAAACGGGTTTTTCCACTTCGGAGTTCACCTCTCAGACCAAGGTTGGTTGGAACGTTCAGAATAAAGTCTCCAGGCCCCTGGAGACCTGCAACGAGAAGCTTTTGGAAACGAGACTTTATAAAAAAAACATCAAACAATCACTCACCTCAGATGGAGAGAAAGAGGTCAAAGAAAATATCTTAAAGATTGCTAGTTTGACAGTTGTGTGTCTCAGTTACAATGTAAATTTTTGTATGTTTTAATCCCTAATCCTTGTGAGACTGAACATAAAGGTTCATTATCGAAGATAATATGGCGTTAATGTACTTTACTTATTTAGGGAAACGCACCCAACCGTTTTATAGTTACGCACTTAGATGTCGAGGGAGGGTCTCAAACAGTCCTTGATGACAAACTGATGTTACGTGCTTGGGTAGATTAAACCTTTGAGTGCAGCCAAGCGTTTTAGGAAATGACAAAGGACTGTTGTTGAGCTCAGGAATTTTTCCTGAAGATAAACATGATCAAATAAAAAGATTAATGAATGATCAGCATCGAAAAGAGTCAGTAGATGGCAACCTACTCAGCACGTGTAAAACACAGTTGTTAATTTTGTTTCCTATTTTGTTAAGATAAATAAATATTAAAATTTTTCACTAATCTTTGGGACTGTGTATATGCAGAGACTACAAAGCAGGTATATCAAAAATGACAGACATTTATACGGTCTTTCAAGTATTACATACAAGTATTACACCAATACTTCATCGGATAGGGGAAAAAGTCTCGCTTACAAAATATGACTAGTTAACAAAGGTAACAAAATCTACGAAGACAAGAAAACTGAGCTAAGCAATAACAAAAGCCACGAACAAAGTCAATAACGTCTGAACTTGTTTGCAATTAAGAATTATCGTGTTCGTTTTTCTAGGATTACACTTAGTCTCTTCAAAAACACGTTTTTTATTCTTTAATAAACAAAACGAGTTAGACAGTTTCTTGAACTACATGGACGGCATACGTTTTGGTGGAAGATGTGTTGGTGTTGCCAAAAAACAAAGTTAGTAATCCCCAGGCCAAGTAACCAATGTTTTTGAGGCACTACAAATTATCAAAAGATATCATAAGTGGCAATTACAAATTCAAATTTTTTTAAATAAAGTGACCTGTTTTTCTTTTTTAATAAATACTGTGTATGAAGATTTAGATATATGAAAATTCACATATTTGCACTGCGGTGGAAAGATGAAATTAGAAGATCCTTTTTAAGAACACTACTGAAACTAGTAGTTGTAAGTAGGACCTGAAAAAAATTTAGGCCCGTACGGGATTCATGACCTCTGCAATCGCAGATGAAATTTTTTTTCAGGTCCTACTTACAACTACTAGTTTCAGTAGTGTTCTTAGCTGCGAGGATCTTCTAAATACTGTGTAATTCTCTTTGATATTTGGATCATTTTTCTTTCCTTGAAGGAAGAGAATTTAGGCACATAAAAAAATCATGTACTACGGACACACCTGTTACAACATACATAGTAATACCTACTGCTAAATTCTCGTCTATAACGCTTTGGTTTTTTCCAAATTTTTCTGTAAACCGAAAATAAGAATTTGAGGTGGCTTGTTGTAATTGTACTACTTAAATCATGTTAATTTCCTTTATGCTCCTTGTTACTTCTGGACCTTTTTATAGTCTATTGTTATCCTAAATGAAGTTATAATTTTGACCAAAAACGTTTTGAGAAGGCGGGGACAAGCTTGTGAAATGTCAGAGAACAACAGGTCAAACCATAAGACACACCTCCCAAACCTGAAAAATTACCTTATCTGCTTGTTCATTTCACATTACAGCGAGAGGTGACAATTTCACTGCACTTACAATCCTTCCCATGTAAAATGGCACGATTTTTCAAAAACTCTTTGTTTGATATTTCTGTACTGGAGGTAAGTGTTACACTGTCATCGCCATGTTCTTTCCCCTTAAAGCTAGGTGAGCGCCCTTGATCTCTTTTGCCTTTCCATTTGTCCTGAGTCCAGAGACTCAGAGAGCTCAAACCATCGTTAGCACTGATATCCTAAGGTTCGAACAAAGGCACATTTCATTGATCTACAGACAGTTTAAGGGGATCATTTTTTGCCGCTGTTTTTCATATTGTCTGTCATGTTACGTGATGTTAGTTCATTGATTTTTTTTCACTATATTTTATAAACATTAAAATCTAGGAACTACTGGAAAAGCGCCAAGAAAACTAGAAACACGAACACAATTCAGCTTTGCTTATCAATTTACTTTGGCTGAAAATGTTGAATTTTAAAAATTTTACTCAATTGTATTTTTTCAGTGAGTCAAGGGAACTCATTCATGATAACATGGCGACCTCAATTTTACTGGTATCTCTTGCATGTTGCCTCTGTATGGGTGAGTAAAGCTTTGCATTTTTGTTCTTCCCTTTGTAATTAATACTTTATAACCCAGCACATCAGAGCATCACAGCAATATGTATTGAAAGACGATGATGACATAATTAACACTAATTCTGAGATGACAGTACGTATCAAAACTAACACCTAGCGTGTATGTTAACTCAGTATTAATTTCTCTCTTTCTTTAAAAAACTCGCTCAGATGTTTATAGCTCTGTGCTTTTGAATAGACATTACCATTCTACTTAATTTAGTACTTTCGCGACCTGTTCGACGTTTTGAATCGTCCACAGATTTGTCCCTGAATGTAATGTTATGTGATCTTTTTGAGGGACAAGGACAAGTTTGACGCTCTTGTCAATACTTTTTCTTTTACTTTCAGCAGTGACGGGTCAAGACAACGAGCGCAAGAATATAAAAATGCTTTTTGTTCCGGCGGAAGTTATGAAAGAGCTGCACAAGAACCTCGCAACAAAAGACTTGACCCAGGGCTTACCGGGCCAGGGTACTCTGCACTGGACCCCAGTCCGTCTCCCTGGCGACAGGAGTCATACATTCGAAATTCGAATCAATCCCCACACGGTGCACAAGTTGAATATGAACTTTCAGCATTTTAAAATTGGTCGGGGCCACGGTCTTCTTCTTGAGCTAAAAAATGTAACTCTTTCGACGAAAGGAAGGACCGTCTTGGACAGTTTAGTAGAGTTTTATAAAAACTGCGGAGGGGAAAGAAATCATCGGTTGGGGATGCGCGTGATACATCACTCATTACCTATGATACACCGTCACAACCCACATTCGCTCTTACTACCAGGTGACATTCCGTTATTGAAGCGGATTCAAAACGCACTCGAGCGTTTTTTCCCGAGGCGCCACGACGGGTCGGTAGACGTTTTCCAGCACAAGGATTCAAGTGGAGCCGTTCATTTTCTTCCGTTTGAGGAGGTTCGAAGACAGGTCAACAATCTTATAAAGAGGACACTGGTTAAGAGAGATTGTGTTAAAATCAGCACAAACGCTTTGACTCGTGCTCTCAGTCAGTTCAGAAAGAATTATGATAAGAATACAACAACCACACCAAGTTTAAATGAAGAGGATGATTATAGTGATGAAACTGACAGTGTAGACAAACCTGCAAGGAATGACAGTCAAGGTGAAGAGACAGAACAACTCCTTTCTTTTTCGCGTAATCTTAATCCGCGTCCGGTCAACAAAGTCAATCTTACTTCATCTTCCGCTACTAACGTACCAAGCGATGCAGCAGCGACGAAAATAGTTACTGCTTTGGCAGATTTAAGAAAAGAACTCAAAGACTTGTCAAGTGGCCTTATAAAAAATATGAGTCAGTCCATTTCAAACAACTCTAAGGAAACTGACACCATGAGCACCTCAAATATCGGAATAAATACAGATGACAAAACAATTGGTTCTAATGGGAATATGGGTAAAAATATTAGCAGTGATAACAACGAAACTCCAGACGAGAAAAGCAATTCCAACTTTGAAAAATCTGATAAAAGTGAAGTAAAGAACGAACGTAAAAAGATGAGTAGCGACGACGGAGGAGATCAAAACAAAACAATAAACAGAATCAATAACAAAAACGATGACAACAACTATGGCACTAACGACATGACCAACAACAGCAAAAGCATCATAAACAGCAGCAACATAGATGAGAGAGTAATTGCAGTGGCCCTGAAGCTGAAAAATATCGAAGATGATTTGAAAGCCGATATGCAAAAGACTATGCTTAATCCCTCTAAGAGTATTTCGAAAATTTCAGGTGACTCTACGTCTGCTATCAAGGAGATCAATGCGAGACCTGTCAATCAAACTGCCAATCAGTTACAGCGACTCAAGACTGCAACGGAATATAGCATTACTACGAACGTATCTGCTCATTTTAAAGTTTCTGATGAACAAAAAAATGAGAAGAAACAAACTAAGATTCGAAAGGATAACGCAAAATATATAGGAAAACATAAAAATCGTCGCAGGAATAAGAAACAAGTTTCACTTTCGTTTCACTATAAACCAAAATCATTGAGGTTAAAGCTGCGTAATAAAGGTAGAGATTATCTTAAGACTGAAGACAATGAACAGGAAGAGAATATGCACAAGCACAAGGGTAAGGGACGATTTGTGCATTTCATTCACTCACGAAGACCAAAGATCAAAGAATTTATGGTTCCAGATGAGCGCGAATCTGATGAATACAGGCAAAGAAACTTTCACGACTCTCCTGTAGAAGCAGTAAACAATGATGAAGACAACATGAAAGTTGGACTATTAAGGAAGCTACGTTGGCTTCGAATCCACGGACATGCGCCTAAAGTGCGCAGCCGGAAGAGTCCGAAACTTCGTGTGGTTGTATACGACGATGAAGACGAAGAAAAAGAGCCACATCAGGAACGTTGGCATAATAATGAGATCAATGAGTACGAAGAAAAACCTCACGAAGACGATACCGAAACAGAGTCAGAAGCCGGGTCAGAATTTGAATCAGAACACGTGTCTGACTCGTCTCATCGCTCAGCGTCGTTGCTCAAGGATGAAGAAAATACCAAGCCATACAATCAAGGAGAGGCAAGTCATTCTAGATCTGAAAGTGGGTCTGACATGCAGTATCTATCAGATAGCATAGGAGATGACTCCACCCATTTAGAACGGAGCGACAGCGGTGTGGACGTACCTGATTTAGAACCTTACTTGAAAAAACATTATGGTAAGTAGTTACGGGCGAGTTTCATCCATTATCGAACATTACCATTACCCACAACAGCACAGACTGTTTAAATTGAGGACAACATCGAATCCTGATAACTCGTCCAACATAGCGGCTTATCTTATACCGTTGTGTTTTTCAACTTCGTTTGCAAGATTATGAGTTAAGAAAGCTTTGATTGAGCTTTGTCTTTAAGAGAATTATTTAAATGGTTTTATTTTGTATGTAGCGGATGAAGAAGATGAAGAGAATGAAGAAATACAAATGTATAATGAACAAGATGGAATCGATGCACGAAAGTTGGGAGATTCGATGGAAAAACATATTAGTAAGACGCCAAAGGAGGATAATGGGATTCTAGTCGAGGAGACGAACAAGATTGATGAAAATAACGATGAAGTATCTGGTAAAGTACATATTCACAAAATCCCTTTTAAGATCCAAGAAGACTCAGAGGGAGTGGACACTAGTCCCTTCAAAGAGCCCCAACACGATGCACTTGGACTGCAGCGAGTATTGAGGCCCGGACCCGATTTCACATCCATGGCATCACAGCCGCTCCCTTTTGCCTCCAATCCGTCTATGACTACATTAAATCAGAACGCCTTGGATATGTCCCCAAATATGGTCCTACCACCCGAACAGTCGATGATGATACCTGCAGAACTTCCCGAAGCGAACGGGGCAACCACGCCTGTGGAGAGGCCTAGCCCTGCTGCACTCACAGGGCTCAGTTTTCAACCCAGTGTAACGACCCAATTTAACAGTATGATGCCGCAAACACCGTTTCCACAGGTCAGTAGCATTATGCCAATGCAGTCAGCCGCGTCTGAAGAATCTCAAGTGGCTCCAGTGACACCCATCATGCAACCGGGGCAGATAAGAACAGTTATATCACGTGTTAAAAATCGGAATGAATCAGAGTTACACTCGAGACATGCTAGCAAGACCTCGGGTGTAGGTAAAAAACACATAAAATTTAGGAGAAAAGATGCAGTTAATGTGGACGCTGGAAATATGAAAGCACTAAGGCAGAAATAGTATAATTCAAGGTCAGAGTGCAGACGTTTTATTAGTGGATAAATGCCAGTAGTGATTTTTAACATAAGAGAGAATGCATACCAAACTATTTCAGTACAGAGCAAATCTTTGATCTGAGATATTTTGCTCTTTCCACATTTTCTAAAAGTTCTCAGTGTAACCGCCTGTGTCAGATGTACCGTGGTGTTTCAAGGTTAGAACTTCTATAATGTTAATGATATAATGCTAAGTTACCTTTGACATTTTGAAAACTTGAGGTAAGCATAGGGGCGTTATTCTTACGACTATGATTGGTTACAAATGTTATCATGCATGCAGTATAAGAGCACGGGTTAAAGGTTTTAGGTTGATTTCTAATCGCCATATTTCCTTGAATTACGTTTGTCGGATCAGTAGAATACAATGTGTTTTGATTAAGTTTTAGTTTGATATTACTATCCTAACTTGCCATAACCCATATCAGTAAGCAGCATGGACGACTTTGAAGTACAGATAGGCATGAGATTTTTAATGTTGTCCAGACTTCGTTGCACCAAAATCTTACTCAGAGCATGCACACACTTGAATGTATATCTCTCGAAATAAAATTATAAAACCTCGGATGAGCTTCAGAATGAAAATTTTCAATGGTCCTGATTGGATTGCTCAGTCTTGGTTTTTAACTCATACACCCTAGTTCAGTCTTATACGGAGAGTACTTGTTTCCGGTATCGCGTAGCTTTTCATTGTGGTTTGTGAACGTTATACTTGCCTTCCGATAGCAGTGTTATGTGATCACTTGCCGTGTTGGCGGGCAGAAGTTAGTTAAGATCCGTTTTATCAAAGGTTACAGTATTAGTCCTCTTCTTAAACAGAATGTCAGGTTATCTCTATAGCCTCGGATGTCAGAAAACATAGAATGCTCTCAATATAATTTGTGATCAGTTATCGATAACATGTTACCTACTTAAACCAGGAAATTTTAAAGCGTGAAACGAACTGAAATCAGTCAGTATAATTGATGTAAGCCTTGAAACAAATATCTTTACTTCTTGAATAAACAATGAGAGGCTTCTTTTGATGGGTGTGCAAGTCAACTTCAAATTCACTCTTACTCCTTCTAAAAGAGCGATTTCGTGGTTCATATATTCGGTTAGTTCCAAGGAAAAGTACACTGCCTGATTGATGGTCTTCTGTGCGATTTTTCTATGTTGTGGTGCTGGTTAAATAATTCTTTCCACCCCTCCCACGCGGCCACGCCTCTTAAGCTAGCGTCAGCGTGATTGCAAAGTTGGCCTACGATCATATTATCAACGGAATTAAATCAAATTTCTACAGCTCCACCTGTTTCGTAACCTGAGTTTTATGTGTTCAGTTTAGTCGAAGGGACTTGATAGTAGCGCCGACAAGAAGGAGAGATAATGATGATGAAGATAGTAAGGATAAGATGGAGGCTTTGGACAAGTCACTGAAAGCATTAAAATTGCGCCCCTTTTGCCAAGTGATTGCCTTAAGGGGTGCGTGCTAAGTTGAACTCTTTTACCTCATGTCAGGAGTTCATTGTTCTGCCTGCCGTAGTTTATTGGAGGCTCTTGGTTTGTAAGGCAAATGGGAAAAAGTGAAAGGCAGCCGTTTCCTTGACAACCAAAAGTACCGATTGTCGCACGCTTTCACTGAGTGAGAGTCAGTAACAGGATATGCCTGAGGGTGTCTATCAAATGAAACCACTATCTGTGTGTGGCCATCCAATAACTTTAATTAATTTTAATCAATTGGATTGTTAAAACAATTGTTCACCTGAGTAAAGGTGAATAGTATCTGCTATTCACTTCAGAACTAGCCAATCAACGCGTGCGAAAAGTATTATTCACTTGTGTGATCGATGCTAATACGCTCTATGACTTTCTCTTTGATTGAATACACTTTGCCACTTCCTGTACCACACCTTGTACCATGTCTTTGAATGAGTGTTTGCGAGTCCTTTGGAGGTTGGAATGATTTGGTCTCGTTATGAAATAGTAACAGGAGGCCATTAATGGGCTCCCGATAGTGTCCAAATTTTATGATGTAGGAACTTTAAGCGCAATGATTATGCCTAAATACTACAGCCCGTTTAAGAGCTTTCTTATCCAGGTATTATTGTGTTATCACGCAATGCCGATTAAGCTAAATTGCGTGACTATTTCTAATCCACCACGTAACTGAAGAGCTTTACGTATGAGATATGCATCCGAGAGGTGTCAGATTTAACAGGTAATAACACTTTGTACATCACACAGCCAAAGTCTTTGGAAATGGAAGATGATTTGGATCAAATGGATCAAAGATGCATATCGAAACGAGTACATCACACGAGCGCTGTATTACCAGGGCAAATATTTCATGATTTGAAAAAATGTCTTCATATTTACTTTTAAATTTAGAATAAGCCAATCACCTTTCACTAGTAATCCCTAGAGGTGTTTACGTCCAAACTTTGACGAACCCCCGCCCCGCAGATATTTTTTCTGATTACAGTGAAGGACCTCTAAATCCTTTCCAGATGGCGGTTTTGTGCTTAGCCTGTTTGAGATATATGCCTGTGATTTCGCTGTCAATTAACTCGTGATGCTCATTAATAATATTGCTTGAAAAGCTGCAATCACATTTGAGGCGGCTTGGTGCAGATGTGAATTTTAATTGAGGTTGACAGGGGTAGAGTGAGGTAATAGAAAAATTCCACGTTAATTATTCGGAATGCGAAGAATAATTGAACTCCTAAATAACTCTTCACTATTGTTATTAACAAAGTTAATTATAGCGCTTTCAGGCTCTTGATGTCGCTCCTTTCAATAGGGAAGACGACAAAGACTTGGACAAGACAGTCATTGATCTCAAATTCCGAAACTCTTTTGTTACTGGCTAGTCGAGCTTGAAGAAAATTTCGACCCGCGTCAAGAGCGGGCTTTACAATCAGAGACAAATTAGACACAGGTTAGGAGGTGACTGTTGTGGTCACGCAGTGTTGGAATAAGCGACAGTTTACGCACTTTGACTGTGTCTACCAATCGTGAAAAGTTATGAAAAACATTCAACTGACATTTGGTTGACCCTCGAGGCAATTTGATCTTTGCTTTCTCGCTACGTTTGGAGTATAAACAAAGGAAAAATGGCTTCTCAGAAAGCCATGGAGGAATTGGCTCGACAGTCAGGTTTTGAGGATTTGTCATTCGCTACAAGGACATATCGTCCGGAATACGCTTCGTCTCCAGACCTACGAAGATCGTACAGACGTGAGTATCTAAAGGAATCGATTTAACGTCCAATAACATGAACTTCAAGTGAACATTTCTGCAATAACTTTGGTTTGACATATATCCTTTTGTAGCTCAACGCGTGATCCGAACTTCTGAAATAGAATCTACGTTACGTGCCAAACTTGCTTTCACCGCAGGTAAAACAACTTTTTAATATATCCTTAAGTGGAAGAATGTTAAGTTTCTTCTAGAATACGAATTTTGAGGAGTACAAATATTTGATTTGAGAACTCGATGGAGGCATCTGTAAGCATTCCTTGACATTACCTTTACCACTCTGTAAAACTCATCGCAGTTCTCTAACTTAGAACTATCGATGCTTGCCGTATGTTTGTCCTGGGAAATTCAGTCTTTTGTTACTTTGTCTTTCATAGTAGCTGTTTATATTTTATATCGATTGATTAGCCGGAGCTAATTTGTATGTGTTGCTTAAATCTTACCAGGGGGGCGCGATCGGGAAGGCCGAAATATTTTGACTATACCAGCCGGAAAAACTGAAAATTTGAGCGTAGATCAGCTTGGAGATACTCTCTCCTACTTAACTCAATCACCAAGGTATGTTGAATTATTTAAACTTTCAATGTTGTTGATGGATTCTTTTACAAAGTTATTATGTTAAATTTGGTGTCTCGTAGCGCACATGTGTGACAGATGCACTTTTTGTGGATAGTTCCGTAAACAAAACCACAGAAGTGAACTGACAAGCAGTTACGAACCCCTTTTACTTTCAGCAATACTTGGAAAACAAGCAAACCTAATTTGCACATTGAAATTAGATTCCAATGGTTGGAATTTGGAAAAAAATAATTAATTATGTGAAAAAACTCTTTGCGGTAATTAAACTGGTTTCAATGGATTTAAAATTTGAGTCATAAATCTTTTTAAATGACAGATCTCTGAAGTGATTTTTATTTCTTATCAAACTTGGTAATTTTTAAGGAAAATTTAAAATTCTCTTTGGAAAAGTAGTTTTATTTTGTTTGCTGGAATTTAATTATAGATTTTGAAGAATTCTTGACTTTTATATCAATGAAATGATCCCTGCAGATAGCATCGCTATTTATTATGTACACAATACAATTATTCACTTAGAACTGCAAGTTTCATCAATATATATTATAATTGATTAATGACAAACTAACCAGATTTCACAATGTTTTTGGGGGGTTTCAGATGTTCAATTATTTGATAAGGTTATGATAGTAGACAACAACACCAGTTGCAATTTGTTTTATTTGAATTTTTTGCTACTGGTAATTACTATTATCCTGAGAAGTGTTCCCACTGGCTGGTGTGGTGACCTAAGGATACCAACTTTTGAAACAAGAATTTAGCCTGGTTGCTCATGCATTTGAGAATTGGAGAGAATTATTTTAAAACCAGTGACACAATAAATCCTGGCTAATAACAAATTTTCCTTTTAAGGAATGGAAAACAAGGACAGATGTACATGGTTATAATTGACCTTAGGGGCTCATCTTGGAAATCTGCCAAACCTCTTCTAAGAACTCTTCAGGTTAGTAATGATCATTAGTTAGCTCAGTGTAAAATGTGCTTAGAACTCTTCGGCTCAGTAATGATCATTTATTAACTCAGTGTACTTTACAGTGTGCGTAGAACCCTTCACATTAGTAATGATCATTTATTAGCTCAGTGTAAAGTGTGATTAGAACTCTTTAGGTCAGTAGTTATCATGTATTAGCTCAGTTTCCTGTACTTTGCTGCTGTACATGTATGTGGAGCTGCAACAGGATGAGCAGGGAATTGATTTTCTAGTTTTGGGATATAGTAAATTATTGTTTTTTTATTTTTAAATTTTGAAACAAAAATTGAAAATTAAAAGTGTGATTGGTAGTTTACTTCCTTTTTCACTGGTGGCAACAGGGGATAAATGAGAGTAAATATCAAGAGGAATGGAGAAATCAGAACTTGAACTTAACTTATTTTAAAAGTTTTCTGGTTCATCTTAACAGTATGCTCTATGTAACAAGACTGATCATGTCTCAAACAGTAATTATCATGTCAGTGAAGGTTCTTTCCTAATTGTTTTCTAGGAAACAGTTCCAGACAAGGTACATGAAGTCTATATTATTAAGCCAGATGCTTTCTGGGAAAAACGGCGCTCAGGAACTGGTCTTAGAAAGGAACAATCTAGTGTTGCATTTGAGGTAATTGGCCTGAACCTTTTTTTATGTATCAAGGAAACCTTCCCTTGGATTTCCTGTATTTTGCAATTCTGTCAACTGCGATAGTATGTTCAGTGGGAGTTTGTGTTACCTTATCCAGTCAAGTTTAAATTTGTATTTCAAGCTTAGCTGTTTCAGATTACTGTCAAGGAATACAACCTACTTTGTTGTAAAAATTTTTAAGGCCTCACTCAAAACAGTCTCGCATGCTACTGGAGGACAGTGTACATGGCTCACTCTATCAACTTTGTTTTACAGACGACATTGTTGTCATCATCAAGTAAACTTCATCAGTTTGCTGAGGGAAGTCAAATTACTCAAGAGCTGGGTGGTACTTTATCATATAACCATAACAGATGGATTGATACTAGATTGGTAAGTCTGATAACAAATTATGTAACATTAAATAACAAGTATTATGTTTTTATTACAACAGACAGATTGATAAGAAATTTGTAGGCAAACACCTCTCAAACCTGTTTTTAGAATTGGATGTTGTTTAATTTCAGGAAATTGAGCAAATTTCAGATGAGTCAGTCTCTTTGAATGAAAAATTTGATGAATTGGAACAAGACCTAGACACCCATCAGCTAGGTAACGACATAGCAGAAACAGATGGCCTGATTCGTCAACATGAAACCAAAAGGGCATTGTTAGATAATGTTGCTTATCCACTGATCCAAAGAGGAGAACATCTTATCAGCTCAATTAAAGCTAATGAACCTCCTATACCACCAAGCCAAAATTTCACTGGTAGTCCTGCTTCTTTACCAAGCCAAGAGCGTCAACAGGTGGAAGGTAATGTGACTCAACTAAAGCTGAGATGCAGCCAGTTGATGGACATGTGGGAAAAGAGATGGAAAGAGTTGATACAGTGTATGGATCTACTGGAGTTTGATGCAGGATATCAAAAGGTACACTGATGGCAGTTTTGGCATTATTTAAGTGAAAGAAAGGCCATGACCTATACCTCAGGAAGCTCAACTAGGGCTAATGTGTTGGGCATCACACAAAGGAATACCACTATTTTGGAAACTGAAGGTTCTCAGCTTAGACAGGTCTATTTTAACTGATCACATATATTGGCATTTCACTGGCCATTGATTAGTGTACAAAACTTATTTGTTATGTATCTCTGTCTTCTGCTTGTTAGAACCAATTTTCACTTGCTCCCTGCATCAAAATACTTTAAATTTCTGTTGTATTTGTATGAATGATGTATACACTAAAAATTTAATTTTGTGCTGTTTTCTCTCTTAGTAAACTTGGGGCTTTTTTTTACCTTGCGGATATGCAAAGCATAGAAACCATTTTTATGGGGACTCCAAAATGCAAACGAGTCACTCTCTCATTCACTAAGGTGTAGACACTGTTGACTGACACTGTGCTAATTTCTTGTCCTGAACTTGCCTGAGTGTATGACATCACAATGGAATTATCTTACATATGGGCTTCACTTTTATAGCAGACAAAAATAATTATCTGCTTTTCTGAGTACTTGTGGAAATCACTGCCACATATCTTTAATTTCAATCGGTGAAAAAATCTTGCAGGCACATAAAATGCATTCTGAGGTATATAGTTTCCAAGGCAAAGAGATTAATAGGTTACAATGCAACTATGAGAGACTGTGAGGCAAAACATGACGTAGGAATGGAAATTAAGGTCTTTTGGCTTGTGCAGGCAAGAAAGATTTGGATTGCAGCATCTAAATTTGATCTGTTTTTGCAAACGCATTCAATAAACACAGGATATTATTTTGTAGACCGCCTGAGGTATGCATTTATTATTCTGCAGAGTTAGATGGTCACCATCATTCTGGATATCTTGTGACTTTCTGTAAGCAAAGTCAGAAAGTGATACAGAAAAAAGTTCGAGACTCTTTTGGAGTACAAGTAGCAAGTTTTGCTGCAAGACTGCTAATTGCAAGTTTGCAGATGTGTTCCATTTCTAGATTACTTTATCCACAAGTTGGCCATAGGTATTCTTTGATTGTAATTCTTTGTCAAACTGATTTTTGCTTTGATATGTTCATTCAGGTGACAAACTGGGTCCTCGGGCCGGGAGAGTCATATTTAGCCAATTCCAATGATATTGGAGACTCTGTTATCTCTTGCGAGATCCTTAGGAAAGAGCATGAGGAATTTGAGTTGTCTGCTAGGGTAAGAGAGATAATTTTAATGTAACTTTCATCAATTTATCTTTAATCAAACCAAACCCACTTCAACCTAGCAATAAAATAGATATTTCCATTAGTATCACATTATATTTCCCCTACTTTTTCCTTCCATCTCTAAATTTAATGAGTTGGTAATTAGCATGGATAAGAAGAGGCTGACTAATTATATAATAGATGTTTTTATTTTCTTAATAAGTATTAATCATTGATGTATTTATTTGGGTGGCTGACCCTCTCTCATAAGAACTGTGGATGCTGGAAAGGCGCCTGTCTTACTTGCTTGAGGGAGTGGGTCGTTAGTGGAAATCTCAAACCTCGGTCTTGACGTGTTGATCGAGCGATATCGAGGTCAATACAGCAAGGCTAAGATTTGAGAATTTCCCGCAATGACTAAGTCATTTACTGGAAATTATTATCCTTCAGTTTTTGATGCTCAAGGTTACCAGCAGAGAGCAAAAAACTCTCACCTTCCCATATTTACGGGCTAAAAATTACTTTCTTACCATGTCACGGACGGTTTTTCTCGACAAATCCTCGCGATCTTTTTCTTCGCAGATAAGAGCTTGTTTGTCTTCTTAATCTTTATTGATTCCTCCGCTCCGCTTTTTTTGGTACAATCACATAATTAGTTTAAAACTTCTCTGTTCTCTGGAAACTTAATCTAAAACTTTAATGGAACTCATACCCTTGTAGTGTCAGTCAGCCTTGATCGTTTTTATCTGCACGTATTTTCGGATAAAGGAAAAAAAAGGGTGCGGTTCTTGAATGACCTCAGTTATTCTTTATCGGCCGGTGGGTAGTCCGAGCTCTCAACCAATCAGAGGACGCGTCATTAAGTCGAAGCCCATATCATATACAGTCGGCTTCGTTATTGCGGACACCCTCGGGAGGGGGGGGGAAGCGAGAGTCCGTACTAACGGGTACGAAAGAAAAAAAAAATTATCTTTAAATATATGAAATAATATGTAACTACGTAAACGTTAAGTTCCGAACGTGGCATCATGAACCAGGAAAAGATCCGGCCGCAAGCAGGAAATTCTCATGTTCGTGCCCAATTGAAAAATGGTTTCTTTATTTTCCTTTACCGTAATGTCGCTCTATATTACGCGAGTCAGGATTTTGGACAAAGTACTTAAATGTCCACTATAACGAGAGAAAACACAAGTGAATGTCGTGCTGGGGTGGGGGGGGGGGGGCATGAAAGTGTCCGCATTACCGTAATAATGGCAGTTTGTTTCAGTCGTTAATTTATGCGTTTTGCCGGGGGTCTGACTTTTGTCCGCAATGCGGGGTGTCTGTAATAGCGAGGTGTCTGCAGGAGCCAACTTTAGTAATCATAAATAATCATCAACTCTGTGGAATATTCTCTCTCATAGGAAGTGATAAACCACTTTGCTCAGGTGCGTGAACTTGCCAAGAAAATGCTCCAGGAAAATCACTATGCCTCCAGAGATATTAAAAGTCGCAAGGAATTCCTGGACAGAGGTTGTCGAAACTTTGCCCTGCGGATGAACAGGAGAAGAGACATCATACTGACATCGCTTAAATTTCACAAGAGTGCAGGGGAGGTAAAGGGAGAGTTAAAAGCTCATATTTGTTTTAATGGCAGATGATTTTCAAATCACCAATCATTGGAGTCTGGAGCTGCAATTCCTTTATATGATGTGATGAACTTTTTCCTTGCTAGTCAGTGACCTTTCTTCTTCGCTCAAAAAGTCAGCTTTGAAACTCTTAATAGTGGCTAATTTACGTTATCAACTCAGTTGATAAAACCAAATTACCTTGCTATAATCTCCCAACCAAACACCACAGTTCATTTATAAACTTAACCCCCTCTTTAATTTTTGAAACCTGCTTGTTAGTCACCATCACAAAATGGAATAATAAACTTTCTGAATTTGCAACCAAGAAATTATTAATTTGTCATCTGTCCAGTTGATTGGCACATGTCTGTTTAGAACGCTCCACCTCCTAGTCTGACTTAATTTTGATTGGCCAGGTTCAGGGAAAAAAAAACCAACAGGGGAACTGAGTGAGAAACTGGTCCAATTTAATCTTACGCTTCTTTAGAAGCCCAGCTGAGGTCATTTTCTGATCTTTATTTCAGTGCTCAGTTAATTTGGATGACTTATTTGAACTGCTGTGTTCTGATTCTGTTCTCATGTACGACTATGAGACTGCAGAGAGCATGCTCAGAACATTGGAAGAGAAGGCTGAGGGTGAGTGAAGTGTTTATGTCATTATAAATATTTCCCTAACGGGAATCTTTCCTTAGGCCTTGTATTCCGTTGTATCACATGGTGTAATATTTTCTTTTACACTCAGCGGTTGCCATTTCGTCTGAAGACACCTTGCGAGATGCATTGGCCGTGCAGGAACTGATGACAAGTCCAATGTCCAATATGCGGGGTGATGACGTCACTCAGGATTATGGGAAGGGTATTGCGCATGTGCGGCTTACTTTAGACGAACTAAGAGAGCGGAAACTACGCACGGATGAGTTGTGTGATGTGCGCAGAATCAAACTGCAGCAACTGTTGCAGCTCAAACAGAGCGAACGAGACGCTGAGCAGGTAAAGCAAAAGTCGACGAATGATACAGAAATAGCTTAGAAAATGTACGAATTGATTTTTATCGTCCCTATGGGCCTTACTATCCACTATCACAAATAAAGAAAGCGCGTCTTTCAAAGCGCTGTTCTGATGAAGAGTAAAAATTTATGAAAGTCAGAGTGAAAGTATTGTTCATCAAATCACACGGCATACGGATATTTGAAATGGAAAAGAAACGTTTCTTACTAGTAAAGATAATCTGTTCTTTATCCACTTCCGAAGTTCAGATTTTTCCTGTCAAAGCGAGAAGTAACGGAAGGTTTCAAAGACATTGAGAAAAAGGAATAAATGCTTTTTTACTGAGGAGATTTCTTACATTTTTCATAATCAGGGATAATAGGACTACGTTTTCCTTCGGGGGTGGGGTTCGTTATCTGATAAGCATGAAGAACAACTTATGTCTGAATTTGAATTAATCAGGCGACTGTGTGGATAAGTCAACTGCGTGATGCTACAGAACATAACTTGGGAGATGTGGGAAGAAACTCAGAGGATATCGAGGCTTTGCAACAGGAACACGAGAAACTTGAGACTACAGCTAAAGTAAGATGCCGCTTGAGATGAGTATCGTTGTAGTCCTTGAACGAGACAGATATGAACGTACATCTCAAATAGGTTCTGCGGGTGGAAGCTTAAAGCATTATTAAAACTTATTTGGGATTGACGTGTTTATGAAACATGGATTTTGTCAGACGATGACACAGTAAGTCACGTAAGTCAGTAAGTCACGTCTTCGTGAATGATAGTTGCGGTGAGCAGTCACTATCAAGATGTGAAGGGAACATCTTAAAGATTCTGAACAACAATTTCATCCGAACGAGAATATTAAGTGGATGATTTTGATCTTTTGCAGAGTACTTATGATTATGGTCGACAATTTCTCCAGGCCTCATTAGTTCTTCGCCGCACTTGTCGCTATGAATTGACTCCAAACTACCAAATGGAGGAAAGGTTAAACAGCGCTTGGAGTGAATTTTCATCGGCCATGGCTGAGCGAGGAGCAAGACTGTCTGTGGCGCTCATGTTTCATCGGAGCGCGGAGAAGGTAAAATAGCAGCAACTGACCATAGTCTTTAAGGAAGTAGTGCAAGTTTAATGCCGGGTTTAATTGCTGAATAGCAAATACATTCGACTTCTGTTGAAGCTTTAAGACCTAGCTGTTGTACCCGTTTCTCTCGACGTAAGGTACTGGCTGATAAGAATTGTAAGGAGTTACCGACACGTTAGCCAACTTTACAGTGAGAGGCCGAGGTTATATCTACTTTATAATCATACACAGAATACCCTTTGGCCTCTACTTTGACAAACTTCAGAAACAATTTTTTACCTCACGTAGCTTGTCCAAGAAATTGAGGAGCACAGAGAGAGATACATGCGAGAGGACCTCCTAGAAGACCTCACAGCTGAATTAATCGAGGAAGAAATTCGCCGACACTCTGGCACAAGACAGGCTATCGACAAAGAATACGCTGATACGGTTGCCATGGGGCAAGCCTTGGTTGACAGAATGCAGTTACCTCCCCTGTTTGGGGAGAACGGTGCACCAAATCGGCCTCCTCATCTCATCGAGGAATCTCTGGCCGACTTAGAGGAGAGAAAAATGGCCTGGGAAAGAGTTTGGCTAGACAGGGACGAGCGCCTACGGCATTGGTTGAAACTCGGAGACTATGAGCAACAGATGCGAGAGGTGAACCATGTGTGAATATAATAGTCTTAAACAGAAGGTTTGATCTGCAGTTCTAATTACTCTACTCCTTGTAATCTTAGTGATGCACTTTTAACAACTTGGTGACGCAGTAGCACTTTGAAAAGAACGTCTGTGTGGTTAGTCGTTTGCGACCAAAGTATAGCCTATGGGGTTAACTTCTCGCCTATTGTTTATCAGTTTTTGAAGGTAATGAAATCTCTCTTCTTTGTTACTTTAAAGCTTCTTCATTGGGTTAAAGATAGAACTAGCGAAACAGAAGAGAAAAAACACGTGATTGGTGAAAACCTGACAGAGGCTGAAGCGCTTAGTGCAGACCTACAGGAACTGGAAGCAAGACTCAAGGTTTGTATCACATGATGCGTTTGTGTAGTGCGGATTGGTCGACATAATATATTCATGCTGTTTCATAGCGTTATGAAGGGAAGCAGCTTTTTTATTAAGGGAGAACAATTGTATGAAAGATGTGATTTAGAACATATCTGCCTTTGAATTTTCCGTTGTCTCGAAACGTCACAAAACATGCGAGATTCGAAAAACATTTAAGGTTAACCTCTTTAGAAAACACGTACTGAAGTCGAGACTGAATGGCTCTTGGAGGATTATGTATCCGTGATGAAGTGTATGTCTATTCCAGTTAAAGAAACGTAAATAAAGAATCGATGTGTGGTTTTGTGTTATGGCCTAACGCGAAACAAAGCCCATTGGTCGTAACTTTTATCCGGACAACCGAATGCCAGTGGACTTTTTTTTTTTGCTACGAATAAAGAAGGAATTAGTTCGGGGAAATAGGCGTGGGAGAGTTCATTAGGTATCAGGTTCATGTTTGGTTCTGTGATTGTCTTTTAATGGCTAGATGCATGGCAGCTCGAAAATCTTCACAGAATTTCCGTTGAAAGGTTCTTTCAAACTCGTTGAGATTATGAGCAGTTTGTTCAGAAGTGCAAAGCTATTCCAAAACTTATGTTTGTTTTCTATTTAAGGATACATCTGAACTTAGGCTTATTTAAAAAAAAAAAAACAACAAAGCTGGGCTAAGAAGTGCTCTTGTTTGTCCAGAGCCTGCCCCGCGTTTTTTTTTTAACTTATCTGCGGAGCCACATTTGCATCTATCAAGGCTATTAGTTTTCAGCACCTGTGTAAAATGAGGACATGATGACTAAGAGCATTGCTTCCGACAAAGGTGACATTTCAACATAGACTTAAAAAATATGACTAGTATCGATAAGATTTTCGGAGTAACTTAGAGGGGAATGGTTTCACCACCGGCGGCAACGCTTCTGGTTTTTCGTGGGCTCGTCACTATAAACTTTCTTGTGTACACCAGAATACTGGGAGTAACCCCCATATTTGAAAATTTCCATACATACCATACACTTCCAAGTGCACGGTCGAAGTTGCAAGGGAATGAGAAGAATGAACTTGATATAAACAGTTTGTAAAGATGACGAATTTTAGAGCACAGATCCTTTGAATGTGAGAGCCGGAAGGTCATCCAAATTTCCGAGAAGTTAATGCTGTCTTTCCAGGAAAAACCTTCATCCCGCATAATAAGTTGTCAGAATTTGAAACGCTACATTTTATGGAATTTGTATAGACTCGAACCGTTTTGTAATAAAAATTATCTTAAGTTATTAAGGGAGAATATTCACCATGTGATAAATTGTCTCCGTCACGCCATGATATCAAAGTGCGCCAGCTGCGTTTTCTTTCTTTCAGTGCAAATAGAAAAGTATATTAATTGACCTTTGTAAACACGAAGTTTACATACAGTTATACTCGACGACGTGACATAGCTTGGACTACAAATCGTCTTTGCTCGTTGCTCGCTTTTCTGTTATGTTTTTATTTACCAGACATGTAATGTGACGCCTTTCGTTTTGACCGCAGTCAAGCGAGTTCTGATCAAATGCGCGTAAACATTAGCCTCAAGTATGAAAAGTATTTGTTCACTGGGGCGTGGAGAGCGCGATGGAATGTGGCTGGTTTTAAGTGGGTTGGCATGTTTCGGCATTTTAAGTTTGCATAAGTAATCAGCCTTAACTGTCGACCTGAGCTTTTGGCTGAATATTGCTGCATCAATTTAACTCACCATTGTTGGATTCTGAGTATCGAAATCCTGAGAGGAGGTAAGTTAATGAAAGCACTTTTAATAGTTATTTTCGTGGAAGCCATTCTCATCCTGGATAATGCCAAGGGAGAAGCCATTTTAGTGTCACGATTGCTCGTCCTGACTCACCTAAAGTGAAAAGTAACACATCCTTAAAGCTTCTGTTCATTCGATCAGGTGTTCTATCACACTTAGTTTGGCGTTCGATCATTATTTTCTTTCCTTTTCGTGCTTTAAAGAGCTGGGAGCCTTAATAACTATCATGCGTTTGAAAGATGGTGCGAATCCATGCTGGCAAAAGAGCAGTGAATCATTGTTATCGTGTATAAATACTAATTGTCAATTTGTATACAACCACAGAAACATTCAGGTCGATCACAATATCACAGAGTCCTGAGTTTATGTACTTGCCTGGCTTGGAAGATTCTTGTTTAGCGAGAACATTACTAAGATTTTTGGTTTGATCGAGGCTATGTCTGTGCAGGAATTACAGGTCACTGTTTACAAAATACACGGATTCTAAGAAGAAAAAGTATTTAAGGATTTCAGTCACAGACGCTAAACACGAAGGGCAGATTTCATCTTAAACTAAGTGAATTGTATATCTGGCTGTAGATCGATATGACGATAATCGATGAAATGGACGTTTCGTGTTAATTATAACGCCAGAGGCAATGACGATAATGTAATTTCCTATGAACATGGTTGCGGGATGTGAAACCTTTCTAATTAACTCTTGAGATCGATCGAGCAAAACGAAAGGATTGTTTGTTAGATGTTAATGAACTCAAGGAGATGGAATTTAAGAGGCGAATCCATGTTAACTAATCACGATTTGGCGTTGAAGACTTGTTTTTTTCTTTGCGATAAAAAAATCATATACGGGAAACATTCCTGAACAATTCAATTTCTTCATGATGCATGACATGACCGTCTGTTTGGTTCTTTTAAATTGTTTTGATGAGATTAACCAAACCTCTTATGTCCTTACGTCAGTGTTTGTGCGAAAGTATCCCTCAGCTGCATGTGCTAGATAGCTGAATTTTTGCTTCAAAGGATTTGAAGACTTTAGTTTGTGTGGCCCTCAATCCGTGTATAAATTTTGTATCGGATGTTTTGTATTTAGTGAAAGGGGCATACTGATTATAACCAAAACATTCTTACCATATGCCTGAAATCTCTTCAAGAAATTTAGGGAACAATTCTGTTGTGGTAAACAAGGTCAAAAGGTTAAATAAAATATCACTGATTGTCTACAATACCCAATAAGCTTGAATTTGTATGAGGTATTTGTAACTGAAGAGGCTCTGGAGAGATTATGTTAAGGACTTTTACAATTAACCCCAAGATATGTTATGAATATTAAGTTACTTTGTCTTACCACGTGAAATACACCCTGCCCATTTTAGGTTATTTGCAGCTTAGATGAAGGGCACTGTATCAATTTATTGGAAACTTCCATAAATAAATCAGTTATGAAAGCATATCCAGTTCAGATCACATCACTGTCTAAGTAGCACTTGAAATACTTTTCTTTTTATTACCTTCAGATGTTTTTTGTTGGCCTCAATCACTGTATTGGTTACCTATTTTATCATCAATTTTTATGTATACCTCTTTTATACCATTAGTTTAGATATTAATTATGATTTGTGTATGGTATTTTCCTAAAATGTTTATTTTCAGGAGAAAGAGAGAGAAGTTTCTGAGCTCATTCAGATCATCAAGTCACTACATGTAGCCTCAGCAGAAGATCAAGCTTCCAGACCCTATGGAAGGATGGCAGATTCTTTAGAAGAGGCCTGGAATGACCTCAATGTTCAATTAGAGGGAAGGAGAATACTTCTTGACACATCAGTGGCTTTTCATCACAGTGTAGAGAAGGTATGGTGTAAATAGATGTGGATGACCTCCAACACAGCTGTATTGAGTTTGGGTGTGTGAATTAACTTGTCATGATTCTGAAACCTTCATTGATACTTGTCATATGTTACTCTTATTGTGTTAATATTTCCACAGGAGTTGAAGTTTTTTATTTTTTTTCATAAATATTTGGTTTATGATCTTACAACACTGAACTCCATGTTGTTGCAATTTAGTAATACTGCTCTGCAAAGAGATACTCCTTTCACATTAACTGAAAAAGCCTTCAGTTCATATCACATTTGACTTTTTCCATCAACAAAGCAATAGGAAAAATTGTTATATTTTGGATTCCTCTATATCAGTAGGTAAAAAGCCTTAGAAAGGCCATCATTTTAGTTTTAACTCCCTCTTTTCACCCCTGACTTATATTCTGTATTTTGAGTGACATACTGCAAATGGAGGGGGGTGAAAGGTCACCGGTCATATGAAGTGATAAATCTTTTGTAACTCTTACTGGAGAAGGCTTCTGTGCTCCAAAAGAGCATGTGCATCTGCCCTGAACTCTGCTGAGTGTTATTAGGAATTTTCGTAACTGTCAAGGTTGTTTGTAAGTTGACCTTCACTGTTTCATTAATTGCTTTTAGAATCATATTTGGCTGATTAGGATATCGGTAATTTAATGGAAAAGATCAAATTAAATATTTTCATTTTTAATGACATTAATGGCAGGCTTTGTGCAGAATACTGAGTACTAAGTACTATGAGAAGTTAGTTGAACTCAGCTTACAATTATTCCAATTTTTTTCTTATGGCAAAAAGCATTTAATATGCTCAATTTTCCTAAGTTTATTGATTCACAATTTACCCTCTTATTTTTCAAAATTATTCTTATAAAAAGAAATGGTTTGAGTTACTTAATTATTAGCAGAATTTTAAAAGCTTGTGAGTCTTATGTGTATATGTACTTACCTCTGACAGCTTTTTTAAGCTTCCAATACATATAAGGTATATATTATGGTTCATATTGTATTTGTCTGATAAAACTTACATTGCATATTGAATGCAACACTTACTTGATAAAAAAAATTTAAAAGGGTGACCCTGTAAGAAGAAATCTTGCATTGAAAAATCTGTGGAATGCAAGGTAACTGGTATTTAATGTTAAGATTTATGACGATGATACCTTTTATGGGATGAAATCACCGCTTTTAAACTTGCATGGTTAAGGGTTTTGATCTAGTTGTTCCATCTGTCTGTCCATTTTACAATATAGTCCTTTGCACTTTTCTTGTTATGGTGCCACAGAATGTGAGTAATCAATCTTTACAGATGATTTTTTGTGTAATACCAATTCTTGTCATATTACACGTCCTTCTGTTTTATAGATATTAAAAGCTGATCCTTCACAGCCTTTGTATGTGTAGCTAATTGGAATTTATCCAAGCATCTATGATATCTGATTTGGGAAGTTGTTAATTTAGGAATGTACATGTATGTTTAGGTTTTATAGAATTTAGTTGGTAAGAATTTTAAACTGCTACTGAATACATGTAGCTTCAGTAGCTGTAGATAAACTGAGCATCTGTGTGGATGCCGTTTATCTCAGGGAGTAATCTGGATGTCTCGATAATGAAAACATGTTATCTACATTTCATTAGTGATAGCCATAAGGGGATATTCTAGGTTTATATGATCCCCTGCAATCTGACTTGTTAAAGTTTTGTTGATAATGGCCAGTTGAGCATGATGTTAACTTGTCTTTATGTTTTAAAAGCTGTGATGTAACCAAAGCTAGCTTAATGAAGTTAATAGTTATGAGAGAAATGTTATAACCAGTCAACATTTTGATGGATTGCATTAATCAATTTTCTTCATTGACAATGTTCAAAATTGAGAGGAATTTTAATAGCATTATACTGAGCTAAAAATATCCTCAGGTTTGATTAATTGAGATATAAATGTTTCTAATTGGAAAATCTTCAAGGGAGAAATTAATGAACAAAACATCCTGTCTGAACTGAGAGACAAATGGTTTTATCTTGAATAGAAAATAGTGCTGGTCACCATCTAAATTGATATTTTCCTACTCTTGAGATATCACTTAGTTATTGGCAGTTTCTTTGCTGCATTTACAGTTTGATTCTTTGGAGGCTTTCAGTTTCTTCCTTTTCTTAATGATTTCATAAGTGTAAGGTAGCATTATGGATTTGTCATCTCATACTTACTTTGGATGAGACATCTTCCTTAGCATCTGAGATAGGATGAAGCTTAAGCTGGCCACAAGGGGCTGTGATTGGCTAGTAAAGGCACACCCTTACATAATCTTGAGCATCTCCCTAGATCTGTCCATGAAGTGCACAAACATTTTGTTTTTTAGAATCAACCTCCTAAACTTGAATTTGATAGATTTGCTTTCCTTATCATTGCTCAAATCAGTTAGATCTAGTATTAGTGTGACCATCATTTTATATAATTCCTTAGTAAATAAAATGTGGAAGGTTTGTACAGTTTAATGACTTTTTCATTAATCATTATTTTACTATGACCTCAGTACTGTGCAATTTATAATGTTTTTTGTTGTTGTTTTTAATTGACAGTTTTCTGACAAAATCAATGCCTCAGAAGATGAGATCAGCCGAGTCCTTTTAGTGGAAGATGTGACATCATCATCATCATTACTTCATCAACATCAAGAACTAAGAAAAAGTGTATTGGAATTATCCATGCAGACTTTATCCAAAGGACAAGCTCTCTTGGACAAATTACGAGAGGCCAGTTCACATGCCGACATTAACAATCGTCATGCCACAAAAGCAGCATGTTACAGTGTGGAGCGTATTCTAGAAGCACTACAGCACAGGCGACAGCAGCTTGATGAACAGTGGAAAGAGAGAAAAAAAGTTTTGGAGCAGTGTATGAAAAGATGCAAGATTGATGAAGAAATAAGAAAGGTATCAGAAGGGTGTGGACCATTAAAAGTGACTGATCCAAAATTGTTGAGATATTAAATTGTTCCTAATTCTAGTTTATTGACATTGAAGCTGAATGGTTTGTGGTTTGGACCCTTGATCCTGAGTCTCTGGATCATTTTCTCACTGGGTCATTTGTGTTGCTGAACATGACACCTTTTTAATACTGATATGCTTATATTAGGTAAAGTAACATATAACTCTAACAGCATTTTTAAACATGGCAAAAGAAGGTGATATTTGTGATCATTAAGTGTAACTTTTGTTACAACTCAATCCAACAGATCACAAAATGGCTTAATGAAGAAGGAGAGGATTATATCAGCTATCAAGATTATGGAGACTCGTCACCTTCAACTCAAGTTCTTCTTGATGAACACTATAAATTTGAGGAAGTGGCAAAGGTACATTTGAGAATTGTTGTTGATTCCTTGGCAAACTTGTCCTTGGCTTTTCATAACTAGTGAGTGCAGGAATTGAGTGCTTATTCCAGGGTGCTGCCTGTTGGTCACAACTTGCTGGCCTCACTATACACTTGATTCTTATATATACTATTTGATCAGTTCTTGGAGTTATTGCTTGTTTTAGTGAAGGGTTAGTGAGTTATAATTTCAAAGAATTGACAATCAGATAATGTGTTGTTACATGCTAAAGATGAGCAGTTGAGCATCTGATGACAACTTTATAAGATTTTGTAAATGATAGAATTGAAAAAAAATGTGATGGAAAAGTTTCTTTTTTGTTGTCAGGAAAAAGAAGAGGCTTGCCAGAGGCTTGCTCGAGAAACAGAAAAGCTTGTGCATGGAAATTTCAGAGATGTACAGGAAACACAGCAAAAAATTACCCTGCTTCTAACAAACTTGCAGTTATTCAAAGAACGTTTGGAAGACAGAAGGAAACTACTGACAGATACACTATCTTTTTACAAGAAAAACATCAGAGTAATGATAGTATTAGTTATGTTTGATTTTTTTTAAAACTGTAGACATATTAGTCAAAGCTGTCTTTAGCATTAGTTTTAAATTTTAATGGCAAAACTTTCCTTTCTATTCTTGTCTCTTTAAGGCACATGATAAGCTTGATGAAATAAGAGACAAAATTACAGAAGAGAAGCTAACCATTGAAGATCAAAAGGAGCTGTATGGAGCAATCAATGCAGCATCTGCAGCTCAACTGCGAGATGGAAAGATACTGCAAGAGAAGATGGCAGATGGGAAACACCAACCTGTCATAGTGAGAATGTATGAGGAACTGCAAGAGCGGAGCACAGCTATGCTTGTTGACGTTGAACCTGATCCTGCGGACAAGGAATTTGAAGATGTAAGATTCTGATCTTTATCCAGTTTTGTGAAACCTGCATAAAACAGACAGTCAGGTTGTGTTTTGTATCAGAAGAAGGTGATATCACAAGAAAAGAAGGAGAGGACTCAGTAAACACATATCTATACCACAAGTGAAGGGGAATGCAAGTAATTAATTAATGACTGATCATTAGTTTAGTGTATGATTGGTTGAGATGGTGGGGGTCTTATTTATTTAATGTATTGGAGAGGGTTAGGGTTAGAGTGGACGTATCACTGATCAATAATATGCCAATATTTACCATGTACTGTTTTATTTCTACTTAGCTCTTTGGTTGGATTAGGAATGTTGGTGAAGACTTTCTTGATAGCAACATTGCAATGGGTGATTCTGTCAAAACATCACAGGAATTTCTGTATTCACATCAAGAAATGGATTCTGAGAGACAGGTCAGAAACAGTAACTGGGTAAATTACTTGCTTACTACTTATACCTGTATTACCAGATCCAACAAAACATCTGGTAATAGCATACCTGTGTTCAGCAAGGTTTTGCAGCAGCTTATGACCAGGTTCTAGTTTAGAGTTTTGCTACTGATAAGATCTTCACTCAAGCCATTAAATGCACTAGCTAAGCAACCATCTCATTATTCTTTAGACAGTAAGTGTTTTTTGAGCTGATTAATCAGAAAGCATTTTCTAGGTTATTTTTATTATTTTACCTGTAACATGATAAGCTTTTCATTAATTTTAAAACTTATGTGTTAATTTTACCATTGGGGTTCTCACCACAAAGGGATTTCAGAAGAAGGAACAAATCCGAGAGTAAAGAAAGATGGTATTTGTTTTGCCACAAAAGCTGAGCAAGAAAGGCACAAAGTAGTTGCAACAATTAAGTACAGAATTTCTACCTGACAAAAATTTTGCGGTATTCACCAAATATTTATTTCTTTGCAGGTTTTTGCAGATCGAATGGCCAAAGCTATTGATGCATCTAATATGCAACTGAAAAAAGATAGTGCTAAAGTTAAAGATATTCAGGATCTGTGGATGAGGTTTTCAGCTCGACTTGAATACCGCCTTAAGTTGGGGAAAATGTACTTTGATTTCCATCGCCACAGACAACTGGTTGGTGCATTATATAGCAAAATGATTGTAGAGCAGATAAAAAGGTTCAATGCAAGTTTTAAGTTGCCTGATCAATTATTTGCTTTCCTGATAGCTGTTTGGGAAATTGGATGAGCTCTTCAATCAGCTGACAAGTGATGAGCCTAAGGAGAATGTTGATGCATCACCCACATTACTTGCACGACAAGAACAACTGCAGGATGCCATTCTTTCAGCATCTGGACAAATGCAGAGGGAGTCACAGGCACTTCTTGATGAGTTGCGAAAAGTAAGTAGCTCCTAACACTAAAAGAGCTTTTGGCCATGGTTTAAAGAGGAAAGCATGTATTGTTTTATCTTTCTGTAGGAACCAAGAGAGGAGTGTTTGGACAGAGGGGCAGCTGCTGATTGCATACAGAAGTTCCTGGCAACTCTAGAGGCGAGGGTTCATAAGCTTGGCCAGCTTTGGAACCTAAGAGAAGAACAGCTAAACAAGAACAGGCAGCTGAGTGCTGAGTTTGTGCAGTTTGAAAAAGACACGAGGGAGGTAAGAAGTCTTGTTGTTTGTATTGCTTTATTTGAACACACTATGCATGCCAAGGAAGGCTTACATAACTCACAGTGATTAAAGTGTTAAGTGTTAACTTTGTAGTTATTAAGTTGTAACAGGAACCTGTCCTAATCTGAGAGTTATTTCCATCTTCAAATTGAGTGAAACTGAGCTTATTTGATATGCCCTCAGTACAGGCCAAAGTGATTTCTAAAGGACTAAAGAAAGCCTTCAAGTTTTATTTTGCAATGGTGTCAACCTTTGTAAAAATACACAATTGATTGATTTGATGCTGTAATCCAACAAATCTACATTTTTTCCCATTTTGGAATATTGATTGCTGTAACGGTTTAATCTTCAGAGGCATTAAAATCAATAAACTACCTGAGATGTCATGTTCTAGGCCTTTTTTTTTCTAAACAGTGTTCTGTTGTCATCATTTTAGGTCATACTATGGATCAAAGAACAGAGTGATACATTTTTCCCTGTCAAAGTAGACTACAGCTCCCTTCCCATTGACCCAAGAGAGTTAGAAGACAAGCTGCAAAGGTTCAAAGATGCTGCAAGGGTAAGAAATAGAGAGCAGTTTAAGTCATTCTTTTCAAATTTAAAACCTGGGCTCTACTTGGGGGAATTGGTTGAAAGTATAGGGAGTTGAAGGGCTTTGCTCTGTGAGCTTCTGGAAAGAACTACTTTTTTAACATCTGGACACCATTTTTTTCTAAACCTCACATGCGCCTTTCATCAATATTTAGTCTTTGTGTGAAACTGGTTAAAACTGGTCTGAGAAAAGCAGTATAAGTTAGTCTATAAATGTTCATGTAAAATGTACATAGTACGGGGTAAAGACCACCTATTGAAATTTGTTCTTCTTCACGTGTAGTTCTAAGTTGTTCTTGGTTCCTCCCTCAGCGTACTGATGAAGATGTCCAAGCTCATCTGCGCGCTGCAGAGGAGCTGTCAGAGGCAGAGGGTAGCTACAAAGCAGCCATTAGAGTCATTACAGATGAACTTCAGATTGCTTATCAAAGGTTTAAGACCCTGCTAGCAGATTATGAGGTTTTGCTGTCAATGTCAGCAACATTTTACACTAGTGTGGAAAAAGTAAGTGTTGTAATCTGCCCCTTTCATTCCTAATTTCTCAATAGTTATAAATTTGGTCATACATTTTGTAGAGTTTTTGTTCTGAGAATTAGCATTGGATTATGTAACATCCTTGAAATGATCTTTTCTTTATTTTCACTATATGTTTACTTGATTAGTATTGATATTATAAGTAGAAATTACTTGTTACTGTTGGAAAAAAAGACTATCAAATAAATTTGCCAGGAATTTTAAAATGTAATCATTTTGCTTACAGCTTTCCTTATTGCATTATTTTTGTTCTATGTTTGCATAACAGTAAAAGTGTCATTATCTTTAACTGAACTACTGACACTCTTCCATTTCTTAATGCAACCATTAAATATACATTCAGGAACATTTCATAGATCTGCAATGATCATTTCGAAGCTTGAACATCCCCTCCTTGGCATTAGAACTTTTGAAGATAAGTTTATTCAAATTCCTGCCCCCTTCCCCACAGGTTAAAATTGTGTTCAAATGCCCTGCCTAAGTGCTGAATTTGATGGTAATTTTTTTGCAAGTGGCAAGATCAGTAGCTGTGACTTTCTTGTGGACCTTTTCTTCAGAGCCATCTGCTTATGAAATTTAACTCTTTACCTTTTAACACCACCACATTAAAAGATAAAAAACATGTATTCCACTGGAGAGAATTTACAGTTATGCTTTCAATTCCCCACCCAGACAAGGTTCAAATCAGGGCATTAATAGGTTGAATGAACTCATTTTGAGGTTTCTTGGTGGTGCTTTGTGCACTCTTGATTCCTAGAGAATTACAACATCAGGAAAATAACTTTTCTCCTGACTGGATTTCATTTCAGCTTCTCCAAATGATGGATGAAATGACATATGGCCTTCAAAGCCAACCCCTCCCCAGAGACATCAACAATGCCCAGCTCCTGCTACAAGACCATCTTGCCAACTACCAGACAGTTCAAGACCTGCACAGCTTCACCACTGTTAGTGCACAGGATGTCTTGAGCCGGGCTGCCACTTCAGCAGCTGTCTCTGTGTCTCGTGATGAAATCAAGGGCTTCCTTGAGAGATCAGAAGGAAGACATGAGGAATGGAGGTCTCTTTGGGAGCACCATAGGGACAAGTTGTTAGAAAGTGTGCGATTGTGTGAATTTGAGCAGGCTATCAGTGCGGTATGTTTGTAAACTCTATTAGAAGTATGTAAAGGCTGAAATGTCTCAATTACCTTTGGAAGTAGTTTCAATTTTTACAAAGTGAAGTAGATAACAGTATGAGGTATTTAGAATAAGAGAGATGGTAAGTTTTGAGCTCAGTAAAGTGATAGAGAAAGATGTTTTTTGTCTTGTCACGAGTGTGGGACATAGAAAAAATTCTGCATTCCCATGAGGAATTGAACCTTAGACCTTCAGATCTACAAACATGACGCTATCTTGCTCGTGACAAGACAAAAATCATCTTTCTCAAGCTTGAGGTATTGTTTTTTTTTTCTTTTTCTTTATTAGGGGATATTTCCTTCCTGACATTTTATTTCTGTCAACTCCCTTTGTGTATGGAGCTCATCCAATTTGAAATGCTTTGGTTTTGATTTTATGGGAATATTTATTGGCCCTATTTCTTAATTCTATTTTAATTATTTTATGTTCTAAAATGAATATTCAGTGTAATAGATGAAGCTTTATAAGTTTTAGTTTACAATGTTTGAACTGGTTTCAGTCATTTTCATGTGTGTTGAGAGAGTTTTTACTCAACTTTCTATCCATAATTATTTTTATCAGGTCAACTTGACCATAGAGGAGCACACCAGAGAACTGCTTGCTTTGAACAGAAAGTTTGGAATCACTTTACTTGATGCTGTTACTCTGCTTCAAGAGTCAGATTCATTTCTGGAGTCTGTCAAGGTAACTATAATAATAATAGTGATAATGATGGAAATGAAAATGATAATAACTTGCTTTTCTTTCAAGTTGCTATTAAGGGGAGATTAAGATTAATTTTGATAGGGCTTGTAAATACCTTGGTGTTAAAACTGTCAGAGAGCTGATCATTTATCTTCCCCATCTGCTGGTCTGTTTTTTTTTTTAATTTTTTTTGTTATTAAATATAGTGTTTTGTAGACTCAATTTGAGGTACATAAGTGCATTTAAAATATTTTTTACAGCCAGCTGATGTGGAAGTTGGTAGACTGGTAGAAGAAGCAGAGAAATTGAAGCAATTAAATCATCATGATGCACCTGCCATTGTGCGACAAGTTTCTGCAATGGAAGCCCGCTGGCAGAGATTTTTGTCCAGGATGGAAGACCATAGGGCCATGCTTGAAGCATCAATAGAGTTCCATCAACTTTATGAACAGGTTTGTTACTAGTATACTCATGTGTTTATTAGTAACAGAATTAGATGAGAGTGTTGATTTTGTTTGTGTTACACTGACCATTTACTGTTACATACAGGCAAATTTACCACCCCTTCTTTTACTTTTCTATTACCCATATTCTTGGTTCTTTAACAGTTATTTCTCCCAGTCAGATTGATTGTGGCCATTTATAGTATATGTTTTTCTTTTTAATAGGCAACAGTTTGGATCAGTGATAGTGAGCACTTCTTGAAAACCACCCAAGATGAAGCAAAAAGGTGCAAGACTGAGGAGGAAGTTATAGACCTTCTGGACATGTTGGAAGGATTTGTTAAGCCTGGGCTTAATAAGCAAGAGGCACGACTGAAGAAGTTGGCTGAACTCTCTGCGAAACTTACAATGGATGAGCCTCGCTACCAAGCAAAGGATCTTATGACCAAACAGAAACACATCACTACAAAGTTTGATCTCATGGATAATGACCTTTTTCGTTTAGCAGAGAGGCTCAGGGAGAGAAAGCAGCGAGGACTTCCTCCTAAGGTACAAATCCAGCTGTTCATTACTTCTTTAAGTACTACACAAGTTTCGTTAAAAAGTTATGCTTAACAATTTTTTAACCCAAGTACCATTCAATTTCACTTGTCATGTATTATACACGGAATATATGAATACGAAATCAGTCGGTGAAATCATCACTTTATCTTGAGATGTGATTCACAATGTGTTAGTTGAAACCTGTAGTATTATCTGGAAATTTATACTTATGCGATTGCACGATGTTTTACAACCAATCAAGAAATCCAGGTCCTATAAGTGTGTGATTTCTTCTGTAACTTCCAGGCAGAAGAGGTAACAACAGAGCGTGTGGAAGCTTACGAGAAAGAATTGCTGGAGACTACTCCTGACACGTCGGGGTATGAAAAGCCAATACGTGTAAATGTGTTGTCATCATTTGTTGATGGAGTCTTGGGTAGTAAAAGACCTGGGGACTGGGAAGTATTTGAAGAGGCTGGACCAGCCAAGCGTCCACAGGTTTCAGTGCGAGTGAGATCAGACAAACCAGTTAGTACAGAAACAGAGCAAAAGATCGAGCCTATCATCAAGTCAGAGATCCAGGGTTGGTTTGAAGGTGGAAAAGCTCTGAAGCCAGTTGAAATCCCAGAACATGAGATACTGGTTCATATCAGTGAAGATACTAAGCGAGAACCTAATCAGATGGGTTTAGCTCCATGGGGTGTAGAAGTGGTAAAGAAAGATGTTACAGTGACTTCCTTAGGGCCTTATGTCAGCACAGACATTGAAGTTGAAACAGCCCTCCACACTCAAACATTTCCACCATCTTCAGCAGACCAAGCTCAGCTGACTAGAAAACGTGTATGGAAAACGACCACAAGGGAGACCACTACAAGTATCAAGCAAGAAACAAGAACTGAAGTAGAGATGTTGGTGCCAGAAAAACCAGAAATGATGTCAAATCTCTATGTATTTGGTGCTTTGCCTAGTTCTGAGAATCTGAGTGTTGAAGTACGGTCTAAGAAAACTGTTGAAAGTACACCAGACACCTCAGAAAATACCAGCCCAGAGGAAATAAACAGGGTGGAAGGAGGCATGAAAAGAGCTAACGAGAACATCTGTCGGAAAATTGAAGACTCTGTAGCAAATACCCACAAACCGTAAGTCCTCAAAAGGTTACAGTTTGTGAGAGATACACAGTTAACTGTTGTACTGTTTGTCAATCATAGATACATTGTGTACGTGCAATAACTGTTCTTTTTCCCACAGATTGCAGCATACTAAACATGCTGAGCTGCTCATACCCCAACATGCTGGTTCAGTTCTGATCTTCACACCACCAGATACCCCACGAAGGGGGTCAGCTCCTTATGTTGATTCTAGCAAGCTACCAAATGGCCACTCAGCTGATGAAGGTCAACCGAGGTTTGAGTCTGAAGTGCATCTCATGACAACACCTAATGACTTCAACTTTGATGCTGTGGAGTTAACTCTTCCATATCCCTTTATGAATGGGGAAGCCCCTGCCTCAGACAAAGGAGCTAAACTGCGTAGAATGAATGCCATCACTGATAGGTTAATTGAAAGTGAGAGCAATTATGTGGATGACTTGAAGTCACTTGCAGAGGTAATGTTTTTATTTTTGAAATTAGTATCAAAAAAGGTAGATAGTTAAGATTTCTTGACTCTGCATTTTTTAGTTGTGAGAGTAAAGTTCCTTGATTTATTTTTCAGGATTACATCTATCAGCTTCCCAACGCGCCATCTCAATTGGCGGACAATAAAGACACCATCTTTATCAATTCAGAAGATATATTCTTCTTCCACAAAGTGTATGTTGTTAATGTGATTTTCGCTATGTAGCTGGGCATGTCTCAGTGTTTAGGATAGGTAGCTGCTTTTGCTATATGGAAAGTGAAAAAACCACTTTTAGTTTTTCTTGCTCGCGTTTCCTTCACCAAGCAAATGCCCTCGAATTAGACAGATGTTGTGAGGCCTGACTTTGCGAATATCTAGGTAAAACTGAAAATTTAAGTTTGACTTTAATTTCAATTTTGTTAGGATCTTTTGTGACGAGTTGGCAAAGTGCAAAGGAAATCCATCAGAGGTTGGAAAAGTGTTCAAGAAGAGGGTAAGAGCCGGCTATGCCATCCCTTCCTATTTTCTGATAATTATCCTGTGGAAAATCCGTAATAATGCTGCCATTTTAGTATGGCTAAGGACCTTTACTTTTTTTTCTACCCAGGAACATGAACTTGACAGATACATAACCTTTTGTGATGGAAAGAGTGAATCAGATAGCTTTTTGGAATCACATCCAAAGGATTTCTTCAAGGTAGCTACATTGAAATCTTATGCAACTGGTGTGTTTTCGCCATTTTTGCCATCCAAAGCATGCTGGGCATGTCTCATTGACGTTTTCTAAATTTTATTTTACTTTAAATTTTACAGAAATGTGAAAATGAAGCGCCTTCTCGTCCCATAAAAGAACTCTTGGATCGGCCAGTAGAACGTGTTTTAGAATATAAAGCCTTTCTTGGTGATCTGCTGGAGTGTGGGGAAAAGGCTGATGTGGATACAGCTGACATTGAGGTATGACACATTGTTTTAATTGTATTTTTAATAATTTTTTTGTACCACTTCCTCTTCATTTGTAAATTTACATATATATTTGAAAGCTAAATATAGTCCTTGTGGTCGTTCACCCAAATTGTATCTGTTCAGGCTGGCAAAGAAGTAATTGATCGCCTTTGTGCAGAAATTCGTCAGAAGACCAAGTAAGTGTTTCATATTTTGGTCAATATTAGACAGGGTGTTTACCTAAGAGCCCCCTTATCAGTGCTGGTTTCTGAAGCTTCTACTTCAGAGCCTCCTTTTTGGTGTGGGTCTCTTTTTGGACCATCAGCGTGAGCACAGGATCGAATAGAGTAGCATTATTTAAAAAAATGGATTTGTTAATTCTAGGTTTGAGATCCTTTTGGCTTCTACTCCCAAAGAAGTTGAGTTCTGTATAGCATTAGAAGACTACAGAGATGACCACAACAACATTTGCCTCAGGAAAGGAGAGACTGTGGTTGTTTTGGATCGAGTGTCACACCCTGGAATGTACAAAGTAGTCAAACTTCTCGCAGATGGTTCCCAAGGCGATGAAATTTTGGTTCCAGCAACAGTTCTTCAGCGTAAGAAGTCCACAGCAGAAATCATAATGCCTGCAGGTAATTCCATGCAAGTTTATGCCAGTGTGAATGACTCTGGTGCAACCTGCTCAAGGAAGAACCCTATCAGCTTAACCTCTCGTCGGCACTAGCTGGAAATGATGATTCAGTTGAGAGCAACTCAGTGCCATATCTTTATGGTGTCTGCCATTTTTCGGAGGCGAGGATGTAGGTTTAATTCACATTTCTCTCTCTCTTTTCACAGAATACACCGTGAATCTCAGGTCTAAGCCCGGATCCAAATCGCCAGAGGAGGTAGGAACGCACATAAATCGCATATCCGTATTGACACAAGCCGCGGCCTCCATTAGATTTATCCGTTTCTGATAGGAACCATATTTTTTTAAATCGCAGACGGCAATTGGAACACATATTATGTAAAACAGAAAATTTCTTTGTCTCCCACTGTTTTCGTAATTGTGAGTATTGTGATATACACAACGAGGATGGTGAAGATTATTTATTTATTATTGATTTTATTATTTTTCCTTCATATCCTTAAGTAAATGCCACATTATTCCGGTTGAATGCGGCGTTTTTCTGAGGGAGGTGACTAAATATGATAGTTTTGGTTGGTGGTGACATGGCCTTATTTAACTCCTAATATCCACTGCTTTCTTTCCTGATCGCTGAAAAGGTTTCGGAAATTTTTGTCCCTGCTACGGAAAGAGAAGTTGTAGAAGTGGCACCGGTAGAGGTCGCATCAGGTCTGTTGGTAACTCAAGTCATAAATGCACACGCAAATGCACTCATAATACTCCTGAATATTTAGTGAAATGTGAATAGAAATAGTAATGAGCTATTTGAAGAGAACGTAAAGAAATACGAATTGTGTGTTGTTTAGTAATTATGTCCATTTGCAGTTCAAAAAAGGTCTATCTGGCTGTTTAAAAATGACATAAGAATTAACTGGTTTCCAAGCACGTGGAAAATGCATTGTGAAAAAATGTACATTTAGATTTATTCAGCTCATAATTTAGGCTTGCTATCTATGATTTCCCTTTCACCTTTCTTGGCCCAAATTCCAACTATGCCAAATCCAACGGTCTACCCCCTTACTAGAGTTGTTTCATGTTTTGTCTAAAGCTTATACTTGCATATGCTCCTCATAATCACAGCTCCAGTTGCTCCAGTATTCACTATGCCATTAGAAAATCTTAAGGCAGCTGAGGGCCAACCAACACACCTGGAGGTTCGTGTGAGTGGTACCCCAGAGCCTCGAGTAGTATGGCTTAAGAACGACCTTCCCATCAGAACTGGAGAGCGCATTCATACTGAGAAGGATGGCAATTTGTACAGTTTGAAGATTTCAGAAGTTGATATTGAGGATGGGGGAGTATATACATGCCGTGCTAAAAACGTAGCTGGATCAGCAACTTCCATGGCAGACCTGAATGTTGAATGTAAGAAGATAAAAACACAGAGCCATGTTACTGCACGGCCAGTCAAGCGTAAGGCCTTAATGACTAATTACTAATGCCTAGTTTCTAAAATATTTATGATAAAATATATTAAAGTTCACACGGCAACCAGATGGACAGTCAGACATAGTTTGATGCTACTCTGGTTTGCAGATTTAATGAATGTAACCGAAGAAGTTACATTTATGGTCTATGAATTAATGGGTCTATGAATTGTAACTTCTTCGGTTACATTCATTAAATCTGCAAACCAGAGTAGCATCAAACTATGTCTGATATTTATGATATTTACTAATTCTGGCGTGACGCGTCCATAGGAGTTAACGGCTTAGTTTGATTTTAACACAAGCTGATAAAGAATTTGTATTGTGTTGAAATATAACGTAATGGGAGTCTTGGTTGTGTCATGTGATTGTTGTGGTGGGTTTTTTCAACTTTTATTAAAATTAAAAACTAACACACACAAAAAACGATTTTTACAGCTGGTGAATCAGAGGGGGAACTTGACGTGGATGATGAAACTGACAGCTCTGTTTTAGCAATGTAAGGGTATTGATATAAATTTCTGTACAAAATTATTCTTAATCCAGTTGCAGTAATGTACACGAGTAAGCAGTGGTAGTCGGTAATTTTCTCTCTCACCTGGATCTATTCATTTCGCAAAAGTGCAAACCATTCAAGAGTTGTCGTTATATTATTATTATGCAGGAGCTAAACTACATCCATCCTACATACTGTGCAATAAGGAAAGTCATACCGCAATTTTAGTTGATGTACTTCTCAACAACTGAGTTTGCAGATTATCTTTTAAACGTAAAAGAATCTCTGTCGTTTACTGTAATACACTTATAGTACTTTAATACTTGAGATGAGTGTTTGAAATATTCAGGCCAATCAAGACAGTGAAGCTAAGAATATGATTAGATAGTGGAAGTGTAGAATTTATTACAGAGAATCTCAGAGAATTCGATAAAGGTCAGTATGACATTGAAGATTTTTTTTATTATAATGGTTGGGACACTATTTTACAAGTTATTTAAAGACAATCTGAGAATCCGTTTCTTTACTCTCCTACAGAAATCTAAATCAGCTACCCCAGTCAGTGACATTAACTGTTGATGGGCAAGATAGAACTGGGTTTGCACCCATCGAAGTTCAACTTCCTACACCCGGTGATATAAGTGCTTCTGAAATCCATTTGATGACAGAGAGTAGGCCAACATCTCGTCGAAGGTCTATTCCCCCCGAATTCACCACAGAACTTACAGACAAAACAATTGAAGAAGGAGACTCTGTAGAAATGCAGATCTTTGTTACTGGCACACCTCCACCCGAAGTGATTTGGTATAAAGATGATCAACCAATCACAATTTACCCTCACAGGCGCTTCCATGCAACCAGAGAAAATGACATCTGTAGCCTAGAGATCAAGGATGCGAGATGCAGTGATCAAGGAAACTATATATGCCGAGCGAAGAACACTGCCGGTGAAGTCAGAAAATCCTGTAAACTAACCGTAAAGCAAGTCACTCCAACAAGCCCTCCTTCCTTTGTTAAACATTTAAAGGATGTGCATATTGTGGAAGGCTCTTGCACTCGTTTCGATGTGAAAGTCACAGGAATGCCAGAACCTGAGGTAGCTTGGTTTAAAGACGGAGTGCCAGTTAAACAAGACAAGCATTTGGAAATTGTTCACGATGAAGACACGTCTGCTTTGATTCTTATGTATGGCACACTAGAAGATGCAGGTGACTATGCTTGTAAAGCCAGTAGTGAGGCTGGGGTTGCTGAATCATGCGCGCATCTGTACATATCACCTTTACAAATACCTGCCAAATTTACGTCACAGTTAGAAAGTGTTGTGGTGTCTGAGGGAGACCCAGTCAAGCTCAAGTGCTCAGTGCTTGGAAAACCAGATCCCAATATAATTTGGTTTAAGGACCAACAGCAAGTTAACGAAAGTAGCAGGACAAAAATGAAAGTGTTATCTGACAACACATGCTTATTACACATTCTCAAGACGGACATGGATGATGAGGGGATTTACACATGCGCTGCAACAAATTCTGCTGGAGAGGATACTACCTCTACCACAGTGACAATAAATGGTAAAGGGAAAGCTCCGGAGTTTACCAAAGCCTTGCAAAATACTGAGGTTTCAGACGGCAGTCCACTTTGTTTAGAAGTAAGAGTTAATGGAAAACCAACACCATTTGTTGAATGGCTGAAGGGCACAAAGCTGTTAAAATCTGGGCCACGCTTTGATATCCAAACAAGAGGAAATACACATACATTTCTAATTACGAATTGTAGAGATGACGATGGTGGTACGTATGTGTGCAAGGCAAGGAACAAGTTCGGTACAGCCTCTTGCGAAGCAGTGCTAGTGGTTGCAGAGGATACTGTACCACCAAGATTTACAAAGAAACTCTACGACTCTACAGCTGATTCTGGTAACACCGTTGAATTTTCTGTCAAGTACATTGGTAGTCCAGAGCCAAAAGTCAAATGGTATTTGGATGATGAGGAAGTTTCTGAAGACGACGAAGGTATGGACATTGACACAGAACCTGGTTCATCTTTGCTAGTACTAGAAGACATAGCACCGAATGACTCTGGGCAGTACAAATGCATTATATCTAATGTAGCAGGCAAAGCAGTCACAAGTGCACAGCTCAAAGTGAGTGATGAAGGTAAAGAAACATTCCCAACCAGTATTCAGCGGGTTGTCGAGGCTGTTCCTCCCCCAGTGGAAAAAAGGCTTAGTGGTAAAGCACCTATGTTCATTAAGGAACTTTCAACTCTCCGTGTTACTGAGGGAGATGCAGTCCGGTTGGAAGTAATAGTTGATGGCTCACCCAGACCGGTTGTGCAGTGGTTTGTTGAAAATGACCATGTGGTAGAAGACGAGCATACACATACAGTCCAAGAGGGAAATAAGTATGCTTTGATTATTGACGGAACAGTATTGGACGACGAGGCTGAGTACAAGTGTGTTGCCAAGAATGCTCTCGGGTTAATAGAATGTACAGCTGAACTCTTGGTGGATGAGATAGCTATCAAACCTGAATTTCTAAAAGAACTGAGGCCAGTTGAAGTTTTGGAGGGGTGTAATGCACAGTTTGAAGTGGAGATTCAAGGAAATCCTGAACCAGACGTTGCATGGTTTAGAAACAATGTTCTTATTGAACCCAGTGAAAAATACAAACCAAGCTGGACTGAAAACGTCCACAAATTGGTTATTCATAAAACTGTTCTCGGTGATTCAGGGGAATTCGCGTGCCAGGCAAGGAATGATATTGGTTTGGTTTGTAGTGTTGCACCCCTCACTGTTAAACCAGGAAGAACTCACGGGAAACCTCCAACCTTCTTGGAAAAACCTCAAAGTACACATGTAATGTTAGGGGATGTTGTTTCCTTCGAGGTGAAAGTTGAAGGTACGCCGATGCCTACTGTTAAATGGTTCAATGAAGAGGGTGAAGAAATTCCAAAAACTGGTCGTATTTTTTCCTTGCCTAGTGGTAAATTAGCATTCAGTTCTGCGACTCTAGATGACGAAGGAATCTATAAATGTGTTGCTGTCAATGAGAGTGGAGAAGCGTCATGTCAAGTGGAGCTTTTAGTTAATCAAGGAAATGCTTGCCAAGAAACTGAAGATATTTCTCCGTCACATAATGTTGTTGTGGAACGTGAAGTATCCCTTGAAGGTGTGCTCGGCGTTCTAAAGGAGGCAGAAACGCCGCTACCACCACAAATCGTGAAGAGGTTAAAGGATCTTAGCGTAACAGAGGGAGACACAGCACGTTTTGAAGTGCACATTACTGGAGACCCTACACCTGATGTAGAGTGGTCCAGCAGTGGTGAGAAGATAGAAGGAAACGAGGAGACCCTTGTGGAATGTGATGGTGATATTTACAAACTTATTCTGATGGATGTTCTTCCAGACGATGATGGAGAGTACACAGTCACAGCTACAAACAAGATTGGAAAGGTGTCATGTACCGGGAAACTCTCTGTCGCAGAGAAGATTAAGAAGCCTTCTTTCTTGGATGAACTGAGGAATGTTGACGTAACAGAAAATACTGATGTGCGCCTGGAAGTACGAGTACAAGGCACAGAACCTGATATTGATTGGTACAAGGATGGCGTTTTGATCGAAGAAGTTACGTCGAGAACTGAATTTGTTGAGAACGAAGAGAGAGGAAGTTATGCTTATCTCATTTACGGTGCCACATCAGAGGATCAGGGCACCTATCGTTGCACGGCGGTAAATGAGGCCGGCCGTGTGTCGTGCGAAGGACAACTGACGGTGAGAGAAAACGTCACTCCTCCCCGGTTTCTCCAGCGCCTCGAGGACAACTCAGTTGTGGAGGGAGGTGCTGTTGACTTGGAGGTTGAAGTCAGTGGGAGACCAAGACCAGCTTTGAAGTGGCTGAAAGATGGGAGCATTGTTGTTCCAGATGATCGTTTTAAAATAGACACAGAAGGCCGTATTCATACATTGCAGATAACTCAATGTATGCTTTCAGATGGAGGGAAATACACTTGTACTGCTTCTAACAGTGGCGGTACGGATACTTGCTCTGCTAATCTGCAAGTCGAAAAAGAGATGCACGGCCCAGAATTTGTTGTTCGACCTGAAGGAGCACACATTGTCGAGGGAAGCCAAGCCAGATTTGAGGCAGTTGTTTCTGGTCTACCAGAACCCGAAATTGAGTGGTTCAAAGATGGAAAACTTGTACGAAACAGTCACCGCTTTGAACTAGAGTTCGACAGAAATCGATCCGCTCTTACTGTGAAGGGAGCAAAACAAACAGATGACGGAGAATTCACGTGTACAGCTACCAACCAAGTTGGGAAGGTTTCTTGCTCTATAGAACTTGTTGTTGACGAGGCAGTTGTTGCACCTGAATTTGTCAAGAAAATGACAAATATAGAGTTATGTGAGGGTGACTTGGCACGATTTGACGTTCGGGTGTCTGGCACACCTCAACCAGACATAAAATGGTTGAAGAATGACGAGTCTTTGCGAGGGGAATCACGATACGAATTTCTCTCCGATGATGACATGCATTCCTTGGAGTTGTCTAATTGCCTGTTATCTGATGCTGGAACATACCGCTGTACCGCCTCAAATGAGGCAGGAGAAACGTCTTGCACTGGCGAACTCACTGTTGCAGAAAAGCTGTCCCCTCCAGTGTTTACGGATGAGCCCTATTTTCCAAGTTTGATTGAAGCTGGAGGTGACATTGTGCTAGAGGCGATGGTTAGTGGTAAGCCTACACCAACTGTGGAGTGGGTCAAAGATGATACAGCTCTTAAGAACAGCAGTCAATTTAACATAAAGGCCAAAGATGACAAACATACCCTAACTATTTCTAGTGCTAGCCCTGCTGATTCTGGAGCTTATAAGTGCATCGCACATAATACTGCTGGAACGTCCACAAGGACTTTCAACGTTAACATTGAAGGTAAGGATGTTTGTTTCAATGTTTATCTTTTGTAGCAGCTTCCATGTACATGTAGCACAGATATTTCACTGTGCTATGTCATCCTCAGATTAATAAGTGTATTTTAACATGCATTGCTCTAACTGGTGATGGCAGAAGCGTGTGAGACCAGATACGTTTGTAATCATTTCGAGTCGGACAATACATAAAAATATTGACCAATCATGTGGCTCTTTAGTGGCTCCTATGACTTGAACTGTTTTTTAAACAATGTGCTCTGTGGTAGATGTTAAATATTGGAGAAGCTTGCAACAGTTTGCTTTTACATGAATTACACTTCGTTAGTGAGCTGCAATCAGCATACCGAAAACGCTCTAGTTCGGGTATTTAAGAGGCTGCTTCGTAAAATGATATCAACTGACATAAGGTTCTCTATGTAACATTGTAAGAGCAGTGGTAGACCAACAAAGGCGCAAGCAAATAGAATAGAGTTTAATTCTGTAAAATACTTCTTAACCTTATCATTAGTAATCCTGCCCAGCTTTCTCAGCTATTGGCTTCAAGGTGGCTTTTATTTGTAAGCATCTGAGGAACGACCTAGCACTATAAAATCATTTAAGTGTATCAGCATACTTTACATATATTTTCGGTTAAAAGCATAATTATATCGCTCAACCATTGCTCTGTGTGTACTTTGTAATTGTTATCAATCAAAGGCACCTCCCTCACCTCAACTAATGCTTTTTATTCTGCTAACTGTACTTTGTACATTCTGCCTTGGTGCAGTGTTTCTTCCTCACTTGTCGTCTGTGGACGAGCTATGGCTTTGTTGAAGTCGGTCTTTCTGTAGGCTAACTGGCCTCTTCCAAATCTTGTAACACGTTTGATTCTGCTTATCATACGTCGTTCATACCTCTGTCGTGACGTCTCGCAGACGAGCTTCTAGATACAGACGGTCTACCTTTACGGAAATGTGAAGAAACAATCCCTTTTTTATTGCATAGCCTCAAAGCCGCACGGAACTGCGCCCACGTTTACAAAGTTGTTGGTGTCACCAACAGCCATTGAGAACTCTCCAGTTACTCTGGAGTGCGAAGTCGTTGGTTCTCCTGAAATATTCATCGAGTGGATCAAAGGCGATTGTCGAGTTAGGCAAACGACACGTGTTCGTACCGAATTTGATGGGAAAAACTGCCGTCTAATATTCTTACGCACAGAGCTCGATGATGAAGCAGATTACAAGTGTATTGCTAGAAATGCGTTTGGCACTGCATCTACAGATTGTGAAGTGCTAGTGGAGGAAGATTTCAGTCAACATCATAGTCCACCTTTTTTCAAAAAGAAGCCACACAACCAAACGATATCAGAAGGTCAACATGCAACGTTCAGTGCTATTATCGGAGGAACCCCAGAACCCGAAGTCGATTGGTTTAAAGATGAAAAAGCGATTGAAGATAAAGGGAGATTTGTTATTAGAGACGATCTTGACAAGGGAAAGTTTTCCCTAACCATTGAAGAAACCTTTGTTGAGGATGCCGGCATATACAAGTGTGTTGCCTTTAATGAAGTTGGAGAGGAGTCATACGAGGCAAGATTAAGTATTATTCCCCTTGGAAATAAAAGTGAACCCACCTTTGAGGTGCCTTTTGAAGTCTCCGTTAATGCAGAGTCAGCCACACCCCTAAGCTTTTCCAACCAGCCAAAGTTTGTGGTAACATCAGGAGAAGAAGGTGCAACTAAGGATCAACCTCGACCCACGAAAAAGAAGCTTACAGCTTCAAGAAAGACCGCAGACTTTGATCTTGAACCTCCGCACTTTATTGCCTTGCCGGAAGGTCTCAGTCCTTTTGAAGTGAACGCAGATGAAGATGTCACTCTGCAAGTGAGAGTAAGAGGTAAACCTCTCCCGGAGGTAAAGTGGCTGAAAGATGAGAAGCCCCTGGTAGAAACAAGCAAATTCCTATGGAACAATGACACAGATATATATACGTTAGTGATCTGTGGACCTACACCAAGAGATAAAGGAACTTACGTCTGTTTAGCATCAAATAGTGCTGGAACTACCACGAGAAGTTTTGAAGTGAACATAGAAGGCTATGAAGACTGGGTTATGCCTTCATTTGAGGAACATACAGCAAACCCCTTTGTAATATCAGATGATGGCGATGTGACCATGGACGTTAGAGTAGCGGGGAATCCTTCACCAAGCGTTGAGTGGAGAAAAGATGGTCAACCTATATTGGAAAATGAACGGGTTAAATTATTTTCTTCAGAAGACGTTCACAGACTTTTTATCAAAGGAGCTTCGCCAGAAGACGAAGGGAATTACATTTGCACGGCAACTAACCCAGCTGGAAAGTCGACCAGAACATACACTCTAGACATTGGTGGTGTTGGGCCCGAAGAGGTCAGAAGTCGCCAGGAAGTTGTAGACGAAACATTAGTGCCTCCCAGAATTGTAAAACAGACAGAGCTAGAGACACCAATAAGTATTTCTGAGGATGGTGATGTTAAACTGGAGGTTATGTTCAATGGAACCTCAGACGAAGAGTGGACAAAGGATGGAATAGTCATACAGGAAAGTAACCATTTTCAGATAAACTTAGAAGTTGGAGTGCAGAATCTTGTTATTAAGGGTGCCACTCAGGAGGACAAAGGAGTACACAAATGCATGCCTTCTAATAAAGCTGGCTCCTCGTGGAAAACATATTCAGTTGATTGTAAAGAAGCGGAGAACGTTCACCCAGAACAACCTTCGGGACTGGAAAGGCCTTCTTTTGTTGAAGATGACAATGTCGTTCCTTTTCAACTGACTGTCGATGGAGATGTTAAGCTTGCAGCAAGAGTTCAGGGTAGCCCCACACCACAAGTTGGGTGGGATAAGGATGATGTTCCTCTACAAAACAGCGAGCATATTGTTATTACTTCTAAAGATGACCTTTACTCCTTACTGATTTCAAATCCAACTATCTCTGACAAAGGAAAGTACACTCTTACTGCCACAAATGAAGCTGGAGTTGGTACACGTGCTTTCGATGTTAAAATTAAAGGTAGCTCTTTATCTTGAAGTTATAAAGTGAGAGGTTTCCTTTTGTAATCTTTTTTAATTTCTCTAGTTTAGGCATTTCTCATTTTCTTGCTGGCAGATGAAAGTTTCTCCAAGTAATAAATTGGATCCTTTTAACTGGTCTTAGTTTAGTCGCGATTTTGGTTTTCTCGTACGGATTTGCCACGTTGTTCGCTAGTAGACAAACATTAGAAAGAGAATGATACTCCTCTGACCATCGGGGTTCCTCCACAGATAGTACTTTCTCGAATTCTTATTAAATGCATTGATCAGTTGTTTAATTTGTCCAGTTTCCCCCAAATCCATCATCTGGAATTCTTGGTAAAGTTTTATTTACAAAAAGATGAACTTGATACAATTTGTTCGCCCAAGGGAACCATATGGTTGATATGCTTTTCAAGCTTTATAGCTGCTTTTTGCAGTCGTCTAAAATGTAATTGCAGTTATCGATGAAACATGTTTAACTCGTACACCAGATAGACAGTTGATCTTATTTTTCTTAGCCACTAATTTGCTGAATAAATTGAATTATAATGAATGTTGATCAACGTACATGTCACAGGTGCAAAGCCAATTAGTTCGTCGCCAGAAATCACCAAGGAACTTGATGAGGTAGAGGTACTTCAAGGACAACCAATCACGTTGGAGTGTCATGTCTCTGGAGCTTCTGATGCTCACGTGAAGTGGTTTCATGACAATGTTCTTCTGACTGACAATGAGCGAATAACCACCTCATTCGATGGTGTAGTTTGTGTCCTGACAATCCAACGCTCAATTCTAGATGATGAAGGGGACTATCTGTGTCAGATAGAGAATGACCAAGGTGTCGTGTCAAGTTCTTCTGAAGTGATAGTGGACGAAGGAATGGCGTTACCAATTTTCAAAGAGCCACTGAAAAACACAAGTATTACCGAAGGCGAGAATGTCTGCTTTGATATCCGTGTTGTAGGAAACCCAGAACCAGTCGTGGAATGGTTTAAAGATGGTGTACAGCTTGAAGATGAGGGCCGTATTATGATAATTGATGACGTGGATGATGATCAGCCAGAACTCTTCTCTCTTGTAATCGAAAAGTGTGAACAATCAGATGTCGGTCTGTACAAATGTATAGCTATGAACGAAGCTGGCAAAGATTCGTGTAGTGCTCAACTGCAAGTCACCTCTTCATCAGTTGCACAGAAGAGTCCAGATATTGCTAAGATTCCTGTGGATATCACAGAGGGCCAAGACGTAACACTGAAGGCTTTGACCAGTGCACAACTTCCCAAAGTCATTTGGCTTAAGGATGATGAACCTTTGATGCAGAGTACCCACTATGATATTGATGCTAAACAAGGCATCCATACTCTGACAATAAGAAATGCCTTACCTGAGGATTCTGGGATTTACAAGTTTGATACTAATGATGATAGCACCAGTATCTTCAAGGTCACCATTAAAGGTAATACTAGCAAATTTGATTTTCAAAGAGAAAATCTTGTGTATGAAAAATTGTGGAAGGCGGTTATGTGCCTCATTAGATACACGAAAAATGCACTGCGTCGGTGCTAGCTATCAGTTAGTTTTGCAATCATACTTTTTTTTAATAGTTCCACTAATAATTTACTTTTTCTTTCACTAAAATATTTGCGGAAGCTATGTTTACTTGAATGTTTTTCTAAATTTGTTGAAGAGTGTTTTCACGTAATTATGGTATTTATTGAGGCGAGGTTTGGATAGAGTTGCTTGATGATCAGGGTAATTTTTCAGTCAATAAATTGGTTGTGGTAAATGAATATCGGACAGTGTCCCATTTAAACCTCTTACCTCTCTCATTAAATCTCATCTTAATTTATCTTCAAGGGAAAGATTCTTTAGATGGCGTCGCACCGGAGGTCACAGCAGTAAATAGTCCTGTGGAAGTACTTGAGGGAAGTACAGCCAAACTGACTTGTGTGGTCACTGGAACACCATATCCAAAAGTTACTTGGCTAATAGATGGTAGTCCTGTTGAGACAAGTGAGCGTGTCATTTTTGACTGCGATGGAGAGTTCTCATCACTTCTCTTCCTAAGCACTGAGCTGGATGACGAAGGAGAGTATCAGTGCAAAGCACAGAACGAGATTGGATCAGCAATCAGCACTATGGAACTTCTGGTAAATGAACTCAGTGACCTTGAAGATCAGAGTAAACCAGAGTTTTCAGAGAAATTGAAAGAGGTCAGCACATTTGAAGGTGATACTGCAGTCTTTAGCGTAAAGGTTCAAGGCTTTCCACTTCCTGACGTTCAGTGGTACTCGTCTGAACGGGAAATTTTAAAAAATGAGCGGTTTGTTACAGATTCTACTGTAGATGGTCGCCACACGCTCACTATCAATGACTGCGTAACTAAAGACAAAGGGAGATACAAATGTGTTGCATCCAATGTAGTTGGGAAGGCTGTGTGTTCAGCTGGGTTGACAGTTAAGGAAAAGTTAATCCCACCCCAATTTTCAGACCAAGATAGTGGAGCTCCGATGTTGATTGATGAAGGAAGCGATGTTACGCTGCAAGTTGAAGTAACTGGAAAGCCAAAGCCGTCCACTAAGTGGTACAAAGACGACCAACCAATTAGTCGAACCAGTAGCAAGTACAAGACTGATGTTCTAGGAGAGAGGCAGTCTCTCAATATTGTCGCTGCAACACCAGAAGACTCTGGAATTTATCAGTGTAGAGCTACCAGCCCGTCTGGGACAATAACGAGAACCTTCGATGTTAATATAAAAGGTTAGTTTTCGAGTCTGAAACATTTGTTTTCCATATTTCAGCCGCAGAGAATGACCGAAAAATAAATGTCAGTTTTTCATAAATTGTTCTGAGCCAGAGGTTTGGGATGTCGCCATCGTTTCTATGATTTGTTTGGAGTAGCACTCTATGGTTTGATCCTTTTTTTTTTTTCTTTTTTCGAAATTTAAAACTTCGAAATATAAAATACAGTCATGATAGTCCACCTTGTTCATTGGGGTGGGTCTTTCTCCTCGAGTTTTTTCGTGTAAAAGTATATCTCATAGTGAGCAAGAGACACCACCTTGTGAATAGAAGTATTTCCTTACTCATTACATGAACAGCAAAACAACCGGAGGGCGAGTCTCCCAAGTTCATTCAGCCCTTAAAGTCCAAGGAGGTGTTCGAAGGTAGTGCTGCAAAGCTTGAGGTCAGGATATCGGGTGAGCCAGGGCCGAAAGTGGAGTGGTTTAAAGATGAACAACCAATAGAAGAAGGTGGCAACTTCAGAATTGAATTTGACGACACTGATGGCTGTACGCTCGTCATCAATTCTACCAAGACGAGTCATGAAGGTCTGTACAAGTGCGTGGCTTCAAATTCATTTGGAAAAGCTAACTCTGAGGCAGAGTTGCTGGTTACAGGTTTGTATTTATCTTGAGGCTAGTCGTAATGAAAGGTGAAGTATTCTTTTGTGGGAGTGTGAGAGGAAGGATTGGTCAGAATTTGTGACAGGAATGTAAATGTTCATGCCCAGCATAATACGTGAGCCTGTAAATGTTGATGTTTGGAACGACATTCTTTCATTTCATTCATAAGATAGTTCGTAAATTCGTAGAATTTAATTAATTGGGCGGGCTTACTTTATATTTCCACTACCAGGCTAACGACATGTTTGAACGCATGGACGTGTTCGCTATTCAACAAGTGCGATGAAAATTTGTTTAAAATTATTATTACATGCGTCAGCTTTGCGTTGATCGAAGCACTTAGGACGTTTGGAGAGCAACAAGCTTGAGTTGCTCACGGCTGCACTTCTAGCGAGTCTTCAACATACTTGGTGCTCTCCGAAGTTCGCGCGTGCTACATGTTTTAATTGACGCATGTTGACGTAGAGCCATTTGTTCATTAGAGTCATTCTTGTATACGGTTCTTTTCTTCTGTAGGAGACGATGAAAATGAAGTGGAGTCCCCAGAAAACTTAGTAACGGTGGAAAAAAGTGTACCGATAAGTTCAGTACCTTTTGGACCAGTGGAAGTTGCACTCCCAGTTAAAGAGGAGAGCCTTCCTTCAACCTACAAGGAGAAACGTGAAGTGTCAGAGAAAGAGCTTCCACAAAGTAGACCTTCTTTTGAAGCTGTTCAGGTATCCTAAAATTTTTATTTGCGTAGAGACTATCATTCAAATACAAGAGGGTTGAAGTAAGCAGTGCTATTTGTTAGTGTCTTGGGACTCAGAACTTAGGCTCAAACTGCAGTCAATGTACTGTTTCAATGTTTCATTACAATCACCTTTCGGGTAAAAAAAGGATAGGAGCGCAAAGTATGTCAATTGAGTACGATATGGGATTGGCTTGCTAACGTTTCAAACATCTGGATGTGGCGGAAACCCTTATAAGATCTCTGTGTTTGGGTTTTGTATTCTTTTATTGATTAAGAAGATTGTAATTATTGTATCTCTGTCAATTCATTTTTGTAGCTTGTTTTACCTGGACCAGGAGATGTGCCTTTGATACCAGACACTATTTCAGCCTTGGAATACGAGCCAGTTCAACTGACACTGCCGGGTGCGGATGAACCCATTCTGCCTGACTTTATGGATGTTCCTAATGACTTAAAGGTAAATGAAGGTGCCAAGGTGGTTCTCAAAGTGAGGGTAATTGGACAACCTGTGCCTGAAGTTACATGGTTTGTAGATGACGAGCCAGTGCAACCAAGTGACAATATTTCTATTCGTTCTGATGGAGATAAGCATGAGCTTATTATTCATGAGGCAGAAGTGGATGATGAAGGGATGTACAAATGTGTAGCAAAAAGTGAGGCAGGAAAAGCTATCTGCGAAGTGGAATTGCTCGTAGAAGGTAATTTTTGTAGACTCTTAGAGACCAGCCTTCGGGTTTCGAAGGATGGATAACGCTACAACCGTTTGCCTTTTGAATAAACCTTTATCCGTTGGATAAGATAGTACGTAGGATAGCGTTATCTGCTATTTTAACAACTGGGCGTAGGCGACATCAGTTGGAATAAAGCCTGTGGAAAATTGATGTCATTGAAAAACACATCAAGTAGCGAAGTTGGAAGTTTTTTGGATCTCAAATCTGAACCAGTTATCTTTCCTCATGGTATTTCGCATGTAACAATTTTTTTCCATAGAACGTTTTTAAGCGTTTAAGAGGTATGTTGTAAGGTAGCGTTTATTACGACGCATCAGATCCATTGGTACTCATGAAGTTTTTTGTAACAAATGAAAAATGTTTAGTAGAGTGTCTTCTAACTACATTTACAGAAGCAAGAAAGCCAAAAACAGAGGAATCCCTTGAAGTTCAAATCACAAAGGAGCTGGAGGACGTTGAAGTTGATGAAGGAGAACCAGCAACTTTGGAGATCTGTTTTGTGAGTCGAGACAAACCAGCTGTGTCCTGGTTCAAGGAAATGAAGCCTGTAGAACCGAACAAGAGAGTCAAAATTATAACAGATGAGCAAAGCAGTAAGCTGATTATCAAGAAGACCGTCGGTGAAGATGAGGGACTTTACAAGTGTTCAGTTAAAAGTGGGACTTGGGAAATGAATTCCTCTGCAGAACTTATAGTTGAAGGTTTGTGAATTAGGCAAACTCAAGTAAATAAGCACTTTGGTCTTAACGATACAATTTGACCTGGTAACACGTGCATTGTTGACTTAACGCAATATGATCGTTTACAGTACTTTAGATGAGCTGTTTCTCGATATTGAACTCTCACAACCACCAAATTCAGTACCGGTACCGTATGAGTGCTGTATGAGTACAGATTAATTTTTGTTTGTTTTAATTACTCGATGATTTTTTTAAAAACTCTCTATTTCATTTCAGAACCAAGTGACGACGAAAAAGTGATGTAAGTAATTTCACGTATTGTTTTTATAGTATCATAGACATAGATGGAACCAGAACCTGATAAGAAGTTGAGACAAATTTTATCATTACCTTTTAAACTTAATTACTCCACATTGTTTACAACGTTCAGGATCCGAAAGGCATTTTATTTGAAAATGAACGTTCATTATTGTTTTGATCAGACTCAGGAAGCCTGTTCTGGTTCAAAAATTTTCTGATGGGGACATTGTGGAGGGGGAAAAGCTTGAACTGCAGATCAAAGTGATTGGCTCCAAACCTGTCACTGTCACGTGGTACAGAGACGATGAAAAGATAGAAGCAGACGATCACTGCAAATTACTCTCAGACGACGAGATTCATGTGCTCAGAGTAAACCAAGCAGAAATCGACGACGAGGCCATATACAAGTGTGTAGTGAAGAATCCTGCAGGACAAGATCAGTGTGAGGCACAAATCCTGGTTGAAGGTACTGCAGTGTTTTTACCATATGATGTTTTTGCTTAGGACCGAAAGAATTTTTTTCACCATTTGCAACTTGATTTCTCTATTTGCAGAAAAGACTGATTCTGTGGAATTTGTTGATGCAGAATTCAGTGGTATGTGATGTTCGAAATTTTAGAAACGACCAATGAAACGGAGTTCAACGTTCAAGTTGCAGCGGGTGTTTTATTCTAAAAAATACTCTTTGGTCTTTAGAACTATCGTTGTTGTAAATTCTTAACATGACCATGGTAGTGACTAAGTCATCAACGTGCAACGTCTGCAAACAAATATATTAAACGAAACAACAACAAAAAAAGCAAGCAGGTTTCATGTACCCTTGGTAGTGGGCCGAGAAAATCGGCCGAGAAAAATGACTCCAGAGCAACATGAGAAACTTTGACTGAAGTAAGCCATTCAGTTGGCTATTTACAAGCGTGCGCTTTAACTCGAACGTTGTCCTTCCGGCTTCTCTTTCTCTTTCTCGAAACCATTTTGACTTAGGCGATCTTTGACTTTCCGAATTTTTTTTTGTCACTCAGAAAACGCTCCTCATTTCATCTCACGTTTGCCAGAAGAGATAGAGGTTCTTGAAGGTGACTTAACACGGCTTGACTGTCGAATAGGACTTGCGGCAGAAGTTTCTTGGTTTAAAGATGACGAACCTTTGGAGGAGGACGATCGCATCACCATTGAAAACGAGGGTGATTCTTCTGCAGTTGTCATCTCCTGTACAGAATTAGACGATGAAGGTGACTACAAATGTGTAGTGCAAAACGAGTTTGGAAGAGCCATGTGTCAGACTGAGCTAATTGTGGAAGAAGGTGTTAGTATGCCACTGATTAAGGAGTCGCTGAAGAACCTTGAGGCCAATGAAGGTGATGTGGTTAAGTTTGAGGTTCGTATCACAGGTAACCCTGAACCGGTGGTGGAATGGTTCAAGAACGGGAGTCAGTTGCAAGACGAGGGACGTGTGATCATTGTTGACGATGCTGATGACAATGACGAAGAGCTCTTTTGTCTCGTCATTGAGGATTGTGAAGTTGGTGATTCTGGGACGTACAAGGTCGTGGCAATGAGTGAGGCTGGAACTGCCAATTGTGAGTGCAGCCTGAATGTTACTCGTACTCAGGTTCCGCCGGAGTTCAAAGATGAAATGGAAGAGGTAGGAGCATTTTATTCAAATGTGCCATCGTTTTTTCGAATTATAGATATCCTTTATGGGTAACGCACTATCTTTAGCTCGAAGTAAAAGCAGATGGTACAACAGGTACGAAAATTATTTAAACGTCGATCAGTTAGCCACCTAAGACTTGTGAAAAGAAATATTAAAACGGTGTGCTGAAAGCAGTCCTCTCCTTCATTCCCCTAACTCCTTCAAAGAATTGTAACCTTACAGAAACGTGCGTTAAGAATAGTAAGCAATTCTACATACATTGCCCATACTGGCCCTATTTTTAAGGAACTTAAACTCTTAAAATTTCATGATATCCATTCGTTTCAATTAGGTACTTTTGTGTTTTTATTCGAGAACTCTACACTCCCTTCCAAATTCAATAACTTTTTTTTACTGAATAGTCAAATCCACAATTATAATACTAGGAATGCTCAGCCCTTCCGTTTGCCACTGTGCAGAACGAACACCAGGAAGTTTTCAATTTACTTTCAAGGTCCAAACTTTTATAATTCGCTGAATTCTGACATAACTAGTTCTCCCTCCTCCGCTTCTTTTAAAAGAAAGCTTAAGGAATTTCTTCTCTCTAGGTATTAACTTCTGTAAGGCAGTAATTCTTAACTAACTTACTTAATATGTGTGTGTGTGTGTGTGTGTGTGTACGTGTGCGCGGTCAAAGTTAATTACCATAAGTCCATATTGTAATTCTAATATAAGATTAGTTATTTTAAGTGAGAAAGCCTGACTTGTTATAAGCCTCGTGGTTTCTTTCAGGTTTTCTCGCCATTTATTTTCTGTCATCAATTTTCTTCATTTTTTTTTTCCATCTGTAAATGTCGTATATGGAAAATAAATATTGTATTGTATTATTGTAGTCTGGGCTATTGCCCTGACAGTCCCACTGGGGTCACGGGTTTATGTTATTTTTGGTCCTTATGCGGTTATCCTTGATAACCTCTATGGCAGAAGGAGATTTGCTCATGCTCCGTTTACCTTTGGTTATTTATTTCTTTTCAAACATTCGTGCTCAGTTTTCATTTGTGTTATTGCCAGGTGCCTATGGAAGGCTCTCAAGGCGACAATGTGTCTATGGTTGTGAATACTGGTCGGTTACCCTCACCAGTAATTGCATGGTTCAAGGACGAAGAGCCAGTCGTGTCCAGTTCTCATCTTGAGATCTCACAGGACCCCGATCACTCTAAGCTAATGGTTCATCATGTCACCCCAGAAGACTCCGGTACTTACAAGTGTGTTGCAACTAGTGTAATGGGTACAATTACCAAGAAGTTTCTTCTTAATATAGAAGGTAACGTGATCTTTCTCTAACGTTCTGGCAAGTATTGATCAGTTAGCGAGCATATTTATTTGGTTTATAAAATCGGCATTCCTAAATGAACCCTCTTGAGCAAAGACAATAAAATACTGACATTGGTCACCAAGAGAGAGCTTTTCGTTCGATGTAGGAATCAGTAAATTTCTGTAACTGCCTCGAGGGACTGCATCGCGTTTTTCTTTGCGCTCAATTTTTCTTCTCTCCGCAATTCTGATTTTTCCTCATGAGATGAAGATATTTATTGTTGTTCTGTTTATGGTTCTGGACGTTATTTTTTTTGTTATAAATGATTGTAAAGTGCGTGCTTTTTCTCGTCACTCAGGATCAGAACCTAAATTAGAACAGACAATAAGTACTTCCGACTTGCAAGCAGAACCTGTAAGAGATGTTGCCGCACCGGTGTTCCTAAAAAAGATGGATGCTGTTGTAATTAATGCTGGAGAGGAGGCCCGATTTGATGTTAGAGTTTCTGGCGTTCCAGAACCTAAAGTTGTATGGTATCGGGGGTCAAATGAGGTGAAAGATGAAGGACGATTTGTGCACATTGATGCCATTGAAGAAGATCTGTTCACATTGGTTATTGAAAGCAGTGAATCAGGAGATGCTGGTCAATACAAGTGCGTTGCTTCCAACGAAGCTGGTCAAACGTCATGTGAAGCTCAGTTGATTGTACGCGAAAAGGAAGTTGACAAAAAACCTCTCAATGAAAATGTTCAAGGTACAAAAACTAATACTGTCGAGGACTTAAAATTTGGACACACCTACTATACTAAGTTGCATCCAGTTAGAAGAATCACTCATCTGACTCTTTTTGGAGTTGATTCAGACTCAGTGCTGCTTTGGGATTAAAGGTTACACCCTTACATTAGTTATATGCATTGTGGCGTGTCCAGTAGAGCAGTTAAATGTATTTCCTATTTCGAATACAAGGGAATTACTTACTAGTGTGTTAATAATCATCTGTCTGTCTATGAACTGAAATAAAGGGGTAAGTTTCTAAAGAAACTGTGGTGCTGCGTCGATGGGAGAGTATAGTAGGTAATTTAGTGTTAACAACTGGGTTGAAAACGTAAATTAGCCACCGTAAAGGGTAAAAAATCTGACGTTTCGAGCGTTAGACCTTCGTAATTGATTCGCTCTGAGCGAAGGGCTAACGCTCGAAACGTCAGCTTTTTTACCCTTTACGGTGGCTAATTTACGTTTTCAACCCAGTTGTTAACACTAAATTACCTGCTATGAACTAAAATATATTGTTAATGTATGCTGAAATTTAATGATAGATAAAAGCTGGAGTTCATTTATATCTTACATAGCTAAACCACGAGAAGAGGCCCCCAACTTCTCACAGCCACTGCAGACAGTTGAGGTCATAGAAGGAACTGAAGCCACTCTTAAGTGTATGGTCACAGGCAATCCAGAGCCTAACATAGCTTGGTTTAAAGATGGTGACACTGTGGCAGAGGAGAAAAGATACAAAACTCGATATAATGGAGAGCAAGCCACTTTAAAAATCCAGAATACAGAATTGGATGATGAGGGTGAATACAAGTGCGTTGCTGAAAATCACCTCGGTTCAGCCTCTTGTTCCGCTGAACTCCTTGTTAATGAACCAAACACTATGCCTGAGTTTGAAGAAAAAATGAAACCAGTTGATATCATTGAAGGAGAACTTGCACAATTTTCTGTGAAAGTGGCAGGTAATCCACCTCCTGTTATAGACTGGTTTAAGGGAAAAGATAAATTGGAGGACGAAGGGCGAATTGAAATCATTGATAACGAAGACAGTGGTAATTACACACTTATAATCAATGACACGCTCTTAGGGGATGCTGGGACATACAAGTGCATAGCTTTGAATGAAGAAGGTGAAAGGTCATGCAAAGCCGCCTTGGCAGTAAGGGAAGCTGTTACTAAACCTGAAATAGAAATTGAACCAGAAGCGACTCCGTTGAAAGTAGCAGGGGGTGATGTTGTCAGTCTTAGTGCGATCGTGAAAGGAAAACCTGTTCCCACAGTCGACTGGTACAAAGATGATGAGAAGCTGCGGGAAACAAGCCGTTTGAAGATAGATGCCAAAGATGGCGAACACTCTCTTCTTATTCTGGAAGCCAAACCTGAGGACTCTGGGGTGTACAAGTGTCAGGCAAAGAACAAAGGTGGTAACGTGGAAAAAACCTATCATGTCGACATAAAAGGTTCGTTGCTTCATGTTAAATCTTATGAGAGTAGAAGTATATCATTTGTATTCAGGTAGTCGTTATGATGTAGGCAATCTTGACACAGTTTTTTGCTGTAATTGCATGTGAAAAGCATTTGAAACCCTTTCACATTCTTTTCGAACGAGTTTCTGGAGCCCGCATGTAAAACATTCGGACTCCTCTTCTCTAGAGCCCCTAAGCGATTTTTTACCAAAAGTGGATGACCCCAATTTGAAACCCAAACCTCTAACGGAGTGCCTAACCAGTGGCATTCGTGGCATCATGACACTTCTTCTACTTTTTTTACCATTTATCGAGATTTGCACACAATTTCTAAGTAAGGTGTCAAATTAGCTGAAAGCTGCTTGTACACTCAGATTTGGATTTTCATCATTTCATTTAGCCGCACCGCCCGAAGGTATTGCACCAGTATTCATAGAGTCCCTACAGACAGTAGAGGTAGTGCAGGGGTCACCCGCCAAGCTGCAGTGTAGAGTTACTAGCAAACCAGAACCAACTATCGACTGGTTCAGAGACAACGAACCGGTGAAGGAAGATAAGAGGGTCAAGATCCGTTTTGACGGCGAATTGTGCACTTTGAAGATCTTAGAAACTGAGCTTGAAGATGAGGGCGCTTACAAATGCTTTGCAAAGAATGAATTTGGATCTGTCTCCTGCACGTCGGAACTTCTAGTTAACGAACCATACAAGAAACCGGAGTTCACACAGAGAATGAAACCCGTTAATGTCACTGAAGGAGAGGCAGCACGGTTTGATGTCACTGTGGAAGGAAATCCAATTCCAGTGGTGGATTGGTTCCGTGGCAAAGACAAACTGGAAGACGATGGTCGTTACGTGATGATGAATGACGAAGAGGCAGGCATCTCCACACTGATCATCGAGGACACTCTTCTTGAAGATGCAGGAACGTACAAATGCATAGCTGCGAACGAGGAAGGACAGGCAAGTTGTAAAGCTGCTCTTGCTGTCAAAGAGAAAATGATGACACCAGAGTTCACGGACGAAGAACAAAGCCTTCCATTTAACTTTATGGAAGGAGATGAGGCACGCTTAACTGTAGGTATTAAAGGCAAGCCTGTACCAACTGTGGAGTGGTACAAAGATGACAAAAAGGTAAGAAAAACCAGCAGAATAAGAATGGACGAAAAGGATGGCAAGTTCTCTTTGGTGATTTTAGATGTTACTTCTGAAGACAAGGGAAGCTACAGATGTGAAGCCTCAAGCAAGGCAGGCACTGTCACTCGTAGATTTGATGTAAACGTAGCAGGTAAGGTAGCGTTTCACTGACGTGCATATTAAAAAGGGGTTGCTACCTTACTCGGCCCTTAATCTAAACGTACCGTGAAATAAGATTGAAGTTGCAATACTAGAAAGATAATTGTATGTTTGGGGCTCATAACGTTAACAAAGTGTTATGCGGTTTGATGATTTTAACTTGATGGAGTTTTTTTTTTCCCTATTGATTCAAATACATTTCTTCATTTACGCTAGGATGGTAACTTTGTTTTAGGCGGATGCTAATCATCGAACCTAAGAAACACTTTTATCAGCCTAGGCCCAGCTACCTCTTTTCAGTCCTCTTTTGGAGACCACCTTTTTCTTTCGTGATCTTGCTCGCCGACGGTATAAACAGTCGTGCGGTATTGATACACGAGGGGAGCAATTTCCTTATTTAAAATCAAACATTTACAAGATGACCGTGATTCAGACTCTTTCTGCTTCTCTTACTCTCAACATATTAAGCTTCGTTTCTTATTGTTTCGCAGAAAAGAGCCCGGAAGGAAAAGCACCGGAAATTGTGGAACCTTTAAAGTTTGTTCAGGTCCTTGAAGGTTCTCCTGCCGAGTTAAAATGCCAAATAAGCGGACAGCCCAAGCCAACGGTGGAGTGGCTTAGAGGCAACGAGAAAGTGAAGGAGTCCGAGCGTATACAGTTTGTAAGTAATAATGAAACCTTCTCTCTGAATTTCAAGGAAACCGAACTTGACGATGAAGGTGACTACAAATGTGTTGCCCAGAATGAGTTTGGCAGTGTGTCTTGCTGGGCTGAATTTCTTGTAAACAAACCAGCTGCAAAACCGGAGTTCAGGGAGAAAATGAAGCATGTCACTGTCCAGGTTGGTCAACAAGCCAGGTTTGATGTGCTTATTACGGGAGTACCCAGGCCACAAGTTGATTGGATGAAAGACGGTAAGATATTGGAAGAACCAGCTGAGCGATTTACTTTTCTGGATGATGAGGATGAGGAAGATGAAGGGCGCTCCTCACTTACCATTGAGGACGTAAAACTAGAAGATGCTGGAAAATACGGATGTCTTGCATTCAATGAAGAAGGTGAAGTATTCTGCGAGGCCAACCTTTTAGTGCAAGAGACCCTGATTGCCCCTGCGTTTGTTGACGAAGCTGAAAGTGCCCCAATTCTTGCTGAAGAGGGAGGTGAAATCAATTTGAGTGCAGAACTGAGGAAAAGCCAACCAGAACTGAAAGTTGAATGGCTCAAAGATGACAAAACAGTCAAAGAGGATCAACGTTTGAATCGTTTTGTCATAGAGGACACACACATGCTGAAAATTACGGGGGTTGTCCCAGAAGATTCTGGGTTGTACAAGCTTAAGGCTAGTGGCAAAGCGGGCTCTGTAGAGAGGGAGTTTGATGTACAAATTTCAGGTATTGTGTCTAGCTGCAGTGTGCATTTTCTGGCACCAAATTATAATCACTAGTCAATCCCAGCTGAGCTCTGTCTTTATTATCATAACCTACCCAATCCGTAATCACTTAGTAAGCATCTCGGTTTTCTGTTGCAGGAGCAAGTGGGTGAATATCTGTTTCTCTGAACTTTTAAGCTACATTCCAAGGCATAATTATTTGTGACACTTCCCAAGAACAACTTTCATGTTGTTCTTTCACCCCTTTCCCCCTTCCTATGATGTTAATTGCCACTGTCTCTGCCACCTTCTTTGTCTCAACCATGGTGTCTGGGGTGTAAACCTGCACGACACTAACAGACAGACAGGCCGACAAACTAAAAGACAGGTAGGACTTGCTTGTTTCATAAAAAAAACCTTAAAAAATCTTTTGACTTTACCTTAATAGCCAAGCAGCCAGAGGGCGATGAACCACAATTTACAGAACCCTTACAAGCAGTAGAAGTGAAAGAGGGCGATGCGACTAAACTTCATTGTACAGTTACCGCTGAACCACCCCCGACCTTTGAGTGGCTAAAAGATGGAGTTCGAGTGAAAGAGAGCAGAAGAGTTAAAGTGGATAGTGATGGGATGACATCCTCTCTCTCTTTTAAAGACGCGAGGCCAGATGACAAAGGAGAATACAAATGTGTTGCCTCTAACGCATTCGGTTCTGCTTCGTGCGCAGCAGCGTTGAAAGTGATGGTTCTATCTAAACCAGACTTTAAAGAGAAATTGGGAGGGGTTGAAGTAGTTGAGGGTGATTGTGCCAGCTTTGACGTTGTTGTAGTCGGTTATCCTGAACCGTTTGTTGAGTGGTACAGAGGGACCATAAAACTACAGAATGACGAGCGCACTGAGATCAAAGAGGTTAAGGATCTTGCCCGTTTTTCTCTTACCATTAAGGATGTTAGTCGTGATGATGCTGGGATCTATAAATGCGTGGCCTTCAATGAAGCTGGAAAGACCACAGTACGTGGTGAGCTCTCTGTGAAGGAGAGGCTGTTTGCTCCTGAAATTCCTGAAGGACAGGAAGAGGCTCCCATTACAGTTACAGAAGGCGATGACTGTAATTTGAATACAACAATCGTTGGGAAGCCGAAACCTGACGTGAAATGGTACAAAGACGATAAACCCCTTCGCGAGAGTACAAGGCTTGACATCAAAGCGCGTGGAGATAAACACTCTGTAGTGATTCTTGGAATCCAGACGAATGACTCTGGTGTTTATAAGTGTGAAGCTAAGAGTAAGATGGGAACTGCAACCAGAAAGTTTGATGTCAGAGTACGAGGTATGTTACCTTTGTTCCTGGAATCGTTGACGTTTTTTGCCTCCGGAAATCCATGTAACTGAAACTATGACCATATAAGGTGTGCAGGATAGCCAGAGCTTTATCGCATATTTTCTTAATTGGCCTATGTCTTCCCAGAACGTTTAATGTCAGAGTACGAGGTATTTTACCTTTATTCCTGGAATCGTTGACTTTTTTTGCCTCCGGAAATCCATTTAACTGAAACTATGACCATCTAAGGTATGCAGGGTTGCCAGAGAGTTTTATCACATATTTTCTTAAATGGCTTATGTCCTCCCAGCGTCTCAAGTAACATGCGTTAACATGCGTTAACATGCGTTAACATGCTTGCGACTGAAATGGTTATATCCTTCATGAGTTTTTACAAAAATTGGCATTGTATTATTGTAACACAATGCCCTTTTTTGCCTGTGTTTTTTCCTTGACAGCCGAGAAACCGAAAGGAATAGCACCAGAAATCTTAACACCCCTCCAAAACCTTACAGTTGTGGAAGGTAAACCAGCAAACTTGGAGTGTGAGGTAAAAGGAGAACCACAACCCAATATTGAATGGTTTAAAGATGGCGAGAAAGTGAAACAGTCGGAGCGCATCAACTTGAACTTTGAAGGCAATTTTGCTTCTTTATCGTTCAAACCAGCTGAGCTTGACGATGAGGGTGAGTACAAGTGCGTGGCTCGTAACGAGCTCGGCAGTGTGTCAAGCGAAGCAGAGCTTCTGGTGGAAGAAGCTGAAACCAAACCAGACTTTAAAGAAGAGCTGAAGAATATCAGTGTCTTGCCAAGGGCCGAAGCCAGGTTTGATGTGCGTGTTATGGGTGTACCGCCACCAGAAGTTGACTGGTTTAAGGGAAAACAAAAGATCGAAGATGAGGGTCGCTTTATTTTGATTGATGACGAAGAGGACGACCTGTTTTCTTTAGTGATTGAAGAGGCAAGGCCAAGTGACAGCGGTGAATATGAGTGTGTTGCATTCAATGAAGTCGGTGAAGTTTCATGTAAAAGTAAATTAATTGTTGGAGAAACGCTGATCCCACGAGAAGAGGCTGAGGAAGCTGAAAGTGCGCTGCCTGCGGTTGAAGAATCCATCACTGTACCTGAGTCAGCTGCCAAGGTCGAGAGCGCTCTTGTTATGGAACAGGAAGGAGGGGATGTGAAAGGTAGTCAAGAAAAAAACAGCATTTTGACAGTATGTTCGTGTGTGTTGCTTTCATTTAAAGGTAGCCCTTCCAAACCATCAGTGAATATTCTACAGTGTGAGGTTAATTTATCTGAAATGTTGCGCATGTGGATTGGAGGTCCTTTCGTGTAGTCTCACCATTGCAATACATCTACTGTTTCTGTGAAGATCCATTTGAAAAAAGGAGACAACCCATCGGAAGGCTTTGTTCCCAAAGAAACTTTTGAAAGGGAAATAGCTACCTTTTAACGCCTTACTCGTTTCTTTTAAACATTTAGCATCTGCTAATTATCTGCATGTATTTACTGTTGTTGTTTTTCTTGGTTTTTCTTCATACGTGCATTCCATTGTAGTGGTAGGTTTCTTTTATTCTTTCCATTAACGCGTGAGTATCATTCTTAAAACCGTCGTTCACATCAATGAAGGGATCTTTTGTAATTTTGCTGGTCCTCTTTACTATTTTTGTTGCTTTAAAATGTAGCTAAGAAACCAGAAGGAAAAGCACCGGTATTTTCTGAATCTCTTCAACCCGTGGAGGTAAAGGAAGGAAGTGATGCCAAACTACAGTGCACTGTGACTGCTGAACCCAAACCTAAAATCGAGTGGTTTAAAAAGGGAGTGCAGATGAAGGAAAACAGACGGGTCAAGTTTGAAAGTGATGGCGACTCCTTTGCTGTAACAATTAGGGATGCCAGATCTTTTGATGAAGGAGAATACAAGTGCGTGGCTACCAATGAGATTGACTCAGCATCCTGTGCGGCCACTCTAACAGTGCGAGTCGTAGCTAAGCCAGAATTCAAGGACAAACTCAAAAGAGTCGAAGTGATGGAAGGAGACTCTGCGCAATTTGATACTCGAGTAGTTGGTTACCCTGTGCCTGAGCTACAGTGGTTTAAAGGGATTAGTAAGCTGAAGAGCGAAGGTCGAATTGAGTTTAAAGAGAATTCTGAAGACAATATGTTTTCACTTGAAATCCGTGATACCCAGCGTGACGATGCTGGGATGTACAAGTGTGAAGCCTCAAACGAAGGGGGTAAGGTGTTTTTTTTTTCGTTATGTTCAGCTTTAAAATTTTGCGCACATCTGTGCGCGTCTGTCTAAAATCAGTCTTAACGAGTGATTGGCGTCAGAGATTCCGCGCATTTGTTCTGGTAACGGAGATGTATGCTTTGTTATGTATGCACTTACATCTGTAATTGCGCGCTTTTTTTATGAATGATTGTCGACCAATATAGACCCGTTAATTTGCTAATAGTTACTTAGGGCGAAGCATATAAAAGAGATTTAACGCTAATTCTTCTGACCCAGGTAAAACCACATGCCGAGCGGACCTCATAGTAAAGGAGAGGCTTTTCGCCCCCGAAATTTCAGGAGACCAATCTGAGGCTCCCCTTACTGTGACTGAAGGCGGAGAAGTTAGTTTGGATGTCACAATCAACGGAAAACCAAAACCTGACGTGAAATGGTACAAAGATGACAAACCCCTTCGCGAGAGTACCAGACTAGACATTAGAGCACGTGGAGATAAACACTCTGTGGTGATTCTTGGCATCAGGGCGGATGACTCCGGTGTTTACAAGTGTGAAGCTAAGAGTAAGATGGGAACTGCCACCAGAACGTTTGATGTCAGGGTACAAGGTAGGACTCTTTTAACCCCAATACGTAATTTTTCCGACTGTAATTGAACGTTGTTTGAACCTTTTAGGTGAAACATCTTTTAAACAAGAGATACTTCCCTCCACAGCTCTCTCTTTTTAACGCACTTCTTATCTCTGAAATGGAAGAATTTTCAAATGTGATTTTGGTGTATGCGTTTTGAGAGTTTTATGATTTTGAGAGAAGCTAGAGTCTCTTCTTCACAATGATAAGGTGCACTGAAATCGTCACTTAAACATTGTGGGCTGGCGAGTAGACGAGTTCTAACCCAAACCGCGGTTCTACACAAGTAGTGAGCCTTACATATTCTCTATAAAGAGAGTTGTTTTCATTAAATGATTGTCCTTCCAACGCTAGTTTTGGGCCTTCTTGACAACGTGCACAGTTTAGGACGCGGTTTTTTTAAAATACGGCTAAACTTTTTTTTTTTTTTAAATAACCGGCCTTGTATTTCACCTTAGCACCAGCCTCTGAATTTTTACTGCGACTAACAATTCAAAATAGGACCTGCAGGAATGTCAGACGTTTCTGGCCCATTCAATGTTTATTGTTTTATGATATTATAATCACTACATTGTGATATATACTTCAGTAATTACTATATTTTTGTTTACACCCTCAGCTGAGAGGCCTAAAGGAAGTGCCCCAGAGTTTACCTTTCCTTTGCAATCAGTTGAAGTATCCGAAGGGACCAAAGTGAAACTTTCCTGTACTCTGAAGGGGACTCCGCAACCAACCATCCAGTGGCTTAAAGATGGAGAACCATTAGAGACCAACAAAGGAGTTACAGCTGACTTTGATGGAGAACTTGCTTCTTTGTCATTTAGTGCAGCGGAACTTGACGATGAGGGTGATTACAAATGTATTGCTCAAAATGAGCTGGGTACTGCATCCTGCTCTGCAGAACTTCTCGTAAACGAAGCTGATAGTAAACCAGAATTTACCGAAGCTATGAAGGACATCGAAGTAGCTGAAAACAAAGAAGGAAGGTTTGATGTGCGTGTAACAGGATATCCTAAACCAGCTGTGCAATGGCTTAAAGGAGCTGACAAGATCGAAGATGCTGGAAAATATATTTTGATTGACGATGAGGAAGATGATCTCTTCTCTCTTGTAATTGACGATGTTTCCCCAGATGAAGCCGGTACTTACACCTGCAAAGTAACTAATAACGTTGGAGAGGCCGCCTGCGAAGCTGAACTTAAACTGAAGGAGAGTATAGCGGCCCCTGAATTTGCTGACGAGGAGGAGACAGGCCCAATCACAGCAGTTGAAGGTGGCGAGGTGACATTGTCTGTTGCCGTAAAAGGCAAACCTCGTCCTGATGTTGAGTGGTTCAAAAATGATAAGCCACTGAAAAAAACAAGTCGTCTGGACGTAAGATCCCGAGACGACAAGTTCTCTTTAGCTGTTATGAATGTCTCACCAGAGGACTCTGGCCTTTACAAGTGTGTGGCTAGCAGCAGGGTTGGACGCGTTATTAGAACATTCCAAGTGAATATCGAAGGTAAGATATTTCTTTTTTCGCAGTACTATGATGTAAATACTTTTTCAGAGCTGGAGAGAATTTTAAACACGGTGTAAGGGAATAAGAAATCACTGAAAATGACATACATGGCTTTCTCTGGGGGGGGGGGGGGATTTGGCTTTCAGTCCAGTGTTAAGAAAAAAGTATTCAAAGCATCCAGTCAGTGATAACATGTACAAAAGTTTTCCTTTCAGGAAAAAAAGCAAAGAAACCTAAAGGAGTGGCACCACAAGTTACACAGCCTTTAAAAGCAACGCAGATTGTAGAGGGAAATCCTGTAAGACTGAAATGTCGCATGACTGGATCACCAGAACCCACGGCAGAGTGGTTAAAAAATGGAGAACAAGTCGAACTTAGTCAAAGGATCAAAGCTGATGTAATAGGCGATATGTGTCAATTGTCCTTCGCTGAAACGCAAGAAGACGATAGTGGATCTTATAAATGTGTCATTAAAAACGATCTAGGGTCGACTTTTTCAGAAGCAGAACTTGTCGTGACCATACCAATTGTAGCACCCAAATTTAAGGAAAAGCTAAAAGGTTTACAGGTGAATGAAGGCGAACAAGTTCAGCTTGATGTACGGGTTAGCGGAAATCCTACGCCGAACGTTTCTTGGTTCCGTGGACCTCAAGCTATCATTAACGAAGGGCGATTTATTGTTAAAGCAGACGACGGGGATGAATTATATTCTCTAATAATTGATGAAACAACTTTAGATGACAGTGGTACTTACAAATGTGTTGCGTCTAACGAGGCAGGAAAAGCCACATGTCGTGGGGAATTAGAAGTTAATGAAAAGCTTACGGCTCCAGAATTTGCAGGCGTGTTCAGTGACGCTCCAGTTATCTTCAGAGAAGGGGAAGAAGTTTCGATGGAAGTTACAATACGAGGAAAACCTGCTCCTGACGTTGAGTGGTATAAAGATGAACTTAGTGTCAGAAAGTCATCAAATATGACCACCCTGGTCAAAGGAGAGAAACAAACACTTCTCATATACAACGCCAAGCCAGCTGATTCTGGAGTGTATAAATGTGTGGCAAAGAGTAACATGGGAACAGCAATGCGGACGTTTAACATCACCGTAGAAGGTTAGCTAATTTCAGATAAAAATGAGTTATACAAACATAGGGCCCATCTTATATTTCTTTATCTACTGTGAAGGACTCAAAACTAGTTAAGTCATCCCTTGAGCCCATATTTTTTTAAGGCGATGGTGGTAAACGCTACAATTCTTGTATCACCAACTCCAAACCTGTGGAAAAAGAAACATCTCTCAACCTCAATATTCCTAACTCTTTCCTTTTTCTTAACCAGCCAAGAAACCCAAAGGCTCAGCGCCGGAGTTTTTCAAGCCTCTAAAGAAAATAGAAGTTGTTGAAGGCAGTAGTGCTAAATTAGAGGGCTGGGTTCATGGAAAGCCAGAACCAAGTATCGAATGGTACAAAGACGATGAACTTGTCACATCTAATAGACGAGTGAAAACCTACTTCGACTCGGAAGTTTGCAGACTGACAATTTCTGATACTGTTGCTGATGACGAAGGGGAATATAAATGTGTAGCAACCAATGAACTTGGCAGTGTGTCGTGCTCCGCAGAGCTGCTTGTTAATGAAGCTGTTATAATACCAGAGTTTGAGGAGAAATTGAAGCACACTGAAGTTATTGAGGGTGATACCGCGCGATTTGATGTCTGCGTGGTTGGCAATCCTAAGCCTGTTACTGAATGGTCAAAGGGTGGAAAAGCTATCGTCAGTGGAGGAAGATTTAAAATTGTGTATTCTGAGGACAGCAATGTACATTCCTTATTTATTGAGAATGTGTCATTAGATGACTTCGGAAGCTATAAATGCGTTGCGTCTAACGAAGCTGGAAGAATGCAATGTTCTGCACGGCTTGATGTAAAAGAGAGACAGATTGCGCCAGAGTTCTCCGATGAATACGGTGATTCACCAATAGAAATTAAGGAAGGCGATGAACTTAAGATAAACGTGACAATTCGGGGGAATCCAAGTCCAGACGTAGAATGGTTTAAAGATGACAAGCCATTTAAAAGAACAAGTCGCGGAAATATATCAGCGCGAGGAAATAAATTTGGTATCACAATCTTCACTGTTACTCCCGAGGACTCTGGAGTGTATAAATGTGTTGCGAAGAGTGCTGCAGGTACAACGACTAAAACCTTCCAGGTTGATATCGAAGGTAAGTAAATGTGCGTGGTACTGCATGGAGTGTGACGCTATTTATATCATTCACACAACAATGTAAGTTGTTTTGTAGAACTCAGTACTGTTATCCATCCGTGGTAGGTTTGTGGCAAAGTCTTCTGCAGAATTTTTCTGGATTTTTCTTGGTTATGTTAATTTTGTTTTTTTAATCGAAGTGTGTATGTCTTCTGCAGGCAAGAAACCTGCACCCAGATTCACTCAACCGTTGGAAGAGACTCAAGCTACCATCGGAATGACAGCGAGACTGAAATGTCGCCTAAATGCCACAGCCAAACCTAATATTGAATGGAAAAAGAATGGTCAACCTGTTAGTGAAAACCGACGGGTGAAAACAGAGTTGGAGGGTGACCTCATCTCACTGGTCATCTCGGACGCTAGGTTTGAAGATAGCGGAGAATACCAGTGTGTTGTTAAGAATAAGAGTGGAACTGCGTCTTGTAGTACGCGTCTTTTTGTGAGCGAATCGACGAGTAAACCAGAGTTCAGAAAAGTGATGAATGATCTGGAATTACTAGAAGGAGATGACGCCGTTTTTGAGATTGCAGTTAATGCCAAGCCCGACCCCAAGGTGCAATGGTTCTTAAGAAAAATGCCCATCAAGAGTGAAGGAAAGTACACCATCGATGAAGACTCAGAGCGGCAGAGGTTTTCACTCACTATAAGCGATTGCCACACAGAGGACAGTGGTCAGTATCGGTGCCTTGTAACAAACAGCGCTGGTGAAGCCGCGAGTTCAGCTGAGCTCAAAGTCAGTGATAGACAAGTGGCACCCAGATTTATTCAAGGCACAGAGGAGCAGCTGTTTGAGGTTTGGGAAGGAGCTCCTGTCAAGCTTGTGGTGCAAGCCAGAGGGAAGCCCACCCCTCAAGTGGAATGGTTTAAGGAGAATCGCCTGGCTCGGAGAGTCAAGCGAGTTGAGCTGGAGACCGAAGGTGACCAGAGCATTCTGTTGATTCCCAAGGCAGTCCCAGATGATTCAGGGAATTACCGAGTTGAAGCCACGAACTCCGCTGGAACAGCTGTCAAACCATTTGTTGTTAAAGTTAATGGTAGGCTTAAAATTCAAGTATTTGTCAAACATTACTTTAAAAAAAACACTAGAAAAGTCAAGATAAGTTATTAGGGCTGTCAAATAATAAAACTTGGTAATTAGAGTATCATATTTTTAAAGAAAAATTGCCACAACTTAGCGGAGATTTTTTGATATGTGACACTGAGGTAAGGAATGTTCTTATAACAGCCTTCCATTAGTTGGATACTTTTTGTTCATAATTCCTTACACAGAAGCCAGACTCTAAGACAACAGAGGTTGAGTCTTTGATGCGAATTAAATGAGTGTTATTCTGGTTCACAGCTCAAAAGCTTGTTCTTAGACGAGAACCAGTTCCTGCCGGAGCTGTAAAACCAGAATTCATTCAGCGACTTCAGGACGTTGAGATCGTTGAAGGGAGTGCTGCTAAGTTTGATGTCCGTGTCAAAGGTAAGATTAATTCTAATCCTCTAATGAATTAAGTCAGCCTTATTCCTTGAATATTTCCTGATATTGCGGCAACTGTAGTGCTTGTAATCACAACAATTTGATCATTTCATTTTAAATAAGAAATAATACCAAAGGCGATAATGTAACTGAACGCACACCACACAAAACAAAAAATAACTCAGTCACAGTTAAATGGGAGTGGGGGAATTAATTGGCCTTTGTTTTGGTTGTTATGATATCTTGTTGATATTATGGTTTCCGTCTATTCAGGGACACCCGAGCCGGAGGTGGACTGGTACAAAGACAACCGTGTGATACGTGAAGGCGGTCGAATGAGATTCTTGTTTGAAGACGACGGTTTGTGTTCACTGCTCATAAGAGAGGCTGAATCATCTGACCGAGGGCGATACAAGTGCGTGGCGAGTAATCCAGCCGGCAAAGTTCAGTGCAGTGCAGAACTATTCATAGAGAGTAAGTATCTAATTTTCTTGTTAAACGCTGTCTTTAACTTTGTTTTTTGTGATAGAAATCAAGCAACACGGTGTTTTTTTTTTTGTTTGTTTGTTTGTTTGTTTGTTTGTTTTTTTACCATATTTTGTAATGTTACCATAAGCTTGTTGTTTCACTAAAATTGTTACTTTCTCTTTCGTGCACAGGCCATGGTTTTGATTCTACCAGTGGCTCTGATTACGAGAGACGTCTTTCACGGTGAGTTACGATCACTCAATAAGCACACAGCAAATATTATTAAAAAGATTGTTCAGTTGGCAAATGAATCCTATGCTTCGCGAGGGAGACATACTTGTGTAATATATTTTTTAACATGAGCTTCCCATTTTGTTTCGAGAAAGGACATGTTTAATCCAGGATTGAATATCTTACGACTTATATAAATTGTTTATTTTTTCTTTTGTCAGAGAGTCAACTTTTGATATGCTGTCGGACGACACAGAAGATGAAGTTGAATCATCCTCCTCAAGTGGTCCACCTAAGCTTCCTCCAGACATAACGCTTGTGTTACGCAACCGTGACGTGAAGGAGGGTGGCGTGACAAAGTTTGCTTGTCGAGTGGTTAGCAGTAGTAGCGTGACTGCTGAGTGGTACAAAGATGATCAGCTTGTCAATAAATGGCCCCGCTTCACTTGTGAACGTGATGAGGATCTTTATGCTTTGAACATCACAGACGCCAAGAGGACAGATGCAGGACACATTCGATTTGTGGCAAGGAACGAGTTTGGTCAGGTTGAGAGCAATGCATACCTCAATGTTGAACGTGAGTAGCACCAATTTGGGAATTTTATGATAATTTGGTTCTAAAGGTCAACTCAAGGTGGTGGCACCTTATGCTCTTCGTTTCATGGGCTGATAATTTTTTTTTTGACAATTTTATCGTTTGGTAATGTGGTGATCTGAGAATTTTTTGGCCCTATTTCAGCTGACATGGAACCTGAATTCGAAGGAAACACACCAAGGTTTACTCAGAAACTTAAAGATGTTGATGCAGTGCCCGGTAAAACGGCGAGACTGGAGTGCCGTGTGATCGGCGACCCGCGGCCGGATATCCGATGGTACAGAGAGAACGAACCCTTGCTCGAGGGAGGGAGGTACAAGTTTGAGGATGATGATGACAGACAAGTGCTTGTCATAGATGACGTGTGCGGAAGTGACGAAGGCATGTACAAGTGCGTGGCAAGGAACAGCGCCGGCAAGGCTCACTGCTCAGCAGATTTGTATATATTACGTAAGCGATTAATTTGTGTTGTCTGCTTCTTTGTTTATTGTCATTCATTTGTTTCTGCTTCTTTGTTTATTGTCATTCATTTGTTTCTGCTTCTTTGTTTATTGTCATTCATTTGTTTCTGCTTCTTTGTTTATTGTCATTCATTTGTTTCTGCTTCTTTGTTTATTGTCATTCATTTGTTTCTGCTTCTTATAATTCCCTCTTATAACAACATTTGATCGTTCGCATCGCTTCCTCTGTGAAATTATTCCCTCTGCCTCCAATAAGCCATTTGCTTTCTTTTAATCACAGAAACAGATGACGAAGAGAGCGAATCAGCTGGTGAACAAGAACCAGAGGAAGAGAAGTATGTTACAAACAAAATTTTCACTGTTTGATTAATCTTCGTGTAAAGCCGCAGTTGGTTTGACAAACGGCAAATAAATTTTCCTTTAGATATTGATTATATAAGAATGAAAGTTGAGCGACCCTTTGAGTGGATGGAAATTAACAAATTGTGTTTTTTGTGTAGACGAAAACAACGTGTTTCTACGGAAGCATCACCAGTGATTGAGACCCTCATCTCGCCTGATTCAGCTCAGGTAGAGAAGTCAGAACCACCCTTGCCAACAACTCTAAAAACACAATCCAAACCGGAACCTCCAAAACCAAAAGAACGTCTCCGACAACCAGAATTTATTCTAAAGCTTCGAGATAAGTCAGCGGTTGAAGGCAGCTCAGTTCGCTTGGCATGTCGGGCCATGGGAACACCGGAACCTGGATTCCAGTGGTACAAGGATGGCGAACCAATTAGCGCAGGAGGACGGTTTGACATCAACCAATCAGTGAGCGGATTTACGCTTGTGATCAAAGAATGTCAGTTGGAAGACTCCGGTGAATATCAATGTGAAGCCACAAACAAAGTAGGCAGCGTCAGCACCTCCGCTAAAGTCACTATTACAGGTTGGTCTCATTCGTTTTCTATGTTTAGTTACCCAGAATTTATATGAAGACCTTACAACATTACCTTGATTTGTAAACCCTTTGATTGTTTCGAGGAAGTCTTTGACTGTCTTGGTTTTTTAAAGGGAGTAAAGATGTAAACAGTTCAGAAGAAAAGAAAAACGGAAATAGTTTGACCTAACAATTCTTTTTTGTTGTTAAAATTTGTTTAGCACTCTCCAAACCTCGTCAAGAAGTAACGGTTAGTCCAAAATTTGAACAGAATTTCAGTGAGACAAAAATCACTGAGGGGGAAGACGTTAAACTGACAGCTAAGGTGTCGGGTAATCCAGTCCCAGATGTGATATGGCAGAAGGGAGGCAAGCCAATCAGAGAAGGCCGTCGAATTAAGATTGACAAGAGCAAAAATGGGGTGCATTCACTTCGTATACCACGTGCACAGGCTGATGATGGAGGAGAGTACACGTGCATAGCAAGAAACAAGGCAGGGGAGGCTTCATGTTCTGCTAAGCTTACTGTTGAAGGTGTGTAGGGCTACTTTTATTACAACTTGGTAAAATTATTTCGATTTGATATGATGGTCGGTATACATCTTTCTTTCCCTTCAGTGATAATCGTAGTTGCGCTCGTTCGTCCCCCAGTGGGTAATTTTGTCTCCTTATTGCAGTCGCTCCGTCCGCCCTTTTTTATTGTTTGATCATTGTAAACTTGTCAATCCAACCATTCGTTTGCCCATCGTTCGTTTAATCCATTCGCTTCTTCATCTTATGTATTGGCACTGGCCTGTCTTCGCTCTTTTGAGACTCATGCTTTTGTCTCTTTGTTTCTTTACAGCTCCCAAGCCAGAAATCAAGGAGGGTGTTATGTCACTGTAAGTCAATTTATCGCCTAAACTTACTCTTGAAAATTCTTGTTACTTCATGTTTCTTTTTGTACGTCTTTTCTAATCATACGATCCTTGTTTTGTCTTTCAGTCCTAAGAAGCCAGTTGACGAGGACATTGTAGTAATGGCCACAGACATTCCAGTGTCGCGTGAACGTGAGCTTGAGAGTGGTACTCCTGCGACCCCTCCTAAGTTTGATCAGACGATGCAGACAGCAGAAGTTATAGAAGGAAGCGCGGCGCGATTTGATGTCACGGTCACTGGAAGCCCTGTCCCGAAAGTACGCTGGCTAAAGGATGACAAACTGCTTGAGGAGAACCGAAAAATCCGGTTTGATGAGGATGACGACGGAGTGTTCTCCCTATTTGTTAATGATGTTGTTGTAGACGATGAGGGCGTGTACAAGTGTGAAGCAACAAATGTCAAAGGAGAAGTGACCTGCAGCGCAGAGCTAATAGTAGAAGGTTAGTTGCCTTTGATGCTTTTCTTCGCTCAGTTATCTAAAAAGACTCAAGAAACACATATCATGTCAGGATTAAAGGTTAATACTGGTTGAAAACCTCTGAGCTCAATGATTGTCATTGCCGATCTTTTTTCACCAGAACTTCATTTGAGGGAGATATCGAAAGCCTGATGTTTCACCCTGAACAAACCCTCTCATCTTTTCTAAGGAATTAAAATTTGAAGAGCTCTTCTGAATTCGAGGCATTTCAGATGTGATTGTTTGTTTGTTCATTTTCACACAGGCCTTGAAGAATCAACAGGAGATGAGAGTGAGGAAACTTCGGAAGATGAGTTACAGTCCAAGGAAGAACTTCCAATAAAGTAAGATAAGATGGGGTGTGACGCTCGCCCACATACGGCTCACGATGGAAAATTAGCTGGATTGTCAATGATGGCCATCAATTAGTTCAATACCCAACGGAGTTTTTGTTATAACTCCATTGCTTTCATTTTACTTTTTATTGTGCCTACTCTTCTAGCTTTGTGAACCTTATATATTCAGAAAAAAATTAATTTAAGACCCTCCTTTTCCTGATTTTCGGTTGGCTTCTATTTGCTAATTTCTTGTCGCTTTTTCCCATTCTAGGGAGGCGCCGAAACCTACTGACAAGAAAGTGGCGCCCCCACCTGCACCAAAACCAAAGCCTGCAGTTAAATCAGGTCAGGCAAGATGTAAACAATTATCCTTTACTCCAACACCAACTCTTGGTCGAGGCGTTAAACGTGGATGCGTTTGAATATTTCGACTGATTTTTGTTTCGTTTCTTTACCCCTAGTTCCAAAACCGGTTTTCTCATCAGAGCTTCAAGACAAACAGGTTAAAGAAGGAGACAATCTGACGCTAGACGTTCGAGTACCAATCGAGTGCAAAGCCGAGGTTACGTGGTACAAAGACGACCATGCTCTGAAAGAGGACCATCATATTGCCATTATCTCCGCTGGAGAGATGCAAGCAGTTAACATCTTCGATGTGTCAGTCAAAGATGAGGCGGTCTACCGTTGTGTTGCCGCCAATGATGCTGGATCAGTTTCTACTGATTGTGAAGTGCTTGTTGAAGGTATCCTCTCTATGTTGTTAGCAGTATGAATTCATAATAATGTGGCTATATATGTAACGTCATCAACGACAACACCTTTGTGCTATTACACTGGCGAATTGTTAGGATTTCCGGATTTCGGTGTAACAAATGGTTGACAAAAAGGGGGGAACTATACAATGGTTGAATTGAATTGTTTTGTGTTGTTGTTTTTTTTTTTGCGGTAAGCTTATCATTTTGTGCTTTTATTTTTACAGAGAAAGTCAAAGTTCCCCAAACAGTAATGAACCGCGGGTGAGTACATCGTGATTCTTGCTTGAAATGTGGTTTACACATAATTCTTAGATTGATCTTAAAATTCACATATCTGTGGATAACATGTCCCCCTAATTTACGTCCTTATCGGTAAATTTTTTTTCATGATTCGTTTTGAAGTACACTCGCTCCATGAAATTAATTGAGCAAACTCGTTCCGACTGCCAACAGCAAAATCACTGATATTAGTTGATTAGGAGGATGACTGCAGTTGAATTTATTTTAACGAAGCAAGAATCCTGTAATTATTTTCGCTGTGAAAATGTTTGAACTCATCGTTCAGTGTCGAGCACACTTGGGGTCTCTGTTTGCATTGGAAAAGATCTGAGTTCGATGTTAATTAATACTGTTCCTTTTTTTTTATTTCAATCTCAGTCGCCTTTCCCAAATGGCGCCCGAATTTGTTCAAGAATGTAGCGACCTATGTGTGGTAAAGAATTCCACTGCACAACTAGAAATAATAGCCGCTGGCAGCCAACCACTGCAGATTCGATGGTTTAAAGACAACGAGCCGATCAAGTATGGAAAGCGGTTGAAGTTGTCGTCTGATGGAGAACATTGCTCGCTTAAGATTTCTCCTATTGAGATTCAGGATCAAGGAATTTACAAGTGTGTTATATCTAATAAGGCTGGAACCCAGTCCTGCGAGGCCAAGTTAACAGTGGGAGGTTGGTGATGCTTTGCTGGAATGTACATGTTTTTCAAAATGTTTGTAAACCGGCAATGTACCCACATGATGCTTCACGCTTACTGATGGTTGTGTAGGTGATATTGTTTAAAGGAATGTTGTCGTGTGTTAGAAGATTATATAACTCTCGGGAGGTTTCTTCAACATAACAATATTAATAAAATAATTGTTCTTTTCTTTGTGTATAGAATCGGTAGACTTTAAAGAAAGTACCGATGGCACAGCCCCAGGTTTCCCAGTGGCAAAGCGGCCATCCAGGTCAAAGAGTGGTGCTAAACCGACTATTGTCTCTCCACTGGAGGACATTGAAGTTAATGATGGAGAAAATGTCACTTTAGAGGTATAATAACACATATCTTATTATTCATGGAATTTTATTAATAGGGCACATACTTAAATCTATTCTGAACAGCTGACAAGGAATAGTCGCTGAAATGGTAACAGGACGTATTCGAGCCTAATATGGAATTTGTTACATTTCCTTTTTTAGGTGACTTCCGGTCCTGAACCCATTGACAACATCGAGTGGTTCAAAGACAATGACCTCATCCGCTCTCAGCCTCGGTTCACTCAGTCATCAGCGGGCGAGCAACACACCTTGGACATTCAGTCAGTTACTGTCGATGACGAAGGAATTTATAAATGTGTGCTGCTCAATAGCTGGGGCATTGCTTCGTGTTCGGCTGAAGTCCTAGTGGAAGGTGAATGCCATCGAATTGCCTCAAGCATTGCAAAAGTAACCTTTTTTCGGTCGCAAGTTTGTTCCATCTGAAAGAAAATCTCCTTGATGGCAACTTGCAGAGTTATTCTTGTAACATTTTTCACGCTAATTCCCCCTTAATTTTGCCTCTGATTGTTGTTGTCCTTCTTTCATATTAGAATCAATGTCAGAATCTTCATCCCAAGATGACGAACAACTTGAAAAGTTTAACGCCCGTATGGAACGTCGGAGATCACGTGACAGTGTCTGCGAGCCAGAATTCCAACAAGAGCTTAGCAACAGCGATGTCTTTGTTGGGGATACTGTATACTTTACTGTCAAGTCAAGGGGCATACCGGAACCGAAAGTCTCATGGTACAGGAACGGAGAGCTCGTGAAGGAAGACTCTCGAGTGAAGTTTATCAAAGATTCGCAGAGTGGAAACTATTCCCTTCTTATCAACAAAGTGACCGTGGAGGACGAGGGCGAGTATCGTTGTGTGGCTTCCAACATGGGGGGATCTGTTGCCTGTCAAGCAAAACTTTTGGTTAAAGGTAAATGTCAAAGGGTAATGTGCATGGTGCCAAATCATAGAATTTTGTTTTGGGGTTATGTGCCTCAAGTATTCCTCAAATGATAATTCGTTGAAGTTTATGATGACTTTGAAAAGACATTGTATTAAAATTGTCTTTTCAAAGACAAAATAAAGACGCTTCTGATGTTCGGTAGCACGTCGACATAACTCAGAATGAACAGACATGGAATAGCAAGTCCGATGTTTTTATTGAAATTTTTTATTATATCCAATGCAAACAAATGTCGTGTTAGTGAAAGAAACTGGACCAGACCTCCATTTAGTGACTGAATATTGCATTTGCTTTCCCTCAGGGCATAATCAAGGTGAAGCGCCTTCATTCACAGCGCCGCTGACCGATCGCTCTATCGAAGATAGCAGTGCAGCTAGGTTTGATGTGCGTGTGCGCGGAAAACCTGCTCCAACAGTCTCTTGGTACAAAGACGGAAAAGAGATCAGTGATGAACAGTTTCCACACATCAAAGTTTTGCAGGAGGAAGACTTGTTCTCTATTCTGATAACAGAAGGCAAGTTTGAAGATGCTGGAACGTATAAAGTGGTCGCCAAAAACGTTGTGGGAGAAGTGTCTTCTACTGGAATGTTATTTGTTGAAGGTGTGTAAGGTAGATTGTGTAGTAACTAGGATTGTTTAAGATATATGAGAAGTAGGAGTACCTCAGAATTAGGCTGCGAATAGTATTTGGAACTTTTTATTTCCGAGGAAATCATCTTTGCTCCGCACAAAAACATGCAATTTTTCTTTTAAAAATTACCCGTACTTTCCAGACCACAATTTTACAGTCTTGAGGAAACAACTGATACTAAGATGTGCAGCGCCATATAAATTTCAGCCCATTTCAGCACCTAAATTTGTTGATTATCTGAAAATTCTTTCTTAGAAGGGAAACTCTGCTCACTTTTTTATTCATACACTTTAAGATTAAAGAAAGAGCTAATTCGTTTCCTTCATTTTAGGAGCCGATCAGCTGCCACCCTTTGCTGGAGGAAAACCTCCGCGTAAGAACTCAGGCCTCTCAAGAGTTGAAGAGGTGAGAGTTTGATTAACCCTTTACACTCAACGTCAATATGCATATTGCATATGTATACCAGTATATGTTTATCAGTATATGTCTACCAGTATATGTACATCGGTATATGTATATCCGTATTTGTATATCAGTATATGTTTATCAGTATATGTACATCGGTATATGTATATCAGTATACATATTCACAATTCTGTTATTTTTACATTTCTTTTCTTGGCACTAGCAAGGAGAAGGTGTTTAACAGTTGATGATCAGTTACTTTATTCTCATGACCTTAATGTTTGATTCAGGGCCGAGACTGTGTGGAGAAATTAGATGCTAGTCACCTTAAGGGGTTAAAGGGAAGAAGGAGTCGATATTCATTGATTAGGGAATTTTGAGAGAAGTTATATACACATACTAAATATTAGGTCAATCAGTGTTTGGTCCATGATTCATCTTGAGAGAAGATTTCATCTTCCCTAAAAAAAAAAATTATTTTAAGTCACTGAAGAGTTATAGAAAACTTTAGTGCATAAATCTTTGTGAAGATAATACTTGGTTATATCATAGTTTTATTCCCTCACTTGCTTCCCAGGTTCTGACGCTCAAGCTGTACACAGCCATTGAGGACTTCTATTCAGAAGAGACTGGAAATAAATTTCTTAAGAGGGGCGACAAAGTTGAAGTACTAGATACAAGCCGACCTGAGTTCTGGCTGGTCAGACGAGTGTCACGTGGGTCAGAGATTGGATTTGTACGTCACACATGCCTGAAAAGAGACGACGACGGGTAAGAGTACATTAAGATTGGTCACATGTTTAACTTGATTTTAGTTTTCAGCTTGATGGGTTATCACTGGCTTTCTAAGCGCACAAAGACGGCATATACGGCTCAAAAAGTTGCCTTGATGTCTTTCATTCGTCTCATCACTTAGTCGATTTTCTCAGGATGATTACTAAAGCGGTGACGGCCGTCAGTTAACTGCACAAAAATTTTGGATTAATGCAACTAATCGATACTTTACTTTTCAGGGATGAAACCACAGACGCACCGGTGATAGTAAGTTTTTTTAATTTCTCCTTTTACAACATGGAGATTGTTTTTAACTTTCTTCTTCCTTACTTTATTCTGATTTTAAAATTCATAAGTTTTGGCCCTTTTTTCAGGGAGAGAAACAAAAGTTTGTATGTATCACCAACTACACGGCCCAGTCCCCCGATGAGGTCTCGGTAAATGAGGGTGACATGTTAGAGATCCTTGACGACGTAGGCATGGAGAGCTCGATGGTCTGCGTTATTCCTACCGGCGCCGTCGGGTGGTTACCAAGGGTCTTTATCATAAGGGCCCCTGAAGAGGATGTGAAGAAGGCCCCAAAGACTGCTAAAGGGAAAGAGAGGGAAGCACTTAATCAGCGAGAGTAAGTGAAGAATTGTTGAGAATGTTTGGTGTCAATTTCCTCCCTACAGAACAAATGAAGCTTCGAGAATTTTTCAATTATCTTTGATGGACTAAATATCTTACACTACGATTTGCTCTCATAGATTCGTGCTTAACGAACTGATAGAATCTGAAAGGCAGTATGTTAACGACCTTCGAACTGTTGTTGAGGTAAGGAACAGATGACTTTCTATGAGTTTGATATCAAAGGTGATATGAATCCTGTTTAACAATCAGTTAGTTTGTTGTGTCGGGGTTTTCTTACCTCAATAAATTACATCAACCAAAAGCTCTGCTGAGAAACACCTGTGATGCACAAGCATTTTATATAGGCGTAATTGTTCTACCGGAGCTGCAGACTTCCGTAGTTGATAATAAATTTTACCTTCGCTGAGCCCCCCCCCCCCCTGTATTTGCTAAATCTCTTTTTGTCGTGATTTGTTGTCACTGAATATACAAGAAACCGCTCACGTGAAGGATGATCTGTTTCGTTTGGTTTGTACAGAGTCACCTAGCTGAACTTGATGCTGCTGATATTCCTGAAGAAGTTGTTGAACATGAGGATGTTGTGTTTTCCAATATCAAGGAAATATACGGATTTCACACAAGGTATTAATTTCATGCTACTCTTTCCTCTAACTCTCTCCGACTCACGTCATTTAATATGCCATTGCTCTGCTGCAATAGAATTACATATTTGTAGTCTGCGTGGAGTTGAACCGTTGACTTTTGGAAGGTGAAATACGTCACAGTTAAGCATCCCGCTAAAACACTTGCTATTCGTTGTTTGTTATTGTCTCTCTGATGATATATCCATTCTTTCTTCAGACTATTCTTGCACGAACTGGAGGCTTGTGCAAAGAGTCCAGATGACGTTCCAAAGGTTATTGTACGACACGTAAGTTATATTGCCGTAAAACATATGAAATATTTTTAGCTAGTCTCTCTCCTCGACACTAGGTTATCTTTGTACACTTGGCTTCGTTATAACCTTCAATATGAATACGAGCAACATCTTGATTATATCTGTTGCTATTTTCGTGTAATTTTTAGAAACCAAAATTTGAAATGTACATCAAGTTCCTCGAGGGAAGGCCGCTGGCAAACGAAAAGCTGGAGAGTGAGGAAACGCAAGAGTTTTGGACGGTGAGTATTTCTCTTAAATAATCACTTTCGTTAATAAGATTTCATTCCGGTGGTTCACTTGTACAGAGATTAATTTACATGGATAATATGCGAAAAAAAAACCCACGCCAATTGCATTTTTAGTTTGAAGTACATTTAATGTTTTTAAAAAAATTTGAATATTAACTGTTTTTAAACTAATGCTAGTTCACATTTTTGCCGAATCTTTTGAACAATAATTATTCCAACATCAACAGGAGTTCCAAGAAGACACGAAAGATGCCATCTCTCTCTCAGAGTACCTTAAAAAACCAGCACAGCGCCTTGATGAATACGTCCTGCATCTTAAGGTTAGAGAGAATGATCGCTAATACCTAGTACCTAACATTGATTTGGAGTACAGAAGTCTTTGCTAAGTTGTAGAGCCTTAAGCAAATACTTAAACTTTTTTCGTATTTTTATATACTACCTTCTGGTGCTGTTTTTATTTTTTGTTTTTATTTTTTATAGTTATATATTTATATATTTTTTACGTCTAGTCTTTTGTATCGGTATGCATCCAGGCGAAGGGAAAATCGATGTACATTCTAAGCGGTGTTAATGTTATTTTTACCAAAGGAATTGCTCAAGTTCACTGTACGTGCGAATCTGCAGCACTCGGATTTTCAGGTAAGTCCCTTGTTTTTTTATTAAGCCACAATTAACTCTGCCAAGATAAACCCAGTCAACGGTGGTTTCTATAGAACTAGAAAGAAATACAATGGTCATCACTAATCATCGGGACTCTTGCATAAACCTGATCACGTCGATAAGTGTTTAAAAGAATAATTAACTATCGTATTCCCTCTGTCAGGTTCTTAACCCATCCCCTCACCCCACACCCCCCCAATCCCCCCCTTCCTCGAAAGGAACATCGGTACGGAGGGCATGGAACTTGTAAAGACCATACTTTTTACGTCTTCCAACGATTTGAAGTTCATAACTCCATTTTTTATCTTCTCAACAGACGGCTCTTGAATTCCTAGCCAGTCTATCCCGACGAGGAAATGAAGCAGCACAAAAATTCCACATCGAAGGATATAATGTGAGTAATTAACTCGACGCTCAAAAAATGCGATTCTTGAACTCCCCCGATCAGTTACCACCACCTGTGCAAACATCTACATCTTTCTCATTTCACTGTGTGTATGTCTTTTTTTTTTTTTTTATATATATAATATAATATTTATCCATGGTACTTATGTCCCACGTTCGTTTGCATTGTGTTAAATTTTTTTTTCCGTCACTGAGTAGCTGACCAACAGAACGACGAACGGATAGACAGACCGACTGATGTATTGACTTACTCACTGACCGTCTGACGGACAGCCTTACTTGATTCACAAGAAAATTATCCAATTTTATTTCCTTATTGGTTTATTTGTCAATCTGCAGGGTGAGGTTCCTCTTGAAAATCTAGGGAGACTAATCCGCCAGGTAAGCTTCGTAAAGACTTTCATATAAATCTTCTCTGTTTACATGAAGTATTGAAGATGTTGTGCGTCTTATTTTGCAGGAGGTGGTCTTATTCTGGGAAGAGAAAGCTCGAGGAAAAGGAAAAGAACGGGACTTGTTCTTGTTCGAGAAAGGAATCGTCAACACGAAAAGAAAAGAAGGAGGAAGAAAATTCATCTTTAAAAACATGCTGAAGGTTTGATATAACGACTGTTTGAACTTTCAAGTCCCCATCGATATTTTGTCCAACAGGTTACAAATAGAAACAATTAGAAACAAGGCCCAAGCCATGCTGTAATCACAACCCTTACTTTGTTTTACTTTTCCGCTTTCATCCTCTTCGTTGTTTTTTATTTTTACTTGCTATTAGGTTGATCATAAGATTTATTGTTGTAATTTAAGAACTGAAACTCATTCCATCATGTGTTTAAGTAACTACTTGATAACACGGTTCTGTTGTCGTTCATTAAAATTGTCACTTAATAACCCACACTCTTATTCTTTAGCTGACAAGTGGTAATGTTGGTCTGACTGAACATGTTGAAGGAGGTGCCCGTCAGTTCATGGTGTGGGTGGGTACCTCCATGGCCACTGCTCTTGTACTTCACACATTTGAGGTAAGATGATAAAGCTGCTTAGTAAATATTGTTCGAGGGAGAAGGCCAAAACCGTTTATTAGTCATGTGTTGTAATCGTCTGGGTTAGGGTGGTCCTGAAAAGGGTTCTTGATGGTTACGGTGCCTGAGAGTTCAACATCTTTAGTGGAAATTTTCGTCAGTGTTAAGTGAAGAGTCGTTTGTAAGTCGAAAGTGATAGAGTTTTACAATTATTTTGTTGCACTCACAATGCCGCATCTAAATAAAGAGCCTTTTTTAGAGCGATACCAAGAGAATATGAGATTTGTGTCAAGTCTTAAGTGGTGCGAATTTTTTTTAATATAAAGCTTCTTTATTTACCTTTGCCTCTGTTATTTCAGACGAAGACCGAGTGGTCCAAACAGGTCTGGGTTCGAGAAATCAAAAGGCTGTTACATCTGAGTGAAAGTGAGTTCAAGTTTAAAACCTCTATTTTATTTTCGTTTCTTTTCGTTTCGTCGGCTCACATTTCGTTTAACTCTCTCAGAATCATCAATCACTGCTGTTACACCATCTCTGGTGTTTGGTGAACTTGGAGTTCAGTTGCCAAGTACTTCAGCCACTGAAGGGAACCTGGTGACCACAGTCAAAGAAACTATCACTAGTCCCTCTTACTCGCGTTTGATCGCTGAGCTCGAAAAACAGTATGTGGCCATCACACCACCGGACTCACCTGAACCTCAAAGCCTGGTAAGTGAAATGATACAATATCATCACGTGACGTAGTTTTTTGGTTCGTATCCTGCTGCTTTCCTCTTCTCTTTTTTTAAGTAACATAGGAACCTGCCATTCGCTCGTTGCATTTTCAGGGATAATTTAGTTGCATACTGGGGCTGTTTGACTGATTGGGTGTGGTCCCTTTCGGCACATTTCTGTTATGGGAAATGTTCTGTTTTACAACGTGGTCTGCCTCAGTGGGCCATGGGGAGGCGTGTGCTTGTCAGCTGATCACTGAAGAGGTTGAAAAATGCAATGAGGAGCTCATGTTCACGTGTGATTGTTACTTGTAGAACATTCAACTAGGAGGCACCTACCACTTGTCGGAAGAAACACTGGAACGAGATACACGCGAGCGCGTAATCGGCCGCGGTGAACAAGTACGAGTGCTCCGCTCAGGCCGAGATCTCTACTTCGTGCAAACCGTCAAAGATGGAGAAACCAAAGAGGGCTGGGTTCCTGGAAGCTGGTTGCTACAAAGAGGTTTTGACGACCAGATTACAGGCGCCCAAGTCCAGGTTGAGCTGGAAGCTGGTTTAGAAGATGATATTGCACAAGATTTGAGTTCAGAAGCGTCTGAACCGGAGCTGCAACGGCTCAAAGAAACTGGGGAAGGTAAATAGCTTTTTCATTGATATATCCAGCCCACGATTAGATAATAAATACAAATGAGTGCAGGTGATGTTTTCTTAACCTTAAGATATCTAAGTAGTAGTAATCTTAAGTTTAAGCGCTTTTCGATATATCAGGCAAGTCTGCACAACGTGACCTGCCGGCCAAAAATAGCTTTGATCCCCTCACCTTGTTTCTTTGTATATTTCCAAACAAATACTAAATACTGAATCAAAAAACGTTAAAAAAAAAGTTTAAGCCAGCTCTATGGTCTCTCCTTTCTCCAGTCACGCTCGTCGAGGTATTCTTTGTTTAAGGATTCAATTACAAATTCAAAAAGCTTAATCTTAAATTGCGATGAATCTTGACAATTTCTACTCATTTTGAAGTGATACATAGTGGTGTTCTTAAAGTATTTTAAAACTTGGCTCGACTGTCGCTCTTGGAACATTCCAAGGATCCCGCGGCTCCGTGGGATGGGTTATGATAAAAGAAATCAGTAAATTTTAAAACAGAAAAATCACAAGACTTCAATTGCAGGGTACTTTGAAACGCTAATGCGGCAATCAATTTAAGCGTTGTTGAAGTTATTGTTTCAAACAATAGTATGCTTTGTTAACATCCTTATTCTTCGGTCGCGTCTCGTTGGTTCAGAATTACTGGGAATATTAATTATGATAATTCTGTTTTCCATCTGCAAGTGATTAATGCAGTGGAATTCACATCGCTCATCGGTGGAAATTACATATTTATGCTCTATTCTCGAAAGGGTGTTATTTGATTCAAAATAATTGTGTTAGTTGGAGTCACAGTACATCATTTTAATAAAGGCGCGAACTGTTTTCGGATTGAGTCGGCTTTCAAATGTCTTCACGGTCAACTCTTTCGTCTTCGCGGAGTTACGGGTCTTCATCAGCTTCTGAAACTCGATCATACGAAAGGACATCGCGAATTCGTGAACATTCGGCGGACGAACGAAACGAAGGGCGACCGAGAAGGCGACGAGGTAACAGAGATGCAGTTATTTTTTGTGATTTTTCTCGTTGAAAACTTCTTTAGTTGAGTATTTTGGTAGCAGTAGGTTCTGAAGAAAATAGTTTCTGAGAGACCTTGACTTTCTTGAATTAATGGCGCGGACATCCAACAGTGACAACCAGGATTTTTCCAATACTGTATTACTTATAGGATAAAGTAAAGTGATAGAATGCAATTCTAATGTACCATCTTTTGAACTTTTTTATCTGCAAACTAATTTGAATTTTGATTAGGTCATTTGCAAAGGTAAGATATTGGACAGATATTGGACCACTCAAACATAAAACAAAGTCGTTTGTAACTGTAAAATATCACTTCTACCCACAGCTCAGCCAAAGTTTACAGAGGAACTTGAAGATATCGAAGTGTGTGTCGGCCAACCTGCCAGTCTGCGCTGTCGAGTGGAAGGTGACCCTTTCCCAGAGATAGAATGGTTTGTAGATGATGACAAAATCAAGAAAGGGGGAAGATTCGATTTTCTCAGTAACGGAGACCTTGTTACTCTGAAAATTTCCGAAACAAGTGCCGAAGACGAAGGAGAATACAAATGTACAGCCAAGAATGAAAACGGAATGGCTACCACAAGTGCCGAGCTCATAGTAAATGGTAAGTCCCTTATCGTCAAACTGATCTTTGTATTCTTTGCGGTTTTTTTTTATGGTTGACTGATAAGTGTCATCAAAATTTTTCCTGTCATAGAAGTTTTGATGAACTCATAGATACGCTATACAATAATTATTTAAAGCGCAAATAGTGTCGCAGGAATGTACACGGGTTATTTTTAACAAGCAAATTTACTTCAAAGCTCGGTAATTAGGGTTCAGTTATTAGTAAAATTTGGTCTTTACATTTTGATTGCTCTTCTCACGATACTTCCTTCTGGATGCAACATGGGATCAATCGTTCCAAAATTGTACATCAACGTTAGTATTTGTGCATGCTTCTAAATCATTAGTCAATAATTGAGGTCAATAGAAATGCTCCATTTACTCGACCAGTGTCTCTTTTGCTCCGCAGGCAGCCTTGGTTTTGTTTTGACGTTTTATTGTTGTTTTTACATTTAAACGACAGTGAGCCTTGTTTTCAATCTGCTCGTTCTTTTATATTAAGTGTTCACTTAATGCCCACACCACGGAGACTCTGAACTGAGTGGCAGGCTAATTTCTCATCCATGTGACAAGTACTTGGACGTTCGTGGTTTAAATTTCAAGCATGTGAAGGTTAAGTTAAGCTCAACGGCAGGGTGCCTCGCTCATTAACATCAACATTTATTATGCCATGATTTCTTCACACGCAACTACTTGAAGAACTTAGCTACAGTTTATGCTTTGACTTGCGGTGTCGAGATGTAAAATACAACTGATATTACGTTACATTGTTGGTATAATTTGTCCACACGATTTGCCGTCTCCGGATAGTCGCGCCACCCTTAAAAGGAATGTTGATCCTTCTGTAGATAACTTTCACTCCCTTTGTTACATTCACTTTACATTATAGCCTCCACCAAATTGCGAGGCTGTTCATTTGTTGGCCTAACAGTAGCTGACACTTAAGACCTGGCAGTATGCTGATGTTTTTCGGCTTGCGTGAGTTGCTACTTGAGATACATTTCTCGTAAACAGCCTCTTTTGGTGACCTCAATGGAATTGAATCTGAAACATCTCCAGCAAATGTAAAGAATCAAATTTCCTCCAATAACTGTTTTTAAGTTTAAAGAAGGAAGTAAAACACTTATTTCCTCCATTTACACTCGTTATGTATTAGTTACCGTGATAAAATAGCGATTCGAGTGACGTGGGTTGAAATTAGCTGAACAGATCTGTGTTGTTGATATGTTTCTTGCGTGACATGCTAATTTGGCGGCATTCGTTCGGTCCTTTTATCTTTGGTTACCTTTTTTTCGGCAATTTAGATTCATTATACCAGCCTATCAAAATAAATAAATTACACCCCGTAATCATCGGTCAAAATCTCTTTAGTACATAGCACTGTTTCTAGCAGCGCGATTTTTTTTTCTTTTCGATACTGTTATTTATCCTGTATCTGTTTTAACTGGAGGATGCCCACTAAGAAGTGTAAGTCATAGGTTGTCATTTTAGAATCGTGCTACAAATATGACATCAATCCATTACTTGAAAAGGTCACTTTTTACGTTTTAAATGGCGCGTTGTAAACACGATCGTTTGGATGATCATCTGTTCTTCACATTCACAGTATAACCGACATTACTGCGTGTAGCAAGGGACAGGCTAAGCTCATTACAACCCACCAGATGAGACCTTAGTTTTTCTTTCAAAATGTGTTAGATTTGTGACATGACTTTTAACTTCTTTAAGGCTCGAAACAAGCCGTATGACAGTATCGACGAGTCGTGGTGTATGTTGAAATGCAAAATTACATTTTCGACTTTCGAGGGCTTATTTGAAAACATCATCACGGGAGCCTTAGAGGCTGAGGGGATAGCGCCGTTAGATGGCCGTCAGAAGCAGAGTGTGGTTAACGTGCTTTTATCAGGCGTTGCAAACCAAACACTCAGCGACCTTCGGTAGCGCTACTGTTACGAAATGACTGATCAGCCCTTGAAGATCTGAAGGAACCTTTCTGGCGTTTCATTTACGATTTAGCTTATGAACAATTTTATTTGAATATCGTGCTGATTTTTTACGGCTATGTAAGAATAGAAATGTAAGTATTTTCAACTTCACTATAATGCAAGTGACACCAAAGTCTCCTCAACTGTGGTTCAGGTCTATTCAAAGATGTCTCTGTTCAGCTCGTCACTCATTTACCTATTTTCCAATGTTATACGTCATGATAAAATAGCCTTGAAAACGTTAAACAGCCTAAATTCTGTTCGATGTTTTAACTTAACATTAATTTTTCATCAGGTGGTTTAAAATAAGAGTAGTAACATATCCAGACGCCTTCTTCCTTAATTTTAGATCATACATTCTGTTGAACTGGAGAAGATCACATCACTGGCTTCTACTAAACAGTAATAATACCCATCCATCGTCGACTGATGTCAAGGCTTGTGTAGCATTGAAAAATTATTTTAATTTGTTGAACTGTTAGCTCGCTTACTGTATATTTGCCGTGCCATTGATTAGGGAACCTCAGACTTTTCTGTCATTTTATAATTGTCAAGTTCCTGAACTCTTCATAAATCAAATTGACTTTATTTTGACTTGCCGATTTGATATTATTTTTTCTTGCAATTTTTGTCGCGTTATACGATAAGATGAACATTCCACTCGGTTGACCTCGTACAATTCCTCTCAGCTAATTTGCTATGATGTCTTTTTGAAGTTTCTGATTGAAGTTTCAGTTGAAGTGATGATGATTTTGATAAGTTGGTTTTTAAGAGACAAAAGTGCTTTCCTATATTATTTGTTACCATTTGTTTATAATTTTATGGGTGATTCATTGTAAATATAATGAGAGGTTACGATAAGTGGATAAAACACTTAACATGTTTTTTTGTTTTTTTAGTGTGATAATCGAAATAATTGCATCAAGACAACTCACAAATCAGTCTTCATTGTGATTTTTTTTCCTTTTCTCGCAATATAAATGTCTCATTCTACTCGAGATTTCTAAGAATTTAAATGCTTCTTCGCGTTTTAAGTCGACGATTCGTGAATTCGCACAATTGTATCAGTATTGTGACCGATGATATAATGATATCGAGAGGTGAAAACGCGAGGAAGCGCGGGAACTGTTTTCATGGCTTCCAAACAAACTTTATTGTGTGATTTGATCTGCTGCGACTAATTCTTGCCTTCATACTTAAATTGTTTGCAATAAAAGTTTGGATTATGTCTATCAGTCAAAATTTCCTCTCCAGCCCATAGCTGAAGTATACTTGAGCAACACGAATACAATTATTACACAGTTGATATTTGGTTCAAGTTTAGTTTCCGTCTTCCGATGATAATTTTGCCTGTTTTACTTTCCAGCTCCAGCGAAAATCGACAAAGCTCCCAAGTCTCAAACGGTCAGCGTTGGGGATGTGGTCTCTTTTAAATGTGAAATTTCTGGAAATCCCGTCCCGACTGGAACTTGGTACAAAGGCAAAAAAGAGCTAAAGGATGAAGGAAGAGTGCTTATAGAAATTGAAGAGGACTTCTCCGAGCTAGAGATTGAAAATGTTGAAACTTCCGACGAAGGAGAATACATCTGCCTGGTGAAAAACGACTTTGGGGAGGACAAGTGCACAGTGACTCTGACTGTGAAAGGTGGGAATGGTGTTTTGAGCCGAAACCAAGTTCTTCTTGTTGAAATCACAAATAAGACTGTAACCTGTTTTATGATTAGAGCCAGATGGAATCACCAACATAAGGAACGCGTATTCAGATCAAACTTTCCTTATCACGTGTCATGACTTGGTGATATTTTACTGGCGGAAATATGTTATGTGAGAGTTCGTAACTTGTGTATTATTTATGAAATATAAATGCCATGGAACGGAAAAGTACATTTTTTTTCGATTTTCATTTTCACTCGAGAGGTACAAGAAAAACTAATCTAATCTTGTATTTTTCATTTTTCTTCTTTTCAGTGGGAGGAGATGTAAATGAAAACAACATCGCTGAAGGTGGTGATGAAGGTGTAGCGAAAGGTAAGTAACTAAACGCTCGGAAAGGAAAAAAAAGACCATTCAGTCGCTATCCATTCAATGGTCATGCACAAGGGTTTCATCACAGACTTTTGAGTTCGTGCCACCTGTTACAACAGGATAAACATTACTATATGAAGGTACATGTAATTAGATGTAGCTTTCATTTGAATGTTCACACACGAGGGTTTCAGTTTTGTTTTGGTTTTGTTTCGGATTTGCTCCGTACTAATGATAGTAAAACTCTTATGTTTCGTACCTATTAACACACTGTTACTCTATCCAGACGATGGCGGTGATGGAGACAGTGACGTAGAAAGCAAAGACCTTGACCTTCCGCTTCGAGATCCAATCTCCCTGCGGACGGATAAGAAATTTGATGATGCATACGTTTCTCAGAAAGAACTGGGAAAGTAAGGTTCATTTCTTTTATCTCTATGTGGTCTTATTGTATTTTTATCATTTTACCCTGTGTCTGAATTTAACCATGAAATTTTACGTCAGTGGAGTCAGCCAATCGTGTCTTCAGGTACAAACAAACGTACGTACTTGCAGTGAGATGGCAACTGTCTGTTGTGATTGGCATTTGCTTTTCCGAAGGACTTGGTTGTCCAATCGTAACATTGCAGGACTTTTCAACAGATAGTTGTAGAGTTTTATATTGAAGCTTTCCTCGTCTTCTGTCTCTTTCCTCCTCTCCGCCAAGATCTTCCTTCTTTTAAAATATTTACTATCTTTACTTCCCAGGGGTAAATTTGGAGTTGTCAAAAAAGTTAAAGAAAAAAGCACCGGGACGGAATACGCCGCCAAGTTCCTAAAAATCACCAAGGAGTCAAGGGAAGAAGTTCTGGCAGAAATGCTTATCATGAATAAACTGCACAGTAAACGGCTGATCTACCTCCATGATGCATACGAGAGACCAAAGGAGATGATTATAGTCTTGGAACTGTGAGTGAAATTAGTTATTACAGTTATTCTGCTTACTGGGAGATAAAAAGTAGAGGATGGGGGAAACAAGGAAAGATGGTAACAATGCGAGAATGAGACCTAAACTTAGATAATTTTATTACATATTTCAGTTGATCTGATGTTAATGGTTTTCGAGAAATCGCAGTTTCTGTATTATAGGAATTTGAATTGTTGATGTTTTTAGTGAATGTCAGTATATTGTAATGAACCCGAACAAAATACATTAAGATAAGTATTGTTTCTTTCAGCTCATTACTGAAAACGAATGAGAAGATAGTAAATATTGTCATATCTGCTGTGCCTTTTATTAGAATCTCTGGAGGCGAGCTGTTTGAGAAAGTCTGTAATGATGATAACTTAACTGAGAAAGAGGTTGTGCGGTACATGAAGCAAATACTGCAAGGCGTGGAACATATGCACAGGAAACGTATTGTCCACTTGGATCTTAAGGTAAGGGGAATTTCCTAAAGTCATCTTAAAGAGCTGCATTAGGATTAAAGAAATTGAATTTCAGTGGTCACAAATTAATATTAATAAAAGTAATAAACAGTAACACATGAAAGTGCATTTCAGAAGCTTTCATTTGAACAGCCTCGTGAGCTTTATTAAAGTTTTACCTTCAGAGGTTCATACTAAAGTCTTCCCTTTCTACTTAGCCTGAGAATGTGCTTTGTGTGATTCGTCCTGATGGTAAGGAGGATCTTAAGCTGATTGACTTTGGAATGGCGCGTGTACTTGAGCCGGGCAAAACCGTGAAAGTGGCCTGTGGTACGCCCGAATTTGTAGGTAAGAAAACAAGGCATTTATAAGCTTAACTTAATAACCTTAGTCAATAAGAGGCCATAGGAGGTAACCTCTCGATTAGACTTGAAATGAGTGCCATCCTGGATATTTCTACATCCCTGGTAGTTACTTACTCAAAATATTTCTCTCGTACTTTTAGCGCCCGAAGTGATCAGTTACGAAGCCATCAGCCTAGCCAGTGACATGTGGTAAGAATGATTCTTAATCCTTGTTTGCTTCATATAAAAACATGGCTGTGCACCATTATAAGGCTGGTACATAACTGATCTAAGGTTTCCCTTTTTTTCTTTTTCTGTTTTCTTCTGCAGGAGTGTGGGCGTCATAGCATACGTTTTGTGAGTATGATTTTTCTATTTTCCCTTTCTGTCTTAGCTCACCCTTGTATTGTTAAACATAACTTTTCAAGGGTGATTTTGTATGGTTACGAGTCTTTCAATTGTTGCTTCCTTTTCTTCACCTGCCTAAAATACAAAAACGAAGTTAGGTAGTGATGTCAGATTGTCCCTCAATTACAATGTTATCTTTTCTAATTTTTTTAAAATCCATTTTACAGACTGAGTGGTCTATCACCCTTCATGGGAGACGATGACAACGAGACCATACAGAACGTGTCCACTGCTGAGTGGGATTTTGAAGACGAAGCTTTTGACGTCGTGTCAGACATGTCCAAAAAGTTTATTGAGGAACTGCTCATCAGAAGTCCCGAGTCAGTAATTCTAAATACTTCTTTATTTCATTTCAAAGTCAACTTAACAATCGATACCATGACAACGAGACGTGAGTTCACAATCTCGAACATGAAAGAAAGGTCCGCTTAAAAACTTCCATATTCAGGAAGCCTGCATATCTGCATCGTTTTTTACGTGACGGTAATATTTTGGCTATAGGTTTATCAACGTTCGAGCAGATTGGGAAGGAGTTCACTCACCTAAACACTTATTCCGTTAGAACAACATTTCCATAAGCCTAGAAGTTTTGTTACAGACCCTATCTTCATGATGTTACCTAGCTAATGGATATTTGGTATTACATTCTTAGGAAGAGAAATGATGTTTTCAATTGTATGAACCATGATTGGTTGAAGGTAAGAGAGCAGATTTTGCTTGTAGATTCCCGTATCTCATGTGTATGTCATTGGAATCTTAAGCCTCCCTCTTTCCGCTTCCCCCTCCTCCTCTGCTATTACGGTTCCATTTTTCCGTTGATAGGATAAATACCCGTCTAGTACGCGCCCGTGATTTCTCTGCCTTGGTAGACCCTCAAAACTTACAAAAATTCGCTATTATCCCACCTTAGGCGGGACAACTTTTACAAGCTTAGTTGCTGTCGTGCTCTCCATCTAAACTGTAAAAGTAATATAAAAGAATTTAGTCATTGTTATATTGCGTAAAACTTAGAAAGCAACTTCACTGGCATTTTTCTTTTAAGATATACTTATCTTTTACTTTCTTTTCTTTTCCCTAATAGAAAGTCAAAACAATTAAGGCTCAGAAGCTCAGCACGGAAAACTTGAAGAAATTTATTGCGCGCCGTCGTTGGGCGGTAAGTGTCTGTCAATTTTCAAAATTGTCTTTGCAATGCGTTAGGTGATTATTTTTGTAGTGTTTGGGGGCTGATAGTAAATTACATTCTCGCTCCTCTTTAGTTATGTCAGTCCTTCATTTTGACTGCTTGTTTCCTTACCCCACCCCCCTCCTCCACTTCGTATATCACTTCATTTTCTCACCCACGAAGATCAGGCAATCTAGGCCAAAACATGTTCCAAAAACTGATCTGTTTTCTGTATTTGTTCCCTGTAGAGAACAGCGAATGCCTTGCGAGCTCTGAGCCGAATGGGATCCCTTGGTGGGCTGATGGCTGGAGGAGGCAAACCCGGTGGCGCAGCTGCCGCCTCTAAACCTGGTGGCTTCCTCAAGAAGGTAAAAGAAGAGAAGGCCAAGGAGGAAGTTCAGGAGAAAGCAGCCAAAGCGGAGACGAAGAAGGAGCCATTCAAGGAGGAGGTATCTAAGGAGGAACCGAAGAAATTTTCAGCAGGTGATAGCCTCATACCAGAAAGACGGGGCCTGAGTTATTCGGGTCGCCGAAGTCCCGCCTTGAGTGGCAGGAGAAGCCCGATGTCTCGGGCAGAAGCCCGTAAGTATAGCACTCCTGATCCACGCGTTGTAATCACGTTCGTCTGGTTTGTGTTGTGTTGTCGATCGCCATTTAACATTGCATTATCTTAACGGGAGTACTGCTGGGCTATCTCGTCCTTCCTTCTTACCGCCTTTTTTTTCGGGCTGAATCTGATCCTGTTTGCCAAGAGGTATTATACTTCAATCAGGAGCACTTAAATGGAACCAGCTTTTTGTCATGTTCACCGGCAGTCTGTTGTTCCAAGTGGGCCTCTCAATTTTCTTTCTCACTTGTCAGTCAAATTTCAGAATCCACTATTATTTCAATCCGCTTTCTCAAGGCGCTTTTCTGAAAAAGCGATTTTTTTAAATCCGCTTTCTTCACTTCTTTCCACTGAGCTCTTTACAGTTGATGACAAAGCGATGACAGAAGACGCAAAACTCTTTTGCGCCTGACAGATTCGTATTCATCCCCTTAAAGTGCTGTTATTTTCTCTACATTTTTGCTTATTTTGGAAATATGGTTCTTAAAACATTTGCTCTAGAAATCATCATTCCTTTTATTCTTACAACCACGTACTTCATCCAGATATTGTGCGCTCCAGAAAAGGTGACCCTGCCGGAACTGGTCGAGTGTGTTAATTTTTATTGAGAGAACCGCTGTGGATGGAACTTTGTAAGTGTTACAGTTGACTGTAGTCGTAGACGATTCAGGGGTAACATAGGCTCTATTCCGTGTAGGTTTTATGTCGCAGCTTTGTTTTTATTTTTTGACTCAAGAGTTCACGGCCGCTCTAGCGCTTTAACCGTTTTTTATTTGTAACGATTACAATGTCTCCTTTTGGGGTGCAGTGACGTTGATATATGAATATCTCAAGAAAAATTTCAACGGCTAACACTCCCAGCTATATCGATTTTTTCAGTTTGGTTTTTCGACACGCAAACTTAGCTCAGTTCTGCTAAGTATCAACACCAGTTCATGATGAGTTATAGTGCAGTTAGTAAAGGTCACATTTAATATCCGGTCTGTTTTCCTGCATTTCAACCTTCACTTGGATCACTGTATATTTTTTATTGGATTATCCATATTTAGCTCTGAAGGTTATTTTTACACATCCTGATAAAAAGCTGTTTTTTCTTCTTTTAATCTCGGATAAAACCTGTGAATAAATGTCTTGATATAAAGTGCTTGTGGCGCCTCTGTGATTCCTTCCTAATACTTGGGATCTAAGCGCTCTTATAACTCACTGAGCTGTTCGCCAGGTACTTTTTTAATCCAGAAACAACTTTTCGAGTGTAACTTTTTTTTATCCTCGTTCGCTTTCAATTATACGACTCTTCGTCGAAAGAAGGCAAACAGATTTTGAAACAGTTTACTTTCTCTCATTACTTCATGGCCCTCCGCATTTTTGTCTAATTACACTTAAATGCCAAGGTGTTTTTTTTGAAGACTGTTTCTGACAATAAGTAAAAGAAAAATTACTTCATAATGGTCTTATTGTTGATGTACTTTGACACTTAAAAAGTGTCAAATTTCATATGTTAATTGAAGGCGGGCGAATTTTTGTCGAAGTTTCGAGAACCTAATACATTTTATAATGTGTCTGGTGCCAGTGAAGCCTTACTTGACGTTTGCGTGATCAATCTTTTTAACACAGAGTCAGTATTCACCCCCTAAAGAAACTGAAAATTTTCCTTCATTTAAGCAATCATAACGTCTCGCGTGAGTTTTAAGCGGTCGTGGAGACTGGTACAGATGCTGTTATCAATTTCTGTGGTTGTTAGTACCTAAGTTATTCATTGCGCGCAGTAACTGATTGTCACTCCATGTGAAGTAATCATGAATCATAGCATTCTGTTGGCCAGGAGATTCTCTTCAACTCGTAAAGACATCAAAAGCACCTTAACAGGTTCGTGTAAAGCGTGTAACTTTGCATTTAACATATAGAAACGTTATTGTCGGAACTACAAGTATATGTGAACAATTTTCGCTCAAACATTCATCATAGCTATAACGTCCTCATCTGGCTCCCACCCGCGCTGAATTTAATGTGTATATTCCATGAATTATGCCTTTGAAATACTCTCTTAGTTGTGTTTCGTATGTGAACGTGTTTAGTTCAGTACTTTGAATTTTCTCTGTTAGAAAAAGCTTCACGCTTCTATCGACGTCCGTGAAATCATTCTGCGGCGTATCGTGTTAATAAGTTAAATGAGTAACATTTAAAGTTGTCTGGCACTACGTTTGGTAATCAAACGCCTCTCGTTACCCAGACTAAATTTTCGGAGCTTTGTGGTTGTGGCAGAAAAATGACGATTGCCTACAAACGTTATTTATTTTTTTCCCGTCATCTATTTCATCTTACTCTGTAAGAATAATGATGATGCTTTTTAAAATGTCAAATATTTTCGTCCAGTTCGGAAAAGGGTTATCCTGAAGATAAAAGTGTCTAATTACATGTCAGCTGTGTTGCATTCCTTGGGTTGCACAATGTAACTCTCTTTCATAATCGAGAGTAAGATGTCAAGTTAGTTTATTATGTCGGCTTATGATTTCCAATGCTGTTTCTTTTAGTTGGAGATAATCTACGTGCTTCTGTTCTTCTCTCTAATCTTTCCGGTTTTCATGTCCTGTTGACGTGCTCTACATTTTAGGGTGTTGATAGGGCTGCGATGTCTTGAGAGAAAGTTCTCGTTTACTTAAGACCTGTTTCATAATTATTACATGAAAGGCGCCCTCTGATTAGTTTGCATAATTCATTTGACCAAGAAAATGTTTAATTGAATTTGATTCCATTTGGAAAATGTTTTACTTATCGTGTTGTGTGGAATAATAGTCAAACCCTGGCCTGTCACGTTGTGGGAAAGAAACACGCTGATAATATTTACTTAAATCATTCCATTGTTTTTCAGTTTGTTTATTCTTCACTTTTATCTGTCTACTTTCATCAGCGTTGTCTTTTGTTTGAAGTAGATAAATGCCTGGGGGTTATCTCGAGTGCTGTTATCGCAATAACGTCCTTGGCAAGATTTCTGTTCTGCTCTCTGTTACTCCCAAAAAAGGTTTTCTTGTTCTTGTTCAGTTTGTTAACTCCTGAATACTTTTAAAAGGAGTGCACTGCTTCTCTTTTAGAGTATAGATGCTTTTTTTTAATATTTTGTGAAATCTCATTGATGTAGTCGCTAATTATTCCAAGCTGCTTAATTTCGTAGCATGTGGTGTTTTCTATAAACACGTCACATTTTGTCACGTCAAAAATCTTTGAGTGCTGTATAATGACCAGTTCACTTTCAGATAGTTTATTTATTCTCCTAAATGTTCCTCTTAATTGGCATCTTCATTTAGTGTTGAGAACTTGGTGGTGTATCCTAGCAAACTTTTGTATTGCGCTCGCAATGAGAAAGATAACTGGAAAAAAAAAGATCCTTTTTCGTTAAGTGTGGGAAACTGTGCCCACGATTTCCTCTCTTTTTCCTTCTTTCACGTAGCGATGGTTGCAATGCAATCCTATTTCACTTTGCTTCCTGACTTTCTTAATTCCTACATGATCTGAACACCCACGCGAACACGTGGGTCAAACGCTAAGGGAAATGCACCTATTTATCTGACTTTTAATCCTTGACTGATACAAAAACTTTTTTTTATTCTTCTAACGCGCTGAAATTGATAGTATTGATTTTGACAAAATGTTCTATAGTCACTGTACGGACCAGACTGGAGCTGTGGTTATTCTCTCTTTTTGAGCTGGTCAGAGGTCATAAAACATATCCTTTGTGACCCACACATCAGCATCGAAATCCTTCTTAAATGATCTTTTTCTGTTACGAGTTGTTTTATTATGGTATACTTGTTTCTCTGTGTTCATCACTACCTTTCTTCCTATTACTTGTATGTTTGACCTTGTACCAATTCGGTGAAGGGAAATTAAGACCTTTTTCTTCTTTTAATTCGTCCAAGAATGAATGTCGTGGGTTGTTTCCTGTATGTCTTGCTTTGAGAAATAACCTGAATTTTACTTCCCCTCCAAAATCGCCTTCTCTCCTCTACTTCACCCACTCCTTGTCACGCTTTGTCGCGCCTTTTCCTCCCTTCAAATTGAAACTGTTTCTGGAGCCACTTGTGCTGAGCTTCTCGTGACTTTTCTCCCCTATGTCTCTGAAGTCTCGCGTTGACCACGTGTAACTATCACGTGTTTGTTTCTTTAAGCCCAATCAGTACTTGCCGCCATACGTGCCATTGTGTAACACGCACGTATCCATTGTTAATCATTCATCTTATTTCCCATGTAGATGGTATGCCACTAGGCCCCCCTGTCTTCATTCAACACCTGACGAATTGCGAGATCATAGAGAACAGCGCCGCCAGATTTGAATGTAAGGTCAGCGGTAACCCTGAACCGGAAGTGGAATGGTATAAAGACGGGAAGCTTCTGAAGGAAAGTAAACAACTCACATTCCTGTACGATGACAACGACAACTGCAAACTTATCATCACTAAGGGCACAGCAGCTGACGCAGGCGAATACATGGTTGTGGCCAAAAATCCTCACGGTAAAGTATCGAGTAGTGCACGATTGCTTATCGACACGGGTTCAACGGACGATGAAACCGCGAGCGAGTCCGAACTCTCCGAACTGTCTGGCTCTGAAGCTGAGGAGAGAACGATGACCCCAAAAGAGGAAAAGATCACGAAGTACTACACTGTTCAAGATGAGCTCGGCAAGGGACGGTTCGGTGTTGTGTGCAAGTGTATTGACAATAAAACGGGACGCGCTTATGCCGCCAAGTTCATCAAATGTACTGCGCCCAAGGACAGACAAGACGTCATACACGAAGCAGAGATCATGAGTTCTGTTCGGCACAGGCGGCTTCTTCGGCTTCAAGATTTCTTCCAGACACCCACAGAGATGATACTCGTCATGGATCTTGTCACGGGTGGAGAGCTGTTTGAGAAGGTGGTAGAAGATGAGTTCATCTCGGAGATAGAAGTGTCGCATTACATGAAACAGATAATGGAAGGTGTTCAGCACTTGCATCAGCGAGAAGTTCTCCATTTAGATCTCAAACCCGAAAACATCATGCTTATTAGACCGGACAGTAAACAAATCAAGCTTATCGACTTCGGCCTGGCGAGGAAGTACAACCCGAAGGAAAACCTTAAGGTTATGTTTGGAACACCAGAATTTGTTGCCCCAGAAGTCATTACATACGAGCGTATTACACCTGCTACGGACTTGTGGTCCGTTGGAGTCATAGCATATATTCTGCTGAGTGGTTTATCGCCGTTTATGGGGGATACTGATGCCGAGACCCTGACGAACGTCCAACTGGCAGAGTGGGACTTTGACGATCCTGTCTTTGATGATATCTCCGATGAAGCTAAAGACTTTATCAGCGGTCTACTTGTGCTTAAAGCAAACAAGAGGAGTACTGTCGATCAATTACTCAAACATCGCTGGTTCACTATCGAGAAGGGCAAAGGGAAAAAACTGAAGACCGACCGTCTCAAAGCGTTTACGGCGCGAAGGAAATGGAGGCGAGCCATCACTGCGATCCGAAGCACGAACTTTTTGAGCCGGATTCTCGGAAGCCGAGGGTCCGATGATAAGAAGAGTAGTGGGGGTGGAGGTGGTGGATTGTTAGCCCGAGTCAAAGCAATGCATGCTGCCGGTATTCAAGGTTCAGAAGGAGGTGTTCCCCCGGCGTCCTCTCCTTTCCTATCACCTGCCTCAGCAGCGTTCAGCACCAGTAACAGCTTCACTTCAGTAACTGTAACAGAAAGAACGCAAACACAAGGAGAGACAACTGTTTTAGAGAAGGAGACAGTGACTGTTACCAAAGACGGACAAACAACTGTTAAAGAAAAAGAAACTACAACAAGAATCGGCGAATTCAAGCAGCAAGATAGCACAACAGAAGAAGTCGATAATGGTTAGCGTCAATTTGTCGTCAGAAAATGGCATCGTTAATGAAAGTTTTAAATGAAGAAGAAAGAGATCAATCGATGATGTAGACTTTAATGTGAAAATTGTTTTACGCAGAGTAATATCTTAAGTTTTGTTCCAATTTCATTTTGCTTTGTAGGTCACACGTAAGTACACTACTAAACAGGAGTGCTATACTTAATTAATTATAACAAATATTTGATATACTTAAACATAATTCTAGTTATGGTCGTTTTCGATGACTATCTGAAAAGAAGTGGAAACTAAAAGCGGATTTCTGCAATGTTGCCAAATTATTAAGCGTAGGGTTTTTTTTTTCGGTTTTTCGCTTTTCAACTGCGAAAACTGGCCAAAATTGTTATTTAATCTCTTCAAAAGCGAACTGTGCACTAAAGTGTTTTGTTCTTATATTTGGAGTCTATTTCACATGAGTAGTGATTGCTGTGGGTTTTTTTCCCGCCGTCCTGGTTGGCTTCTTGTTGTTAATACTGAGTTCTTGCCGTGAAGTAAGCCTATAAAGTTTAAAATCTCAAGCCGTGGAGGGAAGGTTCTTTCAGAAGCCATAACTTAAAGGAAAGCCACAACATATGTAGAATTGTTAATTAATTTAAAGGTGAAAGAGACCATGGGATAGAATGCCGTATATGGTTATATTTCTGTTCTCGAACAAACTGTTGAAAAAGGCTTGAATTTACGTTTAAAGAATTCGTATGCCAGCAGGGTGTACTTCTAAATTCACTTACATTTTCTATTCCTACTTTTTCTGTGCCTGAACCACACAAGTTGTAGCTATTTCAAGTAATTCTATTCGACGACAGTTAATCACAGCACATTCTTTTCTCGCTTTATCACCTGAATTACAAACAATTGTTTTATGTCAAGAAGGACACATGGTTGAAATTAAGTTAACTGTGTGTTATACACAGGAGACTAAAGAACTCCAAGTTGTGCTTTGTATGGACTTATTTTCTTATGAAAACAATTATTAGCGCTGTTCAAGTTTAAGTACAGAGGATTATACGGATTATATTTTACAGCTAACAGAAAATTAAGTAAGATATTGCACACAGACATGTTTGTTCGATAGCAGATTATTGCGTGACATGCAAATCATGCAGACGTCGTGCTGTTGTCGGATTTTGAATAAATCACTCGACTGAAATTTTCTCCATTCTTGGTATTTGTTTGGTAGAGCTAATCTACTTCAATACCTCGTGAGATTGTTAGTGTTTTTTGTGGTCTTATTCGTGTTTACGAGACGGCAAAATGTCTAATGATGCCAGTAAGTGACTTATTTATATATTCCTCTCTAAGGCGTTAACCGCTTTAAGCTAACTTATTCACTGCTCGGTCTGTGATTCATGATATCTGTTTTGTCTTCTTTGTGTATTGAGGAAACTTCTTTTCCGAATTTGCTCTTGTTAATCGTAATATTTTGAAAAAGATCTCGTGTTGGTATTTTGAACATGATTTTCATGTGGTGTTCGTAGCCGAGCCACTAAGAGTTTAGTTGATGCTTTTCTTCGTTCAACTTGGAACTTTGAAATGTTGTTCTTTTCAGTAATATTTCCTGTATAACTTGGCCTTCTAACCCAAAACACCTGTACAACCGCCAGTATGACATTAAAGGTTTTTGAAAAACCTTTAAAAAGAAAAAAGTTGATGTCTGCATCAGAACAATTAATTACAAACCTTTTGGTCTTACTCTGTATAAAAAATTGTAAAAGTCATCAGCAAATTGTTGAAGCATTGCTTCAAACCATTGATATTAAGAGGTAATACTTGGCAAAATAAACATTGTTTAACAAAAAACTAACGACAAAACTAGCAAAGAATGAGGTACCGTTTTGTATGCTGAAGAAATTCTTTTGGATGCATGATTGATTGATATTTTTTCTGTGAGAATTGTGACTGAATCGCTTTTTTTGTTCTATTAAGATCGTTTATCTCTTGCTACGTTTTGTGACATTTTCTCTTACAGTTTAATAACACGGTTTATAACCCTCATTCAGTGTTAACTGTGTAGTATTTCGAAAGCAAATGTTGCAGATCTGCTCCATATGCAAATTATTTAAAATACTTCAAAATCCTGAAGCTTATTCAAGTATGTCTTGGTTTGTAATTACTTTCTGATGTTCTGCGCTTTGTTCTGTAAAGCAAACGTATTAAATCTGTTATTTCATGGAGGAAGAATTGTTTCTACAGAGGTCGCTTATGTTTTCTGCGTTGAAATTTCGATCACAGGCTTAGAGTGATGATAAGAACTAATGTTTCCGCCTCTCTTCAGCTAGACGATTGAAAACGTACTATTAGCAGCTGTTATTACATAGGTGACTAAGGTCATCTATAATATTATGTTGTTTTGTATAATGCAGTTGTATTCCATTTGTGAAGTAATTTTCTTAACTAACCTGGTCAACGGTCGTTGGCCTAATAGAGTCCAGTGTATCTTAAAAATGTTACAGACCAGAGGTTTTGCTTCTGAAAGATTTTGTTTCCATTATTAGCTAAGAAATTAGTGAGAAAATTACACGTTGACTGAGGAGTTTTGCTTCACTTGAAAGTGATCCTTTTCAAGAAAAGCCCTTGAATCACGTGAAAACTGCGTGATAAGCAGGACTGTTAAGTAAAGAAAGTTGGCGTTAGTACTGCAGTAATAGCCAATTAACGCCAATCTCGATCGCGCGAATCTGGCGTAAAAGCTGCCATAAAAAAAATTATCAAGGTCCGTCAAGGTATTAACTTAAGCCTGGTTTTCGCTTCATTGTAACCTAGGAGTACATAAAAACGTTGAACAACACCAGTGAAAGCATTCATTTGCTTTCGGTTGTTCATTGTTTCTATGTAATCGTTTGCTTGCCCTTTTACTCTGTAGAAAGCGACAACCAGGTTGAATTACACGTTGTGTGTATCTTAGTGTCTTTCTTGTGATAACAACTGTAGGTAAAACAGGCGGTCTTGGAGGAGCAGCCAACACTCCACAAGCCATCGCTAAGCGTTATTCCACTGGAGGAGTTGCTCTTAAACTGGAAAATGTCGACAAATTTTGGGGAATCAAGCACGAAATAGCGAAGTAAGGGCAATTCTGCTTTTTGTTATGATGTTTAATCAGACAACTAATTCATTTGTTTTGATGCGCACGATAAAAATTTCGGTTACCTTGGAATTCTTTAGCAATCAATTATTCTGCACTAACCTAAAGTAAATTCTCTTATTTCACCATAGGGGTCGTTTCTCAGTTATAAAGCGCTGCTTAGACGCCAAAACAAAGAAACCTTTTGTAGCGAAAATTATTAAATATGAAGACGACACAGACCGTGAAGATACTCTTCAGGAATTTGACATCCATCGAAGCATCAAAGGAGACAAAGTGGTTATGTTGCGGGATGCATTCCTCATGAGGAGATATCTTGTCCTTGTTATGGACATGTAAGTGTGACAAAAGTTGGCTAAGGGAGTACGTCCACTGAATCATCTCATACTTAAGTTCAGGAGTTTCTTTGGTCTGACTGTTTTTGTGTTTTCCTTTGTTTCAAAGGTTGGAGGGACAAGATATCCTAAGCTTTGTAGGATCAAAACCCAGGCCGAATGAGGAAGACATTTGTTTTGTAATTCGACCTTTGCTTGATGTAGTGAATTATCTACATGGCCAGCAGATTGTTCACTTGGACATAAGGGTATGTGAAGTAAAGCTCGATTGTAAGTGGGTATTGTATTTTATATGCTTTATTTTTTTCATTTCCTTGTTTGAATACGGGTCGAACTACCTCCTGGTCTTGTATTTTCCTTTACGAACTGAAATAGGGTTTTACAGCCAGCTTGTATGTGTGATCACTTTGTTGGTTTCTTTTTACAGCCTGCAAACATTTTCATCGCCAAAAGTAACTTGGGTGTGAAACTGATCGATTTTGGAAGTGCTCGCCGCATCAAGAACTGGAAGGAAGGAGACATGTTGGCCATTGTTAGTTATGTTGCATTTACAGGTGAGTTGCACAAATCAGAATCCACTTTTGTAATAACCATTGACACAAGGGCGTGGTTCATTTAGCGCATGAGTTATAGTGTATAAATATAGAATAAGAAAGATAATATAATATAAGATAAGAAATAAATAATGGACAGAATAGCGATTTGGAGAGCAAGCAAGTAATCAGGCCTAGAAGAAATTTTCTGTTATCAAAGGCTATCGTGAGACCAGTTTTTATCTGAGGAAATAGTCTGCTCTACACTTGCTATTACCGCTTTACAAATTACAATAGTAATTTTTCTAACACACTTGGGATGAAAATTCACTCTGATCGTGACAAACGTTTCCGAGAGACATTGGTAATAACCCAGTTACAGTGCATTTCTTTGATTTGTTTCCAGCTCCAGAACTGCTGGACTTCGCCCCAGTCAGTGGACCAGCAGACATGTGGAGCATCGGTGTTCTCATCTACGCTCTGTGAGTGTGACCAATATTACTTTTTAATTGAACTATGAAATATCATTAATTCTTAATAAATACATATCTCATTTGAATTTTTGTTGAGGAAGGGAATCGCAGTACTACAAATAGTTAGAAAACAGTTTACATTCAAACGTCACGAGCTTAGAACAACATCACGATACTTTCAATCTCTGAATAATTATTTTATTGAAACACTCCCCTTTCACCTTAATCCTTAAAACCTTAACATCAGTATGAATATTTTCCATAATGATCTCTGTACATTTCATAAGGTTCTGACCAGGAGAATTTGTTTATTAATCAAGAGTTTCTCTATGGGTACACACCCTAATATCAGTAGGCATATTCTCCATATAGTTCTCTCAGTATTTCCTAAGGTGCTAAACGAGTAGAGTTTGTTTACCAATCAAGAGTGCCTTAATTAAGGTCACAAGGTGACCTTAATTTTTTATTTAGGGGGGATAATGTAAGAAGGACTTGGTTGGTGCTCAGTCTTTGTGGTCAAAAGGTTAAAAGAAGAAGATAAACAATCCACTCAATGCTGGTTCTTATTAAGGATTCTATTACGATACTCTCGGGTTTTACACCAAGAACAAATCCACAAATAATCATTTTCGCCTTTAGCTGAAGTGAAGGCCTGGAAGTAAACAAAGCTGATTACGTGCTTAGCTTGTGAACTTCATTTTTCTTTGTGTTTGTTTTTTTATTATTATTTTAGCATGAGCGGAATGCTGCCTTTCTCCGTGGAAACGAGGGATGACGACGACGAAGACGAAAAACTTGGTGAAGTGATCAAAAGGGGCAAATGGTCTTTTGACTCCAAAGCATTTCAACGCAGCACCTCAGAAGTAAAAGATCTGATCACCTCTCTCCTTTCGAAGGATGCCAAGTAAGTCACGATAGCCGTTTTTGGATGGAAATTTAATTTACCTTTTACCGCCTGATCAGTCTGCTAGACCATTGGAAATACGTTAATTTAAATTTGAGATCAAAATTTCGTATTTTCATTTTAATTAAAATCGTCCAGGGTTACAGTAGTATGACAAGTAGAGTCAGTAAAACTAAAGTTCTCTCACTGTGTTATATTAAGAAAGGGCGTTGAACCTTTTCACTCTTAACGGTTGTGGAAGAATTGGGTATTACATTAAGGTGAATTGCTCACTGATTCCCTTGTCCATAGTCGTCATCTGTTGGATAATTGTCGATGGTTTGAGTTCGTCTTCAGTGGGTGTTTTTTTTTTTTCATCACTTTAACAGGAAAAGTAGTTCACTCCTTTTGTGGAACACAAAGTGATTTTGTTTTTTTCCATTTACTCGCAGAAAACGTCCCACCGCAGAAGAGGCTGCGAAACATCCTTGGCTCATGGTAAGTTCCTAAAACATCCTTGATCATCTTGCTTCAAATTTAATTGAGTGCATATAATCTGAAGTTGTAGAAATTTGATTTATGCACTTCAACCAACAGTATTCATTCTCTTGTTAGGGCGATAATTTGCAGAAACGTCGTTCAAGTGACGTGGCGAGCTCCAAGCTCAAAGATCTTAGTCAGAAACTTCTGTTAAAGGTTTGTTTTTTCAGTAAACTTATATAATTCATTATACAATCTGCATTCAGTTTCCTTAGCAAGAGCTTGTCTTTACAGATACTCTGAATTTTCTAGGATCAAATTGAGTTATTTATCTTTATGAGAATCGCATTTAAAGACAAAAGGAACAAATTTTACTTCTCTTGTATGGCTTTTTTCGCAATGTGATGTTACATATTTATTTTTTCTTTCTTTCTTTCTTTATTTATTTTTCGCTTAAATAAAAAAAGAGGAATCCCCGAACTATTTCTCTAGTTTGGCCGTTAAACCAAATCACAGCGAACTGGAAGAGTTGTCAAGAGATACACAGAGTAGTTTGTTACAAAATGTTTTTGAATGACAGTCATTAACGTATTTGTTGACCACAGGACAAGGAAGATGTTGTGTCAGCATCCTGTGTCCTAAAGACCTTCAGTGAGGATCCTTACGACTCTCCGGACTCAGACGAGGAGTAGATATGTGTACCCGACCTGTGTACCAACAGAAAGTGATCCATAGCGGCGCGCTCCTGCGCCAAGATTAATTAGCTTTTTGTGAATAACAATTAAGACTTTTAAACTTAGATAGTGATTTCAAACATTGCGATTAAGTAAATTTATATTGATTCTTTTTGACAAGCATATTCAATAATTTTCTCTAGAAGCATTGGTCCACGAAATAGTATTTATTTTTGTAGGGGATGTTTTTGTAGCAATGTTATAATCATAATATCCATTTTTTTACTATTATCCTTAAGCAAGTCATGGCTTTATGATGCATTTCAGTAGCAAATGCTTTTGCACGTTCCTGTTCGTTTCTAGTTGTTTAGTAAGTGAAAGCGGGAATGTTACAATTTAGAGAAAAGAGTTAGTCATACTAAGAAAGACTACTTCTACTTTTTAAGGCGAACTCGTTAATCAGACATAGTTGTGATTTCATAATGAATTCGCCATTGCGGTATTTCTGTTTAGTCAAACATTTGCAAGTGAAATAAAACACGTTTCAAATATATCTTTCGTTTTCTACTGGGTAGATAATTGCTCAGGGTTACTAAAAAGTCCGTATAAGATTACTAAATGGTAATTTTCTCGGCTCACAAAACATCTCTTACTTAAAACTTCAACAAAATATCTGGTTAACAACCCCTTGGACTACGATAACAATCAGGATTAAATCATGAAACAATAGATTTCGTTCACGACTCATTCAAATTCATTAACAAATTCTATTTTTTTATGATTTAGATTCATTTCCCGGCCCACAGAAATGCTGTAACTTTGACACTTTCACACAATACACAGCTAATTACGCTCATTTTAACGCGCTATAAATAATCCCGGAATTCCTTTTTTTTACGGGCCTAGATAGTCATGAATATTGGAACAAAAGAAATTTGTTGATGAGCTTTTTGGCAACTTCCAAGAACCTCTAGCAAGACCGGGTTTTCAAACTCATTAACAAAATTTTATTGTTTAAATATTCAAAGGAGAATTTCTTTGCCCACAGAAGAGATGTAACTTTGACACTTGCACACGATACGCAACTAATCATGCTCTTTTTAACGCGCCATGAATTATTCCAGAATTCCTCTTTTTTACGGGGATATAAACTTACGAATATTGAAACAATAGAAATCCGTTTCCGAGCTCTTTGGTAACTTGGAGGAACCCCAACAAAATCGAGTTCTCAAACTCATTAGCAAAATACTGTTGTTTAAATATTCAAAGAAAAATTTCTTTGCCCAAAGAAGAGGTGTTACCTTGACACTTTCACACAATACACAGCTAATAACGCTCTTTTTAACGCGCTATAAATTATTCCGGAATTTCTCTTTTCCATGGGGATACAAAGCCATGAATATTGAAATAATAGATAGTCTTTAATGAGCTTTTTGGTGATATGGATGAACCCCTAGAAAAACCGAGCTCACAAACTTATTAACAAAATTCTATTGTTTTAATATTCAGAGAAGAATTTCTTTGCCCTCAGAAGAGCTGTAACTTTGACACCTCCACACAATACACAGCTAATCACACTCTTTCTAACGCACTAAAATTATTACGGAATTTCTCTTTTCCTGGGGATAGAAACCTATGAATATTAAAACAATAGAAATTCGTTAATGAGCTTTATGGCAATATGGAAGAACCACTAGCAAAACCGAACTTCCAAACTCATTAACAAAACTCTATTGTTTTAATATTCAGAGGAGAATTTCTTTGCCCACGGAAGAGCTGTAACTTTGACACTTACACACAATACACAGCGAATCACGCTCTTTCTAACGCATTAGAAACTATTCCGGAATTCCTCTTTTTCACGGAGATGCAAAACCATGAATATTGAAACAATAGAAATTCGTTAATGAGCTTTATGGCAATATGGAAGAACCCCTAGCAAAACCGACCTCCCAGACTCATTAACAAAATTCTATTGTTTTAATATTCAGAGGAGAATTTCTATGCCCACAGAAGAGCTGTAAGTTTGACACTTGCACAAAATACACACCTAATCACGCTCTTTCTAACGCATTAGAAACTATTCCGGAATTCTTCTTTTTCACGGGGATACAAAGCCATGAATATTGAAACAATAGAAATTCGTTAATGAGCTTTATGGCAATATTGAAAAACCCCTAGCAAAACTGTGTTCTCCAACTCATTAACAAAATTCTATTGTTTTAATATTCAGAGGAGAATTTCTTCGCCCACAGAAGAGCTGTAACTTTGATACTTACACACAATATACAACTAATTAAGCTCCTTCTAACGCGCTATAAATTATTCCGGAATTTCTCTTTTCCACGGGGATACAAAGCCATGAATACTGAAACAATAGAAATTCGTTAATGAGCTTTATGGCAATATTGAAAAACCCCTAGCAAAACTGTGTTCTCCAACTCATTAACAAAATTCTATTGTTTTAATATTCAGAGGAGAATTTCTTTGCCCACAGAAGAGCTGTAACTTTGACACTTGCACACAATATACAGCTCATCACGATATTTCTAACGCCTTATAAATTATTCTGGAATTCTTCTTTTTCATAGGGATACAAACCTATGAATATTGAAATAATAGAAATTCGTTAATGAGCTTTATGGCAATATTGAAAAACCCCTAGCAAAACTGTGTTCTCCAACTCATTAACAAAATTCTATTGTTTTAATATTCAGAGGAGAATTTCTTCGCCCGCAGAAGAGCTGTAACTTTAACACTTGCACATAATACACAGCTAATCACGCTCTTTCTAACGCATTAAAAATTTATTCGGAATTCGTCTTTTTCACGGAGATACAAAGCCATGAATATTGAAACAATAGAAATTCGTTAATGAGCCTTATGGCAATATTGAAAAACCCCTAGAAAAACCGAGCTCACAAACTTATTAACAAAATTCTATTGTTTTAATATTCAGAGAAGAATTTCTTTGCCCTCAGAAGAGCTGTAACTTTGACACCTCCACACAATACACAGCTAATCACACTCTTTCTAACGCACTAAAATTATTACGGAATTTCTCTTTTCCTGGGGATAGAAACCTATGAATATTAAAACAATAGAAATTCGTTAATGAGCTTTATGGCAATATGGAAGAACCACTAGCAAAACCGAACTTCCAAACTCATTAACAAAACTCTATTGTTTTAATATTCAGAGGAGAATTTCTTTGCCCACGGAAGAGCTGTAACTTTGACACTTACACACAATACACAGCTAATCACACTCTTTCTAACGCATTAGAAACTATTCCGGAATTCCTCTTTTTCACGGAGATGCAAAACCATGAATATTGAAACAATAGAAATTCGTTAATGAGCTTTATGGCAATATGGAAGAACCCCTAGCAAAACCGACCTCCCAGACTCATTAACAAAATTCTATTGTTTTAATATTCAGAGGAGAATTTCTATGCCCACAGAAGAGCTGTAAGTTTGACACTTGCACAAAATACACAGCTAATCACGCTCTTTCTAACGCATTAGAAACTATTCCGGAATTCTTCTTTTTCACGGAGATACAAAGCCATGAATATTGAAACAATAGAAATTCGTTAATGAGCTTTATGGCAATATTGAAAAACCCCTAGCAAAACTGTGTTCTCCAACTCATTAACAAAATTCTATTGTTTTAATATTCAGAGGAGAATTTCTTCGCCCACAGAAGAGCTGTAACTTTGATACTTACACACAATATACAACTAATTAAGCTCCTTCTAACGCGCTATAAATTATTCCGGAATTTCTCTTTTCCACGGGGATACAAAGCCATGAATACTGAAACAATAGAAATTCGTTAATGAGCTTTATGGCAATATTGAAAAACCCCTAGCAAAACTGTGTTCTCCAACTCATTAACAAAATTCTATTGTTTTAATATTCAGAGGAGAATTTCTTTGCCCACAGAAGAGCTGTAACTTTGACACTTGCACACAATATACAGCTCATCACGATATTTCTAACGCCTTATAAATTATTCTGGAATTCTTCTTTTTCATAGGGATACAAACCTATGAATATTGAAATAATAGAAATTCGTTAATGAGCTTTATGGCAATATTGAAAAACCCCTAGCAAAACTGTGTTCTCCAACTCATTAACAAAATTCTATTGTTTTAATATTCAGAGGAGAATTTCTTCGCCCACAGAAGAGCTGTAACTTTGACACTTGCACACAATACACAGCTAATCACGCTCTTTCTAACGCATTAGAAATTCTTTCGGAATTCCGCTTTTTCACGGAGATACAAAGCCATGAATATTGAAACAATAGAAATTCGTTAATGAGCTTAATGGCGATATAGAAGAACCCCTAGCAAAACCGGCCTCCCAAACTCATTAACAAAATTCTATTGTTTTAATATTCAGAGGAGAATTTCTTTGCCCACAGAAGAGCTGTTACTTTGACACTTACACACAATACACAGCTCATCACGATCTTCCTAACGCGTTAGAAATTATTCCGGAATTCCTCTTTTTCACGGAGATACAAAGCCATGAATATTGAAACAATAGAAATTCGTTAATGAGCTTTATGGCAATATTGAAAAACCCCTAGCAAAACTGTGTTCTCCAACTCATTAACAAAATTCTATTGTTTTAATATTCAGAGGAGAATTTCTTCGCCCACAGAAGAGCTGTAACTTTGACACTTGCACACAATACACAGCTAATCACGCTCTTTCTAACGCATTAGAAATTATTTCGGAATTCCTCTTTTTCACGGAGATACAAAGCCATGAATATTGAAACAATAGAAATTCGTTAATGAGCTTAATGGCAATATGGAAGAACCCCTAGCGAAACCGGCCTCCCAAACTCATTAACAAAATTCTATTGTTTTAATATTCAGAGGAGAATTTCTTCGCCCACAGAAGAGCTGTAACTTTGACACTTGCACACAATACACAGCTAATCACGCTCTTTCTAACGCATTAGAAATTCTTTCGGAATTCCGCTTTTTCACGGAGATACAAAGCCATGAATATTGAAACAATAGAAATTCGTTAATGAGCTTAATGGCGATATAGAAGAACCCCTAGCAAAACCGGCCTCCCAAACTCATTAACAAAATTCTATTGTTTTAATATTCAGAGGAGAATTTCTTTGCCCACAGAAGAGCTGTTACTTTGACACTTACACACAATACACAGCTCATCACGATCTTCCTAACGCGTTAGAAATTATTCCGGAATTCCTCTTTTTCACGGAGATACAAAGCCATGAATATTGAAACAATAGAAATTCGTTAATGAGCTTTATGGCAATATTGAAAAACCCCTAGCAAAACTGTGTTCTCCAACTCATTAACAAAATTCTATTGTTTTAATATTCAGAGAAGAATTTCTTCGCCCACAGAAGAGCTGTAACTTTGACACTTGCACACAATACACAGCTAATCACGCTCTTTCTAACGCATTAGAAATTATTTCGGAATTCCTCTTTTTCACGGAGATACAAAGCCATGAATATTGAAACAATAGAAATTCGTTAATGAGCTTAATGGCAATATGGAAGAACCCCTAGCGAAACCGGCCTCCCAAACTCATTAACAAAATTCTATTGTTTTAATATTCAGAGGAGAATTTCTTTGCCCACAGAAGAGCTGTAACTTTGACACTTACACAAAATACACAGCTCATCACGATCTTCCTAACGCGTTAGAAATTATTCCGGAATTCCTCTTTTTCACGGAGGTACAAAGCCATGAATATTGAAACAATAGAAATTCGTTAATGAGCCTTATGGCAATATTGAAAAACCCCTAGCAAAACTGTGTTCTCCAACTCATTAACAAAATTCTATTGTTTTAATATTCAGAGGAGAATTTCTTTGCCCACAGAAGAGCTGTAACTTTGACACTTACACACAATACACAGCTCATCACGATCTTGCTAACGCATTAGAAATTATTTCGGAATTCCTCTTTTTCACGGAGATACAAGGCCATGAATATTGAAACAATAAAAATTCCTTAATGAGCCTTATGGCAATATTGAAAAACCCCTAGCAAAACTGTGTTCTCCAACTCATTAACAAAATTCTATTGTTTTAATATTCAGAGGAGAATTTCTTCGCCCGCAGAAGAGCTGTAACTTTGACACTTGCACACAATACACACCTAATCACGCTCTTTCTAACGCATTACAAATTATTTCAGAATTCGTCTTTTTCACGGAGATACAAAGCCATGAATATTGAAACAATAGAAATTCGTTAATGAGCCTTATGGCAATATTGAAAAACCCCTAGCAAAACTGTGTTCTCCAACTCATTAACAAAATTCTATTGTTTTAATATTCAGAGGAGAATTTCTTCGCCCGCAGAAGAGCTGTAACTTTAACACTTGCACATAATACACAGCTAATCACGCTCTTTCTAACGCATTAAAAATTTATTCGGAATTCGTCTTTTTCACGGAGATACAAAGCCATGAATATTGAAACAATAGAAATTCGTTAATGAGCCTTATGGCAATATTGAAAAACCCCTAGCAAAACTGTGTACTCCAACTCATTAACAAAATTCTATTGTTTTAATATTCAGAGGAGAATTTCTTCGCCCGCAGAAGAGCTGTAACTTTAACACTTGCACATAATACACAGCTAATCACGCTCTTTCTAACGCATTAGAAATTATTTCGGAATTCCGCTTTTTCACGGAGATACAAAGCCATGAATATTGAAACAATAGAAATTCGTTAATGAGCTTAATGGCAATATGGAAGAACCCCTAGCAAAACCGCCCTTCCAAACTCATTAACAAAATTCTATTGTTTTAATATTCAGAGGAGAATTTCTTTGCCTACAGAAGAGCTGTAACTTTGACACTTACACACAATACACAGCTCATCACGATCTTCCTAACGTGTTAGAAATTATTTCGGAATTCCTCTTTTTCACGGAGATACAAAGCCATGAATATTGAAACAATAGAAATTCGTTAATGAGCCTTATGGCAATATTGAAAAACCCCAGGCAAAACTGTGTTCTCCAACTCATAAACAAAATTCTATTGTTTTAATATTCAGAGGAGAATTTCTTTGCCCACAGAAGAGCTGTAACTTTGACACTTACACACAATACACAGCTAATCACGATCTTCCTAACGCATTAGAAATTATTTCGGAATTCCTCTTTTTCACGGAGATACAAAGCCATGAATATTGAAACAATAGAAATTCGTTAATGAGCCTTATGGCAATATTGAAAAACCCCTAGCAAAACTGTGTTCTCCAACTCATTCTATTGTTTAAATATTCAGAGGAGAATTTCTATGCGCGAAGAAGAGCTGTTACTTTGACACTTGCACACGATACCCAACTCATCATGCTCTTATTAACGCGCTGTCAATTATCCCGGAATTCCTCTTTTTCACGGGGATAGGAAGCCATGATTATTGAAACAATAGAAATTTGTTAATGAGCTTTTGGCAACTTGGAAGAAACCCTAGGAAAACTCATTAACAAAATTCTATTGTTTATATATTCAGAGGAGAATTTCTATGCTGTAACTTTGACACTTGTACACAATACGCAGCTAATCACGCTCTTTTTAACGAGCTATAAATTATTCCGGAATTTCTCTTTCTCACGGGGATAGGAACCCACGAATATTGAAACGATGGAAATTCGTCAATGGGCTCAATAGGCAACTTACAAGAACCCTAGCCAATCCGAGATTTCAAAACTTTTTAATGAGCTTTCTAGGATCAAGAACTAACAATGGTTTTCCAGTATATTAGCAAAAATGCATTACTTTAATATTTGGCGGGGATTTTCTTGGCCCCCAAAAGAGTTGTATCTTTGGAAACAAGACAGAGTTTATCTTGCTCTTTGACAAAATTCCTAATTCTTTCGGTGAGATTAACGCCTTGATATTCTTTTGATATTGAACACCACTGAACATTTTTAGTTTCCTTCTCATTTCTCCAGGTGAGTGAGCTGCTGAGCTGATTTCACGAGGGAACAGTTTTCTCCTACGTAAAAAGAGGAAAAAAATTTTTTTAATATAACTACCAATTGTAAGTCTATAGTGTTATAAATATGAAAAAATTAAGTTAGGCATGATACTATATCATGGAGTATGTCGTTATCCGTTAAACGAACTCGGAGATTTTGGTTCCCTTCAGTTTATTCCGAAAACATTTGTTTTAACTGTCGGCAGTAGATGTCACATCGCACCAAAAGAATTAAAATGACGCGAAAACCTCGAGAAATGCGAATAGGACACAAGGAGCCATGCCGACTTAAATACGGATAATAAGCTCCCTTTTTTAATAATTAGAGGATGCGGTTAGTTTAGTTGAAAAATCACGAAGGATAAAAGCGTTTCAATCGAAAAAAGGTGTCAGAAAGTATTTGAAATGGCAGAGTTGCATGTCATTCACACACCAGATAGGTCCGGAAGTTAACTTATGATCAACACCAGTTCATCAATGTTGGAAATGTTATGATGCATTAACTTTCAATAGGTCAAGAACGAGAATTAAATGTCTCTCGTCACTCAAAAGTGGTCGGGTCGTTTGAACATAAATTGGTTTCCCTGTTAATAGATGCACCCTGTTGTTGTGACTGGAGCTGGATAATCATGGAGTTGAAAAAAGAAAATCCAGATAAATATTACAACTTAAATGAGGAAATTGGAAGGTAGAATATTTTACTTTAGTCACGGAAGATAACCAAGTCAGAGGCTGTAGGTAACCGAGCGGATACAAATAACCAGGGAATGTGATAAGTTGTTTGTGAAAGACGACCTTTTTTCGCGCGCAATACGTTAGTAGCAGAGTTGAATTTGTAAGTTTTATAGTTTAAACATAGAAAGCTTCTACCAAAGGTTTCACCGCATACATCTGAGGAGCAGATTAAGCAGTGTCTTTCTTGAAGCTGACTGTGTCGTGGAACATGTACCTGCACATCGATCAGAACGTTGACTCAAATAGTCTAGACAGCAGTGAGGTACATCTCACTTAAGATATTTCATGCTGCGTGGTTATCGTTGAATTTGGGCTGATTTCCCGCTTTTTGTCGAATTAACGATTTCTTTTACAGTCTAATTTGGCTTACCTTTACTATTGAACTTAATGAGAAGAACGTAACGTACTATCTTCTCAAAATTTTTCCTAATCTTTCTGTCAATTTTAGTGTTTATGTCGTTAGTAGAGCGAGTATAAATTTTTACATTTTACTACAGAAAGAGAGCATTTCGCAATTAATCAGAGATACCTTTCGAAATTTTTCCTTCGTTATCCTGCTCATTGTTTATTCTATCATTCAGAGCTAAAAAGGTATTTTTCTGACCCCATGCAAAGGTCATGATAATGGTATTATTCTTAAAATTCTATTCATTTGTTTCCTAAACTGGAAACACTTAACGAGTTTAAATGACGAGTGAAGGGAAGTGTTTGACATCCTAAAACAAGTGATGTTGTTAGTCACTTAAAACTCACCTGTGACTCTTCACGAACGGCAAACTGCTTTATACATCTGCTCTCTGCCTAAGTTAAAATTTTAAGAGTGCTTTGAAATTCAGGTCTCAATCCAGCCTCATCAGGGTGGAAAGAATCAGAAAAAATGTCAGATTTCCGACGAGAACTTTTATTTATAGTAACGTGAACTGAAATTTGTCGTTGATTTCGGGAAATATAAAAGGAATAGTTTTCATTCTTTACGCACAGAGCGTAGTCAATAATTCACTCAATGGGTCCAGTTAAATTCCCCGCATGCTACAGGGGTAATTTTTGTGTCCGACAAAAAGTTGATTTGAAGAGAAAATTTTTTGTCACTGTTTTCCGATCTTCTATTAAAAACTGTAGGATTCTCGACTCTTCCTGACTAATCACTTATGAGTACAAACATGATTATGCGCAAATAGCAACCTACAAATACCGATACCGCTCACACTTACTAGGCAAAAGAGTTATGTTAGGTACACTCAATATTCAGATGCGAATTTTTTTTTTTCAAAGCACTCGGGTATTCAGTAAGATCTGAAAAACTGGTCTCTCATTCCAGTAACTCGCCTGTTTCTTTGTATGGAGTGGTCTTCTCAAGAACTTACACGTGAACTCAAAGTATATCGTTTGTTATTCAAAGTTGATGTTGAAAATTATTCAAGGTATCACTTTTTTTTACAAAACAGCTGCCGGAGCAAAAAGGCTTTTAACCCGATACTTCGGTTAGGAGGGGAAAATTGAGCATATCGACAATACAGTGCAGGCAATTTGCGCACCGCGTTATCTAAAACATTTAATCATTGACAAAATGGGCATAAAAAGTGTTTGCGTCGTGACAGGTACAGTTATGTCTTTTGAATATTGAGTCGTAGCCGCGGAGATTAAAGAAGGCATGGTATTCCACACTGTATCTTTGCTATGTTACTGTGCGGAATCAGTTAACTTTTTTCTTCTATCCATTGCCAGAGGTAAATACGCCGTTGTCAAAAATTGCTCAGACAATAAAACGAGGAAACAATTAGTTGCCAAGCTGATCAAGTACGAGGCTGATACCGAGAAGAACACAAAGCAAGAATTCGAGATAATGGCAACCCTTAAACACGATAAGCTCCTGACGGCTCGAGATGGATTCATCGTCCAAAAATATGTGGTTATCGTAATGGATAGGTGGGTACCATTTATCAACCACATAATAATCATAACACCACTGTCTAAGTCAAATTTGTGGCATAAATCACGTGGGCCACTATAAGAACAACTGCGTGTTTCGAAAGCCTTCCCTCCGTCATTATCTCCCCCTGGGGAGCGTTTCAGATTAACTTTGACAGAGATCAAATGCGTTCCTTTTTCGTTCATAGGGTTGAAGGAAAAGAAGTACTCGAATTCCTGGCAGAAAAAACCACTGCAAGTGAAGAGGATGCATCCCTTGTCATTGCTCAGCTTGTTGATGCTCTTACTTATCTGCACAAGAAGAATATTGTTCATCTGGATATCAGGGTGAGAAAGAAGACAAGATAAAAATTTTTGTAACGACCTCACACATCGGAGCAAAAAAGAAACCTCGTTTTGCTCAATTACATGTCCATCTGATATTATTAATCCTATTGACGCATTTTCTTTATTTTTATTTCAAATGAAACAGCCGGCAAACCTTTTTTTGTCCAGAGACTTTAAACTGACTCTAATCGATTATGGGAACGCCAGGCGGATCCAATCTCCCGATGGCCAATTTGTTGACGCGGTTGGAGTCACTGAGTTCACAGGTGGAAAATGATTTTGTGATATTGTATGGTTCTCGATATTTAGAGAATAAATCGTGGGAAGAATTAGAAGTGAACTTTCGATTACCAGAAATGGTAAGGTTGAACCTTTAGTGAAATAGAGACTTTTACCACAACCACATTGTCGACCTTTTTCTCATGTTTTCATCTTTTCTATCACAAATCAAGAATTTCTCTAGATCACTTTTTCTTCAACGATATAATTTTTCATTCATTCTGTCGCTGACCTTCAACCTCAAAACCCTCCAGTTCCTTCGGGAAAAAACATTCATGAATGCAAGAAACTCTTCAACATGAATTTTGTTGCATTGTTGGTCTCTGATATTTTGATTTTAGCTCCAGAGGTACTCAACTTTGAGATGACCCATTGGGGAGCAGACATGTGGAGTGTGGGAGTACTCCTGTACATATTGTAAGTCTTCTTAAAAAGTAAAAACAAAACCAACAAGAAATCACAAACGGTGAGATGCTTTGGTTTACTGACTGACCGATCAATCGATTGCCGCAATGATTCGAATTTAGCGCCCTCCTCCCGATAAGCGCCCCTTCTCTAATAAGCGTCCCTACTGAGTAAGCACCCTCATTCCAATAAACGCCACTATTCTGTTTCAGTAATAACACTGTTAAAGTACATGTACATTGAGATCAACCGTGCTTCAATTTCTTTTAATTGCTTACTTATAAGCATCATGAAAAAAACAGTGGTCTTCGTCTCAGTCTGTCGACTATTATGTTCCGGTGAGTGCACAATTCCTTCAAACGAAATATCCCGTCTTAAAATTTTGTGGCCATTGCTTGGCTAGTCGTTCTAGCAAGGAAGGATCCAAGGACAACAAGTCCGTTTTCCAGTCTTTTTTATCCTTTTCAAATAAACATCAAAGCTCTGTTTCATATCCTGCTGTTTCTCAAAAAAGAAACAAGCGCCCTGTCCCTAATAAGTTCAGTGAGCGCCCTGTTACGAATAAGCGCTTTCCCCTGAAGTTCCAAAAGTAAATACGCGCCCCGGGCGCTAAATCGAATCATTACGGTAATCGGTTAATTAACTGTTGGATGAACTGGGTGATTTCTTGATTAATTGTTTAATTTAGTTAATTGGCCGATTGAATGATTTATCTTTACAGGTTAAGTGCTACCCTACCCTTCACCATAGAGGACAGTGACGACCAAAATGCTGACGACAAAGTTGCTGCAAAAGTCAAATCAGTTTCATATGAAATGCCGGTCAGCTTGTTTCGCAACGCCACACAAGAAGCCGAAAATTTGATCAAGAAACTTCTTATTAGACAGCCTGAGTAAGTATCGCATTCTTAGTTTGAAACAGTCGTCAGTAAACCAATAGATCGGATGTTAAATGACTGAATGAGCCGTGAACATATATTCCATCAGAGTTTTGTCTTATTTTAGGAGACGACCGACAGCTTCATCCTGCTTAGATGATCCCTGGCTCTCGGTAAGACTCTAACATGATGTTCAACTGGTACACTTGTAGTTCACGCGAAAAAGAAACTCTGATGGAAAATGAAGAAGCTTAAAAAGTTAATCAAAAAAATTGAGCACACCGCTTTTCAACGCCATTCGCTCTCTCCTTGTTTAGCAAGAGAACCTCCGCATCGCCAGCATCTATAAAATAACAGCTAACTTCACCGTTAATAATGGTACTACAAACGAGTGGAGTCCAATTCGGTCTGTAACCATAGGAGTGATTAGAGTGATTTAGCACGAAACGAAACGACAGCGACGCAAATCATAGAAAAAAATTATTTAGTGGGCTTCAAAATTTGATACTTTTAGATGAATTAGCAGACTCGAGACTTAACTGGAATGAAATAATTTCAAAGTTTAATCGCCCATGTGGATTCATATTTACAAATTACTTGCCGTATCTATAACTATGCTCTGTTTGCGCTTGTTATACAACTCTCAAAGAATATAATTTCTTGGTCTATGAAACCAAAAATTCAAATGGTGATGGTGATCTTAAAAGAACCGAAGTTAGGATATTCAAGGACAAATATAAAGTTGACGGCTCGATGCAATGACTGCTAAGTCACTTCTGAGACACAACAGGATGACGTTCACGACCCAGTTTCTCACCGTATTTTTGCTGCGCGCGCAGTTGTCAACAAAATCGGACGACCGCGAAGCGGGAGTCCAATTTGTTAATCACTCGTATGATTACAGATAGAATTGGACAACACGAAGTCTTGTTACCAATTAATCAAGACTATGACAAAATTTGGGAAAGAAACTGAACATCGGTTGTACGTTTTCATATAAAAAAAAGTAGCAGTTAATTCTCGAAATGCAAGACAACAGCGCGCGTACATGACGCGTTCTGTCCACTTACACAGGCATCACGAGTTAACTGTCCTATTATCATTATCAATTATAAGCATGACGCGTACACTGTCCTATTAGTGCTCAAATCGAGCTGGTGATAACCAATCACGTTCGAGAATTTTGTTATAGTTTTGATTAATAAATGTAATGGGACCGAGTGGAGTCCAATTCGGTCAGTAATCATACGATTGATTGACAAAATCGGATGACCGCGAAGCGGGAATCCGACTTGTCAATCACGAGTATGATTACAGACTGAATTGGACGGCACAAAGTCCTGTTACCAAATAATCATAACTGTTACAATTTCCGAAAACAAAAATACATTTAGGACAAATATGTGCAGCAGAGACAATATCTGAGTATAAAAATTCTTCAACTTTAGAAATTCCACAACTTTTTTAGGATAAGTGGTTGTTGCTAATGGTTATTGTGATCAATTTTGTGATTGGTGAATTTGACTGAAAGGACTAAGTATTATTGGCCGCTCCAACTGTCCGATTACAGGTGTCCGATTACAGCCAACTGTCCGATTACAACTCTACGAAATGATTAGTGAAAAATAAGGCAGCTACTGCGCCAGACACATTTGAGGAAATTGTGCTGATTATGATTAAATTTGAAATAAAAAAATGCACATTGCATTGATGCGCATATTTGTCTTTTCAGCCCATCCTTACTCAGAAAAGGAAATCCTCCGAGATACCAGCTTCCAAATTTAAATTCCTAAATGATCAGCTGAAAGAAGCGGTAAGTGAGTGAAAAACAACCTAAATCAATTAACCTAGTTAATCATTTCTACAATTATGGATTGGAGAAGATGCTGAAATGTTCTGTATTCAAATGTTTATAATTCAAACAAGAATAGCAATTGTCAGTAGGGACGTCTGGATAGCGTTGTGACAGTCAGTAAACAGGACAGTCAGTTACTTATCAGTAAGTGAGTTATTTGATGAAGAGACAGTAAATAAATTGTCAGTCACTCAGTTAGTTAGTCATTCAGTCAGCAATCCACCAATCAGCCAGTCAGTCAGTCATTCAGTCAACCAGTCAGTCAGACAGTCAGTTAGTCAGTCATTCAGTCAGCAGGCCAGTCATTCAGTCAGCAATCCACCAGTCAACCAGTCGGTCAGTCATTCAGCCAGCCAGACAGTTAGTCATTCAGTCAGCCAGTCATTCAGTCAGTCAGACAGCCAGTTAGTCAGTCAGTCAGTCATTCAGTCAATCTTCAGTCGGCAATCCACCAGTCAGCCAAGTCAGTCATTCAGTCAGCCAGTCAGTCATTAAGTCAGTCAGCCAGTCATTCAGTATGCAGTCAGTCAGGCAGTCATTCAGTCAGCCAGACAGTTAGTCATTCAGTCAGCCAGTCATTCAGTCAGTCAGACAGCCAGTTAGTCATTCAGTCAGTCAGTCATTCAATCAGCCAGTCAGTCAGTCAGTCAACCAGTCAGTTAGGCAGTCAGTTATTCAGCCAGTCAGTCAGCCAGTGAGTCAGTCAGTCATTCAGTCAGCCAGTTGGTCATTCAATCAGCCAGTCAGTCATTCATTCAGCCAGCCAGTCAGTCAGCCAGTCAGTCAGTCAGTCAGTCAGTCAGCCAGTCAGTCAGCCAGTCAGTCAGTCAGTCAGTCAGTCAGTCCGTCAGCCAGACAGTCAGTCAATCAGTCAGTCAGTCAGCCAGTCAGTCAGTCAGTCAGTCAGTCAGTCAGTCAGTCAGTCAGTCAGTCAGTCAGTCAGTCAGTCAGTCAGTCAGTCAGTCAGTCAGTCAGTCGGTCAGTCAGTCGGTCAGTCAGTCAAACAGTCAGGCAGGCAATCATTCAGTCACTCAGTCAGTTAGCAAGTGAGTCGATTATTCTCATGGTCAGCTAAGGAACCAGCCAGCCAGTCAGTGGTACCTAGTCAGTCAATCAGTTTGTCAGCCAGCCAGTCAGTCAGCGGCACCCGTCAGTCAATCAGTCCGTTAGCCAGTCATTCTGTCAAGCAATCAGTCAATTTATCAGCCAGTCATCAGCGTATACCAGGATACCATGGTTACTAAATGCAGCATTTGGTTTGCATTATTTTAGGAAGAGGACGAACTGATTGTTGCTTCGTGCGTTCTTCGCTCGTTTGACGAAGAAGCTTATGAGTCCCCTGAGGAGGAAGAGGAGGAGGAGGAGAAGGAGGAAGAGTAGAACAAAAAAACTTCCTCAAAACCAGTGTACAAAGATGCCGTAACTCTTAAGAGAAAACCAAAATATAGGAGATAGCAAGATTTGGTCAAAAGGAAATGAGACCTAAGTGAGACTGTCGTTTTTCTTAACGAGCTGGTTCTCGAAGAAAGAGCGCTTTATAGAAGAAAGAAAGAGATACGAGAATAACAGACAAATCTCAGAAACATTTTTGTATTTCTTAGTGGATTGGGAATAAAGTTTCTTTGACCACTCCCGATAGTGGAGAGATTTGGACTGTTGATTTAAAACTTGCACGTAGGATAAAGAAAGTGTCACTCTTCTTTTTTATTGATCATTGACGGTTTGATTGTTGATTTTAAATCGTTTGAGGCTACATGTACGTTAACTTTAAAACAAACTTCAACTTGATGCATAATTATTATTGATGAGCCCCAGTGGAGCGGAATATGATTGCATTCTGGTGTATGTCAGTTAAAAGTCGTGCGAACCTCGTTAACAATCGCTGACCAAGATGAATGCTGACACAGGCGCGCCATTGGGTTACTGACCGTCTTAGCGTTTTCTTGAATAACCTAGATATGCTTTCGTATCAAATGGCTTGTTTTGATGAACCCGACAAATTTTAGCCTCTTTGTGGATACTGTGGACGCTTATTCGCACGTGCTTGAGAAATTCTCGCCATTTGTGATAAGCTCAAATCCATTCAAATAAAAACAAATCTTTGTGTTTTTATACACAGAATGATTAATTAGTTACATATTTCTATTTCTATTTTTAAATTTTAGTCCTATTATCAAAGCAGAATTAGATTAGCGCATTTACACTAAGTTTTTCCAAATAGTTCCCTATTAATTTATAAATCTTTATTGTCACCAACAGGGGATTAAAATGTCCTTCAAATTCTTGCTGACGCGTCTCCAGGTATGAAAGTTATTGGCGACGGTGAGCGTGAAATTGTGCTTTAGAACAGCCTGAATTAACGCGAGCTTACCCCTTAAACTCTAATAATAACTTCGAACTGCTATAGATGATACTGTCGCAATATCTTAGAAGAACTTACCTCTAGCTCTGTCCGTACTCGCAAAATTGTCTCATGTGATGGCTAGCTTGCTCTCGATTTGTGTAGCTAGTAAAAGAAAATGAACCGCTCGAGTAACCAGTCAGCGGTTCACTTCAAGAATCAACCAACATGGCTGCCCAGCCTGATCGAGAAAAACACAGCATATGGTGGGGCGATCTTTTCTCATTTACGAAGCTTTTGAACTGATTTCAACAAAATGCAACATTGATTTATTCTGATCTTTTCTTAGCATGGTTTCCGATTTCTTTTACCCAAACATGGGCGGAGTAGAGAGTCACATTTATCAGCTGGCTCAGTATCTCATTAAGCGAGGACATAAGGTAATCTAACATTCATCGTGTTTTGTTTTCTGCAAAATGCCATAAGAAGAGAGATGAAAACAACCATTCGAAATAGCCCTTAAAAGGTTAGATTTACAGACTGAATATAATCTCACCCGAACTGTCATTTCGTTTCAATCGTTATCGCATTACAATCATGGTTAGGGGGATTCCCCATTGACAGTTTCTGTCGCCTAGTCTGTTAGCATTAAACTTTATCCCTTCAGCACAAGTGAGTTCAAAGAATAATTTTGTTTACTGATTATATCTGTAATGAAATCAGACATATTTAAGCCCTTCAGAGCCCTAATTTTACACTGACATACAAGTTACACTGATATACAAGTGTAAAAAGAATAGAGAAAAATGTCAATGACAACTACCATCAGAGTTGACAGGTCATGTTAGAATTTAATAACTTTCATGTCAGGTCGTGATTGTAACACATGCCTATGGCGAGCGAAGTGGAATACGTTATTTAACAAACTACCTCAAGGTATGCAATGGTTCCTTTGTCGCCTTTGTCATATTTTCTGTGAAATAGAAACTTTTGCAGTATGATTGTTCTAAATCTTTACTTTGTGATGTTGCTGTTTTAAGTTTTAATGCCACACTAAGTCATCCAGATGAAGTGTGCAAAATTCCAATCGATAAAGACATGCAAGCCAATCAAGTGACAGCATTAGAATCAAAACATTGCACAATCTTGAAATAATGAACACAGCGTTTATGTTTTACTGTCTTCTTACAGGTCTATTATTTACCTTTTGGTCCATTTCACAATCAGTGTGTACTGCCAACTCTGTACACAACAATTCCATTGATGAGATGTGTGTTTCTGCGAGAGAAGATAACTATAGTTCATGGACATTCTGTAAGGCATTGCTTTTAGTATCATTATTTATATTTTATTAGTGTTTTTATCATTGTAGTTATCCTTCAAGTATTGGTTCTTCTGGCAAGATTTTATATCAAAGTAAAATATAAGTTATGCAGCTAAAAATTGGAATCTTTTTTTTTTGTAAACTTTATTGCAAGCTAGCAACAGGTTTAGAATGGTGGGTGGGGGAGACAGATTAGTAGGGCAAAAAAATTCAGATATTTTCTTTTCTCAATTTCCTTTGGTCAGTTCCATTTTGTTCATTCTTTTTCTGCATCACTTGCCTGTCTGTAGTTAATCAAAGATCAGTATGAATATATTTTCTGTGTCTTTTCTTTCCTAGGCCTTTTCTACTCTTTGTCATGATGCTCTTCTTCATGCTCGCACCATGGGACTTCGTACATTATTCACTGACCATTCTCTGTTTGGTTTTGCGGATGCTAGTTCTATCATAACCAATAAGTTTTTACAGTTTTCCTTGGCAGACATTGATCATGTGATCTGTGTTTCACATACAAGGTTTGTAGTAACCTCAATTTTTATAACACTAGCATCTCATTTATTTCATGATGAATGTTCTTTGACTTCAAAACATTTATGTTAAACTAAAGTAAGCATATGGTGGAGCATATGCCATTAGCTCCCCACAAGGTCAGATCTTAATATAGTTGTCATATAACTATATGAATAAATAAAAGGTCGGTATAAACTAGGAAGTTATCATGATGAAAAATTGTCCACTTGAATGAAATGTAGTGAGGCTACTTCAGATAGTGATCATAATTGGATCATATATTTGTAATAATAAAGCAGAATTAATCTCCTAGGAGATTCTTGTCAGTTTGTTCTACCTGGTGTGTTATTTTTACTATCTGAATATTTAATTTTAATTTATTCTACCTCACATCAATTGGTCTTTGTTTACCTTGATGTTGTTTACTTTGCTAGTAAGGAGAACACTGTGTTGCGAGCATCAATGAAGCCTGACATGGTATCAGTGATTCCTAATGCTGTAGATGCCAATGTATTTACACCTGATGTTTCAAAGAAAATTCCAGGAAAAAGTGAGCTGTTGAAATATTGAAGTAATTTTTTTTTCATAAATGATTGCATGAGTGAACATTTAATCTGAGATGATAGGTAGCCAATGAGGCATGTTGTATTTGTGTGTGTCAGCTGTGACTATCTGATATTGAACAAGTATGTGTTGAATTTACCTGAGTAATTGAAAACATGGAAACTAATATCTCAAAATCTTCCACTAACAAACACTGCAAAAAGAACTGTAAATGGAGACTAAGCTCAGATATCTTGTTTCATAAACCAAGCAAACCTCAGGATTTTCATGCTAGTTTTATATGTACACTTAGTCATATATTTGTGATATTGTGGTGAATTAACATTTTGAGTTTTTTATTAGTCACCATTGTGGTAGTAAGTCGGTTGGTGTATAGAAAGGGTATGGATTTGTTGGCTGGAATACTCCCCATCATGTGCGCCAATCATTTAGATGTCCAGTTTATTATTGGTAAGTCCACGTAGGAGAAGACACTTTTAAAGCTATTTACCAGCTTAAGTTTTCTTGAAGATCTTTGTGAAATTGTGTGTCATTATTAGCACCAGAGATCAATGGAAATCGTCAATCCTTTAACTCTCAAGATCTGATTGTTGATTCTACCCCCTCACAACTATGCATTTCCTTGTAAATTAGTTATGAGAATTTGGTGTTAGATCAAGATAACAACTTGTATCTGTTAAGTCTGAGTATTAAAGGGTTAAAAGGACTTGAAATCTTGACTGAATAAAATGTTTGTATTATTTAATGAAGTATATTTATTTTGTGTAGGTGGTGATGGCCCAAAAAGAGCTCTCCTAGAGGATGTTTGTGAACAGTGTAAACTCCAAGAAAGAGTCCATTTTTTAGGAAAATTAAAACATGAGAAAGTTAGGGATGTAAGTTTATAACTTTACTTTCTACCATGGAATGTTAAGAATTCTTGGATGAATTACAGATGAAATTTTATGTTTTAGTATAGAACATGTTCCTGGGCATTTCAAATTGTTGTTAATTCCTTACTAGGTGCTTACTCAAGGTGACATATTTCTCAATACATCATTAACAGAAGCATTCTGCATTGCTATTGTTGAAGCAGCTAGCTGTGGGTAAGTTTTCATTAAACAACAAATTTTTGTTGCCAGTTTTTGACAGGCATCTTAGGGTATCAAGTTTGTGAATGACATGTTGACTTTGGATTTTGATAGTTTTCAAATTCAAACTCAAGCCCTTATTATTAGGAAAATATCAACACTATTTTGTTGGTAATACCAAGGTTGTAATAAAAGTAGCCATTCCATTGATAGCAATGATTTTTTACACCAGGCTCCAAGTGGTCAGTACCAGAGTGGGTGGGGTCCCTGAGGTACTACCAGATGACATGATAAAACTTGCTGAGCCAAGTGTGAAATGTAAGTTAAATGTCTCTATAAAGTGATTTAATGCATGGAAAAAGCCCTGAGTGACCTCTCTTTGTTAGAGTACTTCTTTCTCCTTCTACATTGTCTTGTATTTCCTCACAAAAACACAAGAAGAATTTGAGTTTGTATTTTAAGTTACTCTGAGCTTTTTACCTCTGTACTTTACATGTTAACCAAGCGAAGAAACAATTTGTGAAAAAAAGGTCAAAGCATTCTAACATCCTAACATCATTACTTAGTAAGACTTTTTTCGTAGAACTTTTTTGCCTCAATAGAGGGCTGTATAGAAGATGACTTAAAACTTCTTTTTATCGATTAAAGGAAAACAGCAATTTTACAGAAATGTTTATGAAGAGATATTTCCACAACATTTTAACGTGGTAAAAAATTTCAAACTTGAGAAGCCAGAGTAAATTTGTCTGAAAGTGTTCTGAAAAAATTGCAGTTGACATGAATGTGACCATGTAATTTATTGAGACAGTAGTAAAAGCACAAGTGAGATTTAATATTATACAGTTCAGTCCCCACGAGTGATAACTTAATATTGATGTCTATTAATGTGTAATGCGAGCATTCTGAGAGAATTGGACCTGAAAAATTGCGCTACTGTTCCTTCCAGTGAGTGTGAGGCGCTTGGGTGGACGAATTTTTGATTTAACAATGTTCTCAAATTGTTTAGCAGTTGGAAAGACTTCATTCACGAACTATTGACGGTGTGCCTGTTTTGGAAACATTATGTTACAGAAAAGCGTGAGGAAAAATTCAAAGGAGAAACGTGATTCTTATGATTGAATTTGTTTCTGTTCCAGAATGCTCTTAGACATGTGAAGTGTGTTCGAAGAAACCCGCGGAACCATCTGTATAAGAAATTATCTAACGAGCGAAGCCTTAAGTTGAAAAAAAGAATTGTTTTTCTTAGTGTGGTTTGCAAGGTTGTGAAAGTCATTTCTCATCAACAAGTCATACTTCGGGTTACGCGGTGTTAACCATTTTGCCGCAAAAACAGGAGACCAATTCTATTTAGACAGTGTTCAGTTGAAAAGCATAACCAATTCTAATAAAACGACCAACAAATTAATACTAATTACACGTAGATTAATAACTTTAACAAACCGTATTTCAGCCCTCGTGGCAGCTTTGGAAAGCGCTGTAGAAGCTGCAAGAAACAATACATTTGTAGCGCCAAACGTAGCCCATGAACGAATAAGGACAATGTATACATGGCAGAATGTAGCTCGACGAACAGAAAGAGTAAGTTTGCGCTCTCTTTTGACACATTTTTTTCACTAAATCTTAAATTTGAAAGTTTCCAATTCCCACGCGCTTTGCGCGGGAAAACTTGAAAAAAGCAGTAATGAGCAGGAGACACGTTATCGCTGTCAGTTACGTCACCTGTCAGTCTCGTTTCCATGGTTTCTCCTTTCATAATTGGAAAATAAGCCTTGAGATTCACCCTCAGGTTCAACGTCACGTAAACTGCGTGACACACAATGACAGGGAAACACATATACAACAGTTGTAGAGGTGTTTTATAGAGAGGAGAAACGAAAGCTTTATATAGCGACGAGGAATTTCACTCGTGCCTTTACTCTTGATGAGGGTTTGTTCATTGGAATCACTTATTGCTGGATAATATGTTTGTATTTTGTTTTTTTAATTTGTTAGGTCTATGACTTGGTTAGCACAGTACCTCGTGTTTCATTTGACGAGCGACTCAAAAGGTAACACGTGAAGCAGTTTAACGATTATCAAATCGTTATTTCCAATCGCACGGTTTTCCCAAACTTATATCAAGTTTATGACTTTTTTTATTTATATCCCGGCAAGACTTTTCCTAAGCCTTTGCTATCAAGTACTTTTCTTCTCCTTTTGGATGTTCTTTTCCTTTACTTTAATCTCGATTGTATTTTATCATTATTAGCTTGTACCACTGCGGCCGTGTGGCAGGAAAAATTTTCTGCATTTTAGCAGTAATTGATCTGTTTTTACTGTGGCTTCTCGAATGGTTTTTTCCGAGAAAGGTAGGTGCATATAACAAAGCCGTTTTCCTCAGAGTTGTCTATGCCCTGTTTATTGATCAGACATTTGACTGTCACGTGAAGCCTGTGGTCCCGTCATTTTTATGCTACACACCCCTTCCTCTCCCTCCCCTCCCTCCCCTCCTTTCCCTCTGTGGGTGCTTGATATTTGAATCCTTAATAGTCAAGAGGTTTTGGTTTCCTTTCAAGATAACAGACCCTTTAGCCGAAAAGGTTGTTCACTCATCGCTTGTTGTCTGCTGTTGTATGCTGATTTTTTTAATTTTTTTTAATTTTTTTTACTTTTAGAATATAGATATGGCACCCTCTTATCAAGAACAGAAAGACAAATGGAATTCCAGAGACGAAATCATAACATCTGGTCAAACAGCGTCAGTGGTCGACAAGAAAAGACAAATCGATTGTTCTCTCGTGAGATGACATTTGCAAAACGTACGCGATGCGAAATTACAAGGAAGTGTTATGTTAAAGCTTGAGATTAACATTGAGGGGCAAATATAAAATAAATATTTGAAATATTTCATGATCCTCTGTGAGCGAACATTTTGTATAGGTAATCGCAAGAGGCCGAGTAAAATTAGAGTAGTTTATTGCAACATGTATGGAAAAACTACTTAATGCTGATTGGCGAAGACAGAGGGCATTATCTATTAATTTTGGTAATTATTCCGGAAGAAATTACTCGAAATTGAAAACAATGAAAAAAGCTCAACTTTAGAGTGGAACACAAGCTGTGAAAAGAAATTTCATATCTACAAGCAGCCATATATTATTTTCTTTATCACATAAACACAATAGCCCTTTACTGACAAGAAAAGTCAACTTTTTTAATGTATGAAAATAAAAGGATCGACAATCCCCCGAATAAAAGTCGTAAGGTGCGTTAGTGCTAAGGCTCAAGACGAAAAATGCGTTGAAACACCTCAAAAATGAACAATGGACGTAGTTTTCAATATACAAAATTCTCAGTTATTGACTTGGTTTTTACCGACAAAAGAAATAATTCAGGTAAACGACCAAAATCAGCCCGTGGCAAACCTTCCAGTTGTCGATTTTCGTTCCCAGCCGCGAGAAACGCCATTGAATACGAAGCTCTATGTTTTTCTTACCGTATTTTGGTTCCTGTCCTTCTAGGAAAATTAGAACGTCACCGCCTGCGAGCGATACGGATTTTTCAGTGTTTTAGCAACCACAATCCAAAAAATATTCGACAAACGACCTTAAATTAGGAATGGTTTTGCCGTTCATTCATCAACCTGACCAAGTGGCGCGAAAGGCGAGTGACGTGTCATCAGCGATATAGAACACATGTGAAAAAATACGATATTCTTTCACGTGTGCTGTTACGGCTTTTGTAAGGGCTGGAAATCCCTGTCTAACACCGTGGTTTATATGATGAAATCAAATTTTTACCTTTATATTGTAAACAAATGATCGCATAAGGCCGAGTGAAATCAAGGATTAGTGTCACTTGTGTTTTCAGAAGTTGCAGAAATTGTCCGCGTTGCTGCGCGACACGGCCTATTTCTGGAATTTTCTAAAACTCGCGTGATATTGACTCTTAATTTTACTCGGCCCATGCGATTACATAAACTTATATAATTGTATGCACTGTTATATATACTTATCAAAGACAAGAGTGATTATGAAACCAAACAGATTTCGTGAACTAGCCGGGGATCAAGGGGGTGATTGTCCCAAAGATTCAGCCTCCCTTTCATGACTAAATATGCCTCGTTTTGGTTGAAGTAGACGGCTGTAATGGCGGAGGTTTATTGTCTCTAACTGACAAGATATGTTCTCTGATTAATTTTCCCCCATAGCTTGAAGTGGATACTTTTTATGGCGCCGTATACTGAATTTTGTGGTCTTAAGCTCACTTAAATCAAAGTGTTGGACGCTATTGAAGTGGATAAAATGGTTGAGTTGGACAGATTGAAAAAATTCATGATATGTACGTTCGTCATCGCCACGGCTTCATTTATTGTGATGTTTTACTACTCAGTCACTTTTTCGAATTATAAGGCATTGGGAACGAATTATTTAAGAGGGTTAAAGAGGAACAATCTAAGCAAAGGCATATATTTACCAGACTTGATTCCTGGCAGTTTCCAAGAGTCGTCAAACTCAACTGGAGAAACACAACTTACAAATTCCGGGCAACCAACTTTGAGCTCGAATGAAGTAGAGATCCCTAAAGAGTCAGGGCAACAGAATACACAGGATCTAGACAATGCTATCAGCAGTTTTAACCAAGTAACGACTCGGCATACGAAAACGGAAAAAGGACAAAGCACATCAAATACCAGCGTAGCCATTTTCACTCCAACTAAAGAAGCCGGTAGCAATGAAAATTCTGATCAGGAATTGAGTTTATGTCCTGAAAAATCACCATCTTTAGGTAGGCTATGTTTTGTTTTAATCATTGATTATGTGTTATAGCCTTAGTGACTGAGGGAGAAGCTGCGTCGGACAAACATTTTATTTGCTTTAAGACTGTTTTTCACATGAGTTGCTCTCTACCCGTGCATTGTAGCTTGACTGCCTAACGTTGCGATAAATTTATAATTTACTTGGATAATAAAATTATCATCAACTGATTTACACGGGTCCTCTTTTGAGCGATCCAGCTACGCAAGTCTTAATTCATCCTAAATTGCAAGTTTATTGGAGTTTTTTTATCAGTTTAATACCATTTAACACCTCGTTTTTCGCTTTTACCTGAAGTATTTAACCATGTTGCATAGAAACGAATCTCCTTCTTTCGAGAATGATAGTAATTAACATGCATATTACTTTTACAACGCAAAAGGTCTCCAGCAGGTCTTGTAAATGATTGTTTAGAATTCTCTTAACTCTTGCTCAACGTGGCACTGATTCTCCGATCAATTACTCTGTTATGGGCTGAGTGCAAGTGAACAACGATATTGATTCTTGTTGGAAATATTTAGGACGAAACAGTTGTCGGTGAGAGAGACTCCAAGCCAGAGAATCATAAATTTTTACTTGCAATTTTTCCTTAAACATTAGCAAAGATATATCTTGCCGGAGTATGCAAAATATATGGTATATAAATGCAATATTTGACCTTCCTGTTCTTCCAAAATTTCATCTATAGGATCACTGTCTCAAACAGCGCTCTAAGATTAATGATGAGTTTATGAAACTGTACAAATAATATTATAATTTTAGGTAAATAGCTACTGTTTAACTTCTCTACAATGTCTCAACTTAAGCAGAATCAACTATTTGATATTTAACAAATATATTCTGTGTTGCTGTGCTATTCAGTATAATCACAAATGATATCAAATGTGGTGAGAATCAATCAAATTGCACAGAAGACCCAGCCAAGTGTATCATTGATGTTCTTTCTATATTTTGACACATCTTCTCTGATCTAGCGAGGTACAGACCCATAGCAACATGGAATCTATTTGTCTTACATGTTAAAAAAGAAAATGTTGTGAGTGGTGATGTCACCTGTGTATGTCCTCCAAAAGATCATGAACAAAGTGCATATAATCCAGCTTCTCATGTAAACAGTGTTCAATACATAAGCAGGAGTTTCTTTAAAAGTTTTTATAAATTCTTGTGGCTGGTGAAATAGTTGTCAACAATCACAGAGGACTGTACATTCAAGTACTAAAGAAAATATGTAATTCTTAAACAGGGGTGATAAGAGGATTTACTGAGCATTTAAGGGGAGATGGGGTGGCTAATACTGGGCTTGTAATAAAATCTGTGTCTCAAGAAGGATTTATGAAGGGTCAGGATGAAAAAAGGGATGGGGAGGTTCAGTGAGGCTTGAATGTTTCATTGAAATCTTACAAATAATGAAAAAAACACAGATATCTTGTATGTTTACTTTTTGTACTCCAGGTTTGTATGGATTTTAATGTAAAGATGAATTTTTAACCTTTTTAGCCTATTAAAACACTCTCTAAGAACTAGAAAATCACTTTGTGGAGCAGACTGTATGGTGCTGTTTTGAAAACTTCACAAGTCTGATATTACATAGGAAATTTTTAGGGCAGCCTTCAACACTTCTTGTAATATCTATAGTCTCTATCAATATGGGAATTCCCTTCTGCAATGGTATGACTTATGGTATATCTCTCATGAAAGAAACTGCAGACTACACCATTCCCTATCTTGTGGTAGGAATAAATGTTTTGATAATAATTTTTTTACTCTTTTTTAGTTGGACCTTTGTATGTAGACTCAAAAATTCCTAAGATAGAAGATGTTGAAAAGGTCATGTCAAGTGATTTTAATGGCTGGGTTGACCATGGAGGTCATTGGAAACCAACTAAATGTAAAGCCAGGAAGAAGGTAATGAGTTCAATTAGTTCTGTTCAATTGAAAAGCTCTTTGGACTCTTTAACTCTCAAGATTTCCACAGTGGTTATACTATGCATCACATTTCATTTGCATTGTAGCATTGAATAGAAAAGAGAGCTTGCAGTTTATGTATGGATACTTAAATAAAAATAACCAAATTAGTACATTCCAGTTCAGGAAAGGGAAAGTAGAGGCATGATTGATAATTGAAATATCAATAATCTCAAATAGTTTCCATCTACCTTGTACTCAAATTATGTATTGGTTATGGACTGAAAAAAAAATTTTGCTGATCACTCTTTATAGTGTGCTGAATTTAATTTGGTAGTTATTATTGTCAAATTTTTTAGTTTGCTTTTCATGGTATCTATGTATTTTGGTTGGAGAATCAAGATCTCCTGGTCATAATTATTGTTCTCTTGTCAGCTGGCCTTAATTATTCCATATCGAAAGCGCTATGAACAGCTGAAGATATTTGTTAGACACATGCACCCTATTCTTAAACGGCAGAATTTGGACTACAGAATCATGGTTGTAGAACAGGTGTGTTACAATTTGCACTTGAAACAGTATGCACTAAGTCTCACTCAAAACTGAGGTGTCCTGCAGTATTCTGAATTGATTTTGATTTGTCAACTTCAGAAAACAGGATAGTTGTGGCAAATTTATAAGAACCTCAAGACTCTACTACCTTTGGATTATTTTATTTTTCCTTACATTTGATCCTTAATCACTTAAAAAATGGACTTTAGGTGTCACTGGATAATGGTTGATTGGCTTTCTCATTTTTCTCTGATTCAAATATTACTATGATTGACAGTTTTTGTCAGATTTACTCTGAAACTCAGAAAACCATTAACACTTTGATTTGAATTTGAGGTAAATGTTTTAACAACCTATCAAAATAAAGTTTAAAATGCAAGCTACCTTCAAAACCACAAATGCATTGGCATTGAAGTTTCCAGCTCAGTTTTCTGATGCTTAATTGGCTTTTCCAAGAAACACAGTAGTTGCCCAGGGTAACAAATTGTCCCCTCAAAGTACTAGGTACATCAGTCGACCATGAAGTTTAACTATTTCTCTTAAAAGTTTCACTTGCCTTACTTTTTACACTTGATGTTGCTAATTTTTCTTTTTACTATCTAGGGTGGAACTACCATTTTTAACCGTGCCATGCTTTTTAACATTGGCTATAAAGAAGCTCTTAAGTTTGATGATTTTGAGTGTTTTATATTCCATGACGTTGACTTAATACCTGAAGATGACCGAAATGATTACAGCTGTCCCACATCACCCAGACACTTGTCAGTTGCCATAGATAAATTTAATTATCGGTAAGTAGTTATGATCAACAGCCTTAAGAATACTTGTATGGTCTTCATGAATCTCAGCAAGCAGCACTTATCTAAATCTATTGGTGTATACATATTTATTTGATGGTATTTCTGACAGTGATATACACAATTTCCCTGTATCCTTGTAAATTTTGCAGAACATTTACTAAATAGTTCTTTAAATTGTTCCTCTTTCAGATTGCCTTATTCAACTATTTTTGGAGGAGCTGGTGCTTTCTCCCGAGAACACTTTGAACTTGTAAATGGATTTTCAAACAAATTTTGGGGATGGGGAGGGGAAGATGATGATCTCTACAACAGGTGAAAGTTTTGTTTTTTCAGCTGATAATTTTTACAAGTCAAATTTTGCATCATGATGCAATAGGACAGTAAATCAGCCCTTCCCTACTTCCCAAAATTTTGCAGCAACATAAATGTTGATTCTCCTCTCTGTTCATTTATAAACACACTCTCTCACTAATTAACTCCTTTACCTGGGACATTTTTCCTTATCATTGATGCTTAAATAATGAAGTTAGCTCAAGTGTTGCTTGAGGCCAAGTGGGGAAACTCCTGTTGAAGCCATGTTTGCCCATTATTTTAGGATATCAGCCAAGCAACTGAAGTTAACTCGGCCATCAATGCAAGTAGGAAGATATAAAATGTTGAAGATGTTTCACACCAGTGGCAAGGCAGATCCAGATAGGTAAGTTTTTGACAAAATACTTGTTCATACTGATGTAGTCAATGGTAGCTGAGAAGACCTCTCCTACTGGTTAATTAAAAGTGAATTCATCATCAGAATGAAATCAAAGTTGTTTGTCAGTCAGGTTTGTTTGTTATTTTGGTAGAAAATGTTCTTTGTTGTGGAATGGTAACAGCATATTTCAGTCAAGGCATCCTCTTTTGTTGTTGTTGTTTTCTGAAGGTGCACATTTTCATACCAGATGTTACTTCATTCCACAGGTTTGCTAAACTAAAAGACTCTGCCCAGAGAATGCCTACTGATGGAATTAATTCTCTTCTATATAAAGTAGAAAATGTAACAGAACATCGCCTTTACACTCAGGTTACTGTAGATGTACGAGAGGCTATGCCACAGAAATTACAAAATTAACCATCATACAGCAATTCATTTGTGCAAATCTACTATCAGAGTTTGTAGACATCTGAAGGTAGTCAATCCAAAACTCTTAAAATCTGCATCGCTTAAAAGTTCATTAGTCAAACCTAGTGGACGTAAACAAATCAAAGTTTGGATTATTCAATGCGGCCAGCCCTGGTATGCAGCATAACACCATTGTAAATTTTACATGTTTTGTAGCCCTACATGTAAATAAGCAAATTGGTTTAACATTGGAATGATAGGTGATTAAAATATTTTATTTTTATATCTGCACAGCTAGTTGTGAGTAATATACAGTAGCCTCTGCATAGGCCCTCATTATTAGGACTTCGGCACAAGTGTTTCTTCATCTGCAGGAAAGTATGAAGCCTGGAACAACCCTAGCAGGGGGGAGAGGTCTGTGAGGCAGAGAAACACGCATCTTGCAACCCTAATAATGGGAGTGTGCTTGCAGGCAAAATATACAGTAAAACTACTCCTACTCCTCTGATATTTATTTGCTCTTTTTTACCTCTGCCTCTTGCACTATTTAAACCTCATTAGCTTCCATTTTGGTTTTTACACTGTGGTTTACAAAGAAATTGTTAGCAGTGGAAGAAAAATTTTGCAACTCTCTTTGACAAGTTTCTTCACCACTTTGTATGTCAAAACATTCTCCTTACACAGTGTGCTAACAAAGGAAACCTTTGTACACTATGGTATGTGCAGCTTAATTTTAATTAAAACGGTTAAATTGATTGGAATAGACAGCATTACCTCATCAACACCATGATTGTATACAGCTAGGTTAAATTTTAAAAATAGAGCATAAATTTGTCATAAAAATTAGTTTGTATTTAACTTTTAGCAAGTAATATTAACTTCTGCTAAAATCATCAGTCTTAATTACACATATATAATTAAGCCATTTTGCAAGAGAGTTCAAGGCAATTATCAGTTGGCTTTCCATCAGTATATTCAATTCTAAAGTACAATAATTGCCATTACTCTTGGTAAATATTCCTATTTTCTGAACAGTATTTGAAGAATAACTTTCCTGATTTTGGCTTTATGAAGACATAAGCCTGCCATGTAGTGGAGTGACATCTTAGTGGTACAGAAGTTTAATAGAAATGTTCTGTTATTTAAATAGGAGAACTTTATATTGTTGAATTTTTATATAGTTATTAAACTACAAAAAATTAAGGAAGTGATCTTGTATGTGTCCTCACTACCAGTCTGTGTTCCTGTGCCCCATTTGTTTTTAATTTCATCCTAAACTCATTAATGGTTTCACACTTCTTTTTGCATTCACTTTTTATACAATGCAACAACCACTAATAAAGAATATTAAGCATTTTCACATGCTTATTGAAGACCTAGAGATTTCTTTACAATCTGTCTTGCTATTTCATTGAATTTTTCTCGATTTTCTCTCCACATTTTCTAAGAGGAAAAAAGGAAACATGAATTAAGGTCTAAAACCTGAAAAGAAAAAGAACTGTCATGCAGAGGTTCAGATCATTTTTACCTTGGAAGAAAATATTCAAACGTAATAAGTTTGAACCACAACATTTACATGTTGTAAAACTATTATGGACTTGAAGAGGGTTCCTCAAAGTATCAAGAAAAAAAAAACCATACAGAATAAAGAAGAGAAAACAACCACAGCAAACATTTTATATCTCCTTCACACTGGAATAAAATAATGACCCAATCATAATAATACTCACCGAAGCATCTACATTTGCCCCACTTTCATCATTTGGTTCTGTGACAAACAATAACAAGGGAAAGAACTTAAAACAAATATGAACTCAAAGGTGAAAATGTGGTTTGTTGGTACTTCTTAGATGGACAATAATTATTGTCCTCAATGATCTGTCCAAACTTGCCAGTACAGAAAGGTAGGCAGAATAGAGATTAGAGACAAATAACACTTAATAATGCAAAGGGTCCCACACAATTTCTTCACAGAATTAGAACTTACAGGGTACTAAGTGTTCAAGTTCAAATATTGAAATTACTTTCCATTTTCAACATAAAGCTAGGTAAGACACTGGTACTCTCCATTGGATGTAAGTATATATTCAAAATGGGACTATCACCATTTAACTAACCTGCCAGCATACTAACAACAGACAGAAGTATTTTCTCTACAGACTGAACAGGACTCCATCTTTCAGCACTACTCTCATACCCCATGGGATCATCACCAGGGGCATGTAGAATGGAGATACACACTCTTCCATCAGGATAAACTTTAAAAAAGCACAACAGAAACAAAAAAACATTCTGTAATTGAACCATTTACACAATCATCCAAAATTATAAATAAGCACACCATGAGGTAACATGTCCTATGAAACACCATCTTCATTAAAGGAACACAACACTACCTCTGACTGTGGAGCCTTGTAAGGCCTCCAATTATCAGGAGATACAATGTACATATATGTAGAAGGACACTGAGATGATTTAGTTTGTTCTGATAACTTCTTTTGCACTCCCCTCAAATAAGAGATACAACTCTCAGATAATTCAGCAAGATGAATTTTGTGATTAAAAACCAAAAGCAAATATAATGAATAATAAGTGGAATCATGATAAATCTCATACTCCACAGATAAACATATGATACATGAGAACAATTTGCTCATTGTACAAATTTTCTTTTGCCCCTGTGAAGCAGTTGAAAATTCTACCCAACCCACAAAATATCTGCATGTATTACCTTTTAACACTTGATCAGGGTGCATTTAGTTTTCCATAGAAAACATACTTAATAGGTAACCAAGGTACAGCAACATTGACAAAGGATGGGGAAGAGGGGTGCTCTGTTATATCACATGATACAGTAGATACAGGGGCCAGTTTACATTATCAACACAGTTGATGAAACTGAATAATCTTGTTATACTACCCCATTGACCAGCAGTATAGTTTCTTATGAAACTTACCCCCTTTATCCATTTCTTATAGTGTGTCTGTGAACAAATTGTCTCAATAGGTTTTGATTTCATGATTGTAGATCTGAGGGCATCTAAAAAATGAATTTCCCATTGTAAAAGGACTTTGCAAAGCTTGTTCAGTCCCATTTTTAAGGTCATACAACAGTACTTTAATATTACTTACCATTAGGATGGAACATTTCACATGTGAACTTCATTTTTGGAGGACTCAAAGGATAATCAGGAGGGAACACAAGTCTTGTGGTAAAAACACCTCCTTCAAATGGAGTTCCTTCTGGGCCTCTATAAAGAAACAAAGATTGACTCAGACTCCTGTAAACTTATAACAGTTGGGGCAAATATGACACTGTGGTTAGCCTGCTTGCCTCACTCCATAGTGGCCAGCATTCCCTCCACAGGAGGTTCAAGGACCTGCCATCACATGTAGGTTGAGTTTATTTTTGGTTCTCATCCTTGCCTAGAAGGTTTTCAAGGTTCTCTTATTTACCTTCCTCCACAAACACTAACAATCCAAAACTCTAATTTAACCTTGAGGGCAGCAGAGGAGAACACCACTTGTGTGGTGCTACTTTCAATTCCTTTCCTTCACTTTATTCAATACATGAAAAGATGGGGAAACAAGAAATTCAGTCCAATTGACTGATACAGAGTTTCACAGTTCCCTGACAACAGTGACTATGGATAGTAATTATTTCTTTCTGTAGAGGGGATGCTACATGTAGTTCAGAACTGAATATTTTGAGGTTTCCCTGACAATTGAGAGGTTTCCATTCATACTCCTCTAGACAAGAAGAGGCACAATGAAAATTATCCAACCCAAAAACTAAACAGTGAACCAACTATCACCCCATTATCCAGTGTTTATCATGCTATCACAATAACACATAACAATAACAAACGCAACAAAAATTTCCTCACTTACGTTATCAAAGCCTCCCATTCAAAAAAGTTTTCCTCAGATAGTGGTCCTTTAAACAAACAAAAGCCATTGTTTAATTAAATTATTTAGCAATTAGTTTTATTTATATATTGATTTTCATTTGGAATAAGCAAAAGAGAAAACCATTTTCGGAAAAATTATCATTTTAGTTTAAAATTCCTTAGGAATTTTTCTCCCCTACTTTACCCAAACATACAAATTAATCTGAGATTCCACAAACAAAAATCAAGTTGAACATACATGTATCATCAGATATATTTAACACCCAAATAACTGTTATCAACTAAAAGAAACTTAGCAGACAACACACCTGCAAGAATACCTTCTGGAGAGTTCAGGGTTAGCTCTGTTGAATTGAAACACAATTTAATTAAAGTCTTCAATTGTTATTAGTTCAATTGTCATTAGTTCATTCAAGAGTATTAATTTGCTGCCATTTTTCGTTTCCTTGGGATGGATCCAATGAGAGTTTAAAATATCGATTAGCAATTATTCAACGCTAACTCTGATTACCGGTAATGAAGCGCTTTTCGAATATAATAAAATGCAATGATGTGACGGATTGTAATCTTATTCTGTAGTTACACACATTTTAACTGTTTTGACATATCCTTTTCTAATTTCAGACCTATTCATTTCACGTGAGCAGTATTTAAACAGTTCCCAAGCTCAAAAATAAATAACCTACGTCATTGTCTACATTTATGACTAAACATTCAGATGATCAGTTTCTAAACTACACAAATTTTTAAGTTCTCTAGCAACATTATATTTTTTGAACCTAGGTGGGAAAAATTACGAACTGTTGAAATAAGAATCAGTACGAAATTTTCAACTTTTCGAGCTGACTTACGTTTATACTCAGCCATAAGCCTCTTGAGAGCAGCTCCTGCCATTTTTTTGTGCGTTTAGTTCCCAATGGCCAAAAAAGCTGCCTATTTTCTCAAGGAAACATCGCGTCTACACATCACTTTCTCAGAACTTGTTAGCCTTTGTACAAATTAGGAGCCCACTGAGATTTGGCCAGCAAAGGTGCTTACGAACCGAAAGTACGTGGTATATGTGGATAACAAGATGGCGGCTGTTGCAAACGAATCCCAATTAATTCTACCGCTAGGTGAGTTTTACGTCTGTTTCCTTACGATTTATTACTTTAAACATTGACGATGGGTACGAGCTATAATAAATAGGTAAAATTTAATCCTGCTATAATACAAAAAGTGGACAACTTCGTCAAATCCAGTATGGAAATGCGTCGTACACTTTTACCTTACAATAACACGTGCAACGATCGTGATTTATACTTAGCTGTCAAAGTATTAATTGCAGAAATGTTCGGCTGATGTGGAAGTAGATTCTCCCATTTGCAGCTATAAACAAATAATGAAGCAAAGTGAAAATAATTCGTTTGTAAAAAGTGTTTGTTTCTATCAGAATTAATCGACAAGTGCATTGGATCTCGAATTCACATTGTCATGAAGAGTGATAAGGAGATTGTCGGAGTTCTTCTGGGGTTTGATGATTATGTCAGTATCCTTTCTGTCTGTTGACTACTTGGACAGTAACATATGCTGGTCCTACCAAATAAAACTTAACTAAATTAAACTACGCTTCAGAATAATTTAAATTAGTACAAGCTATTGTTTTTGGTCAACGAAAATGTAAGGAAAAGCTGCTGGCCTGTTAGAACCCCAATCCTATTATAGTCAATTCTGTGGACAATTTTAGTCCCCACCTTAGTCACTTTTGGGTGAATGCAATGTGTGTAATCCCAACTTTGTCACTTTCTGTTTATGTAACTACCTTATAAAGCCTTTTTGATAGGCCATTTTTAAATCCCTAGTTAACAGCATTTTCTTAACTCCAGAATCCCAAAAATGTGCGAGCCCATTCTGGTAACTCTATTAAAAATGCAACACCATTGCACACAATAGTCAATTAGTCACAAAAATGTGACCCCATCCAACAGCACTCTCCCAATAGCCTATTACAAGGGTGTACCCCTTAGGACTTTTGTCCTTACTTCCTTCTGTTTGAGGTCTGTCATTTGTTTTATTTTGTGAGAACAATTTGCTATTCATCCTTGATTTGTTCTCAGACATTGTTTTAGAAGATGTTACAGTATTGTAAGTATACAGAATTTCAACTTTTCACAATCTAATTAAGAGGTGTACATTGTGCATGCATTACCAACAGCGACTTTCTCTAACTTGTAAATGGATTCAACTATGAGACTTGAAAGGCATTTCTCTAAATACCCTCACCCCCTCCCCACAGACATGATTTATGAGATGGTAAGATCTAGTGGAAATGTTATGTTTAATTTTGACAGTGAAAGCACACCAGAAGGACGAAGAATGACAAAACTTGACCAGATTCTGCTCAATGGGAATAACATAACCATGGTATGTAAATCTAAAAATGTTGATAAGATTTTTGGTCAATGTTTACCTAAAGTAATCATAGTGAAGCCTTTGTTTGTAGGCACTAGGTGCCTTTGTCATTTATTGAGACAAAGCTTACCAAGTATGTGAAAGAAATCACCACAAACCCTATACACACATAAACACTGATGTAGTTACCTGTTTTTTTTTCTTTTTCATGGAGATCTTTGCATCATGTGAATATTTTGTACAGCGTGAACTGCTACCTTAAATTTATTATGTTTTTTCATGTTCCCTTCCCTTAATTTCTTTTCAGCTCATTCCTGGTGGAGAGTATCCTTTGTCAAATGACTTGCAATTGTCTCTCTTGAACTGCAAATTTTATCATTTGTAGGAGGTGTTTAAGTATTTTTGTCACTTTTCTATAAACTTGGTTCTCCTTCTTTTAGTAGTCCAGGATTTCCACCTTTCCTTTTTTCCACCAAAATATTCAGATTGTAAGATAAGAATTTTTGTCAGTAAACACATACCATCCCTTTGTATTTTGATTTGGTTCAAGATTTTACACGAGGTTCTTTGCTCACTTGTTTGTTTAAGTGTTACATCATTCTTTTCTTTCAAGTTTTTATTTCCAGTTTTTGATATGGTAAATAACATTACTTTCAGTTGTTAGTGACAAATTCATGAAATTGTTGCTTGGTTAATCAGCATTGAATCCTTAACAAATTCACAGGGGCCCGGAGATATGATGTGTGCAACAAGCATGGAAAGGAATCAGCCGCTAAAATCATACATCTGTATATACAATGTCTGTTTTAAACAGATACACTCAGAGATCCTTCCCTCATTTACAGCTGTATTAGTTTCCAAATGAAAAAGAAATAGAATTAAAGAAAACATGTGGAGTCTTGATTCACTGATTAACTACTTAGGGATATCAAGGGTGGGGCTGTGACAAGACCCCTCACTTTCCCATTGCTTGTGTGGCTGGAAGAAGGGAAGTTTTTTCCAACACAAAGTGCAAATTTTGAAATGGACAAACCCCAACAATTGCACATATGTACCAAACAGGCCGCAAACCAATACACCAATTAGAACTGGTTTTAATTTGTTGTCTGGTTTAGTCCTTGCTTTTTCCCAACTCTCAAAGTCCCAATTCAACTAAGAAACAGTGGATGGACTGGCCCTCCTTAAATGTGTTACTGCTAGGTTTTTTCAAAAATTTTAAGCCTTTGACTCCATGGAGTGACTGGCATCTAACTTCTCCTGCCAACAACACCCCTAAATCAAAAATCGAGGTCATGAGAATGAAGGAAATGATCACCTTGGCATCCCCTTGGGAAATATAGAGAGAACAGTATGAAGAAAATGTATACTGATGTTAAGGTACAAAAGGTGTCCTAGTTTGTCCAAAGCCTGCTTTCTTTCACACCATTGTCCAAAGTACAAGCAAGGAGAGCAAAATGGTACCTAAGCAAACATAAAGGGTTATGGAAAAGAGAACATAGAAACATTTTTTCTTCTGCTCTATGCCTGTTCTTGGGATGTTCTTGACTATGAAGGAAAAAACCTACAGGGCAATGTACAGATGTATAAGTGTCTTCTGAACCTGAGGTGGCTACTGAGGAAGAATTGAAGAGAAAGGAAAGTAAAACAAAAGAAAGCATGGCACTGACAGCAATCAGTTGTCTGAAGCCAACTTCTGTTAAGCTACATGCATTATACTGTTTTATTTATTTCCAACAATTTATTCCATAGAGAAATTTATTCAACATTCATTCATTAATTCTTGTTTTTTTTCATCATTAGAAAACCACTCTCTAAATGCTTCAATTAGCTCAGCATTGTGTGTTGCCATATTTCAGATGTGTTTTTCACAGTAACAAATTCTGCACAAAATCACAAAACAAAGATAACTTGAGTTAAAGTTTCTGTTTAAGCCCATCAATATTCAGCACTTTACTCCTCTCCTGTTCACTGTTAAGGATTCTTGACAGCCTGGTGTACATGTTTTCAAGGGTCTTGGGTGAAATCTTTGTCAACAGGTTTAACTCTTGGATCCAGAAGTGTTGAATCTCTTTCTTTTGAAGTGCATCCCTCAAAAAGGTCACAAAACCTGTAAAACGCTCTGCTAAGCTGTCTTGACCCCAGTCACTGGTTGTTTCGTTGTACCGGAGTAGACCCATTTTGAGATGGAGTGATGTTAAAGGTGAAAATGTTGCTTCTTTGTGGAGAACTGTGCTTACCACTTTAAACAAGCTGCGCCGACAACCATGGTCTTTGTCCATGTCTTTAAGGAGGGCCTTCTGCATTAAGGTGTATGACTTGATCCAGGCTGTGTCCTGGACCACACCCACTGGTAAATGACTAGGTTGAGAAGATGGTGGAACAAAATACTCACTGCCAAGTTGAAATGTTGGCACAAACTGAACCTCCAAAGCCTTCGACTGCTCACTCATGCAAACTTTCACACTAGTGGAGTTTGAAGCTTTCAAAGACATTGTTGAAGCTCCTTCACTGTTAATACTCTGCACAGCACTGGTAACTAGCTTGAAAAGCCAGTTTTGGAATTTTACAGGCACAAGGAAACCATCTGGATTGGAAAACTCTTTGTAAGGAGAATCTTCTGTTGCCTTTATACCTGCATATCCTGCATCATTTACTTCAAAATCAATGAGACTGTTTTTTGTTTTCAAGGCAAGGAAGATAACAGCATCATCAGCATCGGAATGTGTGGTTTTCAAATTTTCATACAAACTTCCACCATATTCAAACTTACTGATGAGATCAGATTCCTCCATGCAGCATTTCAGCACTCCATCTTTCACAACCTGCTCCATAATTTCCTTACACCACTTTGTATCTTCATTGAGAATTGTGCCCAGGCTGTCAAGGAATCTTCGCAAGACTTGCAAAAGATCTTTAGAAGTTTGTGGCATATTGGGTTGACATAGCTTTGGTTTCCCTGGTGATGTGACTGGACAGTTTTCAACTCTATTGCCATTTGTAGCCATTGGAACTGTGACTGAATAAAAAGTTCTGTGTTTTAATATGCCATGTTAATTTTTCCAAACTTTAGATCCTGGAAAAATTAAATTAGATAGGTCTCTGACCACCATACAATCTTTTGTCCTACAAATGTCAACTATTGTTATTACTGAGTACCACACAGACTCCAGGTGATTAATTAATTAACTTCTCCTTCTAATATCCATGGAATATTCAGCCAGCTGGTGTTGAGAATATTCAAACTTATCAGGTACAAGTTGTCATCAGATATAACATCAAATTCTCATAACTAATTTACAAGGAAATCTGTAGCAGCTGGAGGGGAGAATTACCATCAGATTTTGGGAGTTAAAGGGTTCATATGGCTAGGAATGAGTGAGGGGTACCACACATATATTATTTTTATGTACAGAAGATTCTTATATGTTAAAACCCAAGGTTATCTCACAGGTAAAAAACGATAAAAGCAGAAACCAATCAAAGAGACACTTACTGTTACATTTAAGGACTTTATTCCTTTCTTTGTCACTGTCCAAAATCCTGCGCAGCCTACAAGCCATGTTTTCCAGAGTTTTACCAGGTACATTTTCCAAGAGGTTGATCCCTTCAATCCAGAAGTGATCCAGAATCTTGCTATTTACTGCAGCATAGAGCAACTCCAGGTACTCAATAAACCTCTCCCCAAGCATGTCTTTATCCCATGAAACCTTTGCATTAGTGTTGTACCTCAAAAATACTGTCTTTAAATGGTAACTTGTCAGTTTAGCAAAAGTTGCCTCCCCTCTAATGATGCGTTTGATAATTCGGAGAAGTTCATGTCTACAACCACCATCCTCTTTATCCATTCCTTGCAGTCTTGCTTTCTCCTTCAGTGAGAATGACTGTCGCCAGAGAAGCTTGCAATCACAGGTGGCAGCCGTGTTCCCTGTATAGGATTTTGCCACAAAGTAGTCCATGGCACCAATCCTAAATGTTGGGACCAAATCAGCAGACAGCTTCTTTCCCAAGTTGCTGTCTGTGATATCAAGCTGAACGGCTGGGCCATGCGCTCTAACCTCCATCTGAACTGGTAAAGCAAGTTCATTAACTGCCTTCTGAACAAGGCCAAAGAACCAACTTGCTCGCAGCTTCTCAGGGACAAGATAACCATCTGTGTCTGTATACTTCTTTAGTGGTGAACCATCTTTTGATACCTTTAACAGAACAAAACCAGGGACCCCAGCATCCTCTTGTATCACTTCCTGTTTGGCAGTCTGTAATACTACCATGACATCCACCTCATCAGCTGCTTCAGTTTTAAGTCTCTCATACAGGCTTCCTGTGTATTCTAGCTTACTGATGGACAGGGGTTGTGAATTGTCAAAGATGTACTGTAATACACCATTTTCTAAGTAACTGTCTACCAGACGCTTAGCTTGATCAGTATCCTCTTTATTTATTTTCACATGGTCTGCAGAGAATCGCCTCAGCTGTTGAGTGAGCCCTGCAGTTTTGTCCAAGTTTAGTTTGGCTTGAAGCATGATTACATAGCTGAAAAAGGAGGAATTCTCCTCAGGTCATTTTCAATGAAATAACTCCACAAAAAACCTTTCGCAAAAAATTACTCTTTTTTAACCTTGTTAAAAAAATGTCATACATGTCTATCTGCTACAGCTCACAATTTCTTCTCTGTAAAGAAACTTCAAATCAAAATTATAATTAATATATAAAAAGTGAACAAAAGGATACTGAGCTATTGAACAGGAAATGAAAGTAATTGTGCTAAACTGGGATTTTCCCCACATTTTTTGATGAGACATATTTTAAACTGTAGGTGGCACATCCACTCCCTTAAGCAGAATGCAATTCATGCATATTTAATTTTACTCGAATCGCGTTCAAGTCAATCACATGAACACTTGAACTAAATGCGAGCTGTCGTTTGATGTTTAATTTGCGAAAGGTCACGAAGTTCAGTTTTTTCTGGTCCTTGCCGAGAATTCTATAAAACACTGCAGTCCCAAGAAATAGAAAATGCGAATAACTAATTGTGTCACTTCACCGACAGAAAAATAACTTCCTAGAAGTAACTACGTACTTACCCAGCTGTTTCCACTCGCTAACTTTTCCCGTCGGCTGAGAAACTGTATTTATGAGAACACAGATAAGTCTCCCCTTGATGTGCAAATTGAGAGAGAAAGTCGTAAGAGAGAAAGTACACTTCTAGGCAACACGCTGATTTTGTAAGACAGTAGTCACTTCCGGTTTTCGGAGTTTCCCCCAACCCCCCGCCCGCCAGTCGAGTTATACTATCGTTCCCAGTGCCTTCGTCTCTACGCAAAGTACAAAATACGATTGAACCTTTAAAATAGCGAATATCTCTCGATACTTCAGCAGATCGAACGATAGCTTTCTATCTGTGTAGAAGCAGTAAAATGTTTTCTAGCCAGTCCTGGTTATGGCGAACCTCCATGTTTAAATCTGAAAGCGCGTCACCTGGTCAGATACATTTAAAGCGTTCGCACATGCACAGACGTTTGACCGCTATTCTTCTCTCTCATTTTTCTTTTCTTTTCTGCAGTTTATTGAAAAGATCAGTTACCAGCCAGAAAAGTACAAATGATGTCATTGACGTGTCGTGGCCCGCGAAAATTTGAATGTGGCAAATAGTTTGACATACACCTGTTAATTACATAAGAGGGTCTCGATTAATTGGGTTAACTGTCAGTCGTCAATCGGCCAAAAATTGAACTGTCAACTGTCTAGAAAGACAAATTTTTACTGTCAACCGTTAAAAAAGCAGCTTAGTAATAACTTTCAAACGCTTTAAAAGTGTTTCAGATCTCTCTATCTTAGCCGCCAATCTGGTTTTATCAACTGAGTCAGGAGCCATTACTTATGGGCTCCTTACTCAGTTTATATAATTATATTGGCCACTGCAGCCTTTCCCTGTGTTTAGGCAGTTCGGAAAGCCGCGAAACTCCAGGAAAAAAACTTATTTTCCAAATCGACACTCTTAATCCCCACGGTACCAACGAACGTTTTTAATTTAACTACATTATTCTTGTTTTTCTCGTCGCCATATTACGACAGTCAATTGCACAGGATTTTGGAGTATTGTATCCTCTATAAAGGACTTTTCGCTCGCTGTCGATGAATAACAGTGGCCAAGTAGGTATCATACGTGACAACGTCATCACTGCTCTTGCAACCACCCACGCCTGCTATGAATTTTGTGATGTTTTGACCTACTTCCTATTTCTTCTTTCTTAGAGGATTGATATCCTTATCTCACAGATCTTTTATTTTTGTGTTAAACTGCCAGAAAAATCGCTGTTGATCAAGGAGATACCATTTTAATCTGCCTTGTTTACTATCAAAAAGCAGATTCATACATCTGCTAAACAACGCTGTTATAAAACTTCAACTTATCGGTATGTGGGTTAGGAAGCAGATATTAACACTGGCTTTCTGTGGTGGCTGGGAGAGGGGGGAAGGATCATGAAATCTTCCACCGTCAATATGAGGGGATAAACAAAACATATACTTAAGGGGGGGATCACGTAAAAGCTCTGTTGTCCAACAAAAAAAATAATGTACACCCACCCTCCCTCAGGTGATAACTAACGACCGGCCACCCTAGAGCTTAATAAAACCGTTTTCGAATTTAATTTACACAAGAGAATCAAAACTGTATATTCTCTCCATTTTCGACATTTCCCAGCACGACTTTTTCTGGCCTGTTATTCAGCAGTACCTACAAATGTTTACCTATGACTGAAGTCATCTTGTCCAAATTTTATGGGAAATAGATTTTGGTGGAGACGTTAACAGTCAAATTGTTTTGTGTTAATACACAAGGCCATAGGTAAAGCATTTTTCTGATGGTACAAAAATAAATAAAGCCAAAGTGATGATTCTAGTCAATAGGAACAGATTTAATGAATGCATATGTAGATGTGGAACATATCATTGAAGATACAGATAACTTGTCTTGGGGCTTGTGAGTTGGCAATGTCTGAATTCGCTACTTCTTCTACATTGGCGGGACAAATCTTTTATCCTCAATAAAAAACTGCTTTATTTTCAAGCAATTAAGTAGTAGTCAAGCACAATAAGTATAATTTGATGGAGTAAAATTATCCAATTTAGCTTTGCTCAGTTGCAAATTTATTCAGCCGACACTGACACATCGACACATCGACACATCGACACATCTACAGATCCACTTCATCCTCTTTGTCTTTCTCCGTTTGCCAGTGACTTTCACTGAGATTTTTCCTCTGTACTTTAAAAAACAAGGAGCTATAGCTACGTACAGACCTGTACGGTGTATGTAGCTTCAGATAGACGTTAAAGCACACATTTTATTTACAGTAATCGTTCCGATCCCAAAATGCTGGTTAACGTGACGTTACACCGAGAAAAAAACAGAAGGAAAAAAAAACAACAACCACTGTTAACCATCTCTCTATATAACGGAAAATTTGTTAGTTTTTCCGCAAATTCGTTTACGACTAATGGCTAAAATTTGTCAATTTTTACGTCTAACGGCTAAATTTTTTGGCCGTTTTACGGCTAACGGTTATCACCATCGAGACCCTCTTGCATCGAGTCTTTAGGAAGAAAATAAAAAATCGCGCTGGATAAAGCCGTGCCGGAAAAAAGTCGTGCTGGGAAAAAAACTGAGGTGGTAACAATTGAAGTTGAAGTGGTGAACAACAAAGTTGATAAGAAATATATGATGGCACTAACTGGGCTCTGTATGAACCAACTCTTTATCCAGCACGAGACAAATATTATGGGATATAGTACTCAAACCACTTGCTACCTCTTCGATAGTTAAGCCTGATTACATAGGCATTGTTTTCAAGATCTCTTAGTTGAATAATAACCTCTAAAAATGAACAGAAAAGTATTGTTTTTCCAACATTGTGGAGAAAACACTCTGTTACCATAGAGTGCGAATTAAAGCGGAAAACAAAGTGCATTATGGTAATCACTGAAAATACTGAATGTTGTACCTCTTTTTAAAATCTATCTGGTTTAATTTCAGATTTTCTCTCAGTTTACATGTATCAGTATGGTCCTTGCTAAACTGGTTCGAATTCGTTCATTAAGATGTGGGATGTGTTTGGTAAGTGAATTATTCATACTTTTTTCCAATTTCATTTACGTTGGTAATAGGCTTTTTGGATAGGGACCAGGGTTACCAGACTCTCTTTTCAGAGAGTTGAGGAGGATATGTAGTGGATTGTAAATGTTAACAGGCATTTCAGAAAAGATAGAAGCCAAGCAGTGAAAAGTTACTTCTCGAGGATAGGGGAGGCTCTAAAAGTAAGAAATTTCGTATTGTGACTCATCAAACAGAGCCTGAAAGTTTTGCTCATAAAGTCATTATTAGCTAACTTTCCTTTTCCATTGAGATAAAAATTTTGGAGAAAATCACTGTGTACTCTCAACTCAACCATCAAAATCCACAAACTCGAGAATACTTATGATAACTTATCAATTCACAACTTTTTATTAATTCTTGGAGGATTGAACTGATTTGATTTAAATTGTTTCCATTTTCCATCTAGCTCACCTGTATTGTGTTAGCTCTGTCTGTACATGAGGCTGTGCACTGGTTACCGATGATTTCAAGCTCGAGACTGACTCCAAAAGAGAACTTGGAAACAACCCGTGCATCAGGTAAGAACGCCCGTGATTAACACCACAATCCCTCTAAACGTAAAAGAGCACCGCAGTTTTAATTATTCGTCAAATAGGACGCTTGATAATGAAATAATTGCATTTCTGGTACAAACCAAGCGACAACCTAGATATGATCAGTAAACTTCTTTAACGGTACCTGACCTCCCCTATCAGCTTAACATAAAGTGATAGTAATAAAGTTCCTATAGAAGGCAGCTACTTGATCATAGCGCGCATTTTGAGGAATGCAGAAATAAAGAACAATTAAAATTATGCAAAAAAAATTCACTTAAGCATAAGAAGGCAGCGTAACGGTCCAAAGAGAAGGGTAAATAATTTTCCGACGGGATTTCCGTTTTCAGACGAACTAAAATCAAGTGATTTCATTTTGTTTACTTCTTGAGGGTATCAGTAAGGAAATGAACACAGTTTCAAAACGTACGTGCTGAGCTGTTGTCTAGCTGCTCATAAAATGTTTTTGCCACACGATCTCGTGGCTATCCCTAATTAGACCCCGTCCATTATACGCCGGCGAAATTTGAAAGCGTAACTTGATTTCTTTAACTAGGCCACCGAACCGAAGTCAAGTGCAAGCCTCACAGGTAGAAAGAAGCATAACTGATACTCTGTTGTAGTAATAAGGCTTAATTTTGTATTCAGCCGCTAACTTCTTCATTTATTCTAGAAAGATTGATGTACGTGTCGTGTCGCTTCGTTATTGTAGCAAGGATCTGGTGTCTAAAGAAGTTTACATAATACGTAGGATAGTAGTAAATATCTTGTTCAAATATCTTCAGATGCTGACTCAAAAGCGCAATTCATTGGCAGATACGATCGAGTAATGCTACCTATTGCTGCCTAAATGAACCATGTCCGTTTCTTTTCTTAGACCAGATCGACATGGTATAAAGCAAATTATTGAACATTATGGACCGTTAGGACTTATAGAAAATAGGACTTGTGACGACACTCATTACCCAGACATCTGCGCGTTCCATTATACAGAGTCTGGAGATCAGATCCTGACATGTGACCCCAAGGTTTGTGGCTCGTCCGCAGTTCAAATAGCTTCTGTTGATCCTAAAATGGGAAAAGCCGTGACAAAGTGGAAACTGTTGTCAAAAGAACAGATCGATCAAACGGTTCAAAAGGCCGTCAAAACCAATCTGGAAAGAGGATTTAGTTTTTTTTTCCTAAGGTGTGGAGAAATTTTCCAAGTGCTCAGCTTTCCTCCGGTCTTGAAGAAAGTCGACGGCGGCAAAAAGAGAACTAAAATCAATTTAAATGTGATTCTGTTAGACTCCATCTCCAGGCCGCATTTTTACCGAATTCTTCCAAAGGCTGTCAAGGCTCTGCACGATATTTCACACAATCCTAAGATTCAGGCTACCGCCTTGGACTTTGAACTTCTCCAGAGCATCGGACAACAGACATTTGAAAACATGAGGCCATTCTTCTGTGGCGTCGTCGAAGGTTAGTTGAAGAAAATACGTTTAAAACTTGTTGGCTAAGAATTCTTTACGTTGTACTTATGACCACATGAAGATGACAGTGATCTTCCCAATAATAGACACTATTTAAGCAGCAGTCGAAATGAGTCACTAACTCCATTAAGTTGTGTTCATTACTGCGAAGATCACTCTCATATTAATTTTATTATCGGCAGTTCACATATATGATTTCCATAAATTCACAGACATTGATAAGAAATTGTCTGTAACGTTTTCAGACGATAACAAAGTTACTGCCTCTGCAAAAAACACCAAAGCCTCCCTGGGTGTGGAGGTGTTGTATGGGACCTTCAAGAAATGGGGCTACCAGACGTTCTTTCAAGAGGATCTTTGTTGGTATGATATTTGGGGGAGTGCTTTAACAGACATTGGTAAAAGAGCAACACCTCAGTCGGGTTCTGAGTTCAGAGAAAGGTAACAACCTGGTCCATGCTGCATGTTTGACTCTGTAATGATGCTTTGTTTTGATACAGGTGTTATGTAGGTTTTTAAGGTAATAGGCCATTTTACAGTTATGTACTTAGTTGCCAAGCCTTTGATTTGGAGTGAGGCTGAAGGTGACCTTGTTGTGATAGAGACCAGTATCTAGTTAGCATGATAACAAAGTAATTTGCATTTGAAAAGCAGCAAGGTTTGTATCATAACAAGGTCACCCTAAGCCTCATTCCAGTTCAAGGGCTTGGCAACCAAGCACACAACTGTAAAATGGACTATTGTTAGACTGTTTCTGCTGAGCACAAAGGTTCTTATAATGTATAAGAGCCTGTGGCTGACTAACTATAGCTTGATTGAGGCTTGTAAGATGGAATTTTAGTTGAAGATCTCGCCATGTACACCTTAGTATGAAGTTAGTAAATATGTGCCTATAGAGTTTGACTGATACCAGGCAAGTTAAATTCCACTGAATATTTTTACCTGGATGGGTTTCTGTGTGAGTGCACACAACAATCAAAGATCTTCGGGGCAGAGTCAGTATACAGTCAAGACCACTTGCGAAAATAAAATCATACTAAGAACTTAGTAATAAAATAGTGCTTTGCTTATTGAATTATCATAAGAAGTTAAAAAGCAACTTTCGTTACAGGTGGAAGGAATTTCAAGACAAGGTGGCCAAGAAACAAATTGACCATCAGGGTATTACGCACTTTTCATGCACGGCGTTAGAAAAAGTTCTGAGAAGGACCAACCATTTTGATTTTCCCCAGAAAATCTGTTTAAATGGCAGGTTTTACAGTTGGTATTTCATGGACTACATAACAAAGGTGTACACGGCTCTTAGAAGCGACGAAGAAGCCAAACCCTTGCTTTCCTACACACATTTTAATACTGGACACGAGACTAATGGTAAACGGATGATCAACATGGACGCCAACATGGCCAAATTCTTCAAAGATATGGCTTCTTTCTCTAATACTCTTACGTTGATATTATCCGACCACGGTCACACAAGGACTCCGTTTCGTAACACAAAAGAGGGAGGCAAAGAGTTGTACGATCCAGTATTCTTTATGATTGTTCCTGATGGCGTCAGGGAAAAACTTGGTCAACAAAGGACGAACGCGCTGGTCACAAACCAAAAGCGCCTTTTCGCGCTTAAAGATGTACACAAAGCGTTCATGAGTTTGTATGATCCTCAAAAAATGGACTCCGAGGACTATTCAGTGACAGGAATCTTCTCAGAGATTCCACCAAACCGCACATGTGCAGACCTCGATATGCTTCCCTTGACCAGATGTAAATGTGAAGGTTTTGATGAAGAATTTGAGGTCAAAGAAAATGCAGATGACTACAAGTGGCTGGCAGAATTTGCAGTTGGACATATAAATAATGCAATACAAAGGCAACATAGGGAAGGTAAGATGTAAAAATAATGTCCGTGAGAAAACCAGAAGGAACTAAGCAGGAAGGGTGGGGAGGGGGAAGGGGTGATACTGCTTTAATAAGTGATTAGACCTAAACTGTATATTTGCCTTAGCTTAGAGAACTTAAGTGATGACCTAACTACCCATGTATAAATGATAACGAATAATGGTTGCTCAGTAGAGATCTTTAATGTGTCAGTGCTGCAATTTGAGCATAACCACCCTCTGCCCGTATTTCGCCACGGACATTCTCGTAAATGTTGCAGCTTGTTTTCAAGTAAGAATGTTCAATCGTTACCTGTGGAGACCTAAGCTCAACTAGACTTCTCTCCTCTCTTTTCAGGTGGTGCTAACTCATCTGAAAGTTATGGCTATGGAAACTGTGAACGCTTAGTTGGAAAATCGTTTTCAAAAGTGATCAAACGTTTTCGAAGAGAATTTATCGTAACGAGTATGGACATTCACGTGTTTCCCCCAACCGGATATAATGAGGATGAAGTGTTTAGAGTCTCTGTTAAACAGTTCGCTGAACCGAAAGACGGAGTATTTTTTATAAATTCCATAAGAGTGACGACTTACAGCAAGTTTGCGCCTTGCGCCGACAAGTCAGTCGACATCAAGCTTTGCACATGCACCAAACATCAAACCTCTGACCTCACTAAGAAAGGAGTGTTGTTTGAGAATGGTGTTCCGAAGAAAATGTTTGGTTCGGAAACAATTGTAAAGGATCTGGACTCCAACTGTTTGTTATTCTTGAGACGAGATTATAGAACGTTCTCTTTTGTATTAGAAGTAGCCAATGTTTGCACAAATACGACTTATAAATTTACTATGACAGGCTCAACGGATCAAAGGGTTTTCACCAATACTTTGCCAATCTCTCTTGAGTTACCTCCCAAAACCTTTCATTTTCTAACATCTGTTTCCAAGTATGTCGTAAAGGTAGATAGCGACCTTAATCTAAAAGTAAGCATACAAGTTAAAAATGAGGAATCGGATACCTTTGACAGTTTAGGGACTATTGGGGTTTCCTAACAGTTTAAATGCGGTTTGGTGGAAAATGGTGTTCTTTTTTTTTCGGATTGATTTTATTTATTCATATGTTCTCATCTCAGTTGCATGCCCAAGAGAGTTTGTGTAACAAAACAGATAATTATCAATAAGTTTTTTGGTAAGCATTGTTGTAGGAGAGTCTCTATTTAAGTGTTGAAGAATGAAGATCCACAGAGGAAATGAAAAATGACTCATAGTACGCGGAAACTAGCAAAATATACCAATAACTGGTAAACTTAAAACATAAAATTGAAATGTGAAGTGAATTCTCTATTTAAATGAATGCCATAAAAAGGGTCGTAAATTTGTCATCAATTTCACTCCCTGAGATGTCTTGCTGAAGGGAAGTCACTGGAAAGACGCTAGAAATTTTAGAAGTTTCTTAACTCGTGCCCAGTCTTACTTTAACAATTACAAAATACTGAAAATAATGAAAATTACATCAGTATAAAAGACTATAAACAATCATGTGCAGAGCCTAATAACAAATTCCTATTTTGGTGCTTAGCGATAAATAAACGGTACAAGGTTAAATTTTTCCACCAGACTTCTAAAAGTATTCACATTACCAGCAATTCTAGCATTGCATGGTAAAGTATTCCAAAGGTGGCTGGCTGGGATGCAAAGGAATTAAGGCACCACTTGCTATTAAAAGAATATTGCTCAAGCTTAGTGCCTGAGCAATTGACTGTACGAAGTTTAAAGAAACTTTAATGTAACTAGGACCATTCCCATTGAAACTTTTAAAAAGTAGGATCAAAACATGAAAAAACCTCCTTTGTTCTAGTATACGCGTGTTAATTAATTTACGAATATCATCGTACGAAGTGGACTTAGGTAAACCTAATAACGTTCTGAGAATATAGTACTTTTAATTGAATCATTACATGCATTGGAATAAAACGTCTAATTCTACGTAAAGCGTTTGTCTTAGCACATGCCTTATTAAGCTGCGTTTTTAAATGCTCCTCAAAGGTCAGGTTCGAGTCAATGATAACTCCTAGTATCTTTAGAGAGTCCTTTATTTCCACAGGAGTATCGCCTAACAAAATTTCGTACTTATAAGTGTTTGTTCCGACGACAAGAGCTTGAGTTTTCACAGTATTTATTGATATATGATTTACTGTAGCCCATTCTATAATAGCGTTAAGTTCCTTGGTAATGGTATGATTCAAAACCATAGGCGAGTGATCTGCGTAGTATTTAGTGAAAACAAAAAGGATACAAGATCACAAGTCTGTTCGCGCAAGGTAGCTTAATTACACTATTGTCCAAGTCTTTTAGTATTTAGTTCCTTTGCTTCTTCCAAAATATCACCTTTTTCGAATAAAAGCACGTTTTATAAGCGGGAGAAAGACACATTTAATCCGCTATGGAGTTGTAATGGTTGTATCATCAGCATATAAGCGGAGAGACACAGCGGAGATGAAATCGTTCAATTCATTGATAAAAATATTAAATAGGAGGGGTCCAAATAGGGATCTTTAAGGTACACCAGCTGTGATTGGTTTCTACACAGAAAAAACGTTGTCGAGTCGAACTCTTCGGCGACGACCAAGCAAATAAGACTTCATAAGATTGATGGCATCTGTGTCAAACCAAGAAGCCTTAAGCTTTGCAATCAGCAAACTATGGGGGATAGAGTCGAAGGCCTCGCTGAGGTTGATGGCTATGGCAACAATACCCTGTCTGTCATCAAGGCCTGCACGCCAATCATCTGAATGCAGTCTCAGGCTTTGGAAAACTCAACTTCCGCATTCTCTTAGCCTGTGAAGCTGGTGGTTTCGCGTTTGTCAAGCGAGAGGCTTGGGTGCACACTAAACGATGAGGCACACCTCTCTGCTTATAAAACGGTGAGATGCACATTATATCAGCCTAGAGCTGAAAGGGCCACCCTGCCTGTGTTATCAACAGCATTCTCGTATCTTGATAAGCTTTGTGTTCGAAAAGTCTCTAGTTTTCCTTTTCCATACTTTTGTCTCCATTCACAGATTTCAATGAATTGTCTAAATTGTTTTCGCTTAATTTGCAAGACAATGGTTGTTTCTTATGTTTTCCTTAGTAATTTATGCGCAGGAAATCGGCGCACTAACGGTCAGAAGTGATCCCCTCGCTCCTACCCTACACTTAGCCGCTGTGTTCAGGCTGAGCCAAATTACTGACAGATTACAAACAGATTCATGTAAAAGCCAGGTAAATTTACTAACTACATATTTACTTATTTAAATGCGCGGAAGACAAACTTCTTACCCAGACTTAAGGCGGCTAATGTCCCTCAGATCTGAACTTGAAGTAAGACTGGAGGCGAGTTTCTAGACTCCAACAATTTGTGTCTTTATAACGACTTCCTGTTATCAAAACATCTCGGGGAGAGAAACTAATGACAGATTTATGACTTTAATTTGGTATTCATTTAAACAGAGAATTCATTTCACATTTTATCGTTATCCTTCAACGTTTATCAATTTCTACCTTCCATTATGAATGACATATTTATTTGCTCTGTCATCACTTCTATTTAATACTTAAATAGAAATTCTCTTACAATAATGCTTACTATACTACGAGTCAAAAATAACCGAATTAAAAAAATATATGTTGTGTCGTACAAACTCTCTAGGACATAGGACTCAGGTGTGTACATAAAAAAAATCAAATAGAATCAAACAGCTGTAAGACTATCATCTATTTCTGCAGCATTTTAATTAAACTCAACTTATCAAGGAATATCTGCAACAAATATCAAGAAAAACAACACCAAATTTCCGGTTAACTGCATGCTAACTGTTACAAAACCCGAGCAGTTCTTAAAAAGTGGAAGGTATTCGATTCCCCGTTTTTAACATGTATGCTTGCTTTTAGATTAAGGTCGCTATCTACCTTTACGACATACTTGGAAACAGATGTTAGAAAATGAAAGGTTTTGGGTGGTAACTCAAGAGAGATTGGCAAAGTCTTGGTGAAAACCCTTTGATCCGTTGAGCCTGTCATGCTAAATCTATAAGTGATATCTGTGCAAACGTTGGCTACTTCTAACGCAAAAGCAAACGTTCCGTAATCTCGTCTTAAGAACAACAAACAGTTGGAGTCCAGATCCTTTACAATTGTTTCCGAACCAAACATTTTCCTCGGAACACCATTCTCAAACAACACTCCTTTCTTAGTGAGGTCAGAGGTTTGATGTTTGGTGCATGCGCAAAGCTTGATATCAACTGACTTGTCGGCGCAAGGCGCAAACTTGCTGTAAGTCGTTACTCTTATAGAATTTATAAAAAATACTCCGTCTTTCGGTGTAGCGAACTGTTTGACAGAGACTCTAAACACTTCATCCTTTTTGTATCCGGTTGGAGGGAACACGTGAATGTCCATACTCGTTATAATAAATTCTCCTCGAAAACGTTTGATCACTTTTGAGAACGATTTTCCAACTAAGCGTTCACAGTTTCCATAGCCATAATTCTCAGATGAGTTAGCACTACCTGAAAAGAGGAGAGAAGTCTGGTTGAACTTACGTCTCCATGGGCAACGATTGAACACTCTTACTTGAAAACAAGCTGCAACATTTACAAGAATGTCCGTGGCGAAACACGGACAGAGGGTGGTTATACTCAAATTGCAGCACTGACCCACTAAAGATCTCCAATGAGCAACCATTATTCGTTATCATTTCTACATGGGTAGTTACGTCATCACTTAAGTTCTCTATGCTAAGGCAAATATACAGTTTAAATCTAATCACTTATTAAAGCAGTATCACCCTTTCCTCCTCCCCACCCTGCCCGCCTAGTTCCTTATGGTTTTCTCACGGACATTATTTTTACATCTTACCTTCCCTATGTTGCCTTTGTATTGCATTATTTATATGTCCAACTGCAAATTCTGCCAGCCACTTGTAGTCATCTGCATTTTCTTTGATCTCAATTTCTTTATTAAAACCTTCACATTTACATCTGGTCAAAGGAAGCATATCGAGGTCTGCGCATGTGCGGTTTGGTGGAATCTCTGAAAAGATTCCTGTCACTGAATGATCATCAGAGTCCATTTTTTGAGGATCATACAAACTCATGAACGCTTTGTGTACATCTTTAAGCGCGAAAAGGCGCTTTTGGTTTGTGACCAGCGCGTTCATCCTTCGTGGACCAAGTTTTTCCTTAATGCCATCAGGTACAATCATAAAGAATACTGGATCGTACAACTCTTTGCCTCCCTCTTTTGTGTTACGAAACGGAGTCCTTGTGTGACCGTGGTCGGATAATATCAACGTAAGAGTATCAGGGAAAGAAGCCATATCTTTGAAGAATTTGGCCATGTTGGCGTCCATGTTGATCATCCGTTTACCATTAGTCTCGTGTCCAGTATTAAAATGTGTGTAGGAAAGCAAAGGTTTGGCTTTTTCGTCGCTTCTAAGAGCCGTGTACACTTTTGTTATGTAGTCCATGAAATACCAACTGTAAAACCTGCCATTTAAACAGATTTTCTGGGGAAAATCAAAATGGTTGGTCCTCCTCAGAATCTTTTCTAACGCTGTGCATGAAAAGTGCGTAATACCCTGATGGTCAATTTGTTTCTTGGCCACCTTGTCTTGAAATTCCTTCCACCTGTAACGAAACATGCTTTTTAACTTCTTATGATAGTTCAATAACCAAAGCACTATTTTATTACTAAGTTCTTGGTATGATTTTATTTTCATAGGTGGTCTTGACTGAATACTGACTCTGCCCCGAAGATCTTTGGTTGTTGTGTGAACTCACACAGACACCCACCTAGGTAAAAATATTCAAAGGAACTTAACTTGCCTGGTATCAGTCAAACTCTATAAGCACATATCTTACTAACATCATACTAAGGTGTGCATGGCGAGATCAAGCCTCGATCAAGCTATAGTTAGTCAGCCACAGGCTCTTATACATTATAAGTACCTTTTTGCTCAGCAGAAACAGTTTAACAATTACCTTAAAAACCTACATAACACCTGTATCAAAACAACGCATCATTACAGAATCAAACATGCAGCATGGACCAGGTTGTTACCTTTCTCTGAACTCAGAACCCGACTGAGGTGTTGCTCTTTTACCAATGTCTGTTAAAGCACTCCCCCAAATATCATACCAACAAAGATCCTCTTGAAAGAACGTCTGGTAGCCCCATTTCTTGAAGGTCCCATACAACACCTCCACACCCAGGGAGGCTTTGGTGTTTTTTGCAGAGGCAGTAACTTTGTTATCGTCTGAAAACGTTACAGACAATTTCTCATCAATGACTGTGAATTTATGGAAATCACATATGTGAACTGCGGATGATAAATTAGTACGAGAGTGATCTTCGCAGTAATGAACACAACTTAATGGAAGTATGAAATCATTTCGACTGCTGCTTAAGTAGTGTTTATTATTGGGGAAGATCACTGTCATCTTCATGTTCTCATAAGTACAACATAAAGAATTCATAGCCAACGAGATGGGATAACTCACGCCATTCAGTTTTAAATGTATTTTCTTCAACTAACCTTCGACAACGCCACAGAAGAATGGCCTCATGTTTTCAAATGTCTGTTGTCCGATGCTCTGGAGAAGTTCAAAGTCCAAGGCGGTAGCCTGAATCTTAGCATTGTGTGAAATATCGTGCAGAGCCTTTACAGCCCTTGGAAGAATTCGGTAAAAATGCGGCCTGGAGATAGAGTCTAACAGAATCACATTTAAATTTATTTTAGTTCTCTTTTGGCCGCCGTCGACTTTCTTCAAGACCGGAGGAAAGCTGAGCACTTGGAAAATTTCTCCACATCTTAGGAAAAGAAAACTGAATCCTCTTTCTAAATTGGTTTTGACGGCCGTTCGAACTGTTCGATCGATTTGTTTTTTCGACAATCGTTTCCACTTCGTCACGGCTTTTCCCATTTTAGGATCAACAGAAGATATTCGAACCGCGGACGAGCCACAAACCTTGGGGTTACATGACAGGGTCTGGTCTCCAGACTCTGTATTATGGAACGCGCAGATGTCTGGGTAATGAGTGTCGTCACAAGTCCTATTTTCGATAAGTCCTAACGGTCCATAATGTTCAATAATTTGCTTTATACCATGTCGATCTGGTCTAAGAAAAAAATGGATATAACTCGTTCAGTTATCAGTTAAACAGCATAAGTTAGCATTGCTTGAACGTATCTGCCAATCAGTCTCGCTTTGAATCAGCATCTAAAGAAATTCAAGCAGAGAAGATATATTTACAACTATTTTATCAAGAGATCTCTCGCAGTAAAAACAAGCCACATGTGCACTAATCCTAAGAGAAGGAAATCAAGCCCATTTAACCCGTTAAACCGGTTACCTTTTTTACCGGGTAACCGGTTGGCGGCTGGAAATAAAATTAAGCCTTATCACTACAACAGAGCATCAGTGATTTCTCTTCCTACCTGTGAGGCTTGCACTTGATTTCAGTTCGGTGGCCTAAGCATAGAAGTAAAGATACACTTTAGAAATAGAACTTCATTATCAATCATCCTTTTAGACGAACAATTAAAAGTTCAGCGCTCTTTCTCTTTTTAAAAGATTGAAATGTTAATCGCGTTTGTCCCTACCTGATATATGGGTAGTTTTCGAGTTCTTTTTTGGAGTCAGTTTCAAGGTAGAATTCATCGGCAACCAGAGCACAGTCTCAAGTACCATCAGAGCTAACACAATACAGGCGAGCTACGTGGAAAGTAGAAATAGTAAAGATTAAAATAATTCCACCTTAGACTGAATAAAAATGTCTGAAGTGATAAGCTATCATAAACATCTCCAAATCTGTGGATTGAGATGGTTGAGTTGAGAGAAGACTCTGACTTCTCCAAAATGTCAATCTCAATCGGGAAGGAAAGGTAACTGAAGTTGATGTCTCGACCAAAATTTCTCGGTTTGATAGGTTATCAAACTCTCTTGCTTTTGGAACCTCGCTCTTCCTCGAGTATAAAAATCACTACTTGGTTTGTTATCTTTTCTTTAATACCTGCAGCGTTTACAATCTACTATATATCCTACCCAGCTCTCTAAAAAAAGGATCTAATAACCCTGGTCCCGATCCAGAAAGCCTACGAAAAACATGAAGAAACTTGAAAAAAATGATAAGAAGGAAAACGAATCATTCACGTACCAAAAACATCCCACATCTTAATGAACGAATTCGAACCAGTTTAGCAAGGATCATACTGATAGATGTAAACAGAGAGAAAATCTGAAATAAAACCAGAAAGATTTAAAGCAAACATACAACCTTCGGTCTTTTCGGCGTTTTTTTTCGCCTAAAATAGAACTAAGTCCAATCCGTGGGGTAGCATCAGTCAAAGAGGTTAAAGTGTTCAACATTTGCCCATGGAGACTTAAGCCCAACTAGACTTCTTTCTTCTCTTTTCAGATATTGCTAACTTATCTGAGAACTATGGCTATGGAAACTGTGATCAAACGTTTCGGGAATTCATCGTGGCGAGTATGGACATTCACGTTTTCCCTCCAACCGGGTATAATGAAGATGAAGTATTCAGATTCTCCGTCAAACAGTTCGCTGAACCAAGAGACAGTACTTTTTCTTAAATCCACAAATGTAACAACTTACAGCAAGTTTGTGTCTTGCGTAGACAAGTCAGTTGATATCAAGCTCTGCACGTGCGCCAAAGAACAAAACTCTTACGTCATCAAAAAAGGAGTGTTGTTCGAAAATGGGTGACGTTTTTAGAGTCTCCGTCAAACACTTCGTTGAACCGAGAGACGCAGTATTTTTTTAAATTCCATAAGAGTAACAAGTTACAGCAGGTTTGCAACTTGCACAGAACTAAAAAATGGAGTGTAGAAAATGGGTGAAGTTTTAAGAGTCTCCGTCAAACACTTCGCAGAACCGAGAGACGCAGTATTTTTTTAAATTCTATAAGAGTGACAAGTTACAGCAAGTTTGCAGCTTGCGCAGACAAGTCAATCGATATAAAGCTGTGCGCATGCACCAAAGATCAAATCTCTTACGTCACAAACAAAGGGGTTTTGTTCGAGGATAGTGTACCAGGCAACATCAAACAGCAATAAAGTAAACGGCGGGAATTATTCGAGATTGATGTTGTTACCACAATCCACTACTAGAAACAATAGAACCTTCGGTAACATACCAAACGCATCTTATGTCGCTTTATTCCACAATTTTGACCAAGGCATAGATTACCTAACCTTCCTGGTTGCCTTCCTACACGAAACACGAAACACGCAATTTCGAACACGAAATCTTAGGCTTAATGAACTGATATGTTTCTTCCAGTGGGTGGATAAAAATCCACAAACCCACTGGCATTCTGAGTCGTCAAATTACGGCGAAGACGGCCTAACATGCCTATGCGCTTACCCGGAGGCTTTCAAGGACGCATAGAACAGGACTGTATCGTATGTATACATATAAATATTGCATTTAGACGTTGCTTCCGGTAAATTGTTTACATTTAGTATAAACAGCAACGGTTCAAGTATTGACCCCTGAGGGGTCAAGAAACTGAACATTGATTAGTGCGTTAAATTAATATTTACCGAGTCTAATTTAATCCTTAATCACAACCGACTTAATGAAGTTGCTTATTTTCCGTTTGGTCACGAAATAAAATTTTTCTTATTTCTGTTTTAAGGGTAAATGAATTTTAGCTGCGGGTGTGCTGGTGTCACGAAAACTCAGACTTCAGACCTCAGAAAAACTTTCACCCCTAGGGATCTCCAAAACTTAGGCGTCCAACAACAAGGGTCCATTCTTTATTGTTTGTTATCTTTGTCAATCTGATGCAAGATCAACAGGAGAATTTGAGAATTTGTTGTCTGCTCTTCATACTACATGTCATAGCAAAATAATATCAGCTACAAAGCTTCCCTCGAGAACCTCCACAGATGCTTTATTGAGGAAATAAGTCGTTGTGGTGGATATACATATTTGAAGTAGGAATTCTACTGGAGACTATTCATGATCATTTTCGCCTTCACACGACACACCAAAGAAAAAATTCACTGAGTTCGAGAATCTGACATTCATTTTGGGTATCGTGGGTCTTAAAATTTGGCTTACAAAGCGCCAAGAAGATTCCAAATGCGAACGCGCTCCAAAGATCTTTTATACTTAGACATATATCAATTTGATAAGCTATGGTTAAAGGAGGTCAAGGTTGTGTTGTTTGAACCAACTGATTTTCAATGTGAAACTAACTCTCACATCCAAATTTTCTCGCGAGATGTCTCATCATTCGCACTTTTCTGGCTTGTGACTGGTCTTTCCAATTAAAGGCGAAGGAAAAAAAAAATGGAAAAACCTCACAAGGACGATGAAAAAGGAATTTTCAAGAGTTTTTTCGAAGAAGCCTTTCTCTAAAGAAAAGCTTTGCGTGACACCCTAAAAAATGCGAAGGAGACATAAATTTTAGGTTTTTCTTCAGTCATTCATTGTGGGCATTAGAGCCAGCGGTTCGGCATTCCACGAGGTATAAGTATCTGGGTAACGATAATACAGCGACCAAACGTCTGCGCATGTGTATACGCTGTAATGGTGGCGACACAGCAGCAAAATAAGTGGACGTGCTTAGAACGCGCGAAAGGAATGGGGCCGACGATATTTCTATAGTAACAATATCGCAGGAAATAGAGGCATTTTTAAAATTCTCATCGTTTGCAATCATTTTGTGAGGATGTGCTGAAACCGATACAGATAAGGTTGCAGTTTTTCAGGAAAGTTTCTGTCGAACTTCTTCCGTCACAAATCTCAATCAACAAAAGAAATATGGGGGTAACAGGTGTGAATTCAGGGACTGAAGTAGTGCATCGATAACATGGCGACAAAGTTCGTAGTAACGGCAGTCTGGATAAATTTAAAACAATTTACGATGAACTATATGAAAAGAATACTACTTACCCTCCAGAACTTTCCGTAAGAACAAACTCCATCAAACTGTTCTTTCGTTTCCCATCATTAACAGTCCAATAAGTGTAAAATGATGTTCTGTTCGTTCTCCAACGAAACTCTTTCAAACTTGAGTCACGATATGCTCCCCGAACGCGCCATATCCGCTGGGCACGCGCACTCATTTCGCTGCTACAGCATACGTCCTAAGTGACTAACTAGGTAGCGTGCTTTCAGGCTGTCATGATCAGGACCAAGTTGTTTCATAAAATGTAACAAGCAACCACACGAGTCGATAAGTAAGTAACGAGACGATAAGTAAGCGTACAACTTTGTTAGTGCAGCTCAAAACAGAAAGTCAAATTAAATGACAAAAAGACGTACTTGAATGAGCTGTAAGTTCGAAAAATTCTCAATTTTTTACTTTTCCCAATTTTTGTTTTCTCATACTGATTGCGAAGGACATTACCGGTTAATATGAACGTCTCAATTTTCTTTCTTTGCGAGACAGAGGTATGTTTCGCTTAAGAAATTTTGCGCGGGAAATTGGCGGCCGGTCAAACGTAATCCCATCGCGCATGTCTTACGCTTGACCGCTGTGTTCAGGCTGATCCAAATTACTACCAGATTGTAAACAGATTCATGTAACAGTAAGGTAAGTTTACCTCTTACTCTAAATGTCTATATTTCCCAATTTTCATAACATTTTTGACCTCCAAACATCCATCCACGAGGAATTTCTACACTAGCGACTGCAACGAGCAAACAAATCTCATTAGTACAGACAGCGCTTTGAGTCATTCACTTAACAACAATGGCTTTGTCACAAAAAACAATCTCCCATTATATGGCTAAAAGAAAATGTAAATACACGGAATTGAAGTGTTTAAGACCTTTATGTACAGATGAAGTTTTCCTTGTCTTGTCCAGAGGAATAATTTTCTCACAGTTTGAAAACTATATTTACTGTCATGTAACACTGAAAATCCCCAAATCAGTAAAGGTGTTTGATCCATCCTTCTTAACCTTCACACTTGCTTTCAACCCTAACGGCTCGTTTACTTTTGAAAGGTATTTGTACACAGAAGTCAAAAAACTAAACGTCTTTGGGAATAATTCCAGCCCAATGGGCAAAGTCTTGGAGAATATCCTTTGATCCATAGAGCCTGTTAGTTCAAATTTATAAGTTCGACTTGTGCACACATTTGCAATTTCTAACCCAAATGAAAACGTCCCATGATTCCGTCGCAAGAATAACAAACAGTTTGAATCCAAGTCTCTCACAATTGTGTCCGAACCAAACATTTCGCGAGGAACTCCATTATCAAACAACACTTCTTTCATCTTGGCGTCTGCGGTTTGCTCTTTGGAGCATGCGCAGAGCTTAATATCCACGGACTTATCTGCACACAAGGCAAACTTGTTATACATTGTTACCCGGACAGAACTGAGAAAAAATACTCCTTGTTGTGGTTTGGCAAACTGTTTGACAGAGACTCGATAAACTTCATCCTCTGTGAATCCGGCTGGAGGGAACACGTGAATGTCCATCGTGGTCAAGATGTATTCTCCACGGAATCGTTTGACAACCTTCTCAAATGATTTTCCAACCAAGCGCTGGCAGTTTCCATAGCCATAGTTATTCTTTGAATCACCATTTCCTGACGAAAATGAGTGAAAAATAAATAAAAATGAAATTAAATGGACTTCGCTTCCTAGAGTCAGGAGTATCATCTCACAGCAGTTGCCCATAGGGTTGGGGTTAGAGTTTGGTTCATCTTGCCCCAACACACCTCAAATTATCTTTCCTTACCTCAGGTCAGCCCATTTCAGTCACTTCAAACCATGACAGCTTTAATAATATTTCCTCATTTCTCCTCACTACTTGTCACTTCAACCCAACACACCTCACCTAATCTTTCCTCACTCATCTTCATCACATTACATGTCACCTCAAATAACTTCACCTTGTTTTTGTTTCAGAAGCCTAACCTGACTCCATTTTATCTTACACATCTTTTCTCTATCAACCCACCTTATCACATCTTACCCAGTTCCACCCTCATCTCGACTACAGTGTGTAACAGTACCCACCCTATCAGTCCTACTGTACCAAACCTCATCCCAACCCGTTTAATCAAACTCTACCTAACCCACAGTACCCATCTCTTTTTATTCCCTCACCTAACTTTCCCTCACTCCACCCTGCCTCAACTCACCCTAGCTTTCTACAATTTGATTAAGACTTCATTGGGCTTTTGTTTCAGCAGCAGTACTTTACTTTCACTGCCAATTAAGAGCAGAATTAACAGAGAACAAATAACACTGCACATCTTACCACTCATGTATTGTTTTTGAATAGCATCATTGATATATCCCAGAGCAAATTCTGCCAACCACATCTGATCATCTGCATTATCCTTTACTGGAATTTCTTCATCAAAACCTTCACATTTGCATCTTGTTAAGGGAAGCATGTACAAGTCTGCACAAGTGCGGTTGGCTGAAATCTCTGAAAATATCCCTGAAACTGAATTATTCCTAGAGTCCTTCTCTTGAGAATCATGCAAACTCATGAGCGCTTTGTGAACATCATACAACATAAAGATGCGCTTTTGGTTTGTTACCAAGGCTCCCATCCTTTCTGGACCCAGTTTCTCCTTAACACCATCAGGGACAATCATGAAGAATGCTGGATCAAATAACTCTCTCCTTCCCTCTTCAGTGTAACTGAATGGAGTCATTTTGTGACCATGGTCCGAAAAAATCACAGTCAAAGTGTTTGGAAACAAGGCCATATTGGTGAAAAACTTGGCCATGCTGGCATCCATGTTGATCATTCGTTTCCCTGTCATCTCATGTCCCGTGTTGAAATGCATGTATGACACCAATGGTTTGGCTTTTCTGTTGTTTTCTAAGGCAGTATACACCTTTCTTATGTAGTCGAAGAAGTACCAACTGTAAAACTGTCCATTAAGACAAATTTTCTGAGGATTGTCATAATGATTGGTCCTTCCAATTCTGTTTAACACAGTGCAGGAAAAATGTGTAATCCCAAAATGGTCAACCATTTTCTTTGCCATCTTTTCCTGAAATTCTTTCCACCTGGTTTGAAATAGTTAACACTAATTACCACTCTGACCAATAATAGTGCATTTGTGAAAAAAAATGTAAAGTTAAAGTTAACCCTTTACCTCCCAGAGGTGATTAACAAGTAACTTCTCCCTACTATATCTATGCACCAACCAGCAAACAGGTAATGAGAATATTCAAATATATCAGGTAGAGGTTGTTATCTTGATCTGACACCAAATTCTTGTAACTTATTTACAAGGAAATATGTAGCAGCAAGAGGGGAGAATTAGCGATCAGATCTTAGGAGTTAAGGGGTTAATATCCAACTATTCACCTATTCTTATCTAATTGACATTGTTGTGAACATTTTGCAGACCAGAATTCCTTATTCATTACATGTTATACTTAAAAAGCATTTCTTGTTTGTTGCTCATCATAGACTCACGATTGAAAGATCTCTTACTGGAAACTTTGGTTTACTGGGATGTGGATGTTATGATTTTCACTCTTGTAGTGCTTTTCTCCTTCCTATAATTTAAATACCTTGAGCAAGAAACTGTCAGGAAACCAGCTGAGGTTTACCTATAATGGACTAGTGGCCCATCTGTATGAAGAAGCAATAGTCCTTGACGCTTCATGACAACAATATGGGTATCAGCTTCTAAAGTTTGGGGCCACTTGGCTAGTGAAACTAGACCTTTCTTTCTTTTTTGAAATAGAGAAGAATGCCCTTATTGACTCCAAACAAATTAATAGCTATGATTCTACAAGTTACTCACCTCTCTCTAAATTCTGAATTTGTTTTAGGAATTTCTCTCCTTTCATTATCTGTTAATGCACTTCCCCATATATCGTACCAGCAAAGGTCCTCTTGAAAGAGTGTCTGGTAGCCCCACTTTTTTACAGCCCCATATAACACTTCCACACCCAAAGGAGCGTTTTTATTGCTTGCAGAGACACTTACTTCATTGTCATCTGATAAATTTTCCAAAAACAAATTAATCTAGGTATTAATATTGGTAGTAACAGCAGCAGTAGCACTAGCAGTAGTGGCAATCCTAATTTACCTGTGGTCAACTTTAATCAGGTTTAAGGCAAGTAAGAAACTGAGTATAGTTTTCAATTAGCACTGGTCATGTGGTTTATAAGTCTGGGTAAGAGTGGTTCTGAATAGGGATTGTTGTTGATAGCAGGGAGTTAAAAATATTTTTAGAACCTAAGCAGACATAATCATTGAGCCATCTGACTTTGATGATAACTTCTACTAAAGTTGTTGAAATAGTAGCCTTCAACAACAGTTGATTCTTTTCAAGACTTCTATCTTTCATCAGAATGATCAGAACTTATGATCCACAACCAATGTTGGTTCAGAAAATTTAAATTTAATGGCTACTTATGTTGACAATTTCCTCTCAATCGGCCCTTACTACTCGAACCTTTTTAGCTTATGGCCTGAACACTAAGCAAACTGTAACTCAGTAATAAATTATAAACAGTGAAAAATTTTGTCAACACACCTTTCAGAACACCACTGAAGAATGGTCTCAAGTTTTCAAAAGTCTGTTGACCAATGCTTTGAACAAGTTCAAAGTCCAAAGCTGTGGCTTTGATTGTAGGATCTTCACTAATCTTCTTCAAAGCTTCTGTGGCTTTTCGCATAGTTCGATAGAAGTGTGGTCTTGAGATAGAGTCCAACATAATAATATTTACATTTATAGCACTTCTGCCTTCAGCATTTTCATTTTCCTTAAAGATGGGAGGAAAACTCAAGGCTTGATAAATGTCCCCACATTTAAGGAACAAGAAATTAAATCCATTTTCCAGGTTTGTTTTCACTGCCTCCTGTACTTTATAAGTAACTTTTTCCTTTGGCAATGTTTCCCAGTCATCAACAGCTTTTCCCATTTCTGGATTCACAGAAGCCATTTGAATCTCTGAAGACCCACACACCTTCACATCACAAGACACATGATGTTCCATTAACTTGGTTAACTGGTATGAACAGATCTCTGGGTGATGTGTATTGTCACACTTTGGCTCCTCCAACTGTCCTGGATGTCCATAAAATTTAAGAATTTGTTCCTGGCCACTTTTGTCTGGCCTACAAAAGAATTAATTTTCAGGTGAGGTGCTGTAAACCACTGTCTTCAAATTTATTACCATACCTTTCTAAGAAAACAACACTTTTCCTGAGGAACAAATCCTTACACACTCACTTAACAAGTTGAAGTTGAAGTTATAACATAATTAACCTTGTCCTTGGGTAACATTTCCAAGTCAGTAGCAACTTTTCATGTGACACTGAGGGTCACATGACGAGGTCTGTCACCAGACTCTGGTTAATGTGTTCACACAGCTTGATGGATGGATATAAAATTAAGCCTTAACATTGAAGTAAAGCATTAATTATGCCTCTTTCTACCTGTGAGGCTTGCACTTGATTCCATTTTCTTCCATACCAGAGAAGTTTTCATGGCTGGGAAAGTTTTCTGCAACACAAACATAATATCAATCTGTTAGTTCTGAAGATCTCCATTGAAAATTTATTTACACAGGCTTTTATGGTTTCCACATTCATTCACTTCTGTTTTAACCCTTTGTTTGCATAAGAGTGATTAACACCTAATTTCTCCTTACAACATCACCCCTGAATCACACATTAAGGTCATGAGAATATATGGAATGATCACCAACTAAAGAAGCTCTTGATTGTTAAACAACTTCTTCTTGTCAGCATCTTTGGAAATGTACAGAGAACAGCATGGAGAATATGCTCAATGATGTTAGGGTGTAAAGGTTTTAAGTAAAGTTTTCATCAGACCTGACATCAATAAAGGGCTATGCATAAGATTTGTGGATGTAGCCTGAGGGTTTGCCTGCCCTATTGCATAACTCAATATGAAGCAAAAAACTAAAAAAAGAGCGGCACCAAAAATGGAACTTCCTTTTTTATTTCCCCATTCGGACAAATAATTAAAACTGCAGTGTTCTCCTGCTTTCAGAAGGATTGCAGTCTTAACCAAGACATTCTTTACCTGAAAGATGTCTCCTAGTAGGATTCATCTTCAACCACTGCACAGTCAAAAGTACCCACACAGCTAACACAGGAAAGGCAAGCTAAGTGGGGAATGGAAATGGCAAATATCAAAATTAATCCACCAAAGGCTAAATAGAAAGGTCTTCAAGAAGTTTTAAGCAATTGTAAGTTTCCTGAGGTTATGGATTGTGATAGTCGAGATTAGAGTATACAGTTATTTCCTCCAAAATGTTTTTTTCAATAGTAAAGGATAGTGTTGTCTGCATGATAATGACTTTGTGTCCAAGGCTTCTCAGTTTGATGGATTACTATAGTTGCTTCCTTACTTATGGAGTCTCTCCTATCCTTGAGTATAAACCATCAATACTGGCTTTCACATGTATCTTTTCTAGATGCCTGTGAATGTTTACAACCTTCTACATATCTTTCGCAAACCTTTTTACAAAGAGGGTCTGGTAACCCTGGTTCCGATCCTAAATGCCCATATTATCAACATAGTTGAATAAAATGAAAAAAATTCAAGAATAATTCACTCACCAAACACACTCGACATCTTAATAAACGAGCTCTAACCAGTTTGAAAAGGATCATAATGGTGTTTATAACCTAAGAGAGAGTCTGAAATGAAACCAGAAAGATTTAATGGTAGTGTTTTCTGAGCCTCCTGAGATCCTACCATGCTAGAGGTACAAGACAGTAGAAACTTCATCTTGGGATCTTTCTAACCAGAAGCACTATGACAAGGGGCAGTATAGTGGCGGTATTATTCTTAAGTTTTGTTTACCTTTACAAGCCCAGGTCTTAGTGGCTACAGTATTAAGCTAAAACTCTGCTGAACAAGAAACTTAAGGTCGACAAGGATGAAGGAAACAGCCACATAATATTTAGCAAAATTTCCTTGATTTAAACTCAACAATGTATTATTCACATGTAGAGCATATTATAATGTTCATGTCTGGTTCAATCACATTGCTTCACTATTGGTATTACTGGAATAGTTTGCCATAATGCAATTGCCAACAATTTCTGATAATCAGCCGACTTATAAACTTGTCACTAGTGCTCCTCCGGCATACCTCTAGCCCGTAGGATTTAAGCACAACCCTGGCATATTTAATGCACAAGGTAGTATCAGTCCTCCAATTATAGATGTATATCGCTTTATACTGCAAAATTCATAATAAAAACCAAGAAAGGCAGATGAAGACCAATATTCCAAAAAACTGTTAAGCATTCTCCTGGCATTTATAATAAGATTCACCGGAATGTAACAAGAAAGAACGATCTGCTTCATTAACTTGCGATCAGAAAGTAAAATGCAAAAAGATCTTTTTACTTCCACAGTTATATTGTTTTCAATAGTTTTTCTAGATGATGATATATAGTATAAAAATTAATTTTTAGTATAAAATTTTAATATTATACATGTGTTAATATCAATTTTAAGCATCTTTTACATAGCATCAATATTGTCTACCTTTTAACAAATCAATTTAAGCAACTTTTATATAACAATAATTTTATGAAACTTTTATACTGATATTAATGTAACTGTGCTCAGGGCTACTATTGATAGCAGGTTGATTTTCAAGCACCTAAAAGTACAAAAGGCTGAAAATTAATTGTAGGTGTCTGTCCATACTCGATGTTATGACAATAGCATTCTCAAGAGAACGTCGCCGAATGACTTTAAAACGGCTCACTGCTGGAATAAAGAGCTCATTCCAGGAACTGAAATAATATGATTTTTCACATCATAATTAAACGGGGGAAACAATTCGAAATTACTAATTTGTTCCCGCAAAACGCTTTTGGAAACCATAGAAATTACAGCATAGGTTTCGATAAAAGTTAAATGCGTTGAACGGTTTTAAGGCTTCTTCTTCTTCTTCTTCTTCAATAATTACTTATGATTCAATTCAAATTATTATGTCGTTTCGTAACATACCAAACGTGTGTAATGTCGCTGCATGTGTCTCACAATTTTAATCCAGGCATGACTTTCGCCTTCCCAGTTACCGTCCAAGACGATTGGAAACAAGTAAATATTAACGATAAATTGTCAGTAATCGGATACTTGTTTGCGCACAGATCTCTGGGACAGGGAGCAAACATTGCAACATATATGGCGAAAGGTTGTTCCGACGTTCAAAGAACGATTTTAGAGAGAGGGTTATCGCTTGTTCGCCGCTCTTTTATCAGAAATGGATTTAGGTAATGCTGATACAAGGGTAGCGTAAGTTTTTGTGTGAAAAACCATGAAATATGTAGTAAAATCTACCGATTAACTTGTCTCAATGCGCAAGGTTTTGTAAATTGCTTAGGGTTAGGGTTAGAGTAATGGTCTCGAAGTTTAGAAAAACTAACCATAAATCGCGAAGGAATAACTCAACAAAGCCTTTTCAGTTTTTCGGACGTGTGTTAAGTCTACTTCTAGCTTTTTTCGTGGCTTGGTGATACAAAAGAGCACTACAAAAGCTACCACGAGGCAGAAGGAGATTGAAATAGCGTGCTTGAATAATATAAATATTATTGTGGTACATTAAAGTGATGGAACACCTACACTGCTTATTTGTTGTGATAAATGAGAACGAGTCAGCGTTGATAGTCGGCTCAAAATTTAACCCCTTTCTTCGGTGACGATGACTGATACAATTTGGATGCACAGCTGATGATATGTCCACAATTTCTGCGCAACAATGACTACAGCGTCATACCAAAACAAAAATGCCACAATCGAACTAACAAACAAGAGGGTGAAAAGAACCCGAGAACAATTTTGTTACCGCAACACACTCTTGGAAACCATGAAACAGTTCGATTAAAATCCTTTAGTAACTTACCATAGGCTTCTGATGTCGCTTTATCTCACAATTTTGACTAAAGCATGGATTTTGTTTGCTCTCCCAGTTGCCTTCCCAGTGGCCTTCCCAGATACTTTGAAACAGGCTATTTTACCACGATTTTTCCAGGAATTCAGCGACTGAGATACTTGGCGTCATGTACCAAGATCAGCACCTAGAGGGGAAATTTATAATCCACAAACGTATCGCAAAGGCTAGGCCACAAACCCTCCTACGTTTTTGCAGAAGAGAAATTTGCTGCGTTAAATTCTTCTTCTTTGAAACAACTCTTTACACGATGCATAGCATCACCTGGTGTATTTGAATCATATTGACAAACGCCTCACGGGTTGAATACTACATCTTGAAAGCGAGGCGAAGAGTACAAAAACAGATGGAATTGGAGAAGCACGCTCATTCATTTGTCATCTATAGACCCAAGCCCCCAAAACCTCGGAAAATTAGGGTGGAACTGATTAGTTAGGAGCAGAAGTTCAATTGTCGGAGAAAAGAATACCAGTAAGTAGTCATTGCTTACTTAAACCTTTCATTGTTTTGATTTTTCCCTATTCTTAGCTTTTAAAAAATTAACATGTTTATACATAGCCAAACAAGCATGTATGCGGCACGTGTTTAATCGCATCATACATAGCACTGTTCACGTGCTTACAACGGAACGCCGAGTGTGTGTTTCTTTCGAATAAGCCCAGAGTTGTGAGTGGGAGTTAACCGAAGCGTTGTAGTAAAATCGTCAAATCAATGTGAATAAATTGTGATTTAATAAGGGAGCGTGGTACAGCTTTTTCACGTTTTCGACAGTCAGGCTAATCTACAGACTTCTATACCTTGTATTTTTGTTTACCCATTTTGAGTCCTGTGATAATACTCTAGAAAACTGTTTCTTTCAAATTTCGTCGCATTCACGTGCGTATTTGCGCATAATTTGTAAAACATTGAACTAGGAATCCCTTGGAGACCTGAAATGGGAAAACAAAACATACAAGCTAACGATGTCAATTGTACTGATCACGACGTTTCCATTACCATGCTACTAGTCTTGGAAAATCGACAGAATCAGAAAGAGGCAGTACTAAATTACATTGTTAGGTTGATAAAGTTGTGTCAACAGCTAAGGGGAAAAAGGCGGCGAGAAAAGAAAGACATACCGTAACTTTGAACGAATGTTACAGTTCCTTTTTTACGCATCATTTCCGTGATTGTGCAAACTTGTTATTTAATTTTTCTGCGTTAACGCAACATAACATAACAACAGCTAATCCCGGAGAACGATGGCAAAACGGAAAGGATTAACAAGGATTTGACTTGTCATAATGAGATTTGACCGTCAAAAAATTGCCAAATGAGAATTATTCGCTCTTATCGCTGGGTATACAATGTTGTTACGTGATGACGCCAAAATTTTCTGAACGTAGAAAATGTAACAGGGTAATTGGCTGCCGTAAAGAGTTGCAAAGCTGAAGTTCCGCGCGTTAGCCCTTCGTCGCTCTGAAGTTTCTGAAGAGTCTTTTTCACGTCTCAAATCTACATACCTGAGCTATAAATTAAAAATTCAACACAAAAATTACGAAACGTGTGTTTTTTTCCTTTGTACAATTGCAATGAGTGGAGGGGAGAGAGACGATTAAGTAGATTGTGGTTTTGGTATAAGTGCATGAATTTCTTACAACACACAAGAAAATGAACGAAATCTGTAATTTGAGCGAATCGGCAGGACTGCTTTCACAGAGACTCCGTCTCATTCCTAGTACCACATTTTTTTGAACAAATATTGCACGTGGGTCTCCCACGACATAAAGAAAAAAACTAATCCTGGGTGTTTTAAAGCGTAGTTTCACAAAACATAGCCTCTCTGAGAAGATTCAGACGCAAATTATAACCACACCCTCAGTGCCTTTGAGAGAAAAATAATTTATTGAATAGGCAATCACAATTGAAATCATTTCAAACATGATTATTATCCTCCAACCATTTAGTTAAATACTGAAGATCGTAAAAATTATAAATATCCAGAGTTAGATGTAAGAGACTCATGTAAAACAAATTAAGTGAAAACAGTTTCCTCGAGCATAAAACATGTCATCTCTTTGCCTGTCTTTATTAGTAATGGCCAGTCAAAAAAGGTACCCGAGTTTAAAACTGACTGAAGAAAAAAAAAATGGAGAAAATGCTGAGCCAAAGTTATTTGGCGAGGTACAATTATAGTTCGATAAAGTTATACTTTATCACGGCGATCTGTTAAGTTAAATGGTGAGAGCCAAGCTGTACCTTGATAGCGTTTAGTTCTTCTGGCACGTGTTGTAAACTAGTATCCTTATTACCCAATGATGGTGAAGCAGCGGATTCGCTGGCGATACAAGTGTTTCGCCTGTTATTAAACAACTACAAGCCGAAAACATAAAGAAAGGTCTCTCAAATTATTGAATAATTTTTTAACTTCAACACTTTAAACCGCTGGGTCCAAACTCCTCTTGGCTTGTAAATAATTATTTGAATTGTACTAAGAGGGTCTGGATGGGGTTAACTGACAACTAACAAATCGCTGAAAATCTAACTGACAACTGACATTTGTGGTGGGCTTTTACTGACAGCTGACAAAAGACCGGATCACCCTAAATATCCTAAAATCTGGATGTGAAATAAGGACAGTTGACTTATTTTGTCCAATAAAAGTATGTTTTTCATTGAATATCCGTAGAGGTACGCCAGAGTGTCATATTTCATTAATAATTATCGCATAGACCACAAACATTAATGTCATATGTCACATATCGGTTATATGATCTTTGATACTCAACTCGATCGTGAACTTACGCGATGGCCGTCACGACGGCCGAATTGATTTGGAAACGGCATTTGAGCGTTACAGAAGCCGCATTCCTATTAATGATGTAGACACCGTACTGGCGCTGAAAAAGAGATCAACCCCGAGACTGAAAGTGCTATGAAAGAATTTGTGGAGAAGTATCGTCCGTCGAGGCAAAGGACAGTTCGGGAGGAACTACTACGGACGAGGCAGGGGCTTTACCACGGGCCGTCTACACGAAGCAATAATATTCCATCAAAGTGGACTTATTGGCGGGACTAGGGAACGATTTTCACTCTGGAGATCAGCCAGTAGGGCTCAGCAGCGATAAAGGAGCCGTTCAAGCTACTTCGGAAGGTGGGAATGTGACATGTCACATTTATTGACGACTGTATCGTTGAAGTGGCAGTTGCTGAGGTGCGAACATGTGCATACGAACATGACACGAACGCAGAAAACGACTTTTCTGACGGAGAGGACGAAGATATTACCCCAGTTACGGTCTCTAGATCTGGGTTGCCAGTTCGCGTCCAGTTTCGCTTGGATTTCTAAGGTAATCTGACAATAGATTTCTCTAATAACCTAATTGAAAAGTAGACAAAAGAACATTCCTTTCCGATCATTTATTCGGAGCCAATCATAATCGTAAAACAAAACATAAAACCAATTCACAGTGCTAGAGGACTCTTCACGAGTTTGATGTCTTTCGGACGATCTTCTTTCCAACATTTTGATAGGCCAAGTGTTTGAAAAGGAATATTTCAATGTTGCGCACGGGCAAACAGAAGTTTAAGTGCAGAAGAGTTGTTACTTATTTAAACACCCTTTAAACAAAGACTGAAACTCACTTGGAAGATCTTGGAATTATTTCATTCCAAAATTGAGAAAAAGGAGATCTTATTTTCGACTCAATTTTCGAGTTTACGTTATATTTGCCTTTTTAGCCAAAAATAGGGTCGGAAAGTAATAAGTAACTCGCCGAGTTAATTATCCACATTCATTTAACTGACAACCAACAAATGGCCTAAAATCTAACTGAGAACTGATAAATGGCCGACATTTTAACTGACAACTGACATTTTTACCCCCTCATCCAGATCCCCCATAAAAGCCGTCCATACCCAATGGCTTACACTTTTCAAGCTTGACTGAAAATTTGTCGCGCCATTTACTAAAGTTACCTCGCTAAAACATAACAGGAGAAAGAAGAAGAAACACTCCCGCTATTAACATACTGTAAGATTTTACGCCAGTAATCAACGACGTAATGTTATTCAGTCGGTAAGGTATAAATGTAAGATTTTACGCCTGTAACTAACGGCGTTATTTCTTCCAGTCGGTGGTGTATATATGTAAGA